ATAATGGTGGTGTTGTTTTGGAGTCGTGCCTTCAGCCACGGGATGTTTCTGAGGAGATATTGTGTTTCAGTGACTCTACATACTCAGTAGCTCCAGCAGAGAGAAACAGTCCAGTCAGTTTTTTTAAAACACCCAAACTGGAGGCCATGGCGTTCCCTGTTCAGTTTCCCACTGGTGAGAATACACTGGATGAAAACAGACCCATGAAATTATCACCCAGTAGTTACTTCAAAGCAAGGCTCTTTGGTGTTGATGATCGCTTTGCCAAAGATACCAACTACCTGTTCTTTGCACAGTTTGTGACTGAAATACACTTGGCTACCTCCAGCATGTCAATACAGTTACGCAAAGGCAAACCTTTGACCAGAGATGGACGAAAAATAACATCCAAGATGTTGAGAGAAAAACTTGAGGTGGAGAGACTGGTGAGAAACAGAGATGCTATCAGATTTATGCAGCCGCTCAGAGGAACACCAGCCTACTGGGACAAAACTACAAAAGATCTGTTTGCTATGATCAGACAGTTGGGCAGTCCTACTTTCTTTGTCACATTTTCTGCAGCAGAAATGCGTTGGCCTGAGGTGATTATTGCAATAAAATCACAACAAGGTGAGGAGGTGAATTTTGAAGAGCTCGACTGGTCCACAAAGTGTGACATTCTGAGAAGCAATCCTGTGACAACGATGCGCATGTTTGATAAGCGTGTTGAAGCACTGTACAGAGATCTGATCATGTCTCCTGCACAACCCCTGGGCAAAGTTTTTGACTTCTTTTGGCGTCTCGAGTTTCAGCACAGAGGAAGTCCTCATATACATGGTCTTTTGTGGGTAGAAGGTGCACCTGTGTTTGAGAGAGACTCTGATAAAACTGTGTGTGACTTTGTGTCCAAACACATCTCTGCTCAGCTCCCTGATCCAAATAAACAGCCTGAACTGTACAAAAAGGTCAAAGAAGTGCAAATACACAGTAAGAAACACTCAAAGACATGTTTCAAAAGTGCAAGGTCTGGATGCCGATTTGGATTCCCAAAACCACCCTCCAGAAGGACAATCATAACAAGACCTGTGGATGACGATGAGGAGTCAGAGAGACTAAAGACAGCCAAAGAGAAACTTGCACCGCTAAATCAGCTGCTGAATAAACCTGAAACTGAATCCATGAGTTTTCAACAGCTCCTGTCTGTCTGTGACTTAACCGCTGATGAGTATGAGAAACACATGAATGTGATGAGTCAGTCCAGCAACATCATTCTGAAGCGTGAGCCAAAAGACTGCTGGGTAAACACCTACAACCCTCACCTGCTCAAAGCTTGGGATGCAAACATTGATGTGCAGTTTATTCTCACATACTACAGTCTAATCCATTACATATGTACATACATGTGTAAAAGTGAGAACTCTGTGAGCCAGTACCTGCAAACACTCATTCAGAACTCCGACAGAGAATGTGTCAATGAATGTGATGAAATGAAAGCGGTCATGCAGGCGTATTCCAAAAAGCGAGAAGTATCAGCACAAGAAGCTGTTGCCCGAGTGACTTCACTGAACATGAAAAAGAGTTCACGCAGTGTGGTTTTTGTCCCAACTGATGACAACCCACTGAAAATGAGTCTGCCTGTGTCAAGCCTTGACAACACAACACCAGACAGCTTGAATGTGTGGATGACATCCTTAACAGACAAGTACAAATCCAGACCTGAATCACCAGAGTTTGAAGACATGTGCATGGCTGATTTTGCTTCTACCTGCAGACTGGTGTATGGACAACAGACCAAGGGCAAGAAAGTGGTACCTTTGCTGAATGAACTAGGCTTTATACAGAGACGAGAAAGTGACAACGCTGCTGTCATCAGGTATCGGCGCATATCCAAAGAGAAATACCCTGAGCAGTTTTATGCCACATTGCTTAGACTGTATCTTCCATACAGATCAGACGATGAGCTGAAAAGACCATATCTACCTACGTATGAGTCATTCTACGAGACAGGTGTAGTTCAGCTGCCGTATTCTGACCGACCCCTGCGTGTGAAACTCATTGTCAAAAGAAACAGACAGAGATATGAAAAAAACAGTGAGGAAATTGACTCTGCTCTGGAGGACTTTGAACAAAACAAAGGTATTGTCGATGAATGGTGTAATTTGGCACCTGAATCTGAACTGGTGAGGTTGGAGTGTATTGATGAACTGGATGCAAGACACTGTGATGATGAAAATGTCCAAGAGAATGTACCTGATTACAGTAGACAAGCAAATGCTGCTACAGAAGCCAGAGTCATGAGAGAGCCCCCTACAATCGATCCCACACGGTTACGACAAATGTATCAGAGTCTGAACCAGAAACAGGCATGTGTGTTCTATGCAGTGAGAGACTGGTGCATAAAACGAGTCTGTGGACCACAACCAGAGCAGTTTTTCTACTACATTGATGGTGGTGCTGGCACTGGAAAGTCACATCTCATTAAATGCATTCATTCAGAAGCATCAAAGATTCTGAGAACACTACCTAGACGTGCTGAGGAAGCTGACATCTCAAACCCGACTGTGCTGTTGACTGCTTTCACTGGAACTGCAGCCTTTAACATCTCTGGAACAACACTGCACTCTCTCCTCAAGTTGCCCAGACGTTTGAAACCCCCTTTTCAAGGTCTTGGGAACCAACTTGATGAAATCAGGTGTGAGCTTTTAAATGCTGAAATCATCATCATTGATGAAATCTCCATGGTGTCGAAGCCTCTGTTTGCCTATGTGGATGTGAGACTGAAACAGATTAAAGGCAGCCACAAACCCTTTGGAGGAATGTCAGTCATTGCTGTGGGAGACTTTTACCAGCTACCGCCTGTACGACAGTCCAAACCACTCTGTGTCTATGATCCAACTGAGCTTGACCTCTGGAGAGACAGCTTCCAGGTGATCACTTTAGATGAAATCATGCGACAGAAGGATGACAAAACTTTTGCTGAGATGCTGAACAGACTCCGTGTGAAAACAAGGTCAGATGAGCTTTCTGAAGCTGACAGAGCTCTGCTGTCACAGCGTGTCACTGAACCACAACTGTGTCCCTCTGATGTCCTGCACATTTTTGCTACGAACAAACAAGTCGCAGCACACAACTCTGCTATACTATCTCAGCGCCATTCTGATATCACCACCATTGATGCAGATGACTTTAAAAAAGACCCACAGACTGGACACATGAAAAGACAAGGTGCACCATGTCATGGAAGCAGAAATGACCTACCTGACACACTAGATGTTGCAGTAGGTGCTAGAGTCATGCTTACCAGAAACATCGATGTGTCTCAAGGATTGGTGAATGGATCATTTGCTACAATAGGCCGTCTCATAAGCTCTGAAAACAATGGTTCTGCTCTTGTCACTATGCTTGGACTTACGATGGATGATGAAACAGCTGGCAGGACCTACCGTACAAGAGGAGACAATCTTGTGTACATCGAGAGATCTGAGGAGGCTCTAAAACAGAAAGGAGTGGTACGCAGACAGTTTCCTGTAAAACTTGCCTTTGCATGCACAATACATAAGGTTCAAGGTATGACCAGAAAATCAACTGTTGTCTCACTGAAGCACATTTTTGAGCCCGGCATGGCCTACGTAGCTATCAGTCCAGTCACCTCTCTCAGCGGACTGCACATGCTTGATTTGGATGACAGTAAAATCTATGCTAACCCTGCAGTCACTGTATCTTTACAGACCATGAGGCAAGCTAACTTTGATCACATCATGCCTTTTCTCCAGATCCAGCATTCTCTCAGCAGACAGGACACTGTGAGCATCATTCATCACAACACTGAAGGATTACCTGCTCATGTGAATGACATCAAAAGCCATCATGAACTGTGTCTTGCAGATGTTTTGTGTCTGACAGAAACTCACCTACAGGGCTCCTTTGTGGCAGACAGTCTCCAGTTTGAGGGCTACACCATGTTCAAACGCAACAGACACCTGTCCTACACTAACTTTCCACAGATGGCCAGTAAAAGAGGTGGTGGAGTTGCTGTTTATGTGAAAAACCATTTGCAGGTTGTGGAGAAGCAGTACCTGAATAATGTGACTGACCTTGAGTTTGTGGCTTTGAAGGTTGAATCTCCTGTAAGTGCTCTGATTGCAGCTGTGTACAGACCTCCAGACTACAGTGTGCCATCATTCCTGTCCAATCTGGGAAGCCTTCTGGACTCACTTGAGATCATGGACTGTCATCCTATCATTGTCTGTGGCGACTTCAATGAGAATCTGTTTTCTAATGCAAGTAAGCCAATTTTGGATTTCTTTCAGTCCAAGGGATATGGTCAACTGATCACTGCTGCTACAACGGACAAGAACACACTGCTGGACCTGATCTTCATCTCACAACCTCAGCTATGTCTCTCCTCAGGTATCATGCAGACGTACTACAGTTACCACAACGCAACTTACTGTGTCATTTCATCCAACAGGTCATAGAGGAAACTGCTCTTAAGGAAAAGACAAACTACAGCAGCTGTGGCTAATGTAATGCCATAGTTTCAGTAAATTTGAAATTGAAATGTGTTTGGTGATTGTACATTTTACCAGTGCAAACAATATTTTTATGGCTCTGAATTTTTACAAACAAAATATTTTTCAGGTTGTAAAATTTTCCAACTATTCAAATGTTACAAATGACAATTTTTGGCCTGTGCATTTATCAAGTCCAGTCAAGTCAAGTTAATCCATTTAACTTCACTTGACTGGACATAGGGAGGGTGGGTGCGGATTGATAAATGCACAGGCCAAAACTCTCAGCTGCTGTGTACAATAATGTATACAGCAGCTAAAATTAAAAACCTCCATCAGAAAGTGTGTGTTCCCTAATGAACACACACTTTCTGATGTTCTGTTACCTACCAGCTGAAACCCCCCTTTTCTCCACCCAACTTTACACCACTCTCTTAGCATGGGTGGCTGTAAGTACACTAGAGCAAACATAAGTTTCCTTTTGTTTGGGTATTTTTTTCTTCTTCTTCAGTTGTCTCTACCATCTTTGACCTGACCATTAGTGCTGTCCTGACTAGCTCACTGTGAGGACAACAAAATTATCAAACCATCAACCAGAAGTAAACACATCACTTTGGACAACTCAAAGACACAGTCTACCTGCTGTTTAACCCAGTCTTTGGTCAGAGGTGAAGAAGAGATGACATCCTCCACACCATCCCTCTGCTGCTCTCAACAACCATCATCGCTGTGCTGGACAGACTGCAGCACCCACCAGGACCCTTCTCTCATGGACTACACAAACATGTGTTTTACCTGATCGTGCTCCAGATGTCCTGAAGCAGCTCTCAATGACCACCAGACACCAGACTGAAGCAGAACTGATGCTGTAGTACCTGTCACTCACTGGGCTCGTTCCTGCTGAACCTCCAACAGATAAACCCCTCTTCAAGAAAGTCTGAGGTAATGTCTTAGTGAACTTGTCTTCATTTATTTTTTCTTAGTAATCTTAGCTGCTGTATTAATGCTTGTGATGCTATTGTACAGCTCTGCTGATATCATTGTCTTTAACAGCAGTGTTTTCTCCCAGGTCTTCTTCAAGCCAGTTAAGAAAGGAAGAACAGCTTAGACACTCAGACAGCTGAACACACCAAAGGTGGACATCATGCAGCCCCCCTGAGCCTTGAGCCTCTCTGTGTGAGGAAGCTTTGCTGCTGCAGACCTGGTGAAGTTGCTCTGCTGCAGTGCTGAAGGTATTCATTGTAATGATGTGTGTATTTATTCAACATGTTTAGTTTCACAGATTATCAACACAAATGTTTCTGTTTATTTCCTGTTTTGAACCAGCTACATTGTCCTACTTCAAGTCTTCAAGTCTGTTCATCCACGGTGTAGCTAGTGCAGCTAATTAATAGTTACCCTACAAGTCCTGCAGTCCTGTGAAGCAAGCTGCAGCAGATGTCATCACATTCAGATCATCAGTTCATCTCTACTGCAGCTTTAAACTGTCCCTGAGGTAACGGTGTATTTCCTTGCCCCATAACAATAACCATGTTTGACAAACATAGAAAAGCACAGTATTACTGTTAGCACAGGATTACAGAGTTAAAGTGAAGAGGATTTTGTTTGTTTTTTTCAGACCTCTCCTCCTCCTGCCTCTGACTCCAGTGATGCTGTCAACTCGAACACTGATAACTGCACACGGCGATTCTACAACCACAGGTCAAAGGTCAAAACATTACCTCACTCTAAACCTTCACTCTGAACTGTACCGGCCTCTGCTTTTGGTTTTGAAAAAAACTGCCCAGACAGAACACAGTACTCACTTCAGGAACTGACTGATTGTCTTCAGGACAGGACAACTATTACTCTTATATTGTTTTGAATCCTCTTTTCTACATGAAGTGATCGGTTCTCGATATCTGTTAATATTTTAAGTTTCCTTTATGTTTCTTGGACTTTATTTGTTCTATTTTATTTTAGTATTTTCTTCCCCTTTTACTGTGTATCTGTCCTTATATCAAAAGATGACCAACACTGATGAAGGGAAAAAATACCACTTACTTCAGTTGTTGCAGGCAGCTGAATTTCTCATTTTAATATGCTCACCATATCCCTCAAATTTACCTACAAGAGAAGACGTGTTTTTAGAAATAAATGATTTACTTGGGGTTTCAGCTGGTACGTACACTGCAGGTTTTTCACGTGTGCTTAGTCTTGGGCTAATGTCTTGGACAGCAGTGATCCCAGCATTACAGTGTGAAACAATCCCTGCTGAAGGTTGTCGTCACAATCATCAAACACAGGGCTTGGTTAAACAAGCTGTGTGAATGGATTTCATAGAGGAACAAAGTTTTTATGCTTATCCTTAAAATGTCATTCTCCATAGTACATAACTTTTTAAAAATAAACTATCAACATGAAGACAACCCAGCATTTCAGTAAGACAAGTAGTGTGAATGTTTGGATAAGAAAACACTGGGATCTAAAATGCTGACCAGATTGTCAGTCCACTGCAATGAGCTGATGACAGTACTAGCCTTGGTCTAAGTACTGTGAAAAGCCTTTTGGGTGGTAAGGTGGACCAATAGATGCTATAAAAAATACTTCAGTGCCATATTTAAGTTGTTAACCTTTCACCTTTGCCTGTATATTTCCGTACGCCTGAATGACTTTGCATCTTTTGCATTTGCATTGTTTACCTTACCCTCCACATTATATTTCATTTTTCATTTACATTTAATTGAAAAACAATTATTTTAATTTCTGTAAAATACTTCTGTACCACACTGTACAGTAAACTGCTGAGTTATTTTTCCAAACAAAAGTGCTGACCAGATTGTCACTCCACTACAATGAGCTGATGACAGTATTAGCCTTGGTCTACTGTGAAAAGCCTTTTGGTGGTAAGGTGGACCAATACATTACATCAATTTATTTCAAGTTCTCAGATCTACTTTTTAATCTGATTATTTTAGATTTTGTTTAAAGTTTCAGTTTCACATCATTTAATTTTATTTATTATTATAATTATTTATTATTCTATAATTTTCTTTTTTTTCTACATGAGAGGGCCCACATTTCACTGCAGTTAGCTTTAAAAAATACTATAATGCCATATTTAATTCAAAAGCCTTTCACCTTACTTTGCCTGTATATTTGCACAAGCCTGGATAACTTTTAATTATTTCCATTTGCATTCTTTACCTTACCCTTCACATTATTTTACATTTTTATTCACATTTCATTTATTTTTTAAATTTTAACTTCTCTGAAACAATTCTGTACTACACTTTACAGTAAACTGCTGGGTTATTTTTGCATACTATTCCTCATGTTCCATTCTATACTTTTTGTGATTCACATTTATGTTGTTATACTGCTGACCGATTGTAATAACTACTTTTTTTTATAACTCTCAAGTCACCACTTTCATATATCTTTTTTAATGTATAGGTATAAAGGTTTTTCAGATGTACAAACTTAGTCTTAGGCTAATCTAAACCCTTAAAAACACGCATAACAGTCCTGTATCAGACTTTGAAATCAAATGTCAAGGTCTGTTTTTAAAGCCCACAACACAGGACTTGGCTTAATGGGCCATGACAAATTTTATGAGCCAACTTTTGTTAAGGCTTAGTAATCTGAAAACACAAGAAAAGAGGTGAATGTGGGTACAGGGCTGCTGGAGTTTGAATCCAGTAAATAATGGGGTGTTAGCCTCAGTCTAACAACTGTGTGAAGAGCCTTTAATGATTGGGCTAAACAATTTTACAAACAACTGAAAATGTGATAACTTTATCCATCAACAATCACAGCAACAACAATCTTAAAACCTTAAGCTTAAGAGACAGATTGGTCACCCATGTAAAGATTTCTGCTTCCAAAACCTCTTCACAAACAAATTGTTTATAATTTCATTTAAGCCACTATGGAACACTGTTTCTTTGTGTGTTTATGTTTTCATGTTTTTTGTTTTTGTTTTTTATGTTTTATGATTTATCATTTCATTGCTCACAAAATGTTAAAGGATTGACAAAAATATTTTCTTTTTTTCTTTCTTTTGGTTTTACTTATGTAAAAACTCAGTTTGAATTTTTTAACTTGATGCTAATTTTACATTAAATATATTTCTGTAATGTGTTTATGTCTCATCTACATTCATTTCTACTTCTACCAACATGAAGGCCTTTTCAGCCATCTTTAAAATTATTTACCATATTTTCTGTAGTCTTCAAGTTCAGTTCTTTAGCAATTGGAATATTCATACAGCTTTTGGTTTACCTCTCCCAGTGTTTTTACATCCATACAACTCATCTCTTTTTCATCATCTTCTTCAGTTGTGTTACGGTTTAAACATTCATACAATTTCTACTTATTACACTTCACCCCTTTAACAGTTGTTTCATATATACTCTCCTCCATTTTTTTCACAGTTTTGCATGCTTGGCTTGTCAGTTTTCAGCACTCTGCATTTCCACGCATTTTCTGCACGGAAATGAAATTTTTCTTGAATTTACGTTGATAGTCTTTCACCGTTTCGGAGTGAAGCGTTCAGGGCAGCCTCAGATAAAAGAATGCTGTATTGGACCCGCAGATGTTCACAGAGCCTCATACTGGAAAGCATGTAAAACATAGGAGGACTTTAACACCAATATTTGTGCAGTCAGTACTTTCAAGGCATATCGTAGCTATTGTTTTTTATTACCATTTGTTATTGTTAAAACAAACACAAAAAATACAAATCTGCAACTTCACTTATAATTATTTATATGACCAATTTAATTACAAATGCTCTCATAATTACCGCATATCCACCATACAAAGTAACCCCTAAACTGCCCGGTGCGCGCCGCAAAATCTCCCGAAATGTATGACCCAAATGTTCCCAGGCATGCAGTAATTACCTTCTAACACTAAGGACTGGTACACCATTTCCGATGCCAAATCTACCCTAGCAACAAATTGATAAAAACGTCACTGTTGGCAGTAAGCCAATCCCGTGCGTCATCATCATATTATTAAAGTTCTCACTACCGCGAAAAACGCCAACAACGACCTACATTTTCTGGAGCCTTCGCGACAGACACAGATAACGCTGACCACTCAAGTAAGTAAAACAAGTTAAACTAACTTTAAACCGTCTTCCTCTAGCTCTGAAATTATATTTTCTCTATTCTTCTCTTCTTCACTGTTTGCTCACATGTAAAAATTGATATGCAAAGGCTACCAAATTACAAATACCGTGTATAGCTCAGGCGGACGATGCTACCATTACTTATACAGTATCTGTTAATTACTTACTTCTCATCATTCAATGTGTTTATGTTTACATTCCTTATTTTACATAAAGCATGTCTACAGACCATATTTTCACTTGTCCAGCTTCCACTTGTATAGTGAGCAATGTGTCACTAATGGACCAATTGGTACATATATCTGCCAAACTGTATATAAGTATTTCCATACGGTGTCATAACAACATTTTGCCGACGGTAACTCTGCTCATACTTACTTCGCCTCATTCTTTATTTGACCCTAACCTGAATTATACACATCCCAACTGCCAGTCTTTTAATAACAATAACGACACTAATAAACACAACCACCGAAGACGCCCACAAGGTCTGTCGCGACTGTTACACACAATTCCCAAGCGGATCCAGGGATATTTTTACATCGTCTTACATCTATCCACAACTTCAACAAAATTACACTTTTTTATCCAAGTCATACTCTAAGCACGCACTCTACGACTTCACAACATAAACTCTGCCACTCATCCTTCTAATGGCTTTTTCATCCTCTCAACACGTCTTCACTTACTACTTTGGATTTCACTTTCTCATTGACTCACAGTTGCCATCTACAGGTGTAAACAACACACAACATGCAGCTGCACACTGACTGACCACAGTATAAGTCACGTCCTCCATTTCATGTTTTATTACATACCATCATATTCATAGAATACCAATATCTCCTATTGCCGAAACTGCCACTTCACACAAATATGCTTCTAATTCAATAATTACCAATATTTCCTCTTTTCTCTTTCCAGAATGGCACTTCGCAAACTGTTGGGAAGCAAACCCGAAACACCATATGCCAAACTCCCACCACTACATGTTGTTGTGTTAAAACTAAAAGATGCACCAAAAGTTGTGGCATGGGATTTTAAAGACACACATGTCACCCCCACTTGCACGAAACAAAACAAAATTGCCGTCCTTAGTGATGGTGATTCACTTACAAAAATCACTTTGTATGAAGCAATGGCTTCAAAAGTGCAAGAAGGTCACAGCTACTTCATGCGCGGCTGGACTGTTACAGGGAGCTCTGCTCCATATACTTTAGCTGTTGGCACAGCTACACAGTTCTTTAGAGGCTCTGATATATACTGCTCTGAAGACTTACACAACAGAGCTGAAACCTTACTGGACCCGTCTACTCCTTTAGTTGACCTTCGCCACTGCCAACAACAGCAGGGTCTGATGTCTGTTCAGGGAGAAGTTGCTGAGGTCAGTAGAATGTTTTACAATACAGTTTTTTTTTTTTTTCACATTACAAACATCACACATTATGACAATATTTTTACACTTCCCAATTCTTATTCTCTAAATACAGAACTTTTCTTTTTTAGGTGTCATCTATTCGGAAAGTGCAGTCGGGAAGAGATGCTGTACCTGTGAAGAGCATTGTTCTGCAGCAGGTAATCTCTGATACATTATTTTTGTAACATTTCCAATCTCACATGGTATACATCAGACAATCACGTATTACATTCACAAAGACACACACTCTTAATATAACACATACTCTTCAAATAACTATGTCTGTGCTTACTAATGCTTTGGTCATTTATGACTACTGACAAAACAATAATTCAGTTCACACAAGGGTGTCTTTAACCTTTGTTTGTCACTGTACAATAATGACCATGTCAATTTCACTTATGATAATTACTCCACAATCTACATTATGTAATGATACATATTCACAGACAGTTCATATTACAATTTCTACATCCATTCACATATATTTCATTTACTTTAACACCATATCTCTAATCTGGGTCTTTTGCTTATATAACACAACTACCAAACTGCTTTTGCTGGTGTCACTTGTGCTTTTATTACAAATGATAACATATGCTCTTACATTTTACAGGACAACATTAAGGTCACATTGTCACTGTGGAGGGAGGCTGCAATGCAACCTATAAATGTGGGAGAAGTGCTCGAAGTCAGCCATGTCAAGGGACGCACAACTCAATATGGCATTCAAATGGGAACCACCAACTTCACCAGAATTCAGGTACTTACTAGTTGCCTTGTATTTCACTTCAATCACCTCCATGACATTTATATCCTCACTAATCATCATTGAGATCCTCTAAACCAGTGGTTCCCAACCTTTTCTGTATCACGGACCACTTTCATGCAGTACACTTTTTCGAAGGATCAGGTAGGTGTGTGGAGGTTCCAATAACAAGAACCTTAATCAGTACATAGTATGTACATACTACAACAATTGAATACAACAATCTGAATACAACAATTACATTTTATATTACGCACTTTCATTACACTTTAACATCAACTCACCATAATGCAGAATCAACCCTTTCTCTCTCCAGTGAACTCTGTTTCTGCCTCATTTTTGCAAGGGCTACGTTGTGTTACTAATGCAAAAAAATTACATTCCCAAGACTCAAGCCAAAAAATTAGGTGATCCGAACTGGTGCTCTTACAAAATAAGATACTAACATTTACTAACATACAGTATTCTAACATACTGATTGATTCACATACTGGTACTGGTCTGGGGCCCAGTGGTTGGGCACCTCTGCTCTAATCCATTATATACCTTATCAAACACATTGAAATTCTCATTCATATACAACTAACATATACAACATACACACAATAATCTCATTTCAGCCAAGCTCATGTCAAACTCTCATAATCCCACAAAAAAAACAACTTTGACACCTTATTACTTCCATAGTCCTATTTATTTGTACTTAATTCTTTTACTTGTTTCATGTTCTTAGCCAGTGTACTGTATGTTATTATACTGTTTCTTTCTCCAATTCAGTACAAGTACTAACAGTTCCTCAGGCCAATGACACTTTACACTAAACTATATTGACACTTTCCAAATGCCAAACACACATAAACCTAATCATCATACTCTTTCCCTATGTTTTCTACACTTCTCCACAGAAACAGCAAACTCTACAACAATTAACCATCCTTGGTGTCCTCACAAAAGACGATGTTCCATCATGCAGCACTACTCCTGCTGACACCATCATAGAGGTACTGCTGGTCACTGGAAGCACTCTCCAAATCCCTGAAACTTTGTGGGACCCTGCCTTTGATGACCTCATCCTCCAAGCGCCACTTAATGTTACCGCTAAGGTTGAAGGTAAACTCATCACCTCTATCAAACTAATATAAATGTTTATTCACAAACTGTACAAAGTTCTACAATTCACACACAGACACACACACCACTAATATAACAACAAACACAATCACTCCTTCCACAACATACCCCACACTTAATACATATTCTGTTATAGCTTTTGATTTTGTAAATAGTTCTTCCACAAACACACAAATACACACACACACATTCTGTTTTGAAAAATAGTTCCGTTTCTACTTGTTCCTTCTTTGACTATATTCCACAATAAAGGATTGTTCAACAAATACGCTGTTCTCTGTACCTTGTTTTCTTTCTACTAAGCTTAACTATCATATCACTATTACTTTACAAATGGTTCTATTACATTCTTACTTCTTAATAACACACAACACTTTCTGCTGTGTATAGGCTGTATTGGGACAGAGGAAAAAGTGCTTAGAAAGTGAATCTCCTTCCACTTCAGTGGGGCAACATAAACTGTGATTCATAAAACAGCTCTATTGATAGTGAGTACTAAAAAAATATATCTACTCATGCCATCCTGTCGATTTTTAGTAATCAGTGTTTCGGTGTTGAACTATTTCCCTTCTGCGGCGTAGTGATACTTGCACACGCGCAATCGAATATGCAGGGGGTGAAGCCATTTTTGTCATGTGGACCGATAGGAGCCGAGTCTCGTTGCCATAGTATCACAAATACACAAACATGGCGACGACCGCATCTCACAGCGAGACAAGCGAAGAGGAAGAAAAGAAAAGGAACAAAAGAAAACAGCCTTCAAAAGTGCATAAAAAGGAGCGAAACGATGTTATATGCATCTGTCATCTGTCCAGAGTGAAGACGTTCTCGACTTTACAAGGTCATGTTGGTAAACTTACAGAACTAGTATTGGAAAGTGTCTTTCTCTACAGGGTGAGACAAAGGACCTTGCACAAACGTATAAACTTTTATGAAGTATTTTAACGAAATTCACTTTCTAGGCACTTTTTCCTTTGTCCCAATACAGCTTATGACCTCGACCGAAGTTTCTTTCGCGGAGTTTCAGATGCCGTGGACGTGGATGCATGCTGCGTTAAGGGTTTGACTGACCCGTGGCTGCATCACGTTCTTGTTTATCAAACCCCTTTTGCAAAAAAATCACTGGTAGCATGTCATGTGAAACCCAGCCTCATCAGAACATGGTCAAAGTCGATATCAACCCAAAGTTTATACGTTTCTGCAATGTCCTTTGTCTCACCCTGAAGAGAAAGCCACTTTCCAATAATAGTTCTGTAAGTTTCCCAACGTGTCCTTGTAAAGTCGAGAACGTCTTCACTCTGGACAGATGACAGATGCAGATAGCATCGTTTCGTTCCATTTTTATGCACTTCTGAAGGCTGTTTTCTTTTGTTCCTTTTCTAATCTTCCTCTTCGCTTGTCTCGCTGCGAGATGCGGTCGTCGCCATGTTTGTGTATTTCTGATACTATGGCAACGACACTCGGCTCCTATTCCACGTGACAAAAATCGCTTCACCCCCTGCATATTCGATTGCGCGTGTGCAAGTATCACTACGCCGCAGAAAGGAAATAGTTCCACACCGAAACACTGATTACTAAAAATCGACAGGATGGCATGAGTAGATATCTTTTTTTAGTACTCACTATCAATAGAGCTGTTTTATGAATCACAGTTTATGTTGCCCCACTGAAGTGGAAGGAGATTCACTATATATATTGCACTTTTCAACACTTTTGAGCCTGATCTGTCTCCATACACTAGATGGTGCTATTCTCCATTCTGAAGTTACTATGGTTGGATGCTGCAGACTGCACACATGTGTTTTGTCATTTCTACATTTAATTGAAACATTGTTTCACATTAATTAAGGCATTTCTTTTTCAAAATCACTTATACTGATTATAATTTCTGTGAACTCACAAAAGTCATGTAATTAGTTTTTACTTTGTCTATCATACAATTTGTACATTCATTCAACTTTTTTACCTTGAGCTACAGTACAATTTTTACATTAATACTGTTTCTTCTTCTTCTACTGCACCTTTTCAACAGTTTTTCCATTCATAACTTCCTCTATTTTTTATTGGCAGTTTACCATTGCTTTTTCAGCTTTCAGCACTCAGCATTTCCACGCATTTTCTGCAAGGAAATGCAATTTTTCTAGTTATTATTATTATTTTTATTATTATTCTTCCGTACCTTTTTTGGCCCTTTTCAACTCCTTACCACTTTGTGCTATTTCAACCATTCAAACTTTATACTAATGCACTCCTTCAGGACATTATTGCTAGTACTTTTCACCTTTCTACCATTTATACTTTTTGCAATATTTCACTTTTTCTGCAAAATTTGTTCCATTAGAAATGAATGGAGATACAGCTATAACACCTTCTCACCCTTATAACTTCTGCATACTTTCACCTACAGACCTCATTTTTGCTTTAAAATGTTCAGCAACGTGTCTGCTACAAATGTTGTATTCACTCCCTTTTGCTATTTCCTACCGTTTTTGCACAATTTCGCTTGGAGCAACATGAAGTTTTCTGCCTTTTTCAGCCTGACTCACGCTACAGCGTGTGACGTCATCACTAGATGCGTGCGGAGCCTTTTGGATTCACTAGACCAAGCGTGTTTATTTTGCTGCCGCGGCCGCAATTCTCACTCCACAGCCATAAAAAACACATCAAAATGGAGGTACACTCGTCCTGCTTCTCACAAAATAGGTCTGAAGTCATGAAATTGTACAGTTTGCCCAGAAGGTGAGTAAATTCCTTAGGAGCCAGAGATTCTGCACTTGTCATGGGCTGTGTGCTTCGATCACACACGCACGCGCGCGGCCGACCCCGCGCGGGCACACACACACACACACACACACACACACACACACACACACACACACACACACACACACACACACACTGTTTCCATGTGTGCATTACTGTCTCTCTGTCAGTAGAAAATACACCCCCAATATTAACTTTGTTGTTACAGCCTTTGTCTTTACATCTTTTAACATACTAACTTCTTCTTTTTCTTCTACTTCTGCTTTTCTTCTCAGTACTTTCTACATTTATACAGATAATTTAACTTCAGCTGTTTCATACTTTCTACATTCAGATGTAGGGCAGTAACTGAAGCAAGGCAATAGATGGCGCTGTTCTGCATTCTCAAGTTACTATGGTTTGATGCTGCAGACTGCAAAAATCTGTTTTACTATTTGTACATTTAATAGGAACATTGTTACACATTATTTTAAGACATTTGTTTTTCAAATTCAATTATCCTTATTATCAGTTCTGTTTATTCACATCAATCATATACGTTTTTCACTTAGGCTATCAGACAATTTGTACATTAATCCAACTAATTAACCTTCAGCTATACTACAATGCTTCCATTCATACAATTTCTTCTTCTACTCCACCTTTTCAACAGTTTTTCCGTTCATACCTCCCTCCATTTCTTAATGGCAGTTTTGCATTGCTTTTTCAGCTTTCAGCATTCAGCATTTCCACGCATTTTCTGCAAGGAAATGCAATTTTCTAGTTGTTTTTAATATCCTGCTTGAATGTACAGCACTTTGCGCTACATTACATGCATGAAAAGCACTTAAAAAATAAAGTTTGATTGATTGACTGATTGATTGATTGAAGATTGGCTAACATTATTCACATTTGCTGGACTAGTTCCACCTCTCTCAAGGCCTTTTTCAATCTCTCAAACATGTCTGTTTCCACGTACTTCATACATGAGCATCACAATTCTTGCTCATCAATTTGTGCAACATGCTATTTAAGGGTACATGCAAACTTTTCACACCTCCCGGAGGAAGTTGTTGCACAAAGAGTTACTGTGCGAAATAGCAGCCAGACAGACTGTAGAGCTGTTTCCTTTTTTGCTTTATCCCTCAGTGACCTAAAGACATAAACTAAAAGGTTACAAACGGGAGCAGGTGATGGTCCAGATGTTGGCTGTATCCACATAAAAACATGCGTAAGATCAACAGGCGAGAGATTCTCCCCTGACCCCTTACAACAAAGTGGACTGGTAGAAGTCATGAGTCATATGGACATTGAGTCTTGTGTTACAGACGTAGATGCATGTTGTAGAGCTCTTTGCTGAAAAACAGCTTTGAGGAAATTCAAGGGTAGTGAGATGTGAACCTTTGAATAAATCATAAATCTGACTTTGGAGCAGTCTGAGGAGCAGACAGGCCTAATGAAGCTTGACTGGGAGTGTCCATTCTGCTGCTGCCCCGGGGATAACCCTACCCGTGTCTCCTGACTGGAATTGCGACCGAGGGCAGAGTCATCGCTCAGCCGGAGAATTACTGGTGAGAGCTGACTCAGCACTTGTCATATCAGATATTTCATGACTGTTAATGCCTCATTATTCATCTCATCAGCCCTGAGGGGGCGCAGGGTTTAATCTTTGCCGTAATGATGTTTATCAGCTCTGAAGTTTGTCCCAACAAATCCAGAGTGTTTCACATATTTACACGATGACTGAAAATTCATGACAGCACAACTACACTTGCATCCCCTGCATCCCAGCCACTCATTAGCTTCTTAAAGTGGAAGAAAATGATCTTACATGAAAAAGAAACACGAGTTTTTGATCATGATAACCTGTCAAATGGAGCAGCAAACTTTTATTCTGTTTTTATGTGTCTCACATACAGAGGTGTACTTGCAGAGGTGTATATAAACTGTACAGTAAACTGTCAAGGTAGAGAACATTATATTTTCAGGGCAGCAAATATTTCGAATCAGAGGGCTATTGTTTTTGGTTTATCTGAATAGTCCGAATGAAATCATTAAAGGCACACACTTTTGAATCCATCCAATAGTAAGGAAAACTGGGATTATTTCGCCTCGTTATGTACTTTCAACCGCGCTCCCGTCAGGGGGTGCATTGTACGGCACAACACCAGTGTATCAGTGTAACACACAGGTGTCAAACTTAAGGCCCGGGGGCCAAATCTGGCCCATGGAACAATTATATCTGGCCCACAAGATCACATCATATTTGTATTATTATTGGCCCACCAGTATGAAGTCTGCAGATTTCCTCCAGGGTAATAATGTAATTTTTAGCACCATTATTTAAAAATGTCCTTAAGAAACCACAAAAATCTGTGAAATTAAAGAGTAAGGAAGATTTGATAAAAAGTCAAGAATGTGGGGTAAAAATATTTGGTGTTTTATTTCATGTTTGTAATTTTGCATTTCAAGATTACAAGTCAAACATGATTGGATTTTTATTTCATGCTTTGATTTTGTTCAATCAGTAGTTAGACTTGTGTCATTTTTATACTTTAGATACGCATTAGTTTTCTATTTTTAATATCATGTTAATAAAAACAGAATAAAAAAATAAAATAAATTTGTCTATCTCAGATTGTCTTTAAACTTATCTTTTTTGAATTTCCAAATGATTTATAATCATTGCTGTTTTTGATGCACAGTTTTAGAAAAGAAGGTTGACAGTTTTGGTGAAATGTTGACCCTGTTTGGCCCTCAGGTTCGATTTAAATCTCGATTATGGCCCTTGCTGTGGTTGAGTCTGTCACCCCTGGGCTAACGTTTAGCGCCACCCCGTGGCTGTTTAAATAAAAACACCGTGTACTTATTTGACCTAAATTACGTATTTTCCCAAAAACTTGTGTGTCAGCACCTGTGAGGAGCAAACATCTTTTCTCACAAGCTGCAACAGCTCTGCCATTGAAGTAATGTGGGCCTGAAAGAACTTTACCATTTATTGAAATTTGACAAGAGGGATCAGGCAATGACCCCATGATGGGGAACACATTTTAGGGGATTCGGGGTGGCACGTCCTGTGCACCGTTTCATCCATAATAAAGCTTTCTGTCGGATTTCTGTCCTAAAAGAAAAAGCTAATGGGGACTTTTCAGGCAGCGTTACTGTCCTCTTCCTCAAATGTAGGCGACAATTGTCATGATATTTGCCTTTTTATTTGCACTGTGACTGTAATCTATTATAAGACATGCCTAATAGTATCATTATAAAGTAGTGTAGACTGATCCGGCACGTTTACCGTGTGTTATTTTCAATAATTATCGGAGATTTGATTGACGTTACAGCTTCAGTTTTTGGCTCCCCGCCAACAATCGGCCGCTTGCTTTCCTACGACCTGAGGATCCTTCAAAATAAAAGCACACTCCTCTTAATACGCATTCCACCGCCGGTGCGTGTCTACTGAGGCGGGGAGTCGGACTCTTATTGTGAAGGCGAGAGGAGGCCGGTACAATGCTTAGTCACGGTGAGTTACAGCTTTCCCTCCTCCTTCCTATGTGGCGCACAGCTCTGCTCACCGAGATGGAGGAATTGAACTAGACTACGTGAGTTTGTTTTATTGCAGATTTAGGTTTTTATGTGTGATTAATTTGAATTTAACTGTGGGTGGATGAGAGCGATAAGTAGGCTCCCCGTATGACGATGTTTGTAGAGCTCTTTGTTTGCGTTTTCGTGCTCGGTTCAGATCACAGCCGTTACGCTACTGTCTATTATTAGGAGCCTATTTTGCTGTCAGCTGTTTCCGAATCGTTTCCCTCGTAATTGTTGTTGTTTCCGGATATTTACCATGAGTAAAACAACTTTGTTTTCGCCTCATGTCAAACATAGGATAGAATCTGCTTCAACAAAGGTCCCCGTTTATCCAGTGCATGCCAGCGCTGTGGATTTATGTTTGTCAAAAACAAGCGCAGAAATGATGAACATTAGAGATTGAAGCTGGAGGGGAGAGACGGTGCTCAATGTGTAAAAAACTGCAAATGTTGAGGAGATGGCGCGGAAATCTAACTCCATCTGGGTTTATGTAAGGACTGGCTTCACTTCTGGGTCATGTTTTGGTACAGGCAGTTCCACTGTTTGCTCGGTGAAGAGTTCAGGATGAGTCACTGAGGAGAGATCTCTGCCAAAAATGCCCATGGAGCAAGTTCAACTCTTTTATTTGTTTATGACTCCCATTTAATTGTTTATGTTTGTGTGATTCCAGTTGTTGTGCAAGTCCTGCTTAATGTGGGCCGACTCTTGCAGGCCTGGACTAAAGTGTCAAACTGGGGTCCAGCAGCGTCTGTGAAGGAGTGGGTAGTCCTTGTTTGTTTGTCCTAACAGAAAACTATGGGAGTGGATGCAGATTTGCTTCTTATATGACCACGACATGTACATTTGATAGCTGTGCTCAGGATTATGTGTATTTTCTGCAGATTATTAAAGGAGTAAATAGGGCTGGGTGATATGGGAAAAAGTTTATCACGATATGTTTTTTTCATATCAGTCGATAACAATATTTATCACGATATAAAAAAAATCACTTGTCGATCCTAAATGTATTACGGTTGAATTTTCTAGTGTTTCACATACTGTGACTCCACTTCTGACTAATCAGATTTTGTGTCCTTGCGACATCTGATTCACCGGTATATCCAACATGGCTGACCAGCTGATTGTTTATGTGTCAGAGAACAGAGTACTTTTTGATAAAAACACAAATATTACAAAGATAACGACCTGAAGGACAACTTGTGGAGAGTTTCTTAGCGTCGGATTTCTCATATGACGATGGCTTGTGTGCTTTAACAGTTTTCTAAACATCTTTGTTGTAACTTTCATCTGTGCTAAGTAACTTTAGCTCGTAAGCTAACCTGTTCAGATACAACATACCATATGTATTATCACTGTCTCAAACTCAATCGCGTTGCTGTCACAGCACCATTAGGTCTCTGTTGTTGCCTTACATTTATGCATTATAGTTTAATGTTCTTATTTAGTACTGGCCTCGACTCAGTACATGCTATCATGACAGACAGCCATCTCAACACTAGTGTCTAATCAGAACTGAAAAACAGTCAGTCTGCTGTTGTGTCAGTCTTCTCACTTCCACTCAGGACACGTCTTTTTCCCCCCCAGAAAGTCGCAAAATCGCATCGCACTTGATATGTGTATAGTCAGGTGCGTCAAAATTCTCCTCCGAATATTTCGTAATTTCGCGTCTTATATTTGCGTCATTCCCGGTGTGTAAGGACCTTTACTCTGTAGTATTATTATAATGTAAACTGCAGTTTTAGACTGTTTATTTACCCCTTTAAGTTTAGCACAGAGGTAACTGTTAAGGGAATTACTGTTAGTTGCAGAAGTGGTTGTTTAGTTGACCTATTTTAAAGGTACATGGCGTAGTATTTAGCATCATTTAGCACAACATACTTGATAGAAATGGAATTGCATATTTGTAATCTGGTTATAAACAATGTATTTTTTATGATAAATCTTTCACATTTACATAGGAGGCTACCATTTTGCACCACCATATTTCTACCGTAGCGCAGAGTAGACAGGCTGGTAACATTAGTTTTTTGGGGGATTGAAAGATGAAGAACAAGGAAGTGGTTGTTGTCTGCAAAACAATCTGTACTGATAGATGCTCTGGATGATCAAACTTTGATAAATGGAGGATCATACTCATGCATCACAGGAGCTTCCTGCACTTGAAGGCTATTTCACTGACAGTGTTTCAGTCTATAAACGGACAACTAGATGCCTCTGAATACTCTACATCTCAACAGACTACACCTTTAAGAATGAACTCATTCAAGAAGCCTGCCATGGAGCCATAGGAAAGATCAATTTGCCATATGATAGTGTCCAAGCTAAGCTTTCACAAGTTTCATTATCCTATATACACATGAAGGCAGCTCGCCATAAGCTGTCCTTCAAGGCTCTACCACTTGTAAATAATAACTGTAGATTTAAAGGGGACAGTATTGTACAATGACAATGTTGCACACATTACTAACAGGTCATGTGTGCAATGTACCAAATGCCAGAAAGATATCGCAACTATTTGATGAAACAAAAAGGCAGGCAAGGGAAAATCCCCGTAGCACGTCATGTCTCTGTTGTGATTTAAGACCATGTTCATTCCATACTGCTGAATGCAGATTGTTCTCAAACTGGTTGGAAAGTAGATAAGAAACATTTTAGATATCTTTGAAACAGATGAGCTTTCTATCAGCCATTTTTTTCTTTTTCTTCTTAAAAATGTTTATCATGTAGGTGCTTTTGAAATCAGCCAACCAGCTTTGCATTCAAAAGAGGAACACCTGCCAACGTTTCTGAAGTGAATCAGCTTTTTCTATCATACCTGAAGTGTTGCTGTGTATAGAGGCTATTAAATGCATGAATGACCAGTAGTTACAGAGCAGAGCCAGGGAGCCTGTTTTTCAGCGAGTTTCTCTGTCTCTCAGAGCAAACGGGTTGAGCAATATGTTCTCCTGTGAAACTATTTTACCCAGAAACCTGGAGGGAGAAAAGCGCAGCAGCAAGCAAACAGAAACGGCTGTGTGTTTCATATTACAGCGGGATTAACCGCTGGCTCACAGCCGTTATGACAAGTTCACCGTAACCATCTGTTGATAAAATGATAATTCCCAGACATACTACAAACTTGTTTTATTTTCACTGATTGAAAATGAGGACAGTACTCTTAGAATTTGGAACAGCAAGGTTGTAAAACCCGGCCTGGTCTCTGCGTCCTCTTATCCCCATATCAGGTAATGATTTATATGTGGACACAGCCTATGGGTACTACGTTATATAACAGTGAAAATTGTTGCTGAGTAACTCTGCCTCATCAGAGAACACCAGAGAGACAGAGAACTTTGTACTGTAATTTATGCAGAAAGCTTAGCAAATTAAGACTTAACATGACGGACAGAGAGGCATTATTTTTATAGCATCCCTGTCTCATGTAAAAGTTTGGAATAGAGTAGGTGGTCAAGTATTACCTGGATGTCTGCTGTTCATAACTGCATGAAGACTTGCTGTGATTCTTTCTTTTTATTGGCTGCTGCACAAACCGCTCCCCCTACTCTGACCCCTCAGCTGCACTGGTCACAGGAAAGAGTAAAAACACTCAGTCATGCTGGCAAGCCAAATTCAAGCCTGATTTAAGTCAATCCATTGTCCTTTGAGAGAGTCCTCACTTCCTCTTCCTTGATACAGCAGTATATCGTCGTCCTCGCCTGCGCCTGACAGTTTTTTAGTGTTTGGACCAAAAATTATATTTAAACTGAAAATGATACGACAGCATTTTTACACAATATTGTCTCTACTTCAGGATCCTTTCTGGTGGCACCACTGACATCAATCCTGCACTTTGCTCTGAGGGTCATTTTGTATAACACATAATTGTCTTGAAGTTAAACAGTTTTTGCAGAATGTATTACAGTACCATGATGTATTATATAGTACCTGCTTCTTGTTTTTACATTTCTGCTAATTTCAGAGGACTTCTTAATGTCTGTGTTTTTCATGTTTACTGTATTTTCACGTCAGGGAGGAAACTAAAAGTAGCTCGCCTCACTCATCATAAAATATAGAAAGCCTTGACCCAATGACCCACACCCCGCAGAGTCCATCCTGGGTGTGAAATTCACGATGACAGAGAGAGGACATAGTGTATTCTTGTGTAGATAAGCTTTTGTTGTGTAAGTTTAAAGATAAGGACCAGTAAGGAAGCTTTGGTCAGTGTCAGCAGGATTAATCAACTGTATGTCAGCCACTACAAACTTAAACAAACTACATTTACACACTCAGTCTCTCTTTCTCTTCCTCTCTCTTTCCTTCAGTGGTCAGCTGAGTACGGAGCCTCCTGGTAAACACAGCAGTGCAAACAAATTCCTTAACTGGGCAACTTCGAGGAAGGCGTCTCCCAAGAAAGCAACCCCTCCTCTGTCCTCCCTCTCATTCCTCTGAGCTCTGTCTTACGCCTCTGAAATTTCTGGCCCTTCAACCTGTTTTATTTTGTTTTGTTTTTTTTCCCTCTTCCTTTCAGAGCCAATAAGATTTTTTACAGCCTAATCCATACAGTCTGGCTCTGCTGCTCTCAGCAGAAGTTTTAACCTTTTTGAAGCAACATTGATCTTTAAGTTTGGTTTTTGTCTCTGGAAATCCAGTTACCTTTTTTATAGAAAACATTTGGATAATCTGGAATAAGAAACCATAGAATGATGATTCCCTGTTTATAGAGAGAGTTTTCTTTGTCTACTAACTAACAAACAAGAAAAAAAACACTCTTCTATTGACAGCACAAACATTACGACTAAAGCCACTTTGAGTTTTGTTCATGTTAAATTTCTACAATCGTAACAAATTTTAAACCTCTTCAGTTTTTACTGTGTCCTGTAAGGTTAATTTCTAACACAGTAAGAGAAATCTCAGCCACTTTGATTATGTCGGAACTTCAAGATGTTAAAGGGCAATCAGACAGATCTGGGAGCTCGCAGAGCTGTTGCTAGCAATGCCAAACTAGGCAGCATGGCTGGACTAAAGCACTGAATAGAACAAGGACATCTTCATGTCTTCACAAACTTGAAGGCGAACTCAAACCACACAGACCAAAATCATTTCCCACATTTTATCTCATGCCTGCGCCTGGTGCAAGGATGCCCCGTCCCGCTGCCTGCTATTCTTGAGAAAGAGAGAGTAGAAAGGAGGAGAACAGGAAGGAAATGACAGAGTGCCTAACAGAATGCAAAGCGCTGGTGACGCCATCCACGCGCAACGGCCACCGAGTCTTCAGCTACACGCTAGAGAGCCACACAGGAGCCGCCTTCTCCATCATGAACGAGCTGCGCCTGGAGCGCCAGCTGTGCGACGTCACGCTACGTGTGCGCTACAAAGACCTGGAGGCGGTGGACTTCGTGGCTCACAAGGTGGTGCTGGCGTCCTCATCGCCCGTCTTCAGGGCTATGTTCACCAACGGCCTAAAAGAGTGCGGTATGGAGTTGGTGCCAATCGAGGGGATCCATCCCAGGGTGAGTAACTTGTCTTTTAGATAATAGTTGTTTTGTTAACTTGAACAGGAGACACAAGACGGTGATTGGTCCTTGAACATTTGGGTTCTCATGTTGACCAATGAACAGTTAAAACGAACAAGACTCTGACCAACTAAACTGTATGTCAGAGATTATTATTTTACATTAACAAGTGATTAATAAGTGTTACTTATTATAGAGATGAACTGTGACCCCTCAGTAGTCCCCTACTGTGACTGCTCACAGTCTGTTCTAGGGCTGGGCGATAAACTAAAAATTTACCGATGCTGAAATTTACGACAACAACCGTCGTCATTTTGCCCATGTCAATATAAAAAAATAATTAAAATAAAGTTGATTTTGGATGTGTGTAGGTAGGCTATGGTCTCATGTCCCTTTTAAGACGCTGTCCTTCATCAGAGACGTAACTCCACCTCATCCAGTCTGTAACAAAGAGGGAAAGTCAAGTGAGGAGATAGAGGACGGTTCAAAAGTAGTAGCGGCTGAAGTAAACGAAGTTAAAGTGGGAGGGGGTGAGCAGTTTGTGGAGCAGTTATCGTTCATTTATCATTATCGCGATGAGCTGCTCAATATATCGTGATGATGATTTGAGGCCATATCGCCCAGCCCTAGTGCGTTCCTCCAAATACCTCTGCTTTACTCCTGACTGTTCAATAAAAACATCTTTGAATTGGATAGTGGACACATTATGTATTGACCAGCTCTGCTGCTGATTGTTGATTTGAAACTTGAGCAGACAGACGTCTGTCAGCAGTATGACAGGATCTTGAACTTTTCAGGTATATAAGTAGGATGCTCCCTTTTTTGTACTCTAACTGTGGAATCTAATGTTCCCGTTGCACAAATGGGGCGGCTGTGGCTCAGTGGTAGAGTGGGTCATTTCATTTGGAAGGTCTGGGTTAGATCCCTTGTCCTGTTGTTCTAGGGCTGGGCGATATGGCCTCAGATCAATATCACTTGAGCAGTTCACCTCAATGACAATGAATGAAGGATAACTACTCCATAAGCTGTTCACCCCCTCCCACTTTAACTTCGTTTACTTCAGCCGCTACAACTTTTGAACCGTCCTCTATCTCCTCACTTGACTTTCCCTCTTTGTTACAGACTGGATGGGGTGTAGTCACGTCTCTGACGTAGGACAGCGTCTTAAAGGGACATGAGACCATAGCCTACCGACACACATCCAAAACCAACTTTTATTTAATTTTTTGACACCGAATATATTGACATGGGCAAAATGGCGTCAGTTATTGTCATAAATTTTGGTATCTGTAAATTTTTGGTTTATCGCCCAGCCCTATTCTGTCCACATGCTTAAGTGTTCTGAGGCAAGACAATCAACCCCAACCTGCCTTTGCTGGCTGTGTCCAGTGTTTTTTTGTTTTTTGAATAAGATCTGTAAACACTGACGAGTGCTTGAGATTTAACTTTCTTCTTCCTTACTTTGTCATCTCTCTCTGGCCTCTCTCATTCAGGTCATGGATCGGCTGATAGAGTTTGCCTACACAGCCAGCATCTCTGTCGGGGAGAAGTGTGTGATCCACGTGATGAATGGTGCGGTCATGTACCAGATAGACAGTGTGGTCAAGGCCTGCTGTGATTTCCTGGTACAGCAGCTCGACCCCAGCAACGCCATCGGTATCGCCAACTTTGCCGAGCAGATTGGCTGCACGGAGCTGCATCAGAAGGCCCGCGAGTACATCTACATGAACTTCAGCCAGGTGAGACTTGAATTTGACCTTTGATGAAAGCAACATTGTCAAAAAAAATCTTTTTTTTTTTACCTTTCCTTTTTTTTATTTTTTTATTTTTATTGCTTTCTGCTATATAGACAGTTTACAGCATGAAAACAGAAACAGGGTGTGAAGGACAGAAAAATGTGTAATATGAGTATCTTAAATATTTGGCTACACACTGACCATAAAGTCCGTATTGCAGAGATTTAAGGTAGAAGCAGCAGATTAACTCGGCGAGCTGCCTGCTATTATGAAAAAGAGTCGCGCTGATCCTTGCCAGGAGCTGTGTAATTGTGTATCAGCAGATTTATGAGTTCTACGTGAATATCTGTGAAAGCATTTAGAGGTTGTTTTTTGCTGTGAGATAAGGCACTCTTGGTTAAAAGCAGTAACTCAAAGTGATGTAGTGTTAGCATGTTTTCACAGCTAAAAGTGTCACATTTGATCAACGTATTTGCACCAGTCATTACTTAATGACAGACATAAAACTAAAAGAGATTTGGGTGAAAAGTGTTTCATGTTTCCAGTAAATGTTGTTTCACTTGTTTAATTGTGGTTTTTGCTGGTCGGTTTTTCCACTTCACACCTGCACACAGCTTGCCCATGCACTTCTGTAATGAGTGTAAAGCCATGAGTCACGAGAGATAACCTGCGGTCGGCGCAAACCTGATTGCAAAAGATAAAAATGGCAAGGCAGAAAAGAAAAGGGCAGATTTGGTTGGTTACAGAGTGTTAGATGCGTCATCTACTGATGTTAGTTAGTGATTCACTCTTTTCTAACTGTTGCACAAGTTAATTGTAGGGCTGTAATCAACCAAAGAAATTCTTGGTTGACTAAAACCCTGAAATTTTTAACCAAAAATTGACTAATGGGGGGCGGGGTTCCGACTGACGACAAAACCCTTCTGCGGTGGGGGCCGATGCAGCTCGGCAGGGTGAAAACATACTGATATCAGCACAAATATAAATATTCAGCAAACCATCGGACATTGATTAACGTGGACGCTCTTCAACCCTCCAGTCTCCAGCTGGTTACAGTGGGTTGGGCAAATCCAAAATGCTGAAAACAAGGGGCGTGTTCTGAGACAGGCTGTTACCTGTGAAATGGCACTTGGTACGTTCCTCCTGATTAAATTAACCATAGACTGTAAAATAACGTGAATAAAACCGAGTCGACCAATCACAATTTGGTCAACTCAGGACGCATCGACCAATAAGTCGACCAGTCGACTTTGACTTTACTGCCCTAGTTAATTGATTGTTTATTCACTGGCTATTGGTTGCCGGGTGTGTTTTTGTTACAGTCCAGTTCTCGAACTGTAGCCCTCAACAGGGAACTCTTTGGGTGTTGCCGTTTGGGTTGGCCTCTAAATAAGCCTCCTTTTGTTCCTTGTATTTCCTTGTGGTAATCTGAACATCGAACAGTGACGGAGTCACACAGTCACAATTTTTACCCCGACATGACTTTGCATTCATATAAACTTCCTTCTGTCAATCTTTACTGTCTGTATTGTTAATATTTGATCTTGCTGTCTTGTTGGTACTTAAACATTTGCTCGTGAAATAGAAAAACGTGATCAAACTCTCTGAGCAAAACTGTCCAGCAGACAAACTGATTTTCTGAAGACGTCACCTAAGGCTAGACATGTTAAATGTGGGCAAGTTTTAGGCTGTGAAGTGTTTGATTGATTTATTGATGATGAAAGTCTTACCCTTGAAGCCAATCCTGCGTTCCTCAACCGATTGATTGAATTCATACAGATGATGAAACTTGGAGTTTGTATTTTTCTTCATTTTCTATTACAAACTCATCCTGACTAGACACATGAATTTTATTCAGATTTGAGATATTTCCCTCTCTGCCTCTGTCTGCAGGTCGCCACCCAGGAGGAGTTTTTTAACTTGTCCCACTGTCAGCTGGTCACCCTCATCAGCCGTGATGAGCTCAATGTTCGCTGTGAGTCTGAGGTCTTCCAGGCGTGTGTGGCCTGGGTCCACTATGACCGAGAGAACCGGCGCCCATATGACCAGGCCTTACTTCAGGCTGTCCGCTGTCATTCCCTCACCCCAAACTTCCTGCAGGCCCAGCTCCAGTCTCTAGATTGGGACCCCCAGTGTAAAGACTACCTGGCTCAGATCTTCCAGGACCTCACCCTCCACAAACCCACCAAAGTCATTTCCTGCCGAACACCCAAGGTACCGCAGCTCATTTACACAGCGGGGGGTTACTTCCGTCAGTCTCTCAGCTACCTAGAGGCGTATAATCCCTGCACAGGAGCCTGGCTGAGGCTAGCCGATCTGCAGGTTCCCCGAAGCGGCCTAGCAGCATGTGTGATCAGCGGACTTTTCTATGCTGTTGGAGGAAGAAACAACGCGCCTGATGGCAACATGGACTCAAATGCATTAGACTGTTATAATCCTATGAACAACTGCTGGCTGCCGTGTGCACCAATGAGCGTACCCAGGAATCGGATCGGAGTGGGTGTCATCGATGGCATGATATATGCAGTTGGAGGATCACATGGATGCATTCATCACAACAGTGTTGAAAGGTGAGTGAAGGATCCTTCAAATAAGAGTGATACAGGATGAACTCAAGACTTTCACAGACCCATTAAAATGCTGGCTAGTGGGCAGTGTTGTTTTCGTTGACGAAAATGTTTCGTTATCGTCATTGTCAACGAAAACAACACTGGTTGTTCTTTTCCATGACGAAGACGTGACGTTGACGAGCTAAACATAAGTCTTAGATGACTAATATGTGACGAGATGAATGTGCGTTTACGTTAGGCCTGAACGATATATCGTTTGACTATCGTCATCGCGATGTACGTGTGTGCGATAGTCACATCGCAGAACCTGCGATATTGGAGGTGAATGAACTCATTTAATTTCAAGGGTAACCGACTGAGATACACTCCATGTGACTCTGCATGTGCTGTGCAGCGATCCACCAATCGCCTTCGTCCTTAACTCAGTTGCCAATCAGACTCACTTCTCAGTTGCCAATCAGACTACCCTGCCAGCTGTCAATCAAAATCAGGGAGGAGAAAACCCACCCCTGCACATGTTCTGCACATGGAGGGAGACGTGTGTCCGCTGAGAATTACTTTAGGAACTTTACTCATGGCTATTAAGCCCAACAAATAAGAACTGTGTGGGTTTTAAATTGTACATTTCCGTGGACCACTCTACTATAAGCAGTGCGCGTTTGCGAGGTGCATGCAATTCTCGGAGGACATGCGTTTCTCGGCACAACACCGCTAACAACAACAACAACGATCGCAAAATGAACAACGAACAAGCGAAAACCAACGAAAATGAAGATTTGTTGCCAAAAAGAAAAGGAAAGTCAGTTATCTGGAATTATTTCGGTTAAAAGAAGGATGATGTCGACCAAAACACGTGTTCTGTGTTCATCTGTTGCCACAATAACGTCCCAGCACAATAAAAGCTAAAAATATCTCCGAGACAGACAGAAGCCGTTCTACTAACATTCACAAAAAGAGGTAAGATCAGAGCAGATTAACTGTCCTCAAGATTTCAGCAGTGCAGCATAACATTAAGTGATATTCAGGTCATCTGGTGAAAATACTGTATTTTTAATATCGCAATATATATCGCAGGGTTGAAAAAATCGCAATATTATTTTTTTCCAATATCATGCAGCCTTAGTTTACGTTGACGAGACGAGACTAGACGAAAACGTTAATGGTGGACGACGAACAGAGTTGCAAAATTCATGAGCATTTCGTCAGTCAAACGCTAAACATATATACAGTGTTGTTTTCGTTGACGATGACGTTGACGCATCGTCAACGTAAGCAACACTGCTATTGGGGCTGGGCAATAAACCGAAATTAACCGATACTGAAATTTACGACAAGAACCGACATCATTTTGCTCATATGCTCACCTACATTCTGTGTCAGAATATAAATAAATAAAAGTTAGTTTCGGATGTGTGTAGGTAGGCTATGGTCTTATATCCCTTTAAGTCGCTGTCCTACGTCGAGACAAGACTCCACACCATCCAGTCCGTAACAAGAGGGAAAGACAGGTGAGGAGATGGAGGACGGTTCAAAAGTTGTAGCTGCTGAAGTAGACAAAGTTAATGTGGGAGGGGGTGAGCAGCTTGTGGAGTAGTTATCGTTCATTAACTGCTCAATATATCGTGATAGTGATTTGAGGCCATATCGCCCAGCCCTACCGACTAGACTACTATAGTGAAGCTGCAGCCCGATTTACTGTTAATAACATCCTTTTACAACCATCAGATGCAAAGATTATCCAGTGGGCTGCAGGTTTGCTTTGATTTGTGTCAGACTCAGTGAACTGAGATTTGCTGCACTGTCAATATGTCCGTGTTCGTCTGTGGTTTTGGTAATGTGCATTTAGTAATAAATTAGCAGTGGAAAATGTGAGGAAAGTCCCGAAGTGAATATTTATAAAACTGGTCTGTTGACTTTATTCAGGCGATGAATTCCCCAAGAGCAGGAAATTCAAATGTTTCAAATAACTTCCTGGAAATTCAATTGTTTTGTTCCACTTCTTGTAACATGTTTTAAGTATACAAAAAAGCTTGAATGAGGAAGCATTTGTCTTTTTGTGTCATACAACAGAGCAGTAAATCAGCTGTTCATTGTTTTCTGTTCCAACTTTTTCAGTCTTACATCTGCGACATGTTGAACTTATTACAGAGAGGAGGTTCGAGTTAACTCCCCAGTCACATAGTTCATGAGTCACGACTTGAAAATTTATGTTGATGTTTATTAAGCCTCGTCTTGACAAGTCCCGAGAGCTCGCCAGCAAAAAAAAAAAAAAGATCAATTGTAATGAATAAAAATAAAAACTGGGGTGCATTTAGATAAACAAAAATATCCACTAAATGTCTCGATCCTGCTGTGAAGGCATGAGTCAAACCAAGACACAGGCTCTCACATGATCTTTAACTTTAAAGGTTGCCTGGAATACACGTAATTATGTAAACAGTCATAATTTAAGGTTGAAGATTTACCCACACTTTGTTTTTGGTCCTCAGATGATTCAGACAGAGGGCAGACACAACTGGCAAATATTAACTAGACTCTGTGAAAAAGGGGACTCATCTAACCGGCTTGCATGCTGATTTAAAGACTCAGAGTTATGACTCATTGGTGCAGCGCTCTCATGGATTACAGATGCTACAAAACTGACCAAAATAAATCTGTGCAGTGATGAATCAATTTCCCCATAAACAGGATTTCATGTTTGTTGTAATCGTGTAGGTGTTAGGGATGCCAGGCGAAGGTTATCATATTTGTAGCTTCCTCTTATCAGCGAATGATAAAAAAGGTTGGAGCCTCAATGGTGGGTGAAACAAGCAGAGCACTTTATAAAGAGTCTTAAAATTGGAGTAAATCGATATGTGTGCTCCCTTTCTCTGCAGGTATGATCCAGAAAAAGACCAGTGGCAGCTGGTAGCTCCCATGCTGACCCGGCGTATCGGTGTGGGTGTTGCTGTCATCAACCGGCTTCTTTATGCTGTTGGAGGGTTTGACGGGGCCAACAGGCTCAGCTCCTGTGAGTGCTACAACCCTGAGAGAGACGAGTGGAGGACCATGGCCCCCATGAACACTGTGCGCTCTGGAGCTGGTAAATAGACACACAAAGTTCTCATCAGTTTGGGAATTGACACATCTCTATATAGTAGTACATGTGAACAGAGGGCCTGGAGGCATCTGAATCTTTCCTTTGTCTCCACACACCATGATAAAGTCTGGTGTTCATCTCAAAATGCCAGAAGACAAGGTTACCCTCAGTCCCATCTCCTATCTCCCTGTTTTCATACACAGACCAGCTAAACCTCAGCCCTGCTTGGGCCAAATACCCCAGACCATCACCATGCCCTACATCCCATGCAATCTCAAATATATGCAGAAACATATGCACACAGACACACAACTAAAGGCAATTTTTAAAATCCTGATCAGGCAGCAGAAATAAGTAAATAAATAAAGATTTCAAGCCCAGCTTCTTTGATGTGAACCACATGGGACATCATCTGACATCAGATCCTGTCCAATACTGTCAGAGTGTCCCAAGTTTTAATGATTCATGAAGTTAACACTACTGTGCCATGTGACGAAACGTACACGTGTCAATATGGAGAGTCACTTTCTTCTCTGCTGTTTGGAGAAACAGTTACAGTGGGTTTGCTATCAATCCATTCATTGACATACTGTGACTTACAGGGCTTGACATTAACTTTTTTCACAAGGACGCCATATGCTTTAGGGGCATAATGAAAATTGATCAAATAATGTGTGTCTTATTAGTCGACATAAGTACTATTATTTGAAATCAATTTTAGGTCAATTGGTCACAGGACATGGAAGCTATTGAAAGAAAACAGCCTTTTTTGAGAACATCTACCAGTAATTTATTGATGGTCCCTTATTCAACACCTGACTGTGGCGGGGCACCACTAACGCCGTCCTCATCGCGGCTGGCCGCTCTCTCCCTCGCGGCTGGCCGCGCTCTCTCTCGCGGCTGGCCGCACGCTCTCTCTCGCGGCTGGACGCCTTCTCTCCCTCTCGCTCTCCCTCGTCGCTCGGTGCCGACGTGGGGGAATAGCGTGGTCACTCGCGGCTGGAGTGACAGACGGACGGGAGTCAAAATGAACATTTAAAGACAATAATTGGACTCTTGCGTCCCCGTGGTTGGTGTTAGAGGGTGCACACTCAAACACCTACACGGGTCTCGCTTACACGTACACGCACACACATACACACTCACCTTCTGTCTCCGCTTCATGGACTGAACAGAGGCAGTTCCGGGTCACCTGTTAAGTAGCACTAGGTGACGTGCCTCCGCGGGTCAGGTGACCCAGGGAGAAACCAAAGTCCGGGAACAAATTGATTTATAGGAAAAATATTGTGTTTGTGTTTAATATTGGCTCAGCCATGTGGAGGGTGTGAGCAACAGTAATTGCTTTGTATTATTTTGTGTATGTAGAAATATTAGTTATGATATAATAGCTGATATCTCGAAAAACCCCTAGATTGTTTTGATTGGTTTGTCCGGAGGAGGGGCCAAGGGGTATTTAAAGGAGCTCAGCTCACTTGTTGGTGTGCCTCCTGGTTGAGAAGACGTATGTTGGTCCTGGTATTTGAATTGCGGTTTGTAAATAGTTTTTCCTCTGTCTTTTTTTTGTAAATAATTTTTGTAAATATTTTTTGTACATAAGAGTTTTCACCTGTGGGTATTTTTGGAGATGGTGTAAATAAAAGGAAATCACCGTACTCGATTCTCGACTGTGCCATCATCTTTCCCTCCACAACCGAAAAAGAATTTAAAGAAACTGAACCCGTGACACTGACGTTGACAGCGAGGGTGCCGAGTAGATTTAACCACGCTGCTGTTGCTATTCCCGGTTATGGAGAGTGAGAAGACACCGGTAGATCCACAGTGAATCTCAGTCAGATATCCAACCTAAAACTAACTTCACCACGTTATTTACATGAACAAACATCTGAGCCACGGCTGTTTTTTTATGCGCACATGTGCCCCTGAATACATATTACAATTCGCACACATCTATTTTTAGTCGTAAATGCGAGTGAAACGGTCCCACTGTCAAGCCCTGACTTATACAGTGGCCTGTACTTTTGTGTTTTTGGGGCCCAATAGAAGGATAGGAGTTAAATGTGCCAGGGTGTTGAAGTAAAAAGGCTTAACACACTCAGTAAATTGTAATAAACCTGCACACCTGGGAATTGGAGCAGAAACACTGATTGGTTTGATTCATATTACACTCAAAACACACAATCATGAATAATCGAGGAACTTAATCCTACCTCAACTCGGATTTAAATAAACTAACGCTCCATGTGTTGTAGGCGTATGCTCACTGGGCAACCACATCTTTGTGATGGGTGGATACGATGGGACCAACCAGCTGAACACAGTGGAGCGCTATGATGTGGAGACTGATACATGGAGCTCTGCTGCCTCCATGAGGCACCGACGCAGTGCTCTGGGAGTCACTGCTTTACATGGACGCATCTATGTGCTGGGTGAGTGCTGGAGTCACTGCAAACTGCCTAGTAACTGTTAGAAGAATAAACTAAATCATGACTTTGACGTGTTGAAATAATGTTTGCAGGAGGCTATGATGGCAACACTTTCCTGGACAGTGTGGAGTGTTATGACCCAGAGAAGGACACCTGGTCCGAGGTGACCCACATGACTTCAGGGCGGAGTGGCGTGGGTGTAGCTGTTACCATGGAGCCATGCCAGAAAGAACTGCCATCGTGTCAGACATCCGAGAGAGAGAACGCTGCAGCCCCACCAGCCTATCAGTCGTCTAACTCTGGTTTTAGCTCTCACCCCAATCAGCGGCCCAGCGGGTCCTTCAGCAAAGGCTTATGAGGATCGATATCAGACCCTCCAACACCCACATGTACATGGACGAGCACCCAGAAACTCCACTCTGTCTTTACAAATCAAAAAAGGACCCTCATAACTGATAGGAGACAGAGGGGATCTGAAACCACACATGCTGCCTCACTGATTCCAGAGATCACACATTTTAAAAAATCAGTTACCTTTCACCTGAAAGATGCAGAGAAACGACAAAGTAATTTGACTCTCAAAGTCTTGCATTACAGCAGAATCTATCTGGTAATTTTTTTTTCTTTTTTCGGCCAAATCTGAAATACCTCAGTGTGTGTCATTAAAGTCCTGAGTCAGTGTATCATCTCGCTGGTTAGAGACTATGGGAGAAAAGGGCTGCAGAATTTAGAAAGGGCCATTCACAGGCTCAAAGAGTCACCAAGGGCTCTTTATACTTTAAGAGCAGCCCACGCAAAGTGAAATCTGAGGGGAGAAAAAAAATGAATTAAGTAGCACTTGTCAGCAAAGGCCGTAGATTTCAAAGTGCCATTACGATGCCTGTGGGCATTACCATCAACAGTATATAACCTGAGGTGCTGTGATAGAGCAGCTCAGACAGTCACTGTGTAGTTTGAAGAACCGTAGAAACCCAAACAGCCATCAGACGAAGCTCATTCATGACCATGGGCCTCATGCAGAACCCATCTTTTGGATACCTCTTTTTACTTTAACCTGTGAAAATTTTCTTGTAAAAGTTTTAAGTCGGATGTAACAAACTCTTCTAACGCCACAGATTTAGGTTTGAACGCCTCCTGTTCTCAAGCAGGTTGCATCATAAGAATAATTAATGCAACGTGTTTATTAAATTTGTTAGTTTTTTTCCATTAGAGCAAGCTGTGTTCACCAAATCCTCAGCTAAGACGAAACATGAACAGCCTCATTAAATTTTTTGTTTTAGCATAATTTAATCTGAAATGCGTTTAGCCAGTGCAGTTTGTTCTTGCATGAGGCACAAAGCGTCAAGTTTGAGTGTTCATACAGGAGAAGCAGGACCTTAGAGTAACCACATGGTAACAAATGTGTCCTTTCACTAATATCCACTGGTAGGTTTATTAAACAGAATTAATTTTGGGAAAGGTGTCGGCATGGTATTGATTGTTGCCTCTAGTGAGGCTTTGAGAGAGTTCAGTCCTGTGTAACTTGTGTGTTGCATGTGAAGAGAATGAGCAGGTTTTGACTGTGTTTAGAGGAAAGGGAATACTGTAGCATTTAAGAATCTCACTGAATGTGTTTTTATAAAAACACTAATTACTGACACGATGTGGAGCCTCCTTACTACAGTGAAGTCTTTGGTTTCTCTCTTCCACCAGACCTCAGAAACAGAAGTGACCATGTTTGTCTATTAGTATTCACTGATGTATGCTAATGACAAAAACAAATCTTGCTTCAAGAAGTGTATTTGTAACAGCAATTTAAGCTACAAAGGTTTTTAAGTGATGTTTTTGTACATTGATATTCAAAGAAGTCTTGTACAGAATTTCAGAGCTCACTTTTTTATTTATTTGTTCAGATCTTTTTGGGTTTTCTCGTTTCCTTAAACTGACATCAGCTTTGTATTGAATTGGACCCTGGTGTTGTGTTTTGAATAACTAGCATGCATTGTGACTTAGTAGGAATGCCTGATAATGCTGATTTTGGATGTTTGTAAAAAAAAACGCTTCACTTTGAAAGGGACTGCTTTTTCTTGTCCGTCTGTAGTTGGAATGAAATTTAGTATATTTAAGGTCCGCTTTGTACATTTTTTTCAGCTAAAGTTCCATGTACAATAATACATTGTAAAGTAAAATATATGTTTATTGTACCGCTAAAATCGTGTAATATTTCGTGAAGTGTGCTCTGTAGACTTTTGTAATTTTGCATACACTTAAACCACATTTATCTCTTTTATGAGTGAAGCCATTGTAAGGGATGGTCAGTCTGGAAATTTTGTAGGTTGCCAAAGCAGCTTCAGCCACTAGATGGAGCTATTCCTCTGTTATACTCTAAAGTGTGACAGTTTTCTCTCTGGCACACAGCACTTTTTGTTATGTTTTGGCAGTTTTGGTATAGTAACCAATCGATGAAGGTGCTAAAATTTTTTCAATGAGTGTAAACTCTGAGACAAGTATGGCATCACTCATCCATCCATGATTGCTGACAACACATCGAATATCATTGACTCTTGTTATGAAACTCTAGGGAAAATGATCTAGATGTGTGTATTTAGATGAGGATAAAAAAGTAATTATCTCAAACACAGAAGGGTCTCTAGACTGAACAAAAAACCAATGTAAATAGATGGGTCGTGCACTTGTAGACAGTTCCCTGTCATATAATTCAAACTGATTCTTTACATAGAATATAATAATGTGACAGACCCATTTATCAAAAATCTGACACCTACACGGTTTAACAATAATACAGGGTGTTTAATCATGTGATCGTTTGGACTTGGGAAAAATTACAACAAAAAAAAAACGAACATCAAAACTGAAGTTTGATAGCGCAAAACACTGCTTGTGCAATCTTGTAGTTTTTAAACGATATTACTGTCCGATTATTTAATGAGTCTTCTGGACTTTTTTGTTATTAGAATAAATATATATTTTTTAACCCTTTAATGCCTGAAACCACAAATTATGGCCAGAAAATTCCAATTTTTTTGGAGCTGAAATGTTAAACCAAAAAAATTTAAATGTCCTTAAAATTTAAAAAATGTATTATTTAACTTGTTTAATATATTAGATGTTTTTGGAAACTGATAAACCACAAGAGGATATTTTTATCATTTATTGGACTATATTAAAGTGCTTTTTTAGTAATTTGTTTTTCATATTGATTTGATAGAAGTATTATAAAAGTATGTATAAAATATGATACAAAAGACAATAAAGGGCTACAGACATATCAAACTTTAACGTCATATTCAGGCAACCTGTTCAAATATTTATAAAACCTGGAGGATTTTTATTTTATTTTATTCAAGATTTTAGAAAAACACACCCACAAGTTAAAATTGGAGAACTGGTGATGAGTGAAGTTTAGAAAGGCAAACAAATCCCAAAGTGAATTCAAGTCTTCTTTGAATTCACCTCATCTTCATGTTCTGTCAAGTTAACGCTTGTTTGGTGTCTAACTAGTCTAAATTTAAAGTTCAGGTTTATTTGGAAAAGTCTCCCCCGGATGTCTCGTGCTGTTTCCTGTTAGCTTCACACCTGTGCGCTCATCTTTAATCATGAGAAAACGCTCGCGAGTCCCTCCGGGCGCCAGTGGATCCCGCGCGGACGCAGGTAAGTGAAACTCACCTGGATCAAGCTGTGTTGACAGACTATTGATGCGTAGCTGATACTGATACTTTAGAAACGAGCTAAAGCGGCTTTAAAAGTGATTTTAAGTTTTTCATGAACATGTGACGGTACAGGTTTGTTAATCGACACACCTTTCAGGATGTTGTGTTTATACGCCTTTTTGTTGGAGTGTTTTAAATGGCGATAAACCTTCTACAAAGTGTGTGTTAAACTGCTTCAATCTTCCGTCTGTTAATCGGGTCTTTTAGATTTTATTTGTCACGTTTTTATAATTACAATCAAAGATAAAACTTAAAAGTTATTGCAGGTGAACGTAGATTTGTCATTTTAGGCAATATAAAGGGGTTTAACCAAATAATTTACATGATAGAGGAGGAAATATACATGCAAAAAGTAATCTCGACCCTCTCCTGAATAAAAGTGTTTTTTTCCCCTAATGTCAGGTTGTCAAACTAGTTTATCCACATTGAATACACCCTCAGTTCAGCCTCTGTTTGTTCATCCAGTCAGGGCCAAAGAAACAACAGCTTCAAGTCTGCGCCCACGTTATAGAGAATACTTCTACTTCTGTGTATTGTGTGCCAGATTACCAAGGGTTTTTTGGGGTCTTACAACTTGAAAACCTCTGACTGGATGTTCCTTAGAGACCGTGTTATTCTAGCCTCAGTGTTTCGCTCTTGTCTTTCAGCAGTGTGGAGCAGCAGCCAGGATGATCCCAGTGGGTGAATTCAGAAACCTTGGCACAGAGCAGAACTCAAAGTTTCGGGTCCTGAAGCCATGGTGGGATGTTTTCTCAGAGTACCTGTGCGTCGCCATGCTCATGATTGGAGTCTTTGGGTGCACCTTGCAGGTGAGGCACTAAGGAGCTACGTTTTGAACATTTTTCATTAATATAGATGTAGAAACACAACTAGAACTTACCTTATAATGACCCAAGAGAGAAAAAGCAGCATCAATTGTGTGATTGTAGTTTCCTCTCTGTCTAAAGACACAACTGACCTCAATGCAAGTCAACATCACAGACTTTTTAACTGAGCTGACTTGTCTCTCTTGACCCACTTACTACAAATTCAAATCACTAACTTGCTCCACATTGTGTCCCTCACTGCTTGATTTGCATATTTATAAAGCACAAAAAGAAAGCAAAGGGATTAATATGTAATCTTTCATAGGGATAAATAAGTGCTGTTACTTTTACCCTTGTCAGACACAGTCCACTCTGAAATATAGCAAAACATATTTATAACCAGAAAAAAGTGAAACTCTTGTTGAAAGACATTCTAATGAACATAAGTGAATAAGCTGTGAATAAGCTGTTTAAATTGAGAATGCTATACATATAGTACAAGAAGTACGAATATTTAAGCCAAAGCATTAATTAAGTGTGGCAATGATCATGTGTTTCCTTGTAATCATCAAAAGACAAAAAAGCAGACCTGTCACTTTGATAAAACACTCAGGGTGGCAATGTCAGACTGAGTTATGATCTTGTACTGATTTGTTTCAGCTTGTATGTGGTATAAATGTTGGGAACAGGAAGCTCTGATCAACAGCTGGTAACAAACTGTTTGTCGAAATAGCCTGAATGCCCAATCTACCTTTTAATAAAGTTGTAAGATATAACAGGAAAGTATTAACTAATCGATCTTAGTGAAAACGACATGTTAGATTATAGGGATATTAAGGGATATTAAAATTAATTTAGGGTCAAACACACCGTGACACCGAGTTAGACACCCCATCCAGAGATGAATGTTGCAGACAACTTACTTCTCTAGTTTTACCAACTTTAGTAACGACCGCAGGATAGCAACACACAGCGGTCTGAGGAGCCATAAACAAACCTAAACCAAAACGCCACTCTATAGCCACAAATAATGTTCAGAACAGCACCTAACTTCATCAACAGTACATCTAGGGTCCTAGCCATAGCACTAGCCACCAAACATCTTTTTAACTCTGCCTGATTTCTTCAACAAAGAGACTAAACACAACTCACCCACTCTCCTCCAGCAGCCACTTTTTCGGGCCAGTCCATTACAGACTGCTGTGGGGTGATGCAGCTCAAGGAAGAACATTTATGATCATTCGTCGTTACTAAAGTTGGTATAACTAGAGAAGCAAGCAGTCGGCAACATTCATTTCTCAAGGGGGAGTCTAACTCTGTGTTACGGTGTGTTTGACGCTAAATTAGTTTTACGCCGGAATATCCCTTTAACACTAGCTTCCATCAGTTAACCACTTCCTTGCTAGCATTACCTTTGCTATTGTTGTATGAAACGTATACCTTAGCGTTCAGCCCCTCCCATTTTGTTTATTTAACTCTTAATATGAGAAAGTTACTTAACAATTATATTGAACTCTGTACCAAAGAAAAATGCTGTGATACAGTAAAAGTGGGGCTCTTGTCATGGTTTTTATAAAATACCTAATTATTTGTTGTGTGTATGATGACACACTTTTAAACATTTTTACTATTTTTCTTTCAACAGCTCACACAAGACAAGATTGCCTGTCTGCCGAGCCATTTCACCAGCCCGACACCTGAAGCCATTGACTGTAGTCACATCAGGACCTACAGGCAAAACGAGACATCACATCCCACAGCGGCCACACCCGCGAAGCCCATCATCCAGGAAGTGGTTGGACGCAAGAACAATCTGGACATCCACCAATATGTGTTTGTCAACCACCACTGCTACGAGAGGTTCGTCCACTGGTTCGCAAAGTTCTTCCCATACCTGGTGGTGATCCACACTACGGTCTTCATGGTCGCAAGCAGCTTTTGGTTCAAGTTCCCAGGGACTTCTTCTAAAATCGACCTCTTTGTTACCATCCTTGGGAAGTGCTTCGATTCACCGTGGACCACAAGGGCCCTGAGCGAGGTTTCTGAGGAGCGAGGGGAGGAAAAATTGGTCAGCTGGAGGAGAAACACCATGTCAAAAGATGCCACAGAACGAAAAACAGACAATGAGGAGACCACCGGTCTTCTTCTTCGATCCTCTTCAGTCAAATCCAATCCAGATAAGAAAGCTCCGGAGTCTCAGTCAGCTCCCTCAGTGTTGGACAAGAAGGAGGGCGAACAGGCCAAAGCTTTGTTTGAAAAAGTGAAGAAGTTCAGGACTCATGTCGAGGAAGCAGACATCCTGCGTATCATGTATGTTCTTCAGACATCCCTGAAAGTCTTCAAGTTTCTTTTAATCATCGTCTATACTTCAGTGCTTGTTCCAAACATTGAGATTGTGGTTCGATGTTACGTTCCTCCAGAGCTGACTGGGTTTGATATCTACTGCTGTAACCACAACAAAGCCCATCTTTTTTCGAAACTTGCCTACTGCTACATCTTTTTTGTGGGAGTGTACGGAGTTCTTTGCATCTACACCCTCTACTGGCTGTTTCACAGACCGCTGAACGAGTACTCCTTCGACCATGTCAGACTGGAGACAGGAATTAATGACATCCCGGACGTCAAGAATGACTTTGCGTTCCTCCTGCACCTCGTGGACCAGTATGATGCTCTTTACTCCAAAAGGTTTGCAGTCTTTCTCTCAGAGGTGAGCGAGAGCCGTCTTCATCAGCTCAACCTCAACTACGAGTGGACTCCCAAAAAGCTACGTACCCGTCTTGCCAAGAACAGCAGCAACCGGTTGGAGCTCCACTTGTTAATGTTGCCAGGACTTCCTGACACGGTCTTTGAGATTCCCGAAATGGAATCACTCAAACTGGAGCAGGTTAAAAATGTGATCATTCCAGCTGCCGTAGCAAAACTAGAATCTTTGAAGGAGTTATCGCTGATCTACTGCCCCACCAAGCTTCAACTACCTGCCCTGAACCACCTCAAAGAACATTTGAAGATCCTTCGTTTAGCTTTTGAAAGTCTGGATGAGGTTCCAATGTGGATGTACACACTGCACGGCCTGGAAGAGTTATACCTGAATGGTCCTTTAACAAATGAGGTGTCCAAAAGTGCTTCTCTGGACTCTCTTCGAGAGCTCAGAGCTCTGAGGGTTCTGACTCTCCACTCCAGCCTCTCTAAGATCCCACCCACCATAGTAGATGTTGCATTACAGCTGCAGCGGTTGAGCATCAATAATGACGGCATCAAGCTCCAGGCGTTCAGCACCCTGAAGAAGCTGACCAGCTTAACCTCTTTGGAGTTAGCTGGCTGTGGGTTGGAGCGTATCCCAAGTGCTGTCTTCAGCCTGGACAACCTGCAGGAGTTGGACCTGAAAGACAACAAACTCACCACAGTCGAGGAGATCCTGAGCTTACAGCACTGCCGCCGTTTAGTCTCTCTCAAACTGTGGCACAACAAAATCACCTACATCCCCGATCACATCAGTAAGCTGCACACTCTTGAGACGTTGGACACCAGCTGGAACAAGCTCCGAAAGCTCCCTTCCAGGTTGTTTCATTGCACCACACTCAGGCACCTGGATGTCTCCCACAACCAGCTCACCTCTCTTCCTCCTGAGATTGGCATCCTCCAAAGCCTCCAGTGTTTCTCTGCTGCTTTCAACTCCTTGGAGATGCTTCCAGAGGAGCTTTTCTCCTGTAAAAGGCTAAAGACGCTGATTCTTGGAAACAACTGTTTGTCGTATCTCAGTCCGAGAGTTTCCAACCTGGCCCAGCTGGTGCGACTGGAGATCAAAGGGAACCGTCTCGAAGCTCTGCCCCATGAGATTGGGGACTGTCCCCTGCTGACTGTCAGTGGACTGATAGTCGATGACAGCCTTCTGGATTTACTGCCGTCAGCTGTACGAAGCAGGCTGAGTAATAACTGAGTTTCCTCGGCTCTCATTGACTTGTTTTTTTCTCAGTGGTGGTTTGAGTTGGATTGAGAAGAAAAAGAATTTTAAATAAACCTATTCCACTAGGTGGAACTATTTTATATCAACAGATCCACAATGGAAACCATACCTGGTGTCAAAATGTTAACCAAAAACTAAGATAATATATTTATATAATGAGTGATTATTACAATTGTAGGATGTAAGGATGAGTGAAAATCAAATTCTTCTTTTTTAAGATCTTTTAATGATTTTTTTCTTCAAAAATACATTTTTAAATAAATATTTTACAACATTTATAACTCTTCTGCAAAGGGGATTACTTCATTTGTCTTATAAAGATTTTTTACGCGTTTAGGTGATGGCCGTGAACCATTAAAAACAGGTATTTTTTTAAGATTAGTATTGAGCTTAGAAAAGTGTAATGTAGAAGAGGAAAGGGTTAAACTTGTTACTGTTTGTGCATGATCTTTTGGTGGAAAAACGTGAGGATTCTTCAAAGCATCAACCTAACCTAACCTACCCTTACTGCCCTGTATCCTGTCAGACAGGTTTGTAGAGCAAGGAGTGTTCCCCACAGCTCAGTGGCTCATGTTGCTCCCTTTGAGGCCCAAAACAAGTGGAGGTAGAGGAGGCTTTTCAGTCCCAGAATAAAAGCCATTCATCTCTCTGTTTACATATTCACAGCATATTCAGTCAAAATACAGGGACACTGTAATTATGCATTTAATCAGATAAGGATGATTCTACTCAGCGTTAAACACTCTGCTACAACAGCATCATACTCAGAGTGTATAACATGATACAATGATGAATCATTTACAGAGAGGAGCGACATTGAACCATTGTCCTTAAAGAATTAAGCAATTCAAAGTGAAGGGTGTTGTCTGTGGTAGTTTATAGTAAAACAACAAAGTCCTGACTTAGTCCTTTGATGCAAACTGAGCTTATCCTGCCATGGTTTAACCAGAAACTTCTCTGTTCATGATCATACCACTGTGTTTTCTTCTACTCTCCTTTCCTCCCATGATCCCAACAGCAACCATTTTTTATTGCTGCAGATTGGGATTCCACCTTACAGCCTGAACAACAGTTCAGTCAAGTCTTAGCTTGTATCTCAAACTGTTGGCATTCCTCACTAACACAGGAACATACACTGACCTGCACACGCTGTGACTACACACCTCCAAACCTGTCAGAAACTATCTCAGTTTGATATTTAGTGGTCTAAAAAAAGAATAAGAAGATGCAAAGACGGATTGTAAGCCTCATGCCGAGCTGCAATGTGGATCATTTCGCTCCTACTTTTCCTCTCTGAGGGTGGCAGTTGAGTGTATCACCAGCTTTGACTAAAATAGATGTGATTGCATCTTTGTTACCATGGCTGAGCTAGAAATAACAACACTTGGTGTCTCACAGGAGTTTGTTTGATGTTGTAAATGGTGAAATCTTATCAGATTAGGGAGCCTCTTTTTGCTATTTTAGTACCTGAGTTTGGCAGGTTCAGATTCAGCCCCTGTAGGCTGTGATTTCCTGTAGTTTGATAAACTGAGTTGAGGAAGGTTAAGGGAGCAAGTTTTGGTGTCCGATTATTGGTACAAGTTATTGGAATCAAAGTTCATCGAGATGTTCATAGATTTGTTTTTATTATATTACAGCTCGGTGATTATCTTGTTGATATCACATCTTCGTTCAAACACCCTCTGCAGTTTAAAGAAAATACATTTTTGCCTTTATTTAAAGCTCACTTACCAGAACCTTCATTGACAGTGTATTAGCTGCTGTTATTTTTCCTGTCTGTACATGACAGCTTGTAAAACGTTTGAATCTATCCTGTAACTCCTGGATAATGGAAACTCTGAGTGGTCATGCATTTTAGTTTCTCAATTTTCCAGTAAAAACAAGTTCATATTGGTAGTTTTCTCAAGATCTCAATTACACCTCTAATGATATTGACTCAATACTAGAGTTGCAAAGAACTAAAAACATAAATGGGCTAAGCTTACATCATTACATCAGTGTGGGCAATGGCAGCATTACAGGTTGTGGTTTGTCCTACAACAATGACCAGCTAATTGTTAGTTCGCCAGAAAATGATACAGCTATAACAAGAAAACAAGCTTTACTATTTAAAAATAATAATTTGCATCATTCTATTGAAAGGGGAAAACCAGCTTTGCTAGAAATGAACATTATGAAGAAATAATAGAGATCCCAAGCAAACAACTGAAATGAATTCATTTTCAACCAGTTTTGCTGTTCAAGGTGATAAAAAACAAGATAACATGAACAGGTCAAGATCTGGATTTAAATAAGACTGGCAATAACTTATCACAGGAAAACAGATGAAAAAAAATTTATGGATGCATGACCACTTTGACGCTCTAGAACCCTCCTCCGCTGTTGCCATTGAGCTAAGCTGTCTTTCTGTATATCTAAAGTGTTAAATTAAGATGTATTTCCATTTGTTTTGGACCCCAAATCTGACCTGCAAAGTTGGGAAAGGTCTGTAGAATCCTAAGCATCCAAGAAAAAGTATGTAAGATTTCAAGATTTTCATTTGAGCAAATCTCGTGTGGATTTTTAGTTCTCATGTGACTTTTTGAACACGCTGTTTAGAGCAGCTTTCAGTTTTGACCATCGGATTACTTTTTCACATTTACCCCAAAATCTGAAACTTTGCCTGTGAAACTCTTAGAACTGACATCTGACACTTAATATTTGTTTCTGAAGTATGACAAAAGCATGATACCATAAATACACAAAGAATAGATACAGTGAATTCATGGAGCCAAAAAACCTGTGATCTTAAAAAGGGGAATTCTGTAAATTCTTACGTTTGAGAACTTTTTCTTGTTACTGAAAAAGTAACTTTGACTATCTGCTCATTCTTTCCCCTGCTGAATTAATTCAACATGTCCTAATAAGTTAGAGGGATCTACATAGGTGTGGTTTTTGGCCTTATCCCATGTTAACACCCATTCCTGCCTACACTCCATGTACACTATGGAGTCAAACAAACATTTATCCTTAATAGTCAGCGAGGACTGTCTTTCTTTTACTGTTACATTCTTTTGTTAAGCAAACTCATCTTTGCGAGGAAATGGAGTAGTTGACTCATATCTTATCTTCCCAGTGATGTCTTCGTCACATATTCACAAACATCTTTTATGTCCTTGGGAGTAGGGGAGTGTGCTGATACTGGTTTTTCTTGTCTACTCCCACTTGCCACTGTGACTCCATGTCTCCTAGCCTGCAGAACAAAGAACTAACAACGACAGTGTTTAGAGAGGGACTATTTGCCTATCCAGCACACACCCACATTTGCGCTCGGTGAAGTCAGTTAGCACTTCCTAGTGGCTGAAGACAGGTTTGCCTGTGGCTGCATGTCTCGGTGCCGTGTTCGCAAGTCTTAAATAATTGACATAGCCACAGGGGTGTCAAGATACAAGATACTGAATAAGGATTTGCTGTTGTGTGTTTTTAACAACACAAGATGTTCAGAATTCTGAACAGTAGGAGTGAGTTTGACCAGGAGAGAAAATATGGGTGTGGAGGTAAATGACTCTTCTGTGTCCTCTTCAACAATAGCAGCTGATTTACCTGGAGGGAGTTATTTAACCTCAAACTGCTCCTGTGGAAGAGTTAACTGCCCAGAAATCAAACACTGTGGTTGTGACTGTGCAGGTGGTGCAGCTTTGGGATCATTTAAATCACATATGTCAGAGTCAAGGCCCGCGGGCCACATCCGGCCCGCGAGAAGGTTTTTTACGGCCCCTGGGATGATCTTGATTTATTATTAGAACCGGCCCGCAGACCGCAGCAAGCCGGCAGCCCGCAGATCTTTTACACGCACCAATACTACATTTCCCACAATGCAACGGTGACGCACCGAGCAGTAGGCTGCTTCATTTCAATATTTATTAGCACAGCAGTCGTCAGCATAACAGTAAAATTAACTTTCAGATACCCATCAAAAATGGCAAAACGGAAGGTGGACACTGAGAACCGGGGGTTTCAAACAAGGTGGGAGTCTGAGTATATGTTCACGGAGGTAGCTGGAAAACCTGTGTGTCTCCTGTGTGGAGAAAGTGTGGCGGTACTGAAAGAGTATAATCTGAGACGATATTATGAAACGAAACACGCGGACAAAAACAAAATTATATTTTAAAAATATTTCAGTTGAGTGGATGATAGAAAATTGCTGTTATTTTTTTTTCTTTGAAGTAAATTTAGCCCACTTTTGCTAAAACAGAAAATAAAGGCTACTGATGGTGCCTTGAATAATACCGGTTTCTTTCATTTAATGTTCATGCTATGGGGATTTTTATATAAAGGAAATTTGTCTTTTGTGTCTGTTGAAAATTAAAGATTACTGACAGAGCCAGAAGAAAATATTGCTTTATTTATCTGATCATATTGGAATAAAATATTTGTTAGGTTTTCAGTAGGTTCAATTAGGTTCACTAGACTATATGCGTCATTTAAAAAATTTTCAATGAACATTCCATCAGTCCGGCCCTCGGCTTGTGGCTAAATTTTTTATTTGGCCCTCCGTCCATTTTACTTTGACACCCCTGATTTAAATCTTAATTGGGAGCGAAACCAACACACAACAACAGACTGCAGGCTATGACACCCAGTGTAAAAAAGTATTGTTAGCTTTTGCTTTGTCAAAATTTTAATGCAGCTCTTTTAAAAATGATTCATCCTGCTGCCAAACTCCATTAATTTAAAGTACAGAAAAAGGCCAATCAGAACTGCATCAAACCATCAGGGCACTTTTACAAGCTTAGTTCACAGTTTGTGCTCCAAACTCACTGAAGTCGCTAAAATTACCAAATGTAAAAACTGGATTTAGAAAGTTGCAAATTTTCTGGATATTCAGGTGGAAAAATATCTTGAAACTTTTTCAAATACATTTTCAGAAATACCTTAAAATACAATACAACCACTGTAATGAAAAAAACTAATCCAGCATTGATACTGATCTAAAAAGGCACTACTTTATATTTGTTTGGATTATTCATGTTACGTGTGTTGTTTCTGTAGGTTGTTTGTGAACTATAGAAAATGTGAACTATAGAAAATTTCTAGTTACTAAAGTTGGCAGATGAGTTATATGAGGTAGAAAAGAAAATTGTAATAGGAATGACAAATCGTGGGAAACCCCTAATGAAAGTTTTTGGATTCCTTTTTTAAATAAGTGTAAAAAATTTGTGAACATTTAGACAATAAGAAACATGATGTATCTGTTACATCAGGAGGCTGTGCCCAACGCCCCAGCAGAGCACCAGTTTAACTGTATCTCCTTTAGGCAGCAGTTGGCCCGTGGCGCACAGGCAAACAGGATAACCATTGTACTACGAGAGCCTTGAGCACAAACATCAGCAAACCGTGCCACCCTTACCTACAGGCCCGAACAATACAGGGCTCTCATGCATTTTGATCTGTGTGCCCTTTTACAGCAGAGAGGGTTTCACTGCATAGAGAATTCCAGTGTGGTGTTATAATAAGTGTCCTTCATGATTCACCTTGGGGAAGTGCTGAGCACTTGAGGATGCCTGCAGCAGGACAAAGTACAAACAGATCATTGTTTAGTCTCTCAAGGGAAAATACATCAGATCATTATGGCTGTAGAGGAAGACGTTATTAATATTTTCAACAAAAGCCACTCTTGTACAAACCAGATTATCATAAATTGATCTGATTAATGCGCTGAAGGTACTCAGCTATGTTTGTTTCTCACTCCTTGCATAACTCTTCAACAAAAAACAATGTCTCTTATACCAGTGGTGCATATTTAACAGAGCAGTAAGCACTTGCACATGAGTAGTCACACTTAAATTGTTCTTATAGGCGAGAGGGGACAGATGTTTGCTGTCAGTGTCTGAAAAAAACGAGCTTAAAAACGTGAGAATTTTAAAAAAAAAAGGTTATTAAAAAAGTGGAAAAAGCTTCATAAAAATGGACTTGTTGCTGTTTTAGCCTGCTAAAACCCTTAACCCTTTATTAGTTTAGTTTATTAAGGATCCCCATTAGTCTACACCGCAGTGGAGACTATTCTTCCTGGGTTCCAGGCAAAAAACATCACACAATCACAAAACAAATCCTACAATGCAGTCCAGCATGATCAAAAATAAAATTTTGTAATACAAAAATAGTAACAATAAATTAAAAAAACAATAACTTGGAGTTTACATAATAATGTTCATACCAAAGATAAAAAAAGAGCAATATAAAAATAGATATATATTTGTAGCAAAAATAAAACAAAGAACCAATGGCCTATAATATACACATTAGTGTACCAAAGACAAACAATATTCTCTTTAATGCTTTTCGTATCATATTTGATACATACTTTTATGATACTTTATTAAATCAGTATGATCAACGAATTACTACAAAAACACCAGTATACAGTCCAATAACTGATTAAAATGTCCTCTTGTGGTTTATCAGTTTCCAAAAACATCTTAATGTATCAAATGATTTTTTTTTTTCAGCTCCAAAAAAATTGAATTTTCTTGCCATAATTTGTGGTTTCAGGCATTAAAGGGTTAAGTTAATGTAAAATAATGGTTAAAACTATTGAAATATTTCTATGATTACATTTGTCTCAATTCTACACATTCATTCATACCTGTTTGAAATGAAAACTGAGACACCAAAACTTCAGGTTCAACACTTTATTTTGTGCTTCTTTCTTCAAATACTTCAGCGAATAATCTCACTTTGGATTTAAAAGTAACTATATAAATAACATTTCAACAAATCACAATTATTTACAAAGTCACGAGAATTTTCAGGTCTATTCAAATAATAAATAAGAGTTATTCAAAGTCTAAGGACAACTAAATATGAGAAACACAACTATAAAAGCAATGAGGGTGCACCATGTCAAGTTTTTTAAAATGTTTAAAAATACGTACAACTGTTACAATTCTTACACAATAAAAATAATGCAATTAGGGAAAAAACACTGGGGGAACTATCTACAAATGTGCACTCCCAATGAGAAGGGACAACAGAGATATAAGGTGCCAGAATCACACTGTGCAAAAGAGGAGTCTACTGTATGTAGGCCCTCATCCACTGAAAATAAGCTGCCAAGACAATATGTCCTGTGTCACATATTAATGCTGAGCCTCCATCAACAAACAATAATCCTTTACACAGCAATGAATTCAAGTCGACAGGTTTGAAGCAAAAAACAGAGTCAGAGCACCCGGCACGCGAGCTAACTATGAATGTGAGCGAAAAGCAAGTCAATCATATCGGGCACACAGGAAGCTCGAGCCACGTCTATGGCTGTCTGACCGCTTGTGTTGGCGTGCTTCAGGTCAGAACGCGGTGCCAAGAACTCCACAACATCACGGTGACCCTCGCGGATGGCAATGTGGATAGGCAGGGCACCGCTCTGGTCTGAGACGTTTACTGAGGCGCCGTACTCCACCAAAACCTGCAGTGTGTCCAGGAATCCTGTGCGTGCTGCGTCGTGGACGGGCGCTATCCCGTGTTTGTCCTGAACGTTCGGGTCTGCTCCTTTTTCCAACAGCAGACCGGCAATCTTGGAGTTCCCCATCATCATTACCTGCGAAATATGAAAGGAGAGGGAAAGAGAGCAGTTCATTGGAGCTGTGTTTGAATCAAATGTGCTGACCCTTGATTCTTATCTTTATTTAGTCCTACCTCTATGAAGGCTGAAGTGTGATTCAGGGTGACATTTTGAGTATTCAGTATGATTAATTATCCTCCTTTGTTTGCAGTTTTACAACGTATTCTACCTTCAGTTATTTAAATGGTGTTGGCAAAACATTAGAAATATCCCTCAGGGTCAAACCTGCCCAGAAAAGTTTGAACACAAAGTAATTATGACCCTGAGCACATTGGGTAAAACAAGCTGAATTATGATATAATCCACATTTTATTTTACGATTTGAGAGCATACTCAATACTACAGAGGACCTGAGTGGACATGCAAGTACTTTGTCTTTGCTCTGTTGCCCTGTGAACTACTATGATGACTTTATTAGTCCTCCAAGCAAAAATGGTGGACTTTTATTCTAGATTTGACCTCATCTTGTAGCTCATAGATACCACAATTGATGTATAAAACAAATTTAAAATGATCTTTTTTGGTCTGAACACAATTCTAATAAAACTTATGACAGACTAAATTCACTTTTAGTGAAAAACAAAAAATGCTTTTTTTGTAAATAAACGTCTAACCTCTTCACCCATGTGCTTCTAACCTTCACAGACTCCATAAATTGATGTCCATCTCCTAAATATTTGGTCACATGATCAATTTCTTTTACCATTTCCAAGCAACAGGGGGTGGCTCAACTTACCCCACTCTCCCCTAATACCTTACAGATGTAGGCTATGCACTTCAAAAACAGCCCTACTAGAAAGAAGCAAAATAATTTTATATTTGATCAAATAATCTTGTATCAGGCATAAATAATTAATTAATCTAATTTTTTCAACAGCAAGCAGTGAAAAATGAAGATGATGTTACTTCAAATTAGAATTTAGTCTCTTTAATTCATGAACTTCAAGAAAATACACCTTAATCTAGGATTATTAATGAGCATGACAGTAGTTCAAATAAGACATAATTTCTTAAAACAGCTAAGCAAATATACGTGATGTTGTCTTAAATCAAGATACCAAAACATTCTCATTAAATATATATTTTTCATTCTACAAGCAAGCATGTGGAAAGCAAGTATGTTCTTTGTTGTTCTTTGTTGTTTTGCTGTGTTTATCTGGTCATTGTATTATGTTGTGTGTTGTACAGACCAGCCTACTGACATCTTTACATGTCAGATAATGTATGAGGCAGCAGATTCTGTCAGGTTCAGATGACCTGCAATGGAAATTTCATGTAAAAAAAAAAACAACTGTTCTTGTTTCATGTCATTCTTAAATCCAGAGGTTGTACATATGTCTCACTCTGAAATTGACACAGATGATCTTGCTGCTCCACTGGATTTTATTGTTAAACATGTTTTACTCTATTTATGGTTTATTCTATCTCAAAATTAGCTGGAATATCTTATGAAGAAAAAGTTAGCTATTTTCTCTTAAAATTAGATCATTTTTCTAATATCAAACATGCTTGACATGATTAATATTCTTTTTGTTCACAAAATACAAGGCTGTTTTCCTTTCTTGAAATTCCTTTCTTGCAGTGTGTGGAGTTTCTATCTGGTTGTCCATCAGTATTATTTGTGGACATTGGTCCTCACCTGTAGTGCAGTCCTGCCAAACTCATTGAGAGTATCAGGGTGAACTCTGCAGTCCTCCAGGATCCTCTGCACCTCACTGCTGTCTCCTTTGGCTGCCGCCGCCGTCAAAGCTCTACCGGCATCCATCTGACTAAGGACCATCATAGACACTCTCTGCCTGGTCGGTAGGACATGTAGAGCAACAGTTTAAACCACGGGCTCTCCAAACGTCAATAACAGGGTAATAAACCACGAGAGGTGTTTACAAGAGGCTCAGATCGAACAGATACAGCTAGCTGCGTCTGTATCCGCCTAACGTAAGCTTCAGCTCCCACATGACGCCATGTTATCGTACTGCTAGCTGAATTCAACAATAGGTGGTTTTGTCCGTGTAAACTGACACACTTTGTGAAACATATGTTCTTCTAACAGACACATAACTTAAGCCGACTTTATCTCACAAACAATTAGCCCCGAGGCTAACCGCTATCGTCAAAAACAAACCACAGAGCTGTTAATTAGACCTTACTCGGTTTTCTGTTGGATCCTCAACGCCGCCGAAATGATCCGTTCCGCTGCTTCAATCGACCGGTTGAATTTTAAATATAATCTGAACAGTAAATGTTGATAAACATTAGGAAATACATTTGCGCGCTGAGATCTACACAGCAGTGTCTGCAGTCTACAATTTACAAACATTGAGGGGAACACACGCTGACCAATCACAACTCGCCTGGAGGGTGTTTCTCGTCCTGATAGGGTAAAAGAGGCGGAGTTACAACTCGGTTACTACGCCATCACTGTGGTAACAGCACGAGTCGACCAATCAGATCGCTCAGCGAGGAAAGCGGGCGATTCGTATACGTTGAAGCCTTCAAAGGGAACTCATTCACATTTCTGACCTTTGCGATGTATTTCTCCACATACGAGTGAGGAAAAAAGGGCGGGTTAGTCCGGTCTGGAGCTTTTAATTTTGGGCGGAATTTACTGACTGTGACTACACAACGCATCGAAGACAAATGATGCACATATATGGTGTTAAAAAACAAGAGAAAAACAAGAGAAGAAGAAACGAGCAGGGCACAAATATAAAGGTTACAAGTGACATATTATTTTAAGGCAATAATTTGATTCAACATGTACATTATTAGCAGTTCTCTCCCAATACAATCAATAAAATTCAGTTGCACACAGATTTTTTTTTAAACAATATCAGTGACTTTACATAGACCAGATGAAATTTTAAGACAGTCCTTCAGTGGAGTAAAATGATCGCTGATACTCCTCTGGAGGTCCTACAAGTGAAGACTATACAGCAAATCCTCAGGCATCACACATTTGTCCTCAGCTGGTAGTCTACAGTGATGAAAAAAAAACACACAAAAGTATTTCAAAGAGGAATCTGAGGGGGGAAATTGCAGGTATTTTGCAGTGTTGTATATTTTGAATAGTACATTCTATACAAAACACAATTTCACACAATGTAAAAAATATACCTACCTCCACTCTGGGTAATGTACCGTACCCACGGTAAAGCCTGATAACCGCTTTTTTCAATAATTTTCATATATCGCACCTGGTGAAAAAGAGAGAAGGAGACAGAGAGGCACAAAAAAGTCATTAATCAAATCAAAGTCTAGTTTGAGCACATAATTGCACATAATATCAGCTATTACAGGACCAAACTCGATTATCCAGAGGCTGTTAACTGAACACACCCTATGCAAAACAGACGGATGATGGTTAAACTTTTTAACGGCATCAATACAAACAAGATTTTATTTGCTCTCATACACTTTGGATCGATGATAAGTGCGTTTTGCTCTAAGGTTGGCTCAGATTACATTACAGGCCCTTTTCAGTGTTGTCTGACATTTAATGACTCAGCGTAAACAGAGTTGTTTTCACTTAAACACACCTGTATTCCTGAGACTGTGAAGTATGGGATCTCAAATTTAACAGTAATGGGAGGTTTGCCCTCCAGCTCATCATTCTCCACGCTGGGCAGACCAAAATGTGCTCTCATTAGAAACTCTTTACCCCCCTGAATGAGACAGACAGACAAATAGAGGTTAGAGATAACAGAGTTAAATGCACATTGTACTATGAACATCAGTTCAGTTGCGTATCTCTTACAGGGAAAGACTTGATGGTCCACACCACCAGGTTCTTCTCGGGCACATATTTGGCGTGGCCTGTGCTGGTTTTGAACTTTGGTGAATCGGCATCACTCGGGACAGGCACCCTCACCTCCACATTATTTGCCACAGACTGCTTCTTAAATTGTCCTTTTGCCTAAAAATATAAAAATAAGACAGAGTATCTTGTTATGTCCCCTGCACAGGAAGAACTCCAGACTGTATGTAATGCAGTTTGTGTTGTCATTGAGTTTGATTTATGAGCCTGATGGCTTTTGTACTCTTTTTTTTTTTTACACTTTTCTTGTCAGGCTGTCGAGCATACCTCCAGTAACACCTAAAATCATTAAATACGTGTTACTTTGTGGATTTAATACAAGAATAAGTGTATCATTACCTTAACCATGATTTCCACCCTACTGTGAGAGAATTTCTCTATGACTGATTCAATCCATATCAGAGGCTTTACCTGTAGGAAGGAAAAGAGAGGGTTTCTGTAAGCAAAGAGTTTTACAGTTTATGTGTCACATACATCCTTTTTGTAGTTACATCTGCGTGGTATTCAGGACTCATCTTAGTTTTAAAGGGAAAAATTGCCAGGTTTTGTATGGTTGGGCAGGTTGTTAAAAATTAAATAAAGAATTTTCTTTCATGATTCATTATTTCTGCCCATATTGAATGGCCATATGAACAATGATTGAATGGTCTAACTTTTAAAAAAGTGTTATTCATTTAATGACACTACCTTGGTTTCAGTCATTGACATTATTTGAAAACTGTTAAAGTCAAGAATCTTAAATTTGAGTTATTCTAGCAGCCTTCTCACAGTGGTCAATGCCTGTGAATTTCCTGTGACCATTTGTATTAACACTGACTAAATATGGTGATACTGGCAGTAGGGGTTATGTTTTTTTCATTGGAAAAAATAGCCGGTAACTACGGGTATTTGATAAATGCTTGAGGGTAAAAGTATTAAAGTTGCATTACATAGAAAGTCTTACAACAACAACAAGATGTGTTCGTGAACAGGGCATTGAAATAGATTTACTGACGGCTAGTGACAACATTAGTCTCTGATCCTTGACCTTACAGAAATGCTCGTCTCTACTGAATGAAATAAGAGTTTCAAAAGGCATAATGAATGCCTCAAATATGGCGTTAAAACATACGAAACATGGTGTAATGCAAGAAACTATTTGATACTAACATGGGTATTGATGCGATAGGACATAAGTTCAGATTCTCCGTCGGGAGGAATGAAGGAGATCGTTCGATCGCTCTCAAAGCGAGAGAGACGGACACACTGGTGGAACTTCACATCCTCCATCACCACTGTCTTTCCTTTGTCACCTGAACATAAAACAGCAAAACTGGCATGAATTCAAATACAGACAAAGCAGAAAGATAAGCTACATGTAGATAACCAGAGCAGTAGATGGTTGGTTAAAGACAGAGGAAGAAGTGAACGTACGTCCAGTGAGAGCAAAAAGCACTCGGTCATTAAGGCCCAGTCTCAGCTCAGGCATCCCAGAGAGCATGGTTTTTAGCTTGATGCTGCCCACAATGTCACTGCTCATCACACTGCCATTAGCATTCACCTGAACAAATAACACACAGCAAGGAATTAGTATTTATTTTTTTAGTGTAAGGATAAAAACATGATTGTTTAATTTGGTTAAATTTCACAGTAAAAAAAAAATGTCAATATATATAAAAAAATAACATAGAGTGCCTAAATTTGTTTTAGTGTCCTTTTTAACTGTTGCATAAAACACAAAGTGACCGCTTCTGATTGATGCTGAAAACATGAATGTGTGAAAAGCAAAATGTCAACTTTAAGAGTTTTTTCAATCGGTCAAGCTGATCATCTTTTCTCACCAGAACATTGATGGACTCAATGACGTCTATAAAAACCTCATTCTTCTTGTATTTGATCCCCTCTGACCTCCAGGAGACGGCGTTGGTGACGGTGGTTGGCACCTTTGACTTTGCTACCTCAAGCTTGGCCCCTTCCTGAGTAATATATCTGGAGGTGATAAAACATGAAAAAATAGCCTGCTGTGATTCAACTCCACACTCTTTTTCAGTTAATTTCATCTATGTCAACATGTGTGTGCAGTATGCTGGGGACTCTTACTCCTGTAGGATTTTGCTGTCTGTAGTTTGAGGGAAACCAAAGTCCATCAGTTCATCCAGCAGCTCATAGACAACCACAAAGTTGTCCTGAATGCTCTCCTCCTCCAGCTCTTTGAAGTACTCTGTGAACACCTGGAAGGTAAAAGACAGATTTTTAAGGGCTTTCTCTTCATAAAAATGAATCTAATTCCATGGAAACTGTACAACAATTCTTTAAAACAAACATTTAAATCATAAGTTTGCTGTGTATGTGACCCACCTCGACCAGTTTGTAAAGAAATGAATACACGAGAGAGGCGTTGGAGTTTTTGTTTGTAGTGGCCACCACTGTGCAGGGCTTGGTCAAGGAGTATTTAACATTATAAGTACAGTCAAATGTTGTCATCCATTAATCTGTGGAGTGCTGAATTGAAGAGCACATTTATTCATAACCTTGAGTGATTGGCAAACACAAGAAGCATGTAGAATGAGGATACAGTAGAGATTGCTGTGTTTGATCCACATGAAGTGAACACTGCCATGTGACAGCACAGGGCACAGGAGGCCTTCTTCTTCATGTGTCATCATGAGAGGCATGAAGTGGTCAATCTCAGCCATGTCCACATCGCCTTTGTAGTTCCGACAAATCAGCACCTGAAATAACAGAAGGCCGTGTAGATGTTAGATGACTGCATGTTATACATATTATGGTGTTTACTACTGCAGCTAATATCTAATTTTTATATATCTCCCATTATTGTGGCTCAAATATGGTACACAAAATTAATAAAATCTTCTCTTTTTGTGAGCAGATTCAAGAGTTCCAGGTATTACATTGGTTCTTTTTTGCAGAGTTATTATCTGTTCTGTTTTTCCCAGTTCTGTTTTGACACTTTGGTAGTTCTTAGGAAAAAAACTCAGTCATATGTTTTTCTGTGTAAAGATTTTCCTGTCTCAAGCTAAGGCTATTATAAGGAAGTAAAAAGAGGAACAATCGATTTGTATTAAAACTATGACCTTTTCCCTTTTTTAAAATACAATTATTCAACCAGTTACTTCATTGATAACCTGATCAGTAGGTTAGAAATTGAACTAATTTTGCTGTCAGTGGTGGAAATTCAAAATCACATGAAAAGCACATAAAACACATAAAATGTTAAACTACACGGACTACATCAATCACAAAACACACTGTGAACATTTCCCCCTGTTTATTAAAGTAATTACGCTTCTACAGGACATGAATATATTATAAAGTATAATTTTTACAGTGTAGTAAAGTGTATTAATCTCACTTTTACTTCCATCACTGTTACTCCACTACTTCACCCCAATATATTAAGATAGAGACCCTCAGATGGCGATGTATTTGTGATTTAGCACAGTAGACTGAAACAGGTCTGTCTCTGAAGTTTTCAGACCCTTCTATTAGAACATTAGGGGTCCCTTACACTTCTAGAAGTCTTAAGCTGTTATAATGAAGTAAATAAAATAAAAAACAGGTAGAACGTGCCCAAGATGCAATAACCTAAGATGACAACAAACTGCAGGTGAGTTGAACTGCATCTTTTTGAGGTTCACATCTAATGAAATGTCACAAATGGGGAAGAGTGGAGTAAGTTGAGCCATCCCCTGTAGCTTGGAAATGGTAAAAGAAATTGATCATGTGACCAAATATTTAGGAGATGGGCATCAATTCATGGAGTCTGTGAAGGTTAGAAGAACATGGGTGAAGGGGTTTGACATTTATTTAAAAAAAAACATTTTTCACCCTAACACGGGGTAAGTTGACCATAGGAGACCTCCTTTTTGTCATGCTATATTATCATGACAGTTATGTTTATGCTCATTCTGTTGGTTTGCAGGGATGCACAACATCTTGAAATATATGCAGATACACGAGTTAGAGACAAAACTATGATTGTGTTGATGTAGTGATCCTAAATATGAAAAATGTCTCATCTTACCCCACTCTCCCCTATATTTCTGTTCGCACACCCTTTATTATATAAAACAGGTGAAACCATGTGTACTTCCTGTTTCTTAGTAACTACCTTGTGTATCAGGTTACAGGTTCTGAATATCGGTGCCATACTGTAGCAACAGTAAGTGAAGGTCCGAGGGTGTCTTAAGAGTGGTGATGCACTGCCATGAACAGATGCTTCACTCGAGTAGAATCCCAAAGGTGCTGCAGCACTATTGGTCACTTTTACTAAAGTAGTTATTCACGGCTGTAGTTCATGTTTCCACGGACAGACATGTATCCGGAAGTGAGGGAGAAATTCCAAATGAATGAGTGTCGCAAGCTTCTCATTAATTTTTAACCTCTCAAAGTCTATTAATGATTGAGCAGGTTAAAAAAAACGAGGAGTCACTTTAAATTTTATATAACTTATGTCGCTTATAGGCTACGACCACTTCGAGATAATGAAGTATACGGTTCTTGAAGAGCTCAATTATCGGCTGGATTAATCTTACCTTCCCCTTCAGGTCCAGCACAAACACGGCGGAGGCAGACATCCTGTTCGGACCCCCGGGGGCTCTACACGCGGGTCAAAAACTCAAACAAACCGTGTTTAAAGTCCAACTCGAGGCTTCAGAAGCTTCAATTTCGTTTCCCCATCAAACTGTATCACATTTATCAGGCCGAGGTGATCATGGACTCCTCCGTGTCTGTTTCCTGAAGGTGCCCTGACGTCACGACAGGCAGGTAAAACATTCACCACTCACCTGGACTGAGGGGAAGGAGTCAGAGGAGGGCACGTGAAGGTAAATTCATCCACTAGAGGGCGCTATAGACACACAAATAAATGACAGAGACAGAAAAGCGACCTCCTGACCCGTGAGTCATTTGAACAGGTGAACCGGTTTCATGTTGGGAGATGGGACATTATTTAGCCTTACTGTGGACAAACGATTCATGATAGGCGTATGATTGTGAAGGTCTAGTTTCTTAATTCACAAATAGCTCATTGCTATGGTGGCCGAGAACTGCCACTGCTGCAAATAAAAAAGGATTCAAAAAAAAAGAAAAAGACAAGAAACCGAAGCCCACTGCAAATAAAAAAGGAAAGGTGTAGATAAAGAAAAAGAAAAAAACTCACAACGGAAGTTAATGACGCTAAAAAAGTGGTGATGCAAAAAATAAATATAAAAAAGTAATTCACTGTGAAAATAAAAGGATGCAAAAAAAAAAAAAAAAAACACATACAATGGAAGTTAATGATGCAAAAAAGTGGAATGCAAAGCAAGTAAATAAATAAATAAATAAAATTCACTTACTGCCAAAATAAAAGGATACAAATAAAAAAAGCCACAACTGAAGTGAGCTGCCAGGGACCAATAATAATAATGAACCAGTGTTTTACGATCTAGGTACAGAATATGGCGGCGAGGAGACGAGCAAAGAAGTTTGTGGAAAGGTTTTTGTTTAATTTCGCTTTGTAAACTTTTCAGTGTGTCATTTGGTCAGGCCGTGTTGCGCCTGAGTCAATGTTAGGTTGAACCGGAAGATGCTGGTGTAGTGTTAGTTTCAGTTCAACTTCATATCGACTCAGGCACAGCATGGCCAAACCAAATGACACATTGAAAAACACACAAAGTAAAATTAAACAATAATCTTTTCACTTACTTCTTTGCTCGTCTTCTCGCCGTTGTATTCTGTGCCTAGATTGTTAAACACCGGTGCATCATCATTATTGGTCCCCAGCAGCTCACTTCCATTGTGGCTTTTTTCATTTGCATCCTTTTATTTTTGCAGTAAGTAACTTTTTTTCCCCTTCGCTACTTTTTTTTTGTGTGTGGCTTTTTTATCTGCACCGTTTCTTTTTTTGTTTGCAGCGGACTTTGGTTTCTTCAGCTGTGTCAGTAACTTCCGTTGTGACTTCTCTTTTTTTTTGCATTCTCTAAAATGTGTATTTTTATTATGCGCCATTTATGTGTTTGTAATTTGATAATTGACTGCAAAGGGCTTATGCCTCCCAAATCAACTTGTTTCTACTATATGGCTACTATATGTTCACAAAGTTTTTAAAGCTCTGTTAGGAGAATATAGCTGCTCATCACCAACCATTGGACAATAGTAACAAAGGTAAAACACTAATAATACATCCAACTGTGTTTTATAGTTTAAAAACTGGTGCAAAAGTTAACCCACAACCTAGCAAGCCTTCTCACCGACTCATGGTGACAATGTGATGGTTGTGAAAAATGAAATTAAAGTATAGTAGCTGTGCAGTCCTACATTTCCTCTTAAAGATAGCGCGGATCATCACATCTCACACAGTCTCTGCAAAGCTTTGTTTCATTTCTCAAATTTATGCTACAAATAACTATTTATCGCTGCTTTTTGTAACTAGGCAGCCACACACAAATTATGTGGCACATTTCTCATTCCCGTCAGAGACCTTGTAAATTTAACTTATCTGCACAGTAATAAACCCCTGAGAATGACATCAATAGCCTGCAGCCTTGACTTAAGCTATCATTGACTCAACAAGGAAACACTGGTGCAGTTTGCAGAACATGCTCAAAACCAGCTTATCGTGATAAGACACAGTAAATCATTTTGAGGAAGCAGATCTCTCAATTCACCATGACAGAATGGAAGAATTTCTGACTCTTATGTATACATAGTTACGACATCACTCAGTGGCATATGTAAGCTGTTTTAAGCACAGGGGCAAAAAATAAATGAAATAAAACAAAATAAAAAGGGCATTTCTTTTGCCATGAAGCAGAAGAAAACCCTGGAGTGACATTTTGAAGGATTGAGTTTTTCTCCCTCTTCTTGGCAGTCTTAGATTATTGCACAGCTAGTTACTAACATTTGAGGTGGGTAACCTGGGCAGTAGCTCAGAGATTACAGATGTATGTAGGGGGCAGCGAAAAAGCATTTTTCATGTGTTATCCACTGCAAGACCCAAGTGAGTGCATTTTATGATGTTTTGCCCACTACAAGTGCATCTTAGCAGACACTCCAGGGCAACAGGCCTGCTTTGAGATCTCCACCACCCTTAAAGCTAGATTAGTTAGAGAAAATATCTTATTTCACACAATCAATCTCTGAGAGTTTAGCCATTTCACTTGACAGCATCCAACATTATTTACAGACATGTTGCAGAATTTTTTGCAGAAGAGACATAGAAACATGATGATGTTGAAGTTGTAGAGGGAGAGTTGACATTTTGCAAGTTTATACCCAAGTTTTGCTCTGAAACTTTGGAACTCTCTCCCTCATGAACATAGACTGTATATAGAATAGCTGTCATCTGCCTCCTTGCTGGGTAAAGCCTCCACGAGAACAGCACCCTCTGGTGACGGGCTGCGGTATAGGTCATAAATCCCACTTCCTTCAACAAACTAAATGGAGCTGTGGACAAACTTTAGAAATTAATTACACAGAATATAAAATGTTCTCCCTCCTACTTGCGATGTTGACATGTAGTTACTCTAAGACTGGTTTGTGCTCAAGTTCTCTTTATTCTGTGCAGCTCCATTTTTAAAAGTTATTAGGGGGTTCATGTTTTCTATGATTGACACTTGATACAGCTTATCCCGGAAATACTGAGAGCAATTTGGCTTCAAAATCGTGTAATGACGGTAGGCAGAGCCAAGATTTCCATAGTATATCCAGTCTATGCTCGTAAACTAAAAACTGTAGACACTGTAAAACCCATTTGTTTAGACTATTGCTTGATGTTTATGTCTTATTGTCTTATCCTGTTTAATTGATGACTGTAAGCACTTTGTGACAACTGTTCTTGGAAGGTGCTATACAAACAAAGTTTATTATTATTATTATTATTACTATTATTATATAATCAAGACCTGAGACAAAAAAAACTCAAAGGATCTGTCTGAGCGTAGTTTCAACTCCCTGTGCTTGTTCAGAATCCTTATTTCCCAGGAAGCTACACCTTTGTTCTTTATCAGAGAGCATGTGGCCTGCAGGTCTGACCTCAGGGTTACAGAAACACTTGCCGATCACATGCTTGGGGAGCTCCATAAGCCATAAACTTTGCTCTACAAGATCTCAGCATATTATCCCTTAACCCTCCTCTGGCCTCTGTTTGTAGTATTGCGCCCCAGATCTTTGCCTTGTGTCTGCTTCTTATCAGCCATGTATTAGAAGGCAGTCGTAATAAAGAATAACACAGTGTCTGAATAAGTTTGTGTGTGAATGTGTCCGCATGAGAGCCAGATGGATATCGGTGTGTTCTCAATATCTAACTCCTTTTGTCCACACAGGTTTGGCTGCCCTTATCTTGACACTGTTTACATAATGACGCATGAGTATATCGTATATCTAAGAAAGAAAACCAAACATAGTGTTCTCACAGGGTACGATGCGATGTATGACTATCACATACATGTACAGTGCATATTCTACAAAGGTCGATGTTGACCCACTTCCTAGTCGGTCTGTATTTTGGTGCTTTTGCAGTTAAGTTTAGTGTCTGCAAATATTTATATTGTATAAGTCTACCTCGACCCAGAAGGTTTTTTTTCTACATTATTGTAAACATTATCTTTGCTCCCTTCAGTCCCTGCTATATAAAGTCCTTCCTCTCGGGTCCATGTGATATGGATTATACAGGAGCCCCCTATGGCGGCTGAGGTCCAACACAAACATATGGGAGCACTTCACCAGTCTGACAAAATGAGAAACGTGACTTTTTTTCTTTACAGCTGGAGCTCGACCTTGACACTATATTTGACCTACTTTAGAGCTAGACAGAGGTTTTCGCTACTGACTGTGAACATGTGTCTACATCCGTTTTTTAAAACATGCATTTCTTTGGAAATCAAATTTTTATTAGGCCAAAACACAATCATGAAGCAAGGACCGGTGAGAGATACACTAAACTTACTATTAAAATGTACTTCAAAAACTCTAACCAGAGAACAAAAAACAAAACAAAACAAAACAAAACCTAAAACGCTCCTGGTTTCAGCTTTTCAAATTGTTCTTTTCTTTGCTGAGGAAAACAGACAAACCCCCTTAACTTATGAAAGTTGAACCTGTTTGCACATTTTTTAAATTATGGACCAAATCTTACAGAAGATTGTATGGTAGTAACAGGCCTGACAAGCAAAGACAACATCTCAAGATGATCAAGTAGCTGGATATTCACAGAGGAATATTCTCACACAGGATCTCTGTTAACTAAACTATAACTCCTGAAGACCCTGAGATATTATTTTTGCTCGATTTTTGGAGCAGGTACCCCAAGTACCTAGGCCTCAGTCCCCATCACACTGGTTTCAGGACTGATCTCCGATCAGAATAACAGAATTACAGAAACTAGTATGTCATCCCCTACTCTCCCCACATTTCATGTTTTCCTTTCCAGCTGTCCTGTTGAACAAAGACTTGAAGCCTTTGCTACCCCAGCCTGGACCACTTCCCTCACAAATATGCAAAAAATATTTTGCATATTGCTCCAGCCAGAGACAATCTGACTAGTAAAACCTCTGAACCTGTTCAGTCCTAGACTAGACTAACTTAATGGTGTTACGAAAAGTACTGCACACTGTTTACCTTCAGTATCGGGGCGTCATGATGCTTGTCGTACATTTGTTGCCCCATTAGGCAACATGGGTTGTCATTTCAGCCCCAAGCCCTATTTACGAGGGGTGTCCTGAAACAACTTTTCACTTCTGATGCGATACAGACATTGTAGCCTTCAGTATTGGCCGATACTGATATCGTTACGATATCAGCGCAAACTTGTGCATGACAGGTTTTGCATTTAGCTGCAACGTCTTTTTCGGACTTAAGTGAAAAATACTGCCACATGACCGACATCACTCCTTCTTCTTGCTACTTTGTTAGTACCTCAGTACACACTGTTGTTGTGATTAAGTAGGCTCTGCATGCTGGATCCAGGTGCTGCTAGAAAGAGGTGATGGAGCGGAATCTGGAATGGACTGCTTTTGTTGGAGTGCTGATGTCCGAGATTTAAGTTAAAAGCCAACATAATCTGATACATTTTTTTTTTGCTGATATCAGGCCGATATCAATACCAGATTGGGACACCCCAACTATATACTGTGAGTGCAGTCCAATGATCATTTATCCAGTTGTATTACACTTATTGATAACATCTGATGGGTAAACTTGGTTTCTTAAAACATCTTTACACAATGATCGTACTCTCATGTGGAGATGTCATGGGAAAGTATGCAACAAGCTGGATTACTTTCACCCTCAGGGATGAGCAGGTTCATAGTGAAACAGATATTTGTGAAATGTGCCTCGATCATCACTGGCTGTCTCGTAACTGATACAGGAAACCCAACAGAGCTGCTCATGACTTTCACTTACTGACAACTGTTACCTCACTGTGGAGTACACAGTTTCAGCCCCCTCCTCCTGCTGCCTCCTGCCGCCTCCTGCAGCTGGGGGATGCTGTGTTTGGCCTGCAGGTTGTCAGGTAGACACCAGAAATGCTATTGTTGTTACCACTTGATGGTTTGTTTGGTAATCTGACAAGGGAATATCTTTAACCCTCCCCTAGTGTCTTTTTTTGTGGCCACTCCCCTTCATTGAGTGGTGTGAGATTAAACCCCGCCCATTTCCTGACAGATGGCAAATAGGAGGACAGTGTCCGTATGTAAATAATGAGGTGAGGAGGATTTGTATGACAGAGAACATATCAGAGGACAGGTGTCATCTGTCACATAGCCCCAGGTGCATCTCTGCTCATTGCATCATGGGTGTAGCACACAATGGTACTCTAATTTGTTTTGAATGGCAAATGATCAAAAACAATACAGTATATAATGAGAAGCACATGCAATAAGCCTCGTTAGCGGTTACCTAAATATACTATAAAACCGCATTGAAAAGTCGATGCACAGAACTGCAGATAGTATTCGTCCTTCATCAGGTGTCATGCTGCTGGGTGTGGAGTTTTCTCTCTGGAATGCTGATCCCTGATCATCCTGACAGACAACATACCAGCTCCCAGTGAAATAAGGTGATGGCGGTGCAAAGTGTTCCCGAGCAGGGCCTGCCACTGACGTCAAAGCCAGCCTTCAGCCACACACACACACACACACGCACACGATTGTGAAGATGGTTTGCATTTCCATTTATCGGCCGAGCACACGTGTATCCTCCACAACCCAAGGTTCTGTCGTTGTATAAGCCTTTTATAACTTTGAATCGATGTTTTTAAAACCCAGAGTGTGTCATCAGAAATTTAGTATCAGTAAAAAAAATATACAAAATGTTAGAACTAGAGAGTCTTCTTGCAAAGACTTCGGCTTCAAATATTTAGTTACTTAATCTGAATTCTGTACAGTGTTAGTTTTTCAAAAGTTTGCTGACTCTAGAGACGATTAAAGTCCCATTTGATGCCTTTTGTGGACAATTCAATACACCTACTGTTTTTACGTGAGAGTGGTGTCTCCTTTTCTTTACACAGATGATCCATGAACACATCACAGCCCATGTGAATTATCACCATAGTTTAGGCTCAACTATGGCTGTATTTTCTTCTTCTTCTGCTTCAGTCCTATCACTGTCTTCTCTATCATTGTCTGGTAAGGAAACAGCTCTGTTGTGGACACACGAAGGCCCTCGAAAATGACAAACAGCAGCCTTCCTTCTCTGGTAGACATTCACATCAGTAGGTGCAGAAGCAGAGCATCATGTATCATGATAGACCCTACTCATCACAATCTGCTCACCCCTGCTTCCCTCAGGCAGAAGGCTGCACCTCAGAGCTTGGACAAGGTTGGACAACACTGTGAGGCCAATGAACTGAGTGAACTTCTCATACTATTACGATTTATGCAACTTTCACGGATGCAGTTTCCTTAAAATGTAGTTTATCGTAGATGCTTTCAGGTGATTTTCTTCTAAGTTTTGGATTGTTATCTATCATCATTTGTCTCTAATAAGTAGATAATAATTGGGTTAACTAAGTCAGCCTACACAATGCTTGTGGACAGACTGGCCTGAGATAAAGTCAACCCCTCCTGCCTTAATGATTCTCCAAAAGACAAAGATTTTCTGAGTGAGGTTACAACCAGTTCACCCACTGGCGATGTGAAGCAAATGTAGGAATTTGAAAGAATTTGCATGTATTAACCCCATTGCAATGCTCTAGATCCTCTTATTGCACAGACTCTAGTCTCCTTTATCCAGAACAGAGAAGTTAAAAGCATTTTTCAGTTACTAAAGGGAACTTTCCCGTCCATTTGAACAATGAAACTGAACTAGAGCGTGAAAATACAACGTAAGAGATCAGATTAAAGGAGGCATTCAGAAAAAAATAAAATAAAATCTTGAGATAAAATCTAACAACAAAGATATGATGTGTCTTTGGCCTGGTGTCCTAGTTATGCAAGCACATATCTAATCTATATCAGGCATTTTCTATCTTTTAAACTCTTAAAATCATGTGCTGTTGAGTTCTATAAAAACCATGGATAACATTCTTGTTGGTGTATGTAGATAAATTACTTCCTTGCCATTAAAGCTTCACTGATGCTGCTTCCCCTTTGCACCCTGATGCACTGTGGCAGCCTTTTCTGTGACAAAGCTGACAGCTGCTCACATGAATCATGAAGGAGGTTTATTAGATTAGTGAGAGGATGTTTGCTGGTCGTTCTCTTGTGTTCAAATCTGTCTCAGTGTTTTGGTGTCATAGCACGGCGAAATAATGAGTCAAGTCAAAGTGTGAAGGAGCATATTTCCCTCCTCAATTAGACCAGTAATAATCCGTCTTTGAAGCTAATCTTTCCCCTTCTATTTGCAGTTTTTAGGCTGTCTTTTAAGGTACTTTCCAGTGATCAAGACTGAAACATATAAACAGTTCAGCTTTCATCATGTGCTCCTTAATGTGTCTTGTGATGAACACAGCAGAGTGGTAATTATTCAGTTAAAATTAATTGCAAACCCTGCATATGAGACCGATGGTCAGCTCAAATGACAGGAAACAGGATTATTTGCGCTGGCTTTGGTACAGGAACATAAAATGCCTCATCATGTGAGGTAGATCTGCTTTTAAGATCAGAGAAGAGAACAAGTACGAGAGCCTGCTGATGAAAACATAAAGCATTCATCCACCCTGCTAGTATATGAGTGTTGCTTTGTAGATGGACATCGACGGTAGCGTTTCCAGGCGACGTAAACAGGTTTCATGGACATCCATTGTGCCAAGTCTTATAGGAATGAGCTTCGTCAGTGGAGAGCTCCGTGAAACAGTTCATGCACTGATAGTAGAACACACTCTCAATAAAGTAAAAAGATAAGATTCTTGTTTTATTAAAAAAAAAAGAAAAAGAAAAACACAACCAATGACAAACAAGGCGATGTACATTGTCAAGCAGGCTCCCGTGCATCGATCCTGGACTATAAATACAGTTTGCTATGAAGAGAATATCCTGCTTCAAACACCTCGGTATGTGCCTTTATTTCACAGTGAAAACAAGGAATCCTTCCAAAGAAAAGGCAACAGCAAAATAAATTACGTGATTGATCACTAAAGCAAAAGTGTATGGAACAAAGACAGCATCTTCGGTTGCTCTGCAGTACCGTCAACACACGAGTCTGAGCAGATGTCTAAAGGTTTGATTGAACGACAGATAAATAACAACTGCACAACGACAACAGCTTTTGCTACGACAAGAAATCACTGTAGCAGATATTTGTCTGCAGCAATACCTTACTTAGATTTAGATGACAATCATCAATAACCTTCTTTCAGATATCTCCATAAATAAATAAAGGAATCTTTGACGTATTTACAATAATTGTCAACTTAAATTTACAAACGTAAATATGAAACTCCAGACTGAACATACGAGTGTTTTACAAAGTATTTACAGGAACTATTTACAGTGTTTTATAAGTAATTAGCTACAGTCACATTTACAAGACTTGTTGACTTCTTTTTTTTTCAAAAGAACATTTTCTTCATTTGGTTGACTTTAGAAAACTCAGCAGCGTTTCTCACTTATAATGTAAACCATCTGTGACTCTCCACCCCCCGACATATAACCTGTTTGAGTGTACGAGCACTGATTTAAGTGTGATCAACAATTCAGACTGACTATGATGGACGACAGTAAGCACAGCTAGAACTATCTGCAGCCACTGAAGCTTTGAAGGTTGAGGGGTCGGTAAGGCATCTAGATCTTTTTTTAGATTGTGGTTGGAAGGCACAAGTGAGTCTTATGACGGTGAGAACAGGTTTTTCCAGTAACACTCGCAGAACATCGCGCTCTTGTCATACGTGATGAAGTGATTAACATTAAGAGAATGTATGTTGGTGGCCTCTTGTTAAGTGTGAGGATCATTTTCAGCTATAGCTTGCAGAGAGTCATGGCTCCAGAATAAGGAACATCATCTTCAGAAATGGTAAAGCACTCCTTCATTTCAAAAGCAGACCACGAGGCTTCCTGCCGTTACTTTGTCATCCTGAAGTTTCAGAGATCTTCCATTTTTTTCTAGATCTTTCTTCAGACATGGACGGTACAGAATAAGGTCACTGCAGGGAGAGGAGGGGCTGTTAAGCAGCAGCAGCAGCAGAGGGGAAAAAAAGGGCCTTTGTCGCTTCAAGTTTGCATTGAAAAATCACTTCAAAATAAAGATAGTGTCTCCTTCATCTTCTGGTCATGCAACATCCATGTCCTCCATGCTCAGCATTTGCCTCTGCAATCAAAGCAAATAACATCGAATGAATAAGTGATACTGTTTCAGACACCATGTTTGGTTCTGAGCAAAGTTTCTTGGTATTAAGGTACCTGAGGATAAACGTAGCCATCGGAGCTGTTTCTGCGGATGTGCAGCTCGTCCTCGGTGGTTTTCTGATACACAGGGTTGTCAAAGTGAATAGTGTTGGTGTTCTTCAGACGCCAGTGTCTCCAAAGTAAAACCGCTCCAAAGACCAGCAGACACAGCATCACTGCAGGGTGAAGAGAAGGTGGAGGTCAAGTGTTTTTATTTCAAAGAGCTCTGTATGCGTGGGTATATTGAGCCCAGAAGAGCTGAAACTTACTTATTGGCAACACAACGTAGAGAGCCATAGGGTGGGATGATGGAGCTTCCTCAGGCAAGGCTGCTAATTTGTTACCTGAAGGAGTAAAGGAAATATATATATCGATGATCAGTACATTATCTTCTAGAATTACTCAATTTAAGACAAACAACAGGACGCCACAAAAGAGAATCAACTGCAAGTAAGCTAACCAACAAGTGATCAGATAAACCGGTGAGGAAAAAATCACTTATCACAGGTTTAAGCGACACTGCTGAGTAAGGCTGTAAAGTCCTACGCCCTGGGTCGACTCGAATTTTTTCCGCGTCAGTTTACAGTCTATGGTTGATTTAGAGTTGATTAGCAAAGTGCTAATGGGGGTGTTTTCAGAGCACCCCCGTCTCACAGGTAACAGCCTATCTCAGAACACCCCCCTTGTTTTCACCATTTTGAATTCGCCCAACCCACCCGCTGTAGACAGTAAGATGACTGTTTCAACTTTCACCGTGTTTAATTGTCTTATTGTGCTGATATCAGTATATTTTCACCCCGCCAAGCCGCGTCGTCCCCCGCCACAGAAGGGTTTGCCATCAAAGTCTAAAAATACCTCCTCCTATTAGTTGATTTTTGGTCGAAAATTTCAGGGTTTTAGTCAATCAAGAATTTCTTAGGTTGATTACAGCCCAGCTAGTGAGTCTATGTTGCTAATGTCAACATGCATTTTCACACAACCAATGTTTTAATATAACAACAGAGGATTGGCACAACATGAAGAAAAAAACAGGTTTTGATGATAAAGTCCTAAATTCACAAGAATAAGGTTGTGGTTTTAGAAGAATAGGATCCACTACCATGAGAATAAAGTCAAAACTGTACGAGAATACGGTTATTATTTTACAAGATGAAGGTTGCCTGCATTGAAATTAGGAATGTGGAGCATTTTTCAAAAGTTGCTTTTTAATACAGATTTCATAAAGTACCAAATACTCAGTCTTTGAGGTCAGCAGCTTGTTATCAACAGTATCTGGACTTGGAAATGACGGTGCAAAAATGCTGAATGTATTTTGAGGAAGTGCAGTCTGAGCAGACGTCTGCAACCCCCTCACATGATGATTCTTATTTTGGCACGGCTCTTCTTATATCCTTCCATGTTATTGTAATTATGAATTAATCAAATCCCCTGATAAGGATTTCTTTCACATGAATTCAAACTTCATCATAAGATTAAGCCTAAAATCTTCTAAATTTACAACCTAATTCTTGTAACATAATGACATGATTTACTAAATTTAGCATCTTTACTCTCTGAAGTTCCCTTGGTTTTAATTCCTCCATGTAGCCCCAGTCCTCTGTTGTACAATATAACGCTGGTGTAATGTTAAAGGATTAAAAAAATTAAATGTTTGACCAGAAAAGTCAAGGTTTTGGTATCGAAGAAAGTGTTTGATCCCAAAATAACTGAATAAGCAAACACAGTGTTTGTTCAGCAGTTTTTCAAAACCTCTTCTCATACCTTGAGCGGTGGCAGCAGGTTGTTGAGTACTCTGTTTGGGTTGGGTTGCTGGGGCGGTACTTGGAGTTGTAGTAGGGAGAGGCTGAACAGGCTTGGGAGCCTTTGTTGGAGCTTCGGTTGGGATGGGCGCGACAGTCTTTTTCTCAGCAGGAGGGGCAGCTGTGGCTGTGGGGAACATAAATATTAAAATCAGACGCTGCATTATTTATTGAATATTCAATGCAATAAATTTTTGTTTGGTTGGTTTTCAACATGCAGAGGACACCTACCAGTCACACACGTCTTCATGTCGGACGCCATGGTTGTGTTATCAGGACAGGCACAAGTGAATTTGGGGGAGTGCTGGTTGATCACAGGGGCAGGTAGGCACAGAAACTCACAACCTCCATTGATGTTGTTTTTCTCTCTGCACCAGTTTGTACCTGAAGGAGCAAAAAGTGTACACAAACATTAGAAATCCTTAAAAAAAAAAGATCAGCTTTTAAGAATGAGCGATGTTTCTGTACCACTGGGCTGCTTGAGGTGATGGTACAGTACGATGTCCTCTGGCTGGACCAGGTCCATTGCCAGCTTGGTAATGTCTGTCCCAGTCAGACGGTTGGCACTATACACAGCGCTGGTCATCAGCTCTGTCCAAAACACTTTCTCCTGTTAAAAAGAGAAACAACATTTGATTAACAACATCCTTCTGTTTTAAAAATGTGTCATTTGCACACGGTCTCTGCAACTCAAGCAGATTAATTAAAGTCCAGCTTAGAATCAAGAATTAGCACTAGAATAAAGTGCAGACTCAGCTATTTATTCATATAAACCATTTTAGCTGTATGACTCTCACAACACATGAACTGGTTTGACTGGTCGGGGGGTCATAGTCTCCATTACGATTACGTAAATGTCCAATTCAACTTTCCCGTAAAACCTTCAATAACCGCCAATGACTTCACTGTCATGTTGTGACATGTTGTGGCTTCATTACTCACCTCAAACACAGCCAGAGAGACGGGGTGGGAGAGTGTTTCTGCACTATAAATGAGATTGTGTCGAGTTCCCCCATTCACATCAATGCTGGACAGCGTGTGCAACTTTGAGTCCACCCAGTACAGACGCTGGTTAGCCATGTCTGTGAAGGAAAACACACAAAGACGGATGTATTTGACTGGCCATATAACTGAAAAATTGCTGGATAATACACTTTGAATGGAAGTTAGTGGTTTGCAGCCAGTCCGCCAATGCCTACCAAGGGTGATGCCGTTGGGCCACACAATGCCATCTGTCACCAGGACAGTGCGATCTGCTCCATTCAGCCCGCTCCTCTCTATCCTGGCGTCATCACCCCAGTCTGTCCAGTACATGACGCTAAAAAGGACACAGGAAAAAAAATATTGAGCCAAAGATGATAAACATTGAATCCCAAAATCAAAACAACAAATCATGAACCAGTTTGTGTTTGTACTCACTTTTTCACGGGGTCGACTGTGATGGCTCGCGGCTTGTCCAGGTTTTCTGTGATCAAAGTTTTCCTCCTGCTGCCATCTGTTGTCGCCACAGAGATTGTCCGCAAATTGCTGTCAGTCCAGTAGATGTTGCCATGGATCCAATCCACTGCAATGCCCTCTGGTGCCTCAATCCCACTGCCAATCACTACAGTGTGGTGAGAGGAATCACCAGCCACGTCTAGCTTGGAGCTGTTGGGTCGCAGGCGAGAGAGGAGAGTTTTGAGTATGGCTTGGGTACTCCAGTCTACTCGCTGCTGCAGTTTAATCAAAGAAAATAAATAAACAGGAGGTTTCTGGAGTTTCTAACCTGTAGATTTTTTTCAAGGACAGATCAGACCAGAAGATCGTATTGCTGGGCACATCTATGTCCAGAGCCACTGCATTCTTCAGCTGGGGGATCAGACGGACATATTCACTCCGGTCTACTGTCATCTTTCTCACTTCATGTCTGTTTGTGAAGTAAAGGGTGGGGACTGTGCCTTTAAGACAAAGATGACAGAACATAAATCACTGTGTATATGTCCTCCTGCTAATCAAAGTATATGTCAGCTAGCGAGTCAGGCATTGAGTAATGCTGCATTTAAGTTACCTCGGAAGTCAGATATCGGAAAATGACGTCACACCCAAGTTACCGGCGTTTCAGTTACCAAGACGGGAAAAAGCAAAATCGGAGGCAGAAACAAAATGGCGACATCTACGTTATTTTAGCACTTGCTTTGTTCGAATACAACAAGGAAAAAGCAAGCACTAAAGTAACTTTCGTAGATGTAGCCACCTTGTTTCTGCCTCCGATTTTGCTTTTTTCTTATTTGGTAACTGAGACGCTGGTAACTTGGGTGCGATGTCAGTTACCATGTCAACAAAAAGCCAAATCGGAGGCGGAAACAAGATGGCTACATCTACGTTATTTTAGTGCTTGCCTTTTGCGAATATAACAGGGGAAAGGCAAGCGCTAAAGTAACTTTCGTAGATGTAGCCATCTTGTTCCCGCCTCCGATTTTGCTTTTTTCCAACTTGTTAACTGAAACGCTGCTAACTCGGGTGTGACGACATTTTCTGCTCTGACATCTGATTTCCGAGGTAACTCGAATGCAGCATAAGACTTTTTTTTTAACCTTACCTGATTCAGCCTTGCAAGTCTCGGTCATTGGGTCGATCTGGTAACCCTCCTCACAATCACACTTGTAGCTTCCAGGCAGATTAATGCAGATTTGACTACAAGTATCAGGCTCAGCACATTCATCAATGTCTGCAGAATGAGCAACACAAGGGGAAAAAAGAAATAGTATGACTTTTCTTTATGATTCAAGTAATTCGAAAACATATAACATAAATGCTGAGAAGCATTTTTAATTGAATTTGTTGACTTGCTCCTCTCACCTTCACAGGTTTTGTTGTCTTTTGCGAGTCTGTAACCAGGCTGGCAGGAGCAGTTGTAACCAATCTTCAGATCATTGCAGACTTGAGAACATCCGCCGTTGTTCGTCAAACACTCGTTGTTGCCTGTAGAGACGCAAGTACACACAGCATTGACATTCATTTTCCTAATAGCTGCTCAAACTGACGTTAAAGCTTCTCTTTCACACCACAAACTCCCCAGGCTGCTTAGCTAGCTGTCCTGTTCATATTTTCCGAGCTATGGTGTTGTTAGCTTTCGTGTATATATACCCAAACCCTGACTCTCTTCTTTGTTCTGACTTTTGGTTGCTTGGAGGCCGGTAAAATAAAACTCAACTCACCACACTCTTTGACAGGTTCATCAGACCAGTCCCTGCAGTCTCTCTGATTGTTGCATACTTTTTCCATGCTGATACACTCCCCATTTTTACACCTGAACTTGGTGGGGCCTTCACAAACATTATCTGCAGAGAGGAATAGAGAGGTGTGAATTAAACCGAAAGTCTAAACGTTTTTTTTTTACACTTTTTAATGAGTCTTTTGGACAAAAATATGAGCATTCATCTCTGTGTGAGTCACCTGTATGGCAGCCAATCTCATCACTTAGGTCTCTGCAGTCGTGCTGTCTGTTGCACTGGAGGCTGCCATGGATACAACTGCCATCATTACACTGAAACTGATCTGGACCACAAGTGGCAAGACCTGGAAAAAGAAAAAAAAAAGATTAAAACAAGAAAAATGAGAAGCAGTGAAAGGAGAAGAAATTATGAGTCAGAGGAGGTGTATCTGTTGAGAAAGGTTTTCCTGATGAAGTAAGAATAGCTTAAAATAAATATTATCAACTAGAATGCCAACTCACTGCAGTTGACCTCATCCGATCGATCCAGACAGTCCACGCCTCCATCACACCTCCAGCTGCCGTGGATACACTCGCCGTTCGTACACTGGAACTCATGAGCTCCGCAGGTTACTGCCGCCTTCACAGGTTTTCTCCCCTGACAGTTCTGCGGCCACTCGTCAGACCCATCCGGACAGTCCTCATCCCCGTCGCAGCGCCACAGGGCTGGAACACAAACTGAGTTGTTGCACTGGAAGGAGCGAGAGCTACAGGTGGGTTTCGAGCAGGTGGCCTCATCTGAGCCGTCCGGACAGTCATCGTCACCGTCGCAAACAAAGCTCATGGATACACACTGACCACTGGTACACTGAAACTCGCCAGTTTTGCATTGTTTGGCCGCTGTAGAGAGAGGAGAGGGAGTAGAGAGGCGTTAGAACAAAGGTGCAACAGATCAGATAGCACTTGCACTACCTGCAAGCACAACAAACTCAGCATCTGGATATATATGTTTTTTTGTTTAAATTTTGAGTCTGGCTTTATTTGAGTTATAATTTAGCTTTAACAGACTTCTATGGGTTATAGTCATAGTATAGATATAGTAAAGTTATGTCAGGAAATACACTTACTGCAGTTTTTCTCATCGGCCCCGTTCCTGCAGTCAGCCTTGCCGTCACAGTGCCAGGACCCGGGGATACACTGGTTCATGGGAGCACCACAGTTGAACTCTGTCTGCAGACATCTTTTGGTTGCTGAGGGTCGAAACAGACAGTGTGACTTAAATTGGTTTATTATATAAATATATATAAAGTTATATCTTGTGGTTACAGGAGGAATACATTATAACACTAAAAAATCATTAACTCATGGACATGACTGTTTTAAATCAATGCCATAGTGATTCACTGAGGTACTGATGTTGATTTTGTGTAATGGATTTTACACATTCATATTCATTCACAGAAAAAGGTGAGATTTTAATATTCTATCAAAATTATACACCTTTTTCTGCGCCGATCATGTACCGCAAAATAATTGATTGTTGGATTTAGATTTATATCACTTTAGTTATAACTTTTATGTAATTTACCACAGGTTGCAGGGAGCTCGTCTGTTCCATCACCACAATCGTCAGTTCCATCACAAATCCACCTGTGGGTGACACATCTCCCGTTCCCACACTTGAGCTGAGTGGAGCTGCATGTGAAGGCTGCATCTGTGAAGGAGGAAATCGTTTCATTTTTAACTTGACATGATGTTAAACTATCCGCTAGATCAACATTTCCAGTGCGGTTTGCACTTCGCTGCTTGTGAACACGCTGTAGTAACGTGAGCTTGTGTCAATGTACACTCGTATCTGTGCGAAGTTAGAATTTAACTGAAACTTACACATAAAGTGTCAATGAAGGGCAGCGCCTCTCTGATAAGGGACAGTATGAAAGCCGCGCCTTTTTCTCTAACAAGGAGGCTACTAAATGAAGATAACGACACTGTGTGGTTCCCGGACTTATGTTGAAACAAGATATGATAAAATGAGACAAATGGTAAATATTTGGACAGAGAAGGCCTGTCCATTTTGTCACTAAGTACATAGTGTGGTCTTTGTTTGCTCTTACATGGCACTCTCATATAGTCATGACTACAACCCTGCTTCAGATCAGTCGAACCCACCTAGGTGTTGAATTTGATGCTGCAGTTTAAAGTTGATATTTATCATAGAATTTAAGTTGAAATATGAAATAAAGAAAGGAAATCTGCATTTGTAAGAGTGCGCTCTATACTGGGGTGGGAGGATCATAGATAAAAAAGATAGATGTTGGTTAATCATTGTGGATGACATTTTTCTCACTCTTTTGAACGTCTGTTTTTAATGTCCTGAGAAATATATTATCTGCATCTAAGATTTAGTCTTGCATTATAATGTATCATATTGTATTATATCTACGATTTTCTATCATATCGTATCCTACCAACCCACGTTGGATCACAAACCTATGAATAATAGTGCAGTTAAAGGAATGCCAGCTTGACTAAACTAAACACACCCATTCTCGTTGACGTGACACATTTCAGGTATGAAACAGGACTCGCTCCTTTTTTTTTTTTTGTCATGATTGTGCCAAGGACTTTACTACAAAGTCTGAAGATTAAGTCTGAAGTGGTAAGGCCTGAGTCTGACCCTGGGCTCAGTGGTCACAACCCTCACACCTCAGTGAAAGCTCCAGTCAGACCAAAGAGGACATCAACACACATATATGTGAGACCAACTTTGACCGTGTCATCCTCCATCACCTCTGCTCTGACTGTCCCTCCTGTGACCTGCAGGCCGGAAGTATGACAGACTATCCCTTTAAGACAATGGAAGGGAGGAGTTAAACAATCGCACCACCAAGAGCTGATTGGTCCCTGAGAGACATTCCTCATAAATGCATCATCACCAAGGACACCAACCACAAGGAAGTAAGTGAAGGTGAGTGACAAAAAAAAACGAAACAGGTGTGATTCATTTTGAAAATTACAAGACAATGCTTTCTCAATACCGGGCTCACCACTAAAAGTCACCTCCCAAATGTTTTCAGAATTTGCTAACCAAAAACAGGAGTGACATTTGAGTAACCTTTACTTATATTATTCTTGGAAATTTCTTTTTTGTTTTTAACGTTGGCTGATCTTTAGAAACCCCCCTACACCCCACATGCTTCTAAGGAAATTACAAGTGCTCCCACACACAAACTCGAAAGAGTGGAAAGGCATGACGCCAACCCAAATTCCAGGATTCCCATAGCTGTTTCCAGCTGCTCCCAAGGTATGCAGTCATTGATTTACAGTAAACTCTAAAGACTTTCTCTGCAGCTCTTCCATATCTAGAAGAAGGAGAAGCAAAAGTGGGTCAAAAGCAGGCACTCGCTGACCTTCCAGCTTCCAGTGTTTGCATTTTTGGCTGCTAATCTTCCCTGCAGACTCCACATGAGGGTCATGGGCCTCCCAGGAATACCCCCACAGCAAGAGGAGGTCCCCTCTCTGTCTTTAGATTAAAGTTCAAGTGTAGTTTAGTTTATGAGGATGCTCATATCTCACTGTTTCAACTTGGGCATCATAAGTTTAATTACAAAATCCTCAATATCCAGTCAAATGTTTTTGTTATAAAGATACTGATAGGATACTCGGTGAGCACAGGCCAACAAATATTCTTTCAGTACAATTAACTAATCTAGACAATAATCACCTCCGTTTTATTGTTTTTGAAACCCTGTCAGGTACTCATGAGAGCTGCTCTGAAACTACCAATGCACTTTAACAATACCAGCAAAAGAACTAGAGGCTTGAGTGCCTGATGGAAGACCACAAACCGCAGTTGCAAATACAGGTGCAGATACTGTTTGAAGAGTGTCTGCAGAGCATACAACGCTTCAATGCAGACAAACTGAACCACTCAAAAGCTATAAATATCCACAGTGTGAACATGACAACCAAGAAATCACTCAGCCATTACGCTACCATGAAAGGCTATGAAAGTACTTCTATAAACACAAACTAGACCGTGGCTAAGATCAGCCTCAAATGAATGAAGATACTGAACAAACACAGTCTGACAGAGAGGACTGGTTGAACAAATGCCGTCTGTCATCACTACACTGCATGACAACAATCATCCATTGTGATCACACGTGACTTTGTCCACTGACAATGCATTCTTGTAATTTCATGGCTTGTAAATGCAGTACCGCACTCGCACACGTACAGCGAAACCTTTAGAAAGAGGTGCGTTTATTTACTCAAACATACGGCGCAGAGTTAATTAATAACCAGGATACATGCGCATCAAGTAGACCAGAGAAGCAGGCGTCTCTGCTGTGACTGTGTTTGCACTAGTTCAGTAATCTGCTGTACTTTAATGAGAAGGGTTTACTGTGTTTATTCATTAATACTGCCAAACAGTAATGTGGCCAAATCAAGACCGTGTTCCTCATCAACCATGAATCCAACATCCTAGAAGTACAGTTGTAAGACTTTGGGTCGAGAAAACGAGTCCAAGTTTGAGACTACACAATGAGGTCACCATCTGCAGACATGCCAGACCACTGCATTTTCCTCTGCAGCCTTCGGATCTACAGAGGCAGACTCTGGTAAACGCAGAGTGAACATCTTCAGTCCTCTAATTTTACAAGAATTTCCTGTATGGTAATGTTTGTGTGAGTCACTGCAGAGAAAGTTTAGACTCCCATGTAGACCTACAGTATGTCCTCTCACTTGTCTTTACTGCAGAGCATGGTTATGCCTCATTTCAGGACTGCTGTAAACACAGAATGAATGCATTAAACTAACCAAAGCCAGACTATTACACAAAGAGACTTTCCACTAACACACGGATGAGTACATGTAGTGACTGGAAGTGAGCTCAAGTGGAAGTGAGTGGAAAAAAAAAAAAGGTTTTAATCAGTAAAGCTGCATGAGGAGAGCAGAGATTATTGGGGATTACTGGAACAGCTGAAAAAAGAGGCTGAGGCCTAATTCTTTGCACATTGTTGGCCTTACAGGGTAAAAGGTCCGAGTTCACCGATCCTGTTAAAGGAAACTCTAAGGAACAGTTTGAGGTGGAAACCACTGAGTTTGACTCCGGCTCCATAAATCTAAGAGTAGCGATTTTAGATTATAGAGCACATCTTTTGAAGAAACATTAAAGACAACAAAACTGAATTAAACAGATGAGTGGTTTTTTTTCTTCTTTTTTTAAATCCCACTTTAAAGTTTATTGATAGATCACTTTTTTAATTCAGTGTCAAATAGGCCTCTCATTTCAATAGAGTTGACATATTACCCTCCTAATTATAGGTTTTAATAATAATGATAATAATAGATTTTACAGGTACTTAGAGACGTTTTATACAGAAAAAAAGCACAATTTAAAATACAGAAAATTTTGAGAAATAAAACCAACGATGTAAAAGGTTAAAAAGACACAATATGAAAAGACAATATAAGAACAATTCACAGGTTAAAAGTCAATTTAAAAGGTGTGTTTTTAGGAGTAATTTGAAAGTATGGGGGTCTGTACAGTCTTGGATGGGTCTCTTTAATTTCTTTGTAATAATCTTACATCTTTTTAACAAAGATATAAACTCCTCTGATCCATTTGCAGCACAGGGATAAAGATGATGATGATGAAAACCCGGTGAAGTTGTAGCCTCGCCCCTCCTCACTGATACCTCCTCACTAGTTTCCCATTAGTCCCGCCCACCTGAAACTTAAAACCGGCTTTACGGACGACATGATTGGCTGTTCGGTTACACTTCAGACCGGAGAACCAATGAGAGCACGGTCCGTATTCCATTCATAGTTCCAAAATGTGAACCACACCATCGCAGATACATTTTAAAGAGTAGTTTTTGCATGACTATTAAAAACAAAAATCCATCATTTATGATAATTTAAAAATAATTAAAATAAAACGTGTTAAATGTTTTACATCTCTAATAAAGGTCTAAGCCTATTCATTCAGTCCGGCTCACCGCAATAACCAACCTTATAGAAACAAATTATGTCATGTTTAATCAATCAATTCTTGACAAATGTTAACTTGACATTTATTTTGATAAACATGTCAAACACACTTGATAACTCCTGCGCAGCCTTAACTCCCTTCGACACTCTGGAGCGTCTTTCAGGAAATGTCTGTCCGGGAAAATCGCTTCTCTTACCTGCTTGAGGCGTAAGATGAATCAGCATCAGCAGAGAGCACCATGCCAACACTCCATTGATTCCTCTCCTCCACTTCTCCGACATGTCCTGTCCTCTGTTGTTTCTCCTTTTCTATGACAGCTGAAGAAAAGTCACCCAGGTATGAAGGGTCCGTGGGGTCTGTGCATCAAAGTCTGTGGCTCACACAGACAGGGCAGACAGCAGAGAGTGTGCACAAGAGGCGACTACCAGCAAAATATTATGAGGTCCGAGTCTCATCTGAGGGAGGTGCCACAGCAGTGGTGTGATGTTTGAAATTCGACGTGAGCACCGCCGGGGGGCGGGGTCACGCCAGGGGGGCGGGGCCGTGTGGTTGCTACATCATCGAGAGTTTTGTCGTCCTTCCATCACCCCTCCATCCACCCATCTCTTCTTCCTCTTAAATCAGAGTTTTCCTGGGTGTGTGTGTGTGTGTGTGTGTGTGGAGGGGAGAATGAATGACAGGAAGTGGAAAGACAAACCCGACAAAGGCAGTGTACATCTTCTCAGGCAATAATTAATGTTTAACAGAGCATGAGGAAGCAGCTTTTATTCTGATGCTACAACACAGACAGACGCTTTCATTGTTTTTTATTCACAGTAATGGGAGAGAAACCAACTCTGTGTGTGAAAAAAATGATGGTCATGTTCTGCTTCTGCAGCAAAAGTCTGTGAGTAAACTCAGGGCTTGTACTTAGTACTCTAAAAACAAGAGATCACCACGCTTTTGAAGTGGTGGCTCCAACACTGTGGAACAATTTACCTGCAGATATTCGCTCAGATGTTTCCATTATTTAAACAGGCCTTTACCTGTTCTAACTAATGCTCTATTTATGCCATTGTTTGTTATTTTTCTTTGATTTTACTTGATGTTTATGATTGTATTTTGAATTTTTTACTGTGAAGCACTATAGAAGGTGCTATACTAAATAAATTTAACTTACTTAGTGCATCTTCTGGGTTCTCCAATGATAGGCTTCAATGTGGGGCCAGTTACTTCGCAAAAGACTCAAAGACGTTCATGTTGTCATCATATCATTTTTTATCCTCTTGGGTAAAACTATAGACAGGAATAAGTGTGTACATGGTAAATACAAAGCAAATCTAAAAATCAATAATCATCATGAATAGTTTCATTCGGCCTGTCAACCCACTTGAGTGTATCAATATTAATTGTTAAATATAATTTTGTGATGAAAATGACCAAAACCTACAATCTGTATCGTCATGATTAACTTTTGAGAAGCTGTAATGTATCTATATATAAAGAGGAGCAGCAAATACATTTAAAAAGTATATTTTTTGCAGTTATTAACTAGTAAAGTAATACTCAAGGTTGTTTTCTCACTTACAGTACTAGATGTCGAAGCAATGTCTCCATTAGGATGCATGATTTAGGTAAATTCGGGCTGTACAGAGCAAAAAGGTAAGAGAGAGGCAAATGTCTGAAATAATCATTTCTGAAAAAAGTTCTTTTAATATGATATAATAATTGCTCTGTATCACAACCCCAGAAGATAGATATATATCTTATCTCAGGCTAATGAGTCAGTTGGCAGGATTGTTCTCAAGTTTTTTCTATATATGAAGTGCACAGAGTTTTGGTGGTAATAACTGTGAGGTGAATCAGAGCAAAACTGCTTCCATGAGAGGACCCTGTGTGTGTGTGTGTAAAGAGAGAGAGAGAGAGAGAGAGAGAGAGGAAGAGAGGGGGAGGACTTACTAACTCACGACAAGAAGCATAGAGCTGTGGGAGGTATTCCTGGAATGTCGAAATAGCAGCTGGATTACATATTCTGCTACACCCACCCATCGCTGCACGCGTTGTTAACACACCCACAGAAAGGCACCCTGAAAGTATGCGTGTGTGTGTCCATACTACACTTATCACACACACATGATTATCTTCAAAACCTCCCACCGAGGACAGTAGCTTGTGAGTGAGTTACTTGTGAGTCATTTTACTCTGGTGTCTAGTCAGATTAGATCACATTCTTCACTTTTTCGACTTTTCACAAGTGCACAGGTGTAACTATTGACACTGCTCTGTTTGCTTTGTTTTATTCAGGCGTCAGTGAGTCAGTGACCCAAAACGAAAAACATCATAACTCTAAAACTGGAGCAGCAAAACAGAATTCAGTCATCACTCATTATACATAAATACCCGACAAATGAAAGGATGTTGCCACCTTTTTTTCCAGCATATTTGAGGTTTTAGAAGTCTTCACATTGCTGCCCAGTCTGGTCCGGTTTTCTCATCCCCCCCTTGCATGTGGTCAAGCTGAGTCCGGCAGGCAACTCACCCGGGCTGTTCAGCTGGCAAAGCTCGCCAGGTCACTTTTTGTCTCTCTCTGCAACCCACCTTTTGTCCTTTGGTATTCAGCACCTTTATTCACACAATCACCGATTGTTCACTGTTGTTTTGGTAATTAAAATGACTTGACTTTCTGATCTGCCCGATCAAAACAGAGAAACATGGTTTGATCTGCAAGCTGCAGTATGGCTTTAGGGCTGTTGTCCATGAATCCTGCTCTTTGAGAGACTCAGGATTTAGGAAAAATGCTGCATTTGTTTATACTGGCACAAATGTATTTTCAATAAAGTCTAATATATTCTTAAAGTTTTTTGTTTTTTTTTACATTTAAACCTCACAGCATCTTTCAATAACCAAAAAATTCAAATAACTTAATACTCAAAAAACGTTGTCAGTTGTCCTCATAGGAAAAAAGACAAATAACTTCATTGACTAAGTTGTTCTGAGTATTTGTAAATCTGTAGATTATAAGTACTTGTAAAACATTTCAAAGTTTGTTACATGCTTTTTTTATGTTAGGTAGTTTCCATGAACTCATTAAACATGTATTGAAAGTGTAAGCCCTGCTGATTGTGGGTAGGAAACCCCGCTGCTGAACCTTTGACACATGCCATGTCCTTTTTCACTTTGCACCATGGAGGGAAGCGCCGGAGGACCGTCAGCTGCTATTTTTTAGTCCATTATACTGAGTTGACTCAGTTGGGTTTCACATTTGAGGAAAGGTTGTTATTTTATTGAAAACATAATTAAAACAGCCTCAAGTGCATACATTTTCCTTGTATGATGACGCTTATTTGCACGGTGGTTATTTTAGATCATTAACCTTTTTAAGAAGAATGATAATATTAAACATGTTTTCTATTTTTAGGACCAGTCAATGGCAACAAAAGCAGCCAAGCTGTAGTGGCAGCAGTGAATGAAGATGCAGTGCCTGTTGGGAGTCCCCTTCGAGACCTGCCATGTGCCGGTCGTCTATGAGGATCAGGTGGTAATGACTCACAGGTCTTGGTCAGATTCACCGGTGATTTTGTTTGGACTGATCTATGCTCTCCTTTTGAGTTACCCTGAAAATCACAGCAGCTCCTCTAAGTTTATGCAGCCTCTGAGAAAATGAGCTGGAGTGAGATGTTCAAATTTTGTTGCTGACAATCACATTGTGAGTTGTTGAGCTTGTGTGCATAAAACTGGATATTTAGGTAGCGACAACATTTCAGATTATATGTTTAAACTGGCAATGTTCGACTTAGAGAGCTCAAAACAATTGATGTCATAGTTTTTACTGCACTTCACTTATGTCTGGGAAAATGATGCATATGAGTATGAAATAACAAAGGCTTTAAGTTTTATGAACTTAGTTAAATTAAATAAACTGCACAAGTTACCGTAGCTTTACATATTTAAGTTACTTGAACTCAAATAAAGTGGTTTTTCATACTTGTTAAGTTAATAAACTTCAGTGATTCAAGGCAAACGGTTTCTTCCAATCATTTGAGTCAAACTGAGTCATTACAGGAATAAATATGTGAAGTAAATGCTTATTAAGAGGTACAGACTTTGTCTCACTCACAGGTAGAATCTCAATCGAGTGTCAGCAGAGCAAAAAACACTAAATACAGAATCATTTAAATACTTTGCACTGAATATAAATCCAGGTCAGTTTCTACAAATTCATCCTTGAATGTAATCAGCCTCCAGAGAGCTTATCATAAAAGCTTTATCATACATAATATCAACAGAGGGAGAACATAGGCTGTGTACCGCTTTATCTCGTACTGATTGTGCATGTACAATGTGTGTTTTGCTGCCATGTGAAAGCCATGTCCAGTGTCTCAGGGCCGATGTACGAGATAATTTTACACACAGAAACACACTGAAATGTCAGAAGAACGGTTGTACTTTTACTCTCAAACAGCACATCTGAGATAGTAAATTCATGCTTTACGGGAGAATGAGAGTGACCTATGTTCAGTTCAACACTTTTATGTCTGTACATCAACGTGTCACAGAAAGTGCCACAATTTTAACTTCTGAAGATCTTTGACTCTCTAAATACACGGTTAAAGGTGGTAAATGGAGCCCTTTCTGTGAACTTCTTGCTTTCAGATCCTCACATCAGATTTCAGTTTGTAAAAAATATCTGTTAATCAGATTACGGGAATCAAAAGCTGGTTGTCCTCTATCTAATCAACTAGGGAAATAGGTAACATTTTTACACACTTTTTGATAGATATGAACCCATATCCTTGCTGCCAGGCAGAAACCTTGTATTTCCAACACCACTGCCTATAAAGAAGGTCAAAAAACACTGTATTTTTCATATAACTGCACACAGCATAAGATTCAACCATAAGCTTTTGAAAATACGTCAAGGAGATTTATTGCTTTTATTAATTAAAAAAAACTAAAATGATGAAATTTTAAGTTTCTGTTCTGCAGTAGTGATGTGAACCTCTGACCTTGAGTAGATTCAGTTAAGACATCACTGCCAGATGCAGAGGGCAGGGTTTGAGTTGCTCAAGACATGGGGGGTTCCTAGAAATCAGGAAACCAAGTCACCCCTCCCCCTCTCCTCATGGCAAACACCACACACTGAGCTCACAGTCTAGGTTGTGTTCAAACCCACATATGCCACGTTTCCTGAAGTAAACACACACTGTACATTCAACATAGCTCTCTTCCAAGCAGCCCGTAACGTTAACATAAATATGTGGGTTAGAGTGAGGTTGTTTATGTGGATTTGCATAAAGAGTTTCTGTACATACTTCCAGTTTCTTTGCATGACCTTACGGAGAAGTGTGTCAAGGGGGATGGGGTGGTAGAGGGTCAAGTTGGGCCAAGGCTAACTCTTAAAACCCTCAGTTATTTTAATCTTATCTGAAATCTTTTTCTTTGTGAAAAGTGTTCAATTCAAAATCTTTAAGCTTCATTGATAAAGTAGTTAATTTATTTGGTTTTAAAAGCTTTTTGTGCTAAATGTGGCAGTGGAGTATTATCAAACAGACCTGTGTAGGAGACCTCTTCCTAGAGGTGAAACGGGGGTACTGCATCTCACAGATTGAATGATTAAAGTTGGATTTACAGCTGAGTTTAGAGCAGTGGTTCTCAAGTCAAGTCCTCGAGGCCCACTGTCCTGCATGTTTTGGATGTTTCCCTGCTCCAACACACCTGATTCAAATGATTAGCTCGTTAGTAAGCCATTACAGAGCTTGATAACGAGCTGATCATTTGAATCAGGTGTGATGGAGCAGGGAAACATCCGAAACATGCGGGATAGTGGGCCTCAAGGACTGAGCTTGAGAACCACTGGTTTAGAGGCATAAAAAGCCCAGTCAACCTAAAGGCTCTTCGGTGTCTTTGCCGCATTAAACCCAAATTTGAAGATGATAAAGGCTAACACTAAAAAAGGCCTGACTAAATTTAATCTGTATTAATTTACTTACTTATTTTGTAACCTTTTAAAAAGCATGAAAATAGCAAAAATTGTCTCAAAGCTTTCTCCAAAGTATATCTTCAAACTACTTTGTATTATTTCTGAATTAAATACATTCAATTTAACATAATTATGAGAAAGCAAACCATTAAAATATTATTTATATTTAAATTCAGACCAGAAAAAAGTGACACAAACCACCTATCTGCTGTTAAACTGCTTGCCGTATAAATCCCTGTTTGACTATGACACTTTAGCACCACACGACACGAATGCCAACACTCACTTTCACAGTGATTTATTGTCTTTAGTTCCAACAACATTTACACAACACAACACAGATAGATCCGGATAACTCAGCAGGGAAAATGTTGATGCTTTGGTTGTTGTTTCTTTGCTCTAGTTGTCTACCATATGGAAAAAAAGTGCGGTACTCAACTGGTCGAGCTGTACACACGTGCATTGACATTGTACTCTAAAAATTTCTCTATACAGTTATCCAACACCATACGGCCGTGAGGCGCTTACAAGCAGAGAGGAGCCACTGTCCTTCTGGTCCTTTGTCTTATAATCAAAAACATAAAAAGTGCCAAAGTACATCAAACTATTCTGAAATCCTAAAATCACCAGACAATATAACTGAAGGAGAAACAGTTTAAGTTACAGTACAAATCAATCATTATTCAGTTCGTCTACAATCTACGATTTGCTGATATCGAAGGTCTATCAGGAAAGCAGCAGCATGGCGAAGTAGTTTGTTTTTATGCTGAACTGTATTTACAGATCGGAGAGTGACCTGGACCGAACTCTGTGAAAACCTCAATCAAATAAATACGGAGGGATACTAAAGAGCTTCCGAGAAGTCTGGAGACACTTCCAACCACAGCAGGTGGATATTTCCAACTCAAACACCGAGCTTTGGTCACAAATATGTGACAGACAGCGTTTGGAAAAGAGGCTGACTGTTTTTACAGCAGGTTGCCACAGTGAAGCAGGGGGAAACATCAGCCGTGTTTACATGTTTGTGAGGATGGAGTTGAAGGTGAAATAAGGTGGTCGCTCATATCCAGTAAAAACTCAGCACTATCCCAAAACATTTCCTATTTACATTCTAGTGTTAGTCACTTCATTTCACTGGTTCCTGCCAGTTCTCGCTCTTTAAGTTATCTAAGGATACATTTTTGTAAAAAGGCTTCACGCACATTTGAAAAATCTGGACAAATACAGGGTTCATATAAAGTGAAGTACGGTGAAATCTAGGTGAACTGGATTTTCCTAAATTACTCTGAAATGTTCTTTGTATGTGAGCGTTTTTATAACATTATACTGTAATTGTAAGCAGATATAGGCCTTCATGAGTGCGTTTGTTCATAGCTTTTTGGGGGTAATATCACCCTGAAGTGAGTCTCGCTGTGCTAAATAATAGGATCCAGTTATCGACTCAAGACTGCAGGAAGAGTGCTGCTGAAGAGAATCACAGTGTGATGACATTCAATAAAACATCACAGCCTTGAGCGTGATATTGAATATACAATAGACGTACAACGAACATACACTTTTAAAAGGGTAACCAGTAACAACAGCTTTTGTTTACAGTGTAACCTGTGTGTTGCCAAGCAACCTACATTAACAGCAGCTTCAGCAGACTCATCACTCAGTATTATGAACACTTACTTGTATATTTCTAATAATCATGCAAACAGTAAAGTAAGTCTGTTGACAGCTGCTTTGGGGTACAACCTAAATCAGTCCAGAGAAAGACGCTCTGCTGTCATGAAAATAAACATATTTATAAACATGAGGCTCGGGTGGAGTGATGATACATCTGTTTGAGACCAGGTAATGCTCTATACTTTAAATGTCGTAACTCTTATCCAATCAGGTTACTTGGTCAATTGTCTAATTTTTTTATAACTCTTCCTATGGTCACCCATAATGAAAAGCTAGCATGTAAACAAGCTATTAAGCCGGTCCAGTAAATATAGTTTTTGTTTCATGGAGAAACTGTGCAAACTGTACATTCATGACCATGAGGGTCGTCATCATATCTACTTACAACCACATATTTGTTTTAGGTTGTATATCAAATATTTATATACTCATAAATAATTGACTCTTGGTCTCGGAGAGAAGTGTTACTGTTGTAACCAACACAATTGGATCCACATAGTATGTGGTGTTAGACGGCTTTGGGGCGTTTGTGGTACATTTACTCTTTTTTCAAGCTTGAGACGTCTCAAAGCGATAAACGCTGATTATGAAAATTTAACAACACATTTATCTTAGTTAAAGTTGTCACAAACAAATTGCTATTTGGACAATTAACCACAAAAAGATGGGAAAAAACACATTACATTCCTCCTCTAAAATAAATGATTAAATAAAACCTTCACTGTAGTGTTGGTCTGGAAGGCATGTTAAGTTGTTACTCTTAAGAAACTGTAGTTTATGTCCAATGGGACTTTACCTTTCATTATGTACTGTTATATTGAATTTGTTTAATCTGTAACCTTTGAATAAAATAAGAATGTTAAAATCAAAGTGATATTTTAACACCTGCATATGGACACGTCTCGTAAAAAGGTACAAATCTCTCCTGAAATGACACCCAGGACTCTCTATGTCGACTTTTCAGACTGTGTCTTTGCAAACATAGAAAAAAACAGATCCAGTGATGAGCTAATTTGTAATAAATGTGTAAATTTGAACCTTAATGTGTTTCCATGTAATGTTCAAATATGTCTGTTCCCAGTATTCCTCTTTTTCTTTTCAGCCCCGTGGCGTCTGACTGAGGGTGGATGGTGAATTGACAAGGTGTGTTTTATTTACTGCGGATGTGGTGCTTTATGCTTCTGTCCCTCCCAGCTGACAGTTCAGTTCAGGACTCCTCATCTGTGGCACTAGGTGAGCGCTCCTGGAAGAGAAACAAATGCAAATGCACAAATGCAAATGCAAAAGAAAACAAGAGCTTATGGAGATCATTTTTCTTCAGAAAACCTGGTTGGACAAAAATACCATATAAGGCAAGCCTAAGCGCTTAAAATGAGCTTCTTGACCACACGAGTTTGTGGCCTGAGTTTGACATTCAGTTCACAACATTGAAGAAAACCTGTGAACTAAAGAACAATCATGAGAACAAAAAGTTCCTTATTCACAGACAGCTGCAACCCAGGATGTTAAGAAAACTTAAAATCCTTTTATTTGATCATTCATGTTTGAATGTTTAGGCAGGAAGAGACAAATAAAATAAACCAGGAAGGAAAAAAGGAGGTCGCCCTAACCCTCACTTTCTTTAATCCAGTCATGTCACTCACTCTTGGCTCTGAAACTGTCCTGCAGCTGTATGTCTCAAGTGTGATTGCACGTTCCAACATGAGTCAGATTTCTTGAGCATGTTTTGCAAACAGACAGAGCACAAACTTGAAACTATCGAACCGAAGCTACCATTACTTCTGCTGTTAAAATAAAAAAGGAAAAGTGAGTGACTCAGAGACGAGCTGGCCAGGTTATAAAAATAAAACGTTTCTATATATAATTTCAAACTGGTTCTCTGCCTCTTGTAAAGACACACAGACAGAAAAATACACACACAGACACACAGACACACACTGTGACGTACCTCTTCCTGCTCATCCTCTGAGTCATCATCACTGACAACCGGTTTGGCTCTCGTACGTCCCATCCGTCTGCTGCGTCCTTTCCCACGATCTCCTCCTTTATCCTTTCTTCCCAGACGGATCTTTACTTTCACTGAGCGAGCTAATCATACACACACAAACACACACGCACAACAAATAAAAAAATATATAATCTAAAAACCACATTTATTCTCTGATTCAGATACTGCACACTTAAAACACGACTGACTCCTTTTGTCACGCAGACGTGCTTACACTCAGACTCTGATCCTTCGTCCAGCTCCTCTTCCTCCTCCTCGCTGTCCTCCCCTTCACTCTCCTCCTCTTTCTCGATCTTCTGCCTCAAACTTGTGAACACTGACTGGAGGACGATGGAGTCTTCGTAGATCTGCTCACATGAAAAGTATATTAGACCAGTTGTCTGTTGTGTGTGATGGAAACAACTGCTGAGCCAAACATAAACAAGATGAACTTTGTGAAATATTTCATTTGCATGCTGTTTGTGTTTTTGTTCTGAAGAAATTATCTGCAAATTATTTGAATCCTGTAGCTCAAACACAAAATAAAAACAAACTCACAGATCCCAGTTTGCATTTCTCTTAAAAAGTCATAATCAGATACACTCAGTCCGAGGAATTATGCATTGACGACTTCTTTTAGGTCCTTTTATTCTCTACATTCACTTCATCTGTCTGCTTTCATAACAGACGCACAAAACAGCACAAAACAACTTTATTGTCTCACTGCTGGTGGAAAAGAGTTCTTGCTTTTCTGCTCTGAAAGTATTTTTCATTCCCTATATCTCCTAAATAAAAGTTGTTGTATGTTATACAAACTGTTGGTCTGTTCACATTTGGTCTCACCAGTGACCCCTCTAAGTTAAAGGTCTGAGCATTTTGGAAGAGCAGCATGACGTCTCTCTCTAAGTCCCCCAGACTGCGGTAGCGGTGACCTCGGATCCTCTCCTACGATAAACATACAGCATGTGAACATCTGCATATATTTGAGGGATGAAAACGTTTCTCGTACTTGTGAACATGTGGATCTACTTATATCATCCACACAGCTACAGTTTTATTCATGGGCTGTTCTTGGAGTCACCAGCTCACCTTAATCTTCCTGAAGTCCACGGGTTTGCGGATCAGCTCGTAGTACTCTGGTAGTTCTTTTCTAGATGGCAGCTGGATGAACACCTCGCTCAGCTGACGCCCACTGGTGCTGCAAGATATGACATCAAAAAAAGCGTCAGAGTGATTCGTAATCCTCCAAACACGACAGTTTATTTAGGCTGAGTTAAGAGAGAGCTGACTGACCGTATGGACAGAATTATGTTTGCATAGATCACAGATTAAGTAAAGGAATAAAAATAAACCTTCTCTTCAGTCTGCGTCTTCAGCTGCCTGATTCACTGTTAATAGAGAACTCTACTCTACTCTGAGAAAGCATAATGCAACTGCCGAAGTTCCATGTGATGTTCTCCATGAAACAGTCGCCAGGATACAGACTCAACATCCTGCTTAAAAAACAACAGTGGTGAAGATTAAGAAGATCTTTTGTGGGGGTGGGAGAAAAAATCGATACAGCATAGTATTGTGATATTTTGTCTGGTGATATATCGTGTCATCTCATTTACCAAGTATCCATTTTTTTCCAAATTGATTGTTAATATGAAGTCAAATCTAAAATCAAGTGTTTGTCCAATGAAGTTGGCAGAGGTGATATCATAGAGCAGGAGAAAGTTAGTACAACAAATATCACAGCACCAGGGAAAGACATTAGGAATGCAAACAGGGCACAAATGAGATGGACCTGACACTTAAGGTTTGCAAGATGTGCTACATGAAAATAAAATACTGTTTAAATAAGACAAACATAAAGAAAAGACCAATGCTAAATTAGCTAAAAAGTGGAAAGAATTGTATAAATTGCAATATATTGTACTGCAATACTCACTGTATTGCAGAATGTTAAAAATTGCAATAATATCGTATTGTCTTTTCACCCAAGTATCGTGATAATATCGTATCGTGGGGCCACAGGTGATTCCCACCCCCAATCCTTTGCATCCAAAGCCATCCCACTTCTTTATTCGTCTATTAATAGTTGACGAGATTCTAGACAAACAATATAGTTAGTAAATAAAGTTCTTTGAATTATTTCTATAATTTGTATTATTATTCGTATTTGTATTATCTGTGGAAACTCGCCAACCACATCGCCATGCTCCCATCCAAACGCTGTAAATAAAACACTATGAATCATACTGCAGAGTGAAAACAGTATAATGTAAAAGCACCTTTCATCATTTACTGCAACTTTCAGACAGTAACAGAACTTTTCTGTCAATGAAAACTCTTTGTAAGCCCATAAACTATAAAACTTTTAAGCGGAGAAGTAAAAATGTTACTGATTAAAATAATAGTTTCTGATTTTCTGACAATGATAAAAGAGTCTGTAGTTCAGGCGACACTGTATTTCAAGAATAACATGTAAGAAGTTTTTTGAAAGTGCTCACTGACTTTTGTGCATTTCATTAAAATGTCTGATGAGGTTCAATATGACCTCTTTTTGGACATTTCATTGGCCCAAAAGTGTAGGGATAAACTCAAATTGGTCTGTTTATCATAGTTCCCTCCTTAAGAGTCGATGTGTGGAGTTCTCACACGTGTATAAAACCTGCTTCACCATAGCTTCAGTCTGTTACCTGTCTTTGTACTTAATGACGGCGTCCACTATCTTCTTCATCTTCTTAGTGAGAGCAGGTGGATTGGGGGAAAGTTTCTCAGCAGGCGGTCTTCCCCTCTTTCTCTGTCTCTTTCCATCGTCATCTTTGTCTCCTCGTCCTCTTCCGCCCAGAGAAGAAGAGGGACCGGGAAGGTCCAGGTCACGGTCCCGCTTCCTCTTACGAGTTGTTTTCTTGTGACGCACCTCTTCCTCCACCTCCTCCAGTGTGCCCTCCTCTATCGCCTGCGATGACACAGAACATGAGACAGTTTCATCTCAACGAATCAAGACTTTTAGTTTCTGTTTCATTCCCGTCATTTTAAATAAACTTACTTTGAGCCACTGTTTCTCAGTCAGGGAATCGCTGTAGTCGACCTCTTTTCTTTGCCGAGAACCTCGTCCAAACATTTTCTCCTCCTCCTCCTCACAGGTCAAACGCTCCACCTCGGCGTCATCCTTCATGATCCAGGTCGGCAGCTCATCCTCCTCCATCAAACGAGGTTTTCGCCGCGGGTTTCGGGCCTCCTCACGGCGCCGGTCGAGGTCCATACGCTGAGAAGGAGAGAGGAAGACAAAAAGGCAAGGAGAAATAACAAAGGTGGGGGAGATTTTATAAGTTTATAAGAAAAAACTGAGCTGTGATTTTTCTCAAAAGCTGACCATGAACTGGTCAAACTCCTCCTCGCTCCTGGCGATCATCTGGTTGACCGTCTCATCATCTGGCACCTCGTCCTCCTCCTGAATACAGCAGACACACATTGGCACGCAGAGCATAAGACAGCACACTCTATAAATTGTGTGTGTCGCAGGTGCACGCACACACATTAATGCGTAGACACACTTCCTGACCCCAGACCTCGTCTTGCTCCTCATGCTCCAGGATGGCCTGCAGGAAGGCCCTGCGTTCATGGCTGGAGGACTTTTGGTCGAACATGCCGGCCTGGATGACCTTCTGGTCCACATTCAGTTTGTACTTGGCAGCAGCCAAGATTTTCTCCTCCACGCTGTTGACAGTGCACAGACGCAGCACACGCACCTCGTTCTGCTGACCGATACGGTGAGCTCGGTCCTGGGCCTGCAGGTCCTGGAGAGGACATGAGGAGGGAGGAGGAAGAGAAATGGTCAAGTTTCAAGCTCTACTGTGCAAGCAGACGGACATCTGTGACACATGTGTAGACAGTTTGAAACTTCTACTGGAGGGAAATCTAGTGAGAAAACCCTTCAGAAAACCAGTTTAACATTTCATCTATCAGAAATCCTTTTTTTCTGTCAGTCTGCCCAACCATCGCTGTTTCAGCCCGACAGCCGTCCTATCTTCTACAGTCCTGATGTTTTGTATTGTGTGTCAATTTTATGGGCAAAATTTCCAACTTAGAGATGCGTCTCTTTAGAGAACAAAGGCAAAAATCTCAAACTCTGAAATTAAAAAGTCTGAGAAAGCTTAATAAGCCACTTCACACATTTTAGAGATTTGTCATTATTATTCCAGACTAGTGGTTTAAGACATCACACTGAGCATTTTTTTGTCTAAAAGAGGTCTAATAGACATCTAAAAATCAAAGTTGTTTTTTTATGCAACTCACAGTTGCTTTTTGAAATAAATAGTTATCATTAATGGGTTAAAGTGCAACATCTGAATTCTGTCTAAAAATCTTCAGAATCTAGACGGTTGAAATTAGGTCTAAAAAAAAACTAGACCTCTTAAGGCCATCTATTGCTCAGTGGAATATTATCATTACTTTTAAAAAGTCTCATTTTTGGAGAGGTCCACTTTCACGTCTGAGCTCCTTTCATATCCACACCCCTGCAAGAACATTGAGGTCTTCTAATCAGCTGCTACTGGTCACCCCCCAAAACAAGGTTAAAGTCCAAAGGTGACCCAGCCTTCGTGGCGGCGACCCTCAGGCTACAGAACCTGCACCTGCACAACCACTCTGCAGGATCGACTGAGGTTTTTAAGTCCTCCCTAAAGACTCACCTTTTCTCCTCTGCTTTAAATCAAGTTTAAATGGACTTCTGGTGAAATTTTACCTTATACTTTATTTATTTTATTGCTATTTTATTCTATAGCACCATGTTTTATGTTGATGTATTTTAGTATTCATTATATTTATTGTAATTGCTGTAATTACACTTTGATCATCCCTGCTGCTTTTAATCTGTTGAGTACTTTGGTTACCCCCTGTTGTTTTAAATGTGCTCTATAAATCAAGTTTGCGTTGAGTCGAGACTTCAGTGTAAAAACAGTCGGTTGAATTCTGTTAGCAGTTGCACTCAGAGAGTTTAACACCGGCACTAACTTATTAGTATAACTCTGTGGTCAATGTTTTTCTTTGCCACTAACAGACATACCACTGTTTACATGTAGCTTGATTGTGTTAGCATTAGCATTCGTTATTGCCTTGATCTAACTCAAACACACTCACCTCATATCAAATATCCCCAACTCTAGATCTTAAACATGAGGTCTCTGCTTGTTTCATTCTTTTGTAAGCGAGAATAAACATTTATCACACCTGATGAGGGTTCCAGTCAGAGTCAAATATTACTACAGTGTCAGCAGACTGCAGGTTAAGGCCGAGGCCTCCAGCTCTTGTGCTCAGGAGGAAGATAAAGTACTCAGACTCAGGATCATTGAATGTCTTCAGCAACATTCCTCTGTCCTCAGCCTTCGTCGTACCTGAGATGTTAGAGGGGTGGTGGAAGAAGAAAAGCAGGTGAACAGCATTTAAGTAAGAAGAATATTAGTAGAGTAAAGAGTAAGACAGAGAGCTGAGAAAGAAACTAAATAATAACTAAAGTAGAAAACATTTCCCACTTAGAGAAGATTGCTGCCTCACCATCCAGACGCAAATACTTGAAACTGCGATAAGCAAAGTAATCCTCCATGATGGTCATGAGCGACGTCATCTGACAGAAAAGCAGCACTTTGTGGTTTGTGGCTCTCAGCTTTGGAAGGATTCGATCCAGCACCTCAAACTTTCCTGATGCCCGATAAAGGTCAGGACTGACAGAGAGGCAGGTGAAACCGGTTAACTTGTGTGTGAACGCTTGTATGTGCGTTAAGTGAAATTAAAACTTACCCTTGGACGATCCCACCAGAGAATCCTAAATGTTCAGAGAAGGACTCCTGCAAAAACAGAGAAGGAGATCTCTTTTGTTTTCAGCTGAATTTCTTTATTTTTATCATAAAGTCAAACAAAATTAAGTAAGCAATACAAAATTAATCAGATTGAGTTTCTTTCACATAGTTATTAAACTAAAAAAGTAATAGTGTTATTGTTACAAAGATCTTAACACAGAATTTGTCGTACCTCTATTTGCTGGAACATGTACGGGTGGTTACAGATCTTTCTCAGCTGCATGATGGTGTTCATCAGCGTCTTAGTTCCTCCTTTACCCTGGGAAACAACAAAAAAGGTCTTTTTTTTAACAGTAGCTACACTTGAACATAGATATCAAACACTCATGTGGGTTTTAACGTTGGTGTTTTTCAGTCCAAATGCCCAAACTACCGTGTTAAAAGTGTTTATTCTCTCACCTTCTTGTCTTTCTCCGATCCATCAGTGAGCAGGACCCCTTTGGCCTGCATGTGTCTGTACAGCACCCTCTGAAGAGATGACATGTCACACTTGATCACATATTCCACCTGAGGGAGGACAGAGGCAGAGCGGATGAATGTCAGAGGAGAACTCAAGGATAGAAATAGATTAATGCTTTCTCTGATCTATTGGAGATTATGAGTTTTGAAGTGTTGGTGGAAGTATTTCATCTGATATGTATGTGTGTTAAAGAAGTAAACCATGCCTTCTCTGGAAGCTGTGCCTCCACTTCTTTCTTTAATCTACGTAACAGGAAAGGGCGGAGCACTTTATGGAGACGCCGGATAATCAAGATGGTCTCCTCTTCGTTTAAGTCCACCTGGAGTGAAATAAATAAAACACTCAGCAGGTTATTAGGCTGGAACATACTGAACCTCCTGCCTGTTGTCCTTTCTCTTTTCATTATTTCTGTACAAAATTCAGCCTTCTTTCCACCTTCTCTCCAGTCATGGCGAACGGGGCGTTGAACCACTGCTCGAAGGTGCTGCAGCTCTTAAAGATCGTCGGCAAGAGGAAGTTTAGCAGCGCCCAGAGCTCAGGCAGTTTGTTCTGCAGCGGTGTTCCCGTCAGCAGGACTCTCCGCGGGGCCAGGTAGTGGGTGTTCAGGACCTGGGTCAGCTTACAGTGATGGTTCTTCATACGGTGGCCCTCATCCACGACCATGTACTTCCAACGGATCTAGAGAACGGGGGTGAATTTACATCCAGGAAAACATCAAATAAGGGTTCAAGTTAGGGCTGTAGGGCTGGGTGATAAAGCGAAAATTTACCGATACCGAAATTTACGACAATAACCGACGTCATTTTGCCCATATCAATATATTTGGTGCCAAAAAAATGAATGAATAACAGTTGTTTTTGGATGTGTGTAGGTAGGCTAATGTCTCATGTCCCTTTAAGACGCTGTCCTACGTCAGAGACGTGACTCTACCCCATCCAGTCCGTAACAAAGAGGGAAATACAGGTGAGGAGATGGAGGACAGTTCAAAAGTTGCGGCTAAAATAGACGAAGTTAATGTGGGAGGGGACCAGCTTGTGGAGTAGTTATCGTCCATTCATCGTTATCGAGGTGAACTGCTCAATATATCCTGATATTGATTTGAGGCCATATCGCCCAGCCCTAGTTCAAGTTTCTCCTTATTAAACACACCAGCTTGATCCCAATCTAAGGCCTTAAAACCACAAATAAATACCGAACTGTCAGCACTGATTGACAAAAAAAAGGCAATCCTAGTTGAATATCTAGTCTCACCTTGGCCAGCACTTGTTTATCCTTGATGATATACTCATAAGTGGTGAGTAAAACGTTAAACTTTCCACTGCGCAGTTGGGGGACGAAGGCTCTTCTGGCAGCAGGAGACCCCTAATAGAACATAAAAAGTAAAAGTTAAAGTTAACTAGCTGAAACATCGTAATTATAAACAAATTCAGGGTCATTCTAGTATGGCTGCAAAAAAACTCACCTTGTAGGACACTTTCACAACTGTGGGCGCCCACTTGTCAAACTCATAAACCCAGTTAGAAAGAGTCCTGTCAACGAGAGGCAGCTCAGTCGACACGTAACGTCTAGGTTAAATCAAATAACTCAACTGATGAAGGGTGAAATGTTGGAATAACAAGGGGATTTGCTTACGAGAGGGGTACAATGATGAGGTAGGGTCCATTGAGACGTTTGTGCTCCATGAGGTACGTGATGAGGGCGATTGTCTGGATGGTTTTTCCCAGACCCATCTCATCTGCCAGGATCCCGTTTAGGTTATTGTTGTAGAGAGACACCAGCCACTCCAGACCTTTTATCTGACAAACAACAACAAAAAAAAGGTTTCTGTGGTATAAATTTCTCTGTGCATGATTAATCGAGTGATACTGGTTAACTGATCAGTTGTTCTCGTTCACCTGATACTGTTTGAGTTGTCCGTTTATTAACAAAGTGGACTGTTTCTCCACTTTTTCTGTGACAGCGTGGGCCACAGAGTAATATGACTGAAGGCCACGGGCGAATGCTGCACCGCTGTATTCATCATCCACATCCTGTTTAGCATTTCTACAGTGAAAAAAACAAACAAACACTGTTTCAGCTGGTGGACCCTTTTCTCTGATGTTTTAAGTGTGATACCCCATGTCTTTACTCACTCGATGATGTGCCGGACATCCACCTCTGACACATCTTCACTGTCAGGGTCTGTTATTTTCTTCTTGTCATCCACCAGAGCGGTCGACGGCTGAGGCTCCTCCTCTTCTCCCTGTCAGACAGCTGGTCAGTGAGCGAAGCAGTGGACAAGAAGCTAGCTTCAAACATGACTGTTCAAACAACCCACCTCCTCCTCCTCTTCTTCCTCCTCACTGTCTTCACTGTCTGACCGAGGAGCCACCTCGTAACTGCAGCAAGAAAATGAATGGTTTTATAACTTTGACAACAGCCTCTGTATCTGTACAGATGAATGTTGCCGACCGCTTGCTTCTCTAGTTATACCAACTTTAATAACGACCGCAGGATAGCAATACAAAGCGGTCTGAGGAACCATAAACAAACCTCAACCAAAACGCCACTCTATAGCCACAAATAATGCTCAGAACAGCACCTAACTTCATCAAAAGTACATATAGGGTCCTAGCCATAGTACTAGCCACCAAACATCTTTTTAGCTTTGCCTGATTTCTTAAGCAAAGAGACTAAACACAACTCACCTACTCTCTTCCAGCAGCCACTTGTTTGTGGGGGGAGCCCTGACATGTCGATGACCGAGTGCTGCGGATCATTTCCATGAAGTAATAATCATCATATTCATCATTTTGCACTGCAGACGTGGTAGTTCTTCTGCCTTAGTGTCTCGGTCTGATTGTATTTCCATGTAGAAATAATCATAAATGTTCTTCCTTGAGCTGCGAAACTCCGCTGCACTTGGTGATCGACTTGTCAGGTCTCATCCACAAACAAGTGGCTGCTGGAGGAGAGTGGGTGAGTGTGCGCATGGAGACGTAGACCATTGTGTACTGGTTTGTGCGGTCCTTTCTAAAGTTGGTGTAACTACAGAAGCAAGCAGTCAGCAACATTCCTCTCTTGAGGGGTTGTCTAACTCGGTGTTACAGTGTGTTTGGCCCAACTTAATTTTATGCCAGAATATCCCTTTAAGGCAAATAGTTGACACCCATATTTAAAATGTTTAAAATGTTTATGATTTCATGAAGATATTTAACAAGGGGGCAGGGAGGAAAACTTCAATTTCAACTTCAGAAACTTATCATCGTGTGCAATACCATGTAACCTGATCCTGTACCCCTAGGAGTGAAGTAAAGCATGTCTTATTGGACTAATTTGTTTCTATTTTTTGCAAATTATTAATCGTCAAATTCTTCAGACCTGCAGACTGATCTTCAACAATGTCGCCCACCACTTATTTGATTTACATATACAAGTCACTCCTCCTCTCTTTAGTCAGTCTCACCCAGGGTTCATCTCCAGCCACGTCTCCAGCTGTCCAGCTTTAGGAGCGTCCACTCCCGTCAGGATGTTACCACTGTCCACGTGAATGACCTTAACAGGCAGGTCACTCATCTGACTCGTCTCATCCAGAGGCTGCAAGAACAAAAACAAGTCATTTGTCTGGATTATTCAAATGATAAAAAAGTTTTAGATAGTTTAGGATAGTGATAGTGATGGTGATAATCTGTTGTCATTTGGCTGACCTCTCCGTCTGGACCCATAGCAGGAGTCGGACCCTCAGCATTCTCCAACTGCGAGATAAAACAGTAATCCTTTATGACAGTCACTGTTTAAAATCAAAGACCACTTGTGTTACAGCTTGGTTTTCGATTCGATGAAAATGAGGCTTTCTTAAATTGTCTGCATTGTCCTTATTATTATCCGTACCTTCTTCTTTCTCTTCTTCTTCTTCTTTTTCTCCTTCAGAGCCTGTGCAGCTTTGTGAGCTCTTACAAGCTCTGTGAGGTTGGCGACATACTCATCCGTTTGCTGCAGCAGGTAGGCCAGACGCTTATCCTTCTTCTGGTCGATAAGTTTACGATAACCCTCCTCATCTTCAGCCTGTGAGGACACACACGCACGCACACATTGTGTAGTTATAGGGCGCTAATACAACTGTACCTGTGGGTTATTGTTATTTTTTTCTCACCATAAGCCTCCTCATCCTCTCTTTCTCGATACGCTCGTTCTCTTTCTTTTGCTCACGCTCAGTATTGGCGTGGTAGGTGGCTACAGCTTTGGTCAGCTTTTGCATTTTCCCTGTGATGGAGCGATGGTACTCTTTGAAATCTTTGGCATGCTGCAGGATGCTATTGAGGTACTCCTAGAAGAAAAAGACAAGTTTAGGTGAAGGAGAGAAAAATTTTAAAAAGACACTCAACAACAGCTGCATTCGTCCTTTACCTGATGTTTCTGCCTGCGTTTGCGCTCTTGCTCAATCTTCTGCTGTTTCTCCAGTTTCTCTGTGATGCGGGCCTCTCGCAGAGACTGACGCTTGCTCCGCTTGTAGGCCTTTGCGTCGAGGGCGGTCTCAAGAGCCGTGTCGCGGCGCATACACACCACCACTTCTTGACGCAGCTGTAGGTAGACAGCGCACAGAAAATGTCCAGCTACGACTGAAAAATCCCAAGTGTGGTATTGTAAAAGACAGAGGTAAAGGTGTGAATGAGATGTTCGATAATGTCACGGCTACCTGTCTCTGGAAATTTAGCAGTCGCAGGGCTTTGAGCTCTATAGTGGCTTTGGTACGTAAATCACCAGCAAGAGAGCCTGGAAGGTTCTCCAATTCAGCGATGCGATGAGTGATTCGAGCCTGTAATCTGACAGACATCAGCTTTAATGTACCATTTTTTCACTTTTGAGCACATATGAAAAGAAAAAGGATCTTTGCTTTCATGAAAGGTAACCCTCATTCATAAAGTTCTCCTTCAATAAGGAACCCTGTTGTACCTGTACTCCCTCTCTTGTAATATCTCCACCGGGTCCAGGCCGCAGGGTTTCTGGATGGGGGTGATGCGGTTCTGCTTGGCGTGGTAAGGCATCATAGGAGTAGGCTGTGCTGGCTGGCCTGGGGACTGGGTCTGTGGAGGCATTACTGGGGAGGCAGCAGGGGGGACTGATGGTGGGGCTGGAGAGGGCCGGCCTGTGGGCTGGGGGGGAATCAGCTTTTGGGGTGCGTTGGAGGGGGCTGCTGCATTCACCATAGGGCCTGGAGGACAAAGGAAACATTGATATTATAATAATCTGTGGGTTGTTTTTTTTTTTATTCTTTATTTTTATTTAACCTTTATTTAACCAGGTAAGAACCCGTTGAGATCGAAATGTCATTTACAAGAGTGACCTGGCCAAGAGGTCGGCAGCACACATCACAGAAATAAAAAATAATAAAGAAGAAGAAAATGGCCTCCAGAAACATAATTAAAAACACAGGCCCTGTTCCACGGTCTCCCAAAGTCTGCCATGTAAGATTGAACAAAAATGCTTCCAACAAAATTAAATCTGACAATTTCAGGTCAGTCTGGAGACCATGCTGATGTGGCAACAAAACCCAATTCAGTTCTGATTCATGGAACAATCAAATGGACAGTGTTGTTTGAGCGCAGGGAGTAGTGGCTTTCAGTTCTTTGAAGACGATTAAGGAGCTAAGCCAAGAAGAACCTTATAAATTAGAGTCATCCAGTGAGTGTATCTGCGAGTACTCTGAGATGGCCAGCCAGACTTGGCATAAAGTTTGCAATAAATGTTAGGCAACTACAACCAGTAACAAATCTCAGCGCACAGTGATAGACAGAAGTTAAGGACTGCAGGCATTTGGCTGAAGCAGCCATATATAAAACATCACCATAATCCAACAGTGGAAGAAAGGTAGCAGATACAAGGTATTTTCGAGCACTGAGGGAGAAGCAGGATTGTTTCCTGTAGTAGAAACCTATCTTTAGTCTGAATTTAGTGACCAAACGCAATATGTGCTTTGAAAGAAAGCTTGCGATCAACAAGAAAACCCAGATATTTATACACAGATACAAGCTAAATAGGTCCACCCTGCGAAGTTAAGATAGAGGGAATGTTCCCAGGTAACTCACTCTTGCTCGAAAATACCATGAGTTTGGTTTTATTTGCGTTCCAGACCAATTTGACTTTCTGCAGTTGAGATTGAACATCAAAAGCAGACTGCAAAAACTCATTTGACAAGTTAATACACAATTTGTAGTCTACAGGAGTAGACAGGAGGCTGAACAAGACCTTAAAGCAGTACTCCGTACCTTCAGGCCAGGACTTGGGTGGTCCATTCGGGTTTGGTCCCTGCATCCCAGCTGGAGTACCCGATGGTCCTGGAGGAGGCATGTTGGGACCCATCATTCCTGAAGAAACAGGTCAGTAAAGACTGTTATGAGACTAATGGCTCGTCACAAACTCTGTCTTTTTAGTCCTTAGTCAAAAACCCATCAGGTAGTAGAATATCTATAAACACTCACCATGAGCTCGACTGTAGCCTGTGCCCATCGGTCCAGGCCCTGGCCCAGGTCCTGTTGGTCCACCACTTGGCCCACCTCCACCTCCAGAACCCAAGCTGGGTATCGGCTGCTGCTGCATACCTGGCATCGGCCTCTTCCCCTGGACAGCCATCTGAAGATGGTCCGGCAGGGGCTGACCCCGGGCTAGCATCTTATAGGCCATGATCTGGGCTCTGAGTTGGTGGAGCTGGTTCTGGTTAAAGGGAGTAGGGCCACCAGGGCCGCCAGGACCTTGAGGGCCCCCTGATTCAAGCCCAGATCCAAGATTTGGGACACTAGGGCCAAGACTAGGTCCAGGACTGGGGCCTGGGCCGGAGCTGCCTGGGGGGCCAGGGCGGTTAATGGAGCCAAGAGTGTGTTGGTCTCCACTGGGGCCTTCTAAAGGTGCAGAAGCAGACCCGGGACCACCGGAAGAGGAGGAAGAAGAGGATGATGGCATGAGGGGACCAGAGGGAGGACCGTTTGAAGGGACAGGGCTGGAGTGGTCAGAGCCACCCAAAGGAGAGTGGTAACCTGGAAGAAGCAGACAGAAATACACACAGGGATGCTGAGAGATTTCTGGAGATCGTTAGTGCACCTAATTATTGAAATACTTGAGAACTTAAAGGGATATTCTGGCGTAAAATTAAGTTAGGGTCAAACACACTGTAACACTGAGTTAGACACCCCCTCGAGAGATGAATGTTGCCGACCGCTTGCTTCTCTAGTTTTACCAACTTAAGTAAGGACCGCGTGACAGCAATACCATAAACAAACCTCATCCAAAACGCCACTCGATAACCACAAATAATGCTCAGAACAGCACCTAACTCCATCAACAGTACACACAGGGTCCCCGCCACAGCACTAATCACCAAACATCTTTTTAGCTTTGCCTAATTTCTTTAGCAAAGAGACTAAACGCAACTCACTTTCACTCTTCCAGCAGCCACTTGTTTGTAGCAAGACCTCAGGCCAGTTCATTACGGACTGCAGCGGGGTGACGCAGCTCAAGGAAGAACATTTATGATAATTTCTTTATGGAAATGCAATCAGACCGAGACGCTAAGGTAGAAGAACTACTGTGTCTGCAGTGCAAAACAATTAATATGGTGATTATTACTTCAAGGAAATGATAAAGAAATGATCATAAATGCTATTCCATGAGCTGCGTCACCATGCAGCAGTCCGTAATGGACTGGCCTGAGGTCCCGCTACAAACAAGCGACTGCTGGAAGAGAGTAGGTGAGGTGTTTTAGGTCTCTTTGCTAAAGAAATTAGGCAAAGCTAAAAAGATGTTTGGAGGTTAGAGCTGTGGCTGGTCGTTACTAACGTTGGTATCTAACTCGGTGTTACGGTGTGTTTGACCCTAAATTAATTTTACGCCGGAATATCCCTTTAACAGTCCTAACACCACAAATTCTTCTTTTTATTATTTGTTACATATTAGTTAGCTGTCACAGTGCTGGGGTGTGTCAGCTTAGTGCTGGGCGATATGGAAAAAAATGTATATCATGATATGGATCATTTTATATCACGATAACGATATATATCACGATATAGCTATGGTATGCTTTCAGTTCTATGAAAAATTTAAGTGTATACAGCTGCACTAGTACAGTACCAGTACAAGACCAGCACTTAAAACTAGAAAAATGAATAAATAAATACGTGGCCGAAGTGCGTTCATGTCTGTGCTCACCCAAAGTTATGCAACACTCACAGAAAATGCCGATAGTGTGAGCCAAAGCACTCCATAGTAATAATAATAATAATAATAATAATAAATTTAATTTGTAATGCACTTTACATTTACAAAAAATCTCAAAGTGCTACAGTACACAGTAAAAAAAGAGCAGCAACAATAAAAAAGCAATAGAATGACAGTCACAGATTGGCATAAAAAAAGAATTAAAAAAAAATTAAAAATATAGAGTTGCAATGTAAGAGGCAAGGTAGTAAAAGCATAAAGCATAGAGGAAAACTAACCAAAGGCTTTATTAAAAAGGTAGGTCTTTAGGGCTCTTTTGAAGAGGTTGTTCACACTGCTAAATGTTTCTCCTCCAAAGTTGCTCTCTGTCTCCATCATTGTTTACTTTACTCTTGAAGCACGTAGCGAGACCCGAGCATGAATCCGAGCGCTTTATTCGCCTATCAGGGGCAGACAGGTAAGGTGATTTGATTCGCCACGACTCCAGAAATGATTGAAAAACTACAGAATGTCACAAAATCACGTTTCCTCGCTGCTGGCTTGAAGGGTACAAATGCGCAGCCGCGCTCCCAGCTGACAGGAAGTCAAACCACTGTTGTAGTTCTTTTGTGTTGCTAGCGCGGTCAAGAGTGTTGGCTCTCACTGAGAGATGACTACAAAAATGGACGCACCTGTTCATCTGGTTGTTAAACACGGCTGAAAATGATCATCTTTTAATGTTGTTCCCGCTCCTGCCCACTCCCGTTGCCTTTTTTCCCGTCCCGTCCCGATCAAGGGATTAATTAAAAAATGACTCCCATCCCGTGGGATTCCCGCGGGAATCACGTGACCCAAGGGAATTCCCGAAAAATGTCATCCTCTACAGGGAAGGTCCCGGAGCAGATAAAACAGGTGCCGGAGCGGCTGAAATAGGTCCCGGATCCGATCAAAAGAGGTCCCGGATCGCGCTCCGACTTGCTCCGGCACAAATTAAGCACTGCTTACAATGATCCCCTCACGTGTGTAACCCAGGTAACCCGCAACGGCGGGAGACGCTGGACACGAAGAGGGCAGTAAAGCGGCGTCATGTCGCAAAATCGAAAGAGAAATGTGAGCCTACATGTCAACGCATCCTTTTCTTTGTAAGAAAATATTGTTTTCTTTCCCGTTCGACACCAAATACACTTACTGAATGTGCAATCATTGTTGTTGTTACTATGAATCATCTGATGGCACAAGCCCTATGGATAAAATACAGCCTATCGCCCGAAACGATAAAAATAAAAATGGCACGATAGACATTTTCTATCGTGCCCACGATATCTATCGTCCTATCGCCCAGCACTATGTCAGCTAGTATCATCTTCACACAAAGTCTGACTGTCTGATACCGTCTTTAACATAGGTTAGCTCATGAGCTTGTGGCTGAAGCCTCACAGACATGAGACTTGATTTTCCAAGATGTCGTAACAGTTCCTCACATATACGTCTGCGGCATTTCAAAATAAACTAAGAGTGATTCTCTGACATCACTCGAATCCCACAAAACTGTTACGTAACTGTGATAAACCCATATAATTGTTTTATTTTTTAATGGTATCCTTTTCCTCTCTTCAAGCTGCACACTTCAGACTTAATATAAAGTTATTACCTGAAACATTAAATCGCTTGTGTTTCAAGTGTTTTGGAGTTGAAGGAAACACCAAGCAAGTGTCAAAATAATGCTTTGGATTGATTTCAGAAGTTGCAACAGCAGAGACACTCCCACACCACATGATCACACAATTATGAATGTGTCACACAAGTTCCTTTACACAATACAGGAGAGGATGAAAGTGGTTAAAGACTTGTCTTCACTGCACGCCTACCTTGTGAGTGTTGGTCAAGAGGACTGGGCGGGGGACCCATACCGCTGTGCCCACCCGGTCTCATCGACAGTCCCTTCATCTGACCGAAGCGGCTCTCCTCATTTAGGCTCTTTTCGTGCATGCTCTCCATGGGCTGTGAGGGCGGGATCAAACAGTGTGTGAAAATTAAGTAGGGCCTCTCTGTATAGCGTCACATCATGGTCTAACCCAGCTGTAAATGTAGAGTTGCATACATACTAATTTTGTGAAGTCTGGACTAACTCAAAGGACCACATGGATGTCACTTTGGAAGGCAGTGTGAGATTTTCACACACATTTTAAATACTCAGCTGTAGTTATTTGTGGATATTTTTGTGTTGAAAAACAAAAGTAAACTTGCATCTATTGCAGACAGAGTAACATAGCTATATCTTCTTATGAAAGGATATAAATGTCAGGATATGTCTGCCATGTAAGTCCTCACTTGGCCCGGTTTAAAGTTAAGTTTAATTCTTCTTGTCGTGTAAATGTGAAGTTTAACATCTTAACCCTAGAACACTATCGCCAGACGATTTCACCCGACCAAACATGTTAATGTGATTTTTTAAATGTTGTGTTTGTCTGAGTGTCATGGGTCTCTGGGTAGCTTCAGCATTGCCTTTGACATCATTGAAGGCATATTTGTTTCCCTGATCCAAATCCGTCTTTTTCCTACAGGCACGTGTTCACAGGGTGATTTTCACCCAGCAATAGTGATCGAGGGTAAAGTAGGTTTGGGTGGATTTGATAGCTGCATGTTGGTGAATAAGGTCAGTAAGAGTGGTCCTGGAATTTGCATGCTATGTTTATCTAGCGCAGTGGTTATGAATAACTCACAAAGTAGTGGTTTTCAAGGGAATTCATATGGTGATAAGAAATATTTTAGTCAGCTTGTCATTTTTACTCATTCAAAATATGCCATATTTTGGTTCTCTCTCCTGCAGCTGTTATTGTGCCTGAGTCTTCACCAGCGAAGACTCAAATGCCCCAGGAATGGGTGGAAAAGAAAGTAAGTTCACAGTTTCTATATATATCTGTTTTAGGAATTTTTTTGTTCATGAATGCTTAATTTCAGATAATTCGTTGCATTTTTATATGGTCCCCTGATGCCACTTTTCCCCCTCTCTTTGGACATTGCACAGGTAAGAATAATAGAAAACTACTTTAATTTGTCATGTTTTGTTCTATTTTTATATATTTTGATGACAAGTACTTTTTCTTGGGTATATTATTTCGGGTAAAAATCACCCAGCGATAGTAATGGTGTTACTAATTTTAGCGATAGTGTTCTAGGGTTAAATATGTAAAAATAAAACTACATGCACTGAAACTACACCCTGACCCTCTAAATTCACTGCTCTCTTTTTTCTGAGGGATTAAAAACCGAGTTTGTGCGTCTCAGCGGGATGTCAGGTGTGCACATGTTCTTACTTTGTGCAGAGGGTGCATGCTCTCTTGGCCGTAACCAGAGGGTCCAGGCTGCGCATGTCCAGAGGAGGGAGGGCCAGGGCTGGGGCCCATCATACTGTGAGAGGACCCCGGGGAGGGCCCAGGGCTGGGGCCAAGCATCGCCCCGGGAGAGGGACCAGGACCAGGGGAGGGACCTGGGCGAGGTGTACCTCCCATGGGGGGGTCTGGTGTGGCCATCGCCCTGGATCTCCTGCTCTTGGCTGAGCAGCAGGGACCTGATGGAGAGAGGGTGGGCAGATATGTCAAAGGATGAAACTAAATAAACAAAAGTGAGACATTTAGTGATGGGTTATTTAAAGGTCATGAGGGTTGATAAAATTAATCCTGAGGTTGGGATTATTTTACAGCACTAAGCGAAAAGAATCTTCAATTTGAAACATCTGCCTTCACCTTTGCTTCTTTGACCAATTAATGAGTGCACATAATGTTTGTAGGATAGGGGTGGATTTTGTCCAACGCCCCCAGATGAGGACTCCTCGTGCTGCACCAAATCATCCGTTATAGGCACATATACAACAAGAGCTGCCGGCTCTACCACTGCACTCGAACAGAGCAAAGGGAAAATGCAGTACAGTATGCACAATGCTACTGAGAATTTACCCTGTCAGACTATGAAAGGGTGTCGTTAAATATAAAAAAAGGGGGAATGGCGGACTGTGCTTGTGAGACTGACCTACCCGCATCAACAGGACAGGCGGTTCTGCGTGGATCTCTGCGCTCCCGAGTTTACATTTGAGGGAGATTAAAGAATACGCAGCAGTTGTCGCAATTAGTCTACTCACCCTCTTTGAAATCTGCCTTCAAGCGTTGATTTGTTTCACCGACGTGGCTCGAGCGCCCCCTCCACCGCTTCTATGACCGAATGTCTAGTCACGGCTGTCCGGCAGTGCGCATGCGTGCGACCGAGTCACACTGTGCATCAAGAATAAATTTAAGGATTTTTAGTATTTTTAATCTGAATTTACCGGTAAATGATAGTTTTACCATGGACAGATGTACTAAATATGCACGCTTTGTCAAGACTAAATAAAGACAAACAAACGTAATCTTCATTAAGGTCTTCAAATATTCTAGTTTTTAGGCTACAAAATGTTTTATACAGTAGGGAATATTTGGAAAATATGAGCCATTTTTCATATTTTGTCTCTAATTAGTGTATCTGCATATATTTCAAGATATGATGTATAAAACAAATTTTAAGTGATCTTTTTTGGTCTGAACACAATTCTGATAAAACTTATGACAGACTAAATTCACTTTCAAGAGTGAAAAATGTTTATTTTTTTGGAAATAAATGACTAACCCCTTCATCCATGGGCTTCTAACCTTCACAGACTTTATGAATTGATGTCCATCTCCTAAATATTTGGTCACATGATCAGTTTCTTTTACCATTTCCAAGCAACAAAAAAACGGGTGACTCAACTTACCTTTTGGCTCAATTTACCCCACTCTCCTCTATTATAGTTTAATTAAGCTGTACATTGTTACACAAACAATACATCATAATGATTTATAGCATGATGTAGTTGCAATGAATATTGTTGTTTGTCTGATATGATGAGTTTTGAAAGAAAGGGATTCACAAAGATGCAAGAATTATCACTCCACTCTTTTGAATTACCCAGAGTTTCAACACACTGTGGTCTGTATTCATCTTTGCATATGAGACATCAGTCTTTTTGAATTTTGGTGCGTGTGGTTACCTCTTAAAGGGACAGTCTTCTTTTATGCCAATTCTGTTCCTGCAATGTATGATAAAGGAGGAAAAAGTAATTAATCCAAAGACTCCATGCTGCTCTATTGACAGAATCCAATCTAGATTGAAAAACTGAATATTATTATCTTTGGATTACTCAGTTTTGAAGGTTGGCATCCCTGATTTTCTGTTTGTGACTTGAAGTTAAAAAGAAAAAAACACCCCCCTTTTCCATTGGGCAGTAGAGAAATGTTATTTCTGTGTGGATTGACCTGATAAATAAACACGGTTAAGATGCTCTGTTCACTGTGATAACTGCATTTCAAGAACCAACATTAAAAGGGATATTCCGGCTTAAAATTAAATTAGGGTCAAACACACCATAACACTGAGTTAGACACTCCCTTGAGGGGGTGTCTAACTCGGTTTTACGGTGTGTTTGACCCTAAATTAATTTTATGCCGGAATATCCCGTTAAGAACAAAAGAGGATTGGGCTTTAAGAAAATACAACTCCTCAAAGAGTGAGATGCACGATAAATGTGATTCCAGTGTTGTGAAGTTTAATCAAGACAACAAACAGCAGTAGCTTTCATGTAAAAAAGGGACAAAAACACAGAAATGACATTGCAACCGAGGCTTTAAAATATAGGCAGACAACATTCATCTTAGGCTGCTCTTCATAACTCGATGATTTTATCAAAGTAAAACTCTGAACCTGGACTTAGTCACAAAGCCTGTTCTGGGTTTTACTTTGCTAGTGTATCCAGATGATTTAATTACAAATTTTATAAACATACAACTCCAGTTAAAAGGGTAATCTCTCTTTCCCCTCAACACTGCAGCTCAAGTAGCCCTTAATGAGAACTGTAACAGATTTCTGGAAGTGTTTCATATCCGTGATCAAAAAAGACAGCCAAAGCATGAGGGGGACTAAGACTGCAATCAGCAATGTCGAATTTGGATCAGACTGCAAAGTAAAAATGAATCTCTATCTTTTTACGATTAAACTTAGAAGAATTTGAAACCTCTGTGTAAGTGCAACAGCCTCCTAAATACAGCAGAATACTCGGTAAGGACTTAACAAATAAACTGCATCACACTGACCCACACACACCAACGCACTTTCATCAATTTGATAAATACACATAAAGAATGAAAAATAAACAGGAGATTTACAGCAGGTGGTCTATAATACAAGTCGAGGACAATTTCAGGCACCCCCATCCTCCCCCTGACCAGTGAGTCAATTAAATATTTTAAAGACCATGAATCATCTTCAGTGCATCTTCTAGTTTCCTCCAGGACAAAAAAAGAAACCGTGTGATTTCATTACTGTGAAGCACCTCACATTACTCTAACACACTCAACTCTGAGGCTTTTCTCTGTGGGGTCGGTTCAAGTGAATCAGAAATTCTTCAATCATCCATTTGGAAAATCCTTTTGCCTAGTAAAACAAAGCTCCAGCCGGTACCTACTAATGCCTGTTAGCTTATTATACCCACCCTCGCTAAAGGTGATAACAGAAGTTTTTTTTTTTAATATCCATTGGAGGCGATAAAGCACAAATGTGTCACCTTGCAGCTGCACCATCAACAGAATCAAGTCCTTTCCTTTAAAAGGAAGTGTCTTCTTCTGCCCCCTACTGGTAAGAGCTAAGATAGCATTCTTACAGGAAGACAAACTCATCACTGTTTCTTCTGTTGTTACTCCTGCCATGTTTGCCCCCTGGGGGCAGAATGTGGGCTGGAGGTCCACTGTGATTGCTGCTGTGACCCTCAAGTCCGTAATCCTGACTCCGGCCCTCCACAAAGGTAAAGATGGGATACTTCTCCTTTGTCGAAGACAAGGCCTGATGAACGAAAAACAAAACCTTGTTTAGAGAAATAGCCCAGAAACACTATGCACAGAAATAAAAACTCCACGGACAGAACAGAAATGGACTGATGTCAACAGACAGCATGGCTGTTAAATCAAGGAGATCAGGTTCTACGACATTTGAGAGCCTTAATTAAACCAGAGCTCTAATTGCTTCTTCAATCACATAATAATTAACAGTTTTTAAATATAGTTAAGCTACAAAGGAAGTATAATCTCAGGAATTCTAAATTGCATTTCTAATGTCTTCCTGACAGCTGAGAACTGTGATCCCTCGTCTGTTAGTAAGAGGTTGTATAGTGATCTGGTGTTTGTATTTTTGTGTACTGCTTCACATTGCTCCGTGTACTTCAGGATAGAATTATTCTCTTAACATCCTGTGTTGACCCCTGTCCTAGGAGTTCAATCTGACTGTCTTTTGACAAGCAGAAACACAAAGCTTCACAGAGTTCAGACAGCTTTAGAGAGGGACCGAACTCTAACTCAGGGAATACTCTGTATCCTTCAATGACCCAGTGTTTCGTTAAGAGTTGTTACTGTCTGCTCATGTTGGTAATGTGAATTCAGAAGAAAGAGGGGGTACCATCACAGGGCTGTTTTCATGCACACTTGCTTGAGTCAAGGATAAAATCAAAAACCTTTATTTATTCAAGGCATCTCTAATCATAAGTCTTCAACAATCAGGAAAATCGCTAATCGAGCCCTGATGAAGACTCTGAGATGGTGGAATTTTCCTGATTGTTAAAGACTCTCAAGTAGAAATGCCCTGATTAAATAAAGGCTTCTCAACTTGATGGTTGGCTCAAGCAAGTGTGCCTGAAGGCAGCCCAGGATGTTCCTTTTTTTCAACATATAACAAATAATATATAACAAAAAACTGTAACTGTGCTCTAAAAAGACAGTTTCCTTGGGAGATGTCTACTAGATTTGGCAGCTTGAGATTGCTTTTGTTCAAGTAAAATGTGTTTTTTAACACACAGTAGACTGAATTTTGTCCCCCATCACTTGCTTCCGACACTTTTCGGTCTCTTATTTTATTAAATGCTATCCCATTTAGAGTGAGACAAGTTTGTAAAAAGAACTCACCACACTGACAGCAGAACAGAGGGACTCAAAGTCCTTCTTGTTCTTGGCATAAAAGCCGACAGTACAGCTGGGATCCATGCGGTTGAAGGGCATCTTTTTGGGAGAGCTACAGTGGAACGACTAGAGGGAACGACAGAAGAAAACAGAGATCACATTACTAGGAGCAGTAGAAGCTCATGTGAGTAAATGATATCTTAAAACGTCTCCACAGTCCACAGTGATGAAGAAAAGGAGAGAAAAAGAAAGACAGACTAGAGAGTGACAGACATGAACAAACCTCCAATGAGAAGTTGACTTGTGAGACATCGACCACAGGCTGGCAGTAGTGAGGGTCCAGATACAGCAGCTGCTCATCTAAGAGACAGCAGGAAGGAGTCAGAGGGACAGACTAGAACATGGACCGGTGAGTAAATCTAACCATTACCAGAAACGGATGAATGGCTCAGGTAGCTTTATATTTGCTGTTTCCATAGTGTTGTTAGCAGAACAGCAGAACCAGAAACTGCACCTTCCTTAAGAGATCATTAGATGCTGACGGAAAATTGGGTCAACCATCATAGTAAACTTTAACCAGAAAACTTTGAAAACATCTTTAATTTTGAGAAAACGTTTAGTAGGTAGAAAAGAATCTCTTATTTTTACTCCTTTTTCCTATTTCCATTCTTATGTGTCCTTGCGACAAGTAATCAAAATTCCAGTTATGTGATATCAATGATTAAAGAGGTCTCTCTCAGACAGTGTTACTTTCTGGTTCACAGGGTCCGAGCTCCCTGAGCAATGGTTGCACCGTCAAGCTGTTTTTGTTTGTTTTAAGAAGGACAAAAGTCTTATTTCTATTTTAACAAACCTGTCTCCACACCTCACATGACTGACCAGCAAGGATTTTTGCCACCGTACTTACTGAAGTTGTTTCTAGATAATATACATATATACCACAACAGCAGAGTTAAGAGTAAAGTTCTCTCCAAATTTAGGAATTTTTTCTCAACTGTTGTTTAAGGTCTCTGAAGTTTTACTATTAAGCAAACAGTTTCACTCTGATGCAACAGACATTAATGATTCAAAGAAGGTGGTCTTGACATCTCGAAAAACAAAGATTCTGGCAAGAAAAAAAGGGTTTATAAACATGACAGATTTCCATCTGTTCGAAAGATTTCCATGAAGGTCTGTCCTGCCTTTTCACACAGAGCTAAACAATACTTTAGTTTTAGATCATGCTTGACGAGATGTAGTTTTCAGTATTTCAATAAACAGAAAAGAGGAAAAGGAAACCAACAGCTGCTTTTCTAAAAATGCCTGAACAAAATACCAAGAAGTACTCACTTGCTGCTGTAAGAATCACAGATGTATTTGGGGCAAATTTTACCTTCAATTGGGACCAACTCTGAGATGGAATCCTAAATCCAACTCCAACTACTAACAGTTTATGAGCATTTTAAGTTTTCGGCATGGCTAAAAGTTTGTTAAGGCCAGAGCCTGTCTTCAAAAGACTGGGATGAAACACAACCCCAATACCAGAGAGTTGAGACGCCATAAAGTGTTGTTGAAAATGTACTTTGATGGTTTGCAAATTATTTAAGGCCGACATTTATTAAATAGTGCAAAAAAAAAGTTTAAATTCTTTAATTATCTGTTTTTTTTTCTTAAGTATCAAACACATATGGGTTTTAGTTGTACTTAAGTATTTAAAGTAAAAGTACATGCCGTTCAGAAAAAATGTTCAAAATTTTGAATACAACAAATATTTATTTATAACTGTAAAACACCAGTTTCAGTTATTTGGAGGCCTCAGGCACAGACCACTGTGAGTAAGTGAGTAAACATTATTTTGAGGCATCTCTTTCAGTCAACAAAACTACAGAGTTCAGGACTCAGCTGAGTGGGAGTTACAAAAGACCACATATATCATCCGCCTGAGTCTCTCGTTCCTCTCCTAATTCTCCATCAGCACTGACTGACCTGATGACTGACCGGGTAGCTGTCCGTCTGAATTATACAGCCTGCTGTGCAATCACACAACAATTTGCTAATTAAACATCGGCATAAAACTGGAGTAATGAAGAGAGATGTACAGCAACTTAATGGTCGACCCGTGTCCAACTTTTTACCCTTAATGCTGTTTTGTAACAACCAGAAATGCCTGAGCTGTTTTCTTTTTCAGTGTCCTGATTAATTTTGTCTCCTCTTCTCCTGCTGGAACATCGAGAGTTCAAAATGAGTGGTGAAACAAATGAAGGAGAGACAGAGGCAAAGTGACGCTGAATAAAGCAACATACAGGGAGGAAAAGAGCCTCCTGGGAGGTCCTCTTCCTCTTCTACTACTTCTAGACTCCTCTTTTTTTAAAAATAATTCTATATTTATTTGTGACGTTTAAACAGGCACATTAACACTTCAGTCCAGCAAAAACATGGACATATGTCCTCCAATTTTGTTTGTTTTGGATCTGCCCCATTTTTAGGAGCATATGATTCCACATAGAGCAAACTTATGGAGCGTAAGTCAGAGTTCACTTGTCCTTCATGTTGTCCACTCTCCTTAAATAAATTAGGTTTCCCTGGGCTGTTGTTATGTCGGCACCATAAATAACAAACCTCTTAAGTGTAACACAGACAAATTGCCCAGATAAAGCAGTCGGATAGGGCTCACCAGTTCACTTCTAGATAGCTCGGGCACAACTTATGTTAAAGTAGAACAAAATTAAACTCCTCTACTTCATCAAGGTTTGATAATCCCTACCCTCAGTTTTTAACCTCTTACTTTTTTATTCATTAATAGCCGTCCACTTACAGGAAATCCACGGTTATGAAGCTAAATTACCGCATGTTCACGTAGTAACGAAGATTTGAGGGAAAATCTATCCGGATAAAAATACCCATTTTATTTTTAGTAAAGTAAAAGTAGAAGTTGCAAGAAGTATAAAAACTTCTAATTAAGTGGTAAATTCTTACTGTAAGAGAAATGGATCAATCTTGAAATTGTCTTAATAATGATGACCCTAACCCTTCTGTATAATTGTGAGTTGGTGTGATGCCTAACAAAAGTTACAAACAACATTTTCTTTTCTTTACCTTGAAAGCCCATGAAATAAAGCGAATGCTTTGGCTTGCCCCCAATGATTCCAATACAGCACTCCAGCTTCAGGATGTTCTGGAAACGACAACAAAGAAACTCAGAACCATCTCAGAGATTGTAGAGAAACCCTTTAGCAAACATTGTTATTACGGCGTCAGACCTTTACACATTCAATGTAGGATGGATTGATGGCCTCCCCTCCCAGCCGCACAGGGACCAGAATGATGACAGATTTCCAGGCCTGGCTGGATGAATCGGGGGGAGTCTGGTCTAATGACAGGTCGCACATGTGCACCACGTCCTCTTTGTACACTACAGTGCATGAGAAACAAGAGGAGAAAGCATATTCAAACTCATGGATGAAGCTAGTATGTTAGAGCTAAGCAGAAAACAACATCACCTTCAAGTGAGTGTCAAAGGAGACATGATTGTTTATATGTTGATGCGCTCTCACCTGTACAGTCCTGAGCCACATAGACTGCCAGGTTGTGGACAACAGATGTTTTGGCTACTGCTTTCCTAAAAACAAATCATGACTTGAATTAAAGTTTCAGTCAGCTGATAATATAAACTGCAGCCTTTTCTGCAAAAGAAGAAAAAAAACATCCTCAGGTGTTCTTACCGTAGGATGTGAGCCACTATAGAGGGGCCGTACCAGTCACCAGCTTTCTTCCCTGAACTTTTGCCGATTTCCACCAGCTGATGAACCCCAAAAGGTGCTGGGGGCTGATCCCCGAACCAGGTTACCACTTTATGGTGGATGGGCTCCGCCTGCCTGTCCCTTACAGATTCAGGTCTCTTTTTCTGGCTGCATCTGGGTGCCTGATCACTTGGCGAGGACTTCTCAGGGGTGCTGGACCCTCGGGTAGAGCCGAAGGAGGGGATGGGAACCCCTCCAGCTCGGGCTGGGGAGCGGGGTCTGAACACCTCAAAGTCCACATCGGTTAGCTGCTGAGCATCCGGCCAAACCCAATCTAAAAACACAAAGAACATGGAGGCTAAATCTTAAATCCTTAAATTTCTTCTTTATTCAACAACAAACAATCAGACAGCAGACATCTTTTGATACCAAATACATAAAATAAAATAAAAAAGTAGGAGCCGAAGACAGAAGAAAAGCAGGAGCCTACAATGACTCCCTGAGATATTCTATTTGGATATAATCAGAGTTTCTTGAATCAACTTTTAGAATAATTTCATGTTGTTCATAAAGGTTTCCTCCTCCTGTGTGGTCAGAGGGGTTGGCACAGGAGGAGGTGGGCTTTTTGGCTTTTCTTAGTGAGCTGTGTGACCTGCAACCTTTGTCAATAACTCCTCCTACACACCTAAGGCTCCAGAGTTTTCATTAGGGTTAGTCTTAGGCAGTCTCAAAGGCAAAACTCAAATTTCATGCACTTTAGGCTTCGGGGTTGGACCCGTCTTGTCAAATGATGTCATTACTCAATGCTCACATTGAACACTTTCTGCATGTATGTATCTGACACAGGAGATGTGTGCATGATGTGCAGTACCAAAAAACAAATTCAACTAACTCTGTTGCGTGGCCATTAATAAATTATTCTGATTCTGATTTGGTTGAAACAGGTTGAAAAATAGTCACTTACTGATTTATGTTCCGTCTGGTTTTATCAGGTTGAAACATGATTGAAAAAATGGCCCTAAATTTTTTTTTTATTTATTTTATTTATTGATTTTAATTAAGTTTTGTGTTCTTTTTTTTGCATTTCATTGTTTGAATCTCTGATTATGAATCAACTGGAATTGATTTCTTCCCAAATGCATCTCTATGTAGGAAATCTGATGTGTACGTATAAGTGTATTTCTGCAGACCTCCCTCGTTAAACCGGTTCATAAATGGTAGCAAGTCTTGATCTCCAACAGAACTGACAAGGCATTAAATTGTGTTAATTAAAGGTTTTTTTCTATGATTGAGTTATGTCAGCTCCTACAATGTTTGTTTCATAGTCTCCTGGGTCTTCTTCTTTATCTGGGGCTTTAAGCTTAGCAAGATTTCATCAACAAAAAGGGACAAAGGTGAAAAGAAGATAACATGGATCACCCACATCAAGAAATCTTAAGTGTCTAAAATGAAAAAAGGGCAGTTCTATCTGAATAACCCAAGACAGATTCCCTCACATCTTTGTAAACAAAAATGACTCGTTTTTTTTTTTTTTTGTGGATGAATATCATGGAAACAAACCTCTTGGCATCAAATGAACCAGAAGCCCCTGCGCTAGTAGCATCTGCCCACTGCGCAGCATACAGCCCCAGCCACAGTCTGTGGTCCACGTGGAGCCCTCCAACTGTGGGAATTCCCTCCTGTAAGTCAGCCAGATCCTGGACACAAAAGCCAGTCGAAATCGCTCCACCTCATCTGAGACGAGGACAACAGGTCAAGACAGAGACGGGAGAAAATGTTGCATGTCAGTGACATAAAATTAAAGGGGAAATTTATTTTGGTGATCTTGTACTGAGGTAAACCAAACATGCCTTTACAGAGGAAGAGGGGAAACTGCTGTGGTTAACCAGCTGCAGCTCCTGAGGTCTGCACTTTTCAACAACTGAAGCGAATACTGCAGCGACTGAAAGGCATTTTCTAAGATTAACATGAAGGGTGAAATATGTGTATTCAGGGCTCACCTTCACTGTTCAGCAGGTAAGAGTGTCCTAGGACAATAACAGGGGATGATTTGTTGAAGGAGGTTTTAGACTTCACGGTCCACCCTACAACAGGAGGAGCAGGGAAAAATTATACAAACATTTCCATAACATGATCACTCACCCGTAAAAAGACAGACACACTCATCCTTCAGGACAAGATTACAAACCGTATTTGACGTTGTTCCACGCTGACATCAGTTTGGCTTTCAGTTTGTCCATCTCATCAGGCTCCCCGCTCACCTCCCTGCTCGGATCTTGTGTTTGAGGTGGCCGCAGTCCAAAGCTGCCCTGCCGCTCCAGGGGCTGCTGCCGTCGGCTCTCCACCAGCTCATCCTGCATCACTCCCCCGACGTACTGTGCTGCACTGGGGGAAACGGAGTTCATGTCTCTGAGTCCTCAGAGTTGGAGTCTTGTGATCCTCATTTCAAAACAGAACTGGTGAGAGATTTTGAAAAGAATATCAGATAATGAAATTCATGATGGACTTTCAACAAGAGTTAACATGAAACTGGACATTGGACATTTCTACTTTTACCTACCACTGACTATGACTTTTATCACTCCATATCATCATTGAAACCTTCCAACTTTTACTTCCAGCATCAAATGCAATGCATGTCTGTCAATCCTTGAAGTGAGATTCAACACTTCCAAAAGTTACATGACTTTCTTCATAATAAATAACACTGACTTCATTTTACCAGCTGTAGTAAAGTAGCTGTTTTGGAGAAATTGTGACCAAAACAATGACAGAACATGAGAAAGAATAAGTCACAGATACATTTTTAAAGATTCTTAAGTAAGAAAATGCACATGTACAGTCAAATGCTATGAAAAGCTTGTGAGCTTCACTTGCTAGAAGCAGATGACTGAGAACAGAAAACAAAAGATTAGTCAAATAAGAATTTAGATGTTTATAACAGTGTGTAACATTTGCTGTTTTACTTTATAACCTGGCTGTAGTAAGAATAAAGGTTGATTCATGGCCGTAAAATTAGTGGTTTGAAAATAATTTTCTATCTCCTGTTAACAGCTCTTATGTCTCATTACAGCACTTCAAGTTTTAAAGTTAATTTTGTCTCCAACAGATGATCTGTATGTATCAGTGTCACAGTTGTGGGTTAAATCCACAAAGTTTAATGCAGCGACTGTGAGGAGTATAAAACTTGTCAGCTAAATAAATGTAATTATATCTATTTGTGAAACATAACAGACTCTTGGTTGTAAAAATCTTGTTTTTCAATTTGATTTAGGGTTAGACAAAAGATTTTCCGCTCAACATATCAACAATTAATACACTTGCAGCTTTGTTACTTGCAGCTCTATAAAAAAAAAAAAAAAAACCTCTACAAAAAGTTAAGTCCTGGGTTTTATGCAGGGATTATTTGTATAACTCCATTTCTTAGGCCATGAAAGAAGTGTTATACTGCTAAATTCACGTGGTTTTATTGCTGTGCAAGGGAAACAGCCAGCCTGCAGGCCAAGAGCAGGTGCTTACTTCCTTAAAAGAATAAATAAACACAACACTGACAATGTAAACTCGGCTCTTTTTTTCGTGTGTGTCAACTGCTGATTTCACAGAACACAAAAGGAAAACTACAAATGACTTCTCCACTCTGACCTAAAACTGATGAATTGTAGTTTCGACTCAGAACAGAAGCTCTGTGTGTGTGTGTGTGGAGTCGCTGATTACAATAATGGGAATATTTCTGAGAAGAAAAAAAAAAAACACAGCATGTGATCAGCATTTGACAACCAGCAGCGCCTGTGAAAGTCATCTGATTATGGTGACTGCCATCATCTATGATTGTAGATCAAGCTGTTGGACAAGTAATGCAATATGTCAGAGACAGATCCGTCACGACATTAGTATAGTGTTGTTTGCCATAGGTCCTAAAATAAATCATCAGTCTTAAAAATGTCCATCTCATAGCCTTTCTTAAAGATGTGATAAAACAGATAAGCTTTCTCTTCATAACACAACATTATAGCCTCACTCGAAGGTGTTATTGCGAAGGTGTGAGTGCTGTATTCTGAGTTTAAAATTGAATAAATATTAAAAGAGTTAGAGTTAAAGGTTAAACCTGTGTCTCAAACATCTGCTCTTGTGCCAAAATCCGCTTCTGTTGCCAAAAATCTGATCAAGGGCCACAACTCTGTAGCATAAACAGAATCAAAAGGACTAATTTTGAAACTTTCTGACATGATTTTAACATGACACACTGGACGGTGTTGGGGTGATAGGCGGCTAGGAACAGATTTGATGCATTTTTTCTGCATTTTAACAAAATCAGAACGTTAACCTACGATTTAATGTCTTTTTTGTGTGTTTGTTTATTTATACAAGGTTGCATTAAGGGTTCGAGTCTTTCGGCTTTCACAGCAAAGATCCAGTGACCGCCGCGGATCCGATGTCCTCCCTCAAACAGGACTAATGTACATCCAGTCCAAACCTGAGTTTACATACCTGCAGTTAAGCTGGTTATATCGGTTGGAACAATGTAGTGGGTTGAATCATTTCTTCATTTGTGCCTCTCCTCGTAAATGACTAAATTCACCCTTCACGGGTAAATTCAGTGTGTTAGCATACTAAAGCGAGCTAACGTTAGCATCTTTGGAAGCTAGCCCCCGGCGTTAGCGTACCAAGCAGTAAAGTCAGACTGACAAAACACCTTTAATTATAAAAAATAATTATATATGTATCTGCCAATGTAATACGAGCTCCCAAATTCCCCAAAAATGTTACTTTATACACGCCATTAAGGACACAACCGGATGTTTAACGTCCCTATCCGAACGCCGCTTTGACAGCTCCCTTTAACAGGAGAGGGCATTTACTTCCTGTTGCCCTTCCCTGGCGCATTCCATTGGTTGAAACGATCACTGCGAAGAAAGCTGATTGGACAATGCTCTTATTATACATTTCAGCCATTTGTCATTGGCTACCGTCATGTTAGCCATGTTATGTAATAGGTAACATAGTAAACATACGTCTCTAATCCTGTAATAGGCTATTCCACTGTGACCAAAGTCCGATGTACTAAATCAATCTTAATTAAAAAGAATTTAAATCAATGTAACATGCAATTCCACGAGTGACCTTTGACTCTTTATAGTACAAAAGTAAAGAACAAGTGAATATTTTTTTATTGTTGTCATGTTGATTGTGTCAGTCAACTTGTTCCATTCGCATACTGTACAAAACAAGAAAAGTACTAAACAAAAGGGGGTTGTTTTTGTTATTTATAGGTCCTTGATTATGCCATATTTCTCTATGGGGAAATGCAGGAAAAACCTGTATTGACTCTTTATTTAAATTACAAAAAAAAGGCAATGAGGATAGTCAATAAGGTAGGATATTATGAACCAATTAATAATTTGTTTATTCTTAATAAAGCATTAAAGCTGAGAGATATTGTCGATATTAAAGTGTTAGAGACTCTTTATAAAGTTAAAAACAATATCATTTTCAAAAGTATGAAGAACTTCTTTAAACTAAGAGTTAGTAATTACAATTTAAGAAGTTTAGATCATTTTGAATACAGTAAGAGCAAATGTTAAATCCAGATGTGTTTCTAGAATATAGATTATGTACATCCTTGCCAACATTTAAAAGATGTCTCAAACAAGCTTTAAAAATGAAACCGTATCTATCTATCTATCTATCTATCTATCTATCTATCTATCTATCTATCTATCTATCGCCATCTCTCTTGAGAAGTGAAGATGATGAATGATTTGACCTTTTCAATTTAAGTGCTTTTCACTTGTGCTGCGCATTATTCTTTCTTTGTTTTGTGTTTTTGAATCTGTCTTTATGTCATTTTGCTGTCTAAATAGTATAAACATTGTCTAGCTGACCTACATCAGTGCACTCCTCATTGCCAAATGCATCTTTATTGTTACAGTTGCAATCATGGACATGAGATGATATGAATACCATTTTACTATTTTGTGTTGTATATAGTGCACATACTTGTATATTATCTCTTTATTACTTATTTTATCGCTTTATTTTTACTAATTTGTACTTATTTTAGCTATTATTTATCTCCTCTTTCTACTTTATTTGCACTGGAGTTACTGGAACAAAAGGCAATTTCCCCCTGATTATTAAAGTATTTCTGATTCGGATGTGTTCATAAATGCTTACCCGCATGTGGACATTGGTTAAGTAAAGTTGGTCGATTGGAACACAGGACACAGGAATAAGAAAGTAAGAAGAAACAAGTTTTGGAACAAATCTCAGAATTTTATTCCACATACTGCACTTCAGGTGTCTGCATTTAATTACATCTATCACAAACAAAAATGCCCCATGGGACAAATAAACACACTTTCAGTGAACAGAGAAATGTGGAATGTTTTTATACTTGGATTCAGTGTTCATTTGTAGACTTCATATTTTTATACAGTATTTTCTTTTATAAGTAACTTACAAACACTGTAAGTAAATAAAAAAAATCCTTTTTTCAGATAAAGTGCATATACTACTCTCTCTGTCAATCACAAAAAGAAAAAGGAAATTCTCAAACATGTAACACGAGTATTGACACCATCAATTGGGCAAAGGCCTGAAACTGGGCAGAATAGCTGTATAAGATTACATTACAGTCTGTTTTATGACTCAGGTGCTGACCTGATCACTGGTTTTCTTACATAAAGATACAAAACAACTCCTTCCTAACAGTACAATAATTTAGACAGCATTTAAAATGTTAATCTCTACACCAGATGATATAATTAACAGTCAGGTGAAGACCACATCAGAAGAGGAGGAATAAACTCCAATTTCAAGTGTTCATTTAATAAATACTGCAAATATTGTGTTTAGAAACATAAATGCATATTCAGTAACCCCAAGGCTGACGTTTGTTTTTGTGGATAACTCCATCACAGAAACTCTCCAACATATTAATAATGATCGAAAACATGTTTAACAGTGAGTGTTTTTAACCACTGGAGGGCAGTAGAGCACAATGCAGGGTACATAGAACTCAGGTTGTAGCCTGTACAACCTGCAGACTCAAAAATCATTTCAAAGCCTTCAAACATTTTTGTAGATTTAAGAATTGGAGACAGTAATCTTACAGAAAAGTAAATTCAAATAAATCTATATTGCATTAAAGATGTTTAAAAAAGGTTCTTATGCCAATGCTGACATTTAAATGTTTGTACAGCCAATTTTACAGAAACCAACTTCCCTTTGACTTTTGGCTACTTCCAGCTCATAGTTACTCCTTTTAGCATAACAGTCTACTAAATACCTCACACACAACAGTTAAGGGTAAAAGTGCTGGAGGACATTTTGCCGGTTCAAACTTTCATGCAGACTGATCCATCAATGAAAAAATCAGTTTACATTTGCAGAGCTGAGACGAATCAAGATCCCTGAAATAAAATAGCTGTTTAATAGTCTTATTTAAAAAATGACCAAGAATCAATTTGTCTAAACACCTACTCCTTGCTGAGTCTGAAAATGAAATCAGAGTATTGGCAGCAATTTTAAGACAGCTGTAAAAGTTTTGCATTAGATTATGTACACTTGATAACTGCTGAGTATAGAGGAGATGAATAAACCCAGAAGAGGAAGGGGAGGACTGATGCTTCCCTTGTGGTCATTAAGTCTTTTCTTGCTGGCATTAATGATGCAGGTACCGAATCTGTAAGACGCACAGCAATATGTGAGCTCCAGGCTGATGAAGCTATCCAACTTGTAGAGATTAACAGAACAGTTTTTTTGTAATTACTTTGTTGTAATAATTATACATCCCATCTGATTAATCCTAACATCCCTTAACATCCTCAGCTATAGAGCCCTTAAAGACCTTACAGTATGCTACATCCATGACTGTCTACCTTTACTATTTAAACTCAAAACAACACATGGGATTGCTGTAAATGTGCTTATAAATATTTTATACATACTGATTTCATTTGTCAATAAAGTAGCAGAGCGTTCAGCAGAGCCAGCAGCTATCACTGTATCCTGACTGCTGCCTTTTGATTTGTTTGGTTTGGTTCCTGTTGTGACCTTTGCTGTGTCACCCCGAGCACCCTCACACACTTCTTAACTCACCAACTCCCTCAAAAAACACACTCACGTCCCAATCCACAGACCACGTGGGTATGGATTTAAATGCATGAAAATCAAATGCTGACATGGCTGCCTGTTGTGGTAATGTGAGTGTTTGTGCACGTGTGGCGGTGTGCATGTCTGTGTAGGCTACAGTTAGAAGCAGAGAGCAGCAGGGAGAAAAGGGGGCTGTAGAAGCCCTCCTGCAAAGGAGAGATAAGCGCTGAGCCTGAGCTCTGTCAGCCCTGTAGCCTTTAAGAACCACCGGAAATAGACCTAAGGTGGCTTTACACACATGACTACACACAATCACACAAACACACACACTGAATCCCTGTGACAGGCAGTCATAGCTGGACATTGTCTGATGTGACATCTACTGCTTTGTCTGACTGTGCACATCAGCCCGGTATAAACTGCTGCATGAGGAGGAAAAAAGCTAAATCATGTTGCTTGATTTGACCCGCTGTATCCAAACTGAGGCTGTGTGTCATTTGTGTAGTTTGATGCACTTCAGTCCCTCTCCCTGTTTCATTGTCCCGTCTGATAAACAGTTCACGACAGGAGGGCTGATTTAAGGACAACAAAGAGTGTCTGGATTTGGTATTCACAGTATTCAGCATGTTTTGATCGGTAAAGCACTTTTTGACCTTCTTGTATAATACACGTACAGTACATTACCATATGACATGCGTTCACTTGGACCCAAACACATATGCATCTGATAAAGTGTTCCACGTTACATTAAGAGTCTTCTTATTAAATACTTTAAATAGAAAATCAACAGATAATGCACCTTTACAGATTAATTTGCTCTTGGTTTTAAGTTAGAATCAGTCAATGATTGGAATCAATAAATAACATTTTATATACATTTAAACTGGAATGTACACTGCTTTAAGTGCTCGACTTCTGCTGCATTGTTCTTAAAAAGGCCTCTTTTCTTTCTCACTTAAGACCAATAATTGAGGAGTCATATTTTGGGCGGGCAGCTACCTATCGCAGCCTTCTCTAGCGGTGTAGCAGCGGGACTTTGTGTCACCACTGCAGCTCCAACAACCCCTCGACCTCCTGCGGGGGTGTCGGACTTTCCAGCTGCGCCTCCCTGCTTCTCCTCCGCTGCTTTACTCTGCTGCTCTTTGCTCTTGGCCCCCTCCTGGGAGCCCAGCTTGATCGGCCCCAGAACATTTTTGGCCACAGTGGTCAGGTGGCTGACAAAGCTTGTCTTGTCGCCTGGGGAGACGGGCCTCGACTTACAGAGGGAAGGTCCACACAGGGAGGGGGTGACCGCGGTGGGAGACGGAGAAGGGGAAGGCGAGTGCTCCTCCACGACCTCCAGGCGACATTTGTCCTCCCAGTCCAGAGTTCCTCGGTAGCAGTTGACCGGTCCAAGCCCTTGCCTCACCTTGCCGAGGGAGAGTGGCTGTCCGTGTGGGGGGACGACGGGAGCGAGAATGCGAGCTGGAAGCTTGGGGCTTTTAGGGCTGATATCCTGAGTCCTTAAGTCACTGCTTTCTGCTTTTTTCAAGCTGTCCCCAACACCTGATGGTTTAAAGGTTTTGTTCAAGCTCGAGGGACCTGCTGTCACCGTGGCATTCATGCTGATGGATTTCTCCGGAGTAGAAACAGAGCTTTTGAAAGCAGCAGCAGGTAAATCAGACCTTAAACCCTTGTTATTTCCTTCCTGCTTTGGTTCAGTTCTGCTTCCTTGCTGTTCCTGGGCCTCTTTGCAGCTAGCTAACACACTTTTGGCCACCCTGAGGTCTGGCTGTTTTGGAGTTAAGTCGGTCAGGGTCTTTTCAGGCCCTCTGTGACCAACTACACCACCTGTTGTTTTGGTCGGCGTGCCAGGAGTCGTAGCTTTAGTGGTTTCTGCACTAATTCTGGAGCCTGGTCCAGTCTGTGAGCTCAGGGGCAACTCAGCTGTATGAGATTTTCTCGTCAGAGATGATGGAGACGATGTTGCTCCCACACGACCCAATCTCTCCAGAACTGACCCGGTATCAGTGTCCCTCTCTTTCTCCCTCCCTCCTACTCTTTCTCTTTCACTTCTGTCTCTTCCTGCCAGCAGCGTTTCCCTGCTGAGAGGTGACTCCTGTCTTCCAATTCTCCTCACAGGCTTTAAGACTCCACTCTCGGGAGTAGTAGATGATGAAGATGAAGGTAGGGGTGGAGGATTAGGGGGCAAATTTTCCCCATCCGTTTCCAGCAGGCTCTGGAGTCCGAGCTCACAGAGGAAGGCGTCTTTACGGTACTCTGAATGCTGCACCTCCAGGCTGTGCTTCCTCAGCGGACCTCCCAGACCTCCTGTAGAACTGGACTGGGTCAGAGGCGAGCCAAGCTTCTCTGCTGACTGCACGCGTTTAAGGAGGGGTGAACGTGGAGGCTCAGCGCTCTTGGGTCTCGGCCGGACCACCGGTGGCGAGGAGTGGAGCTTGACAGGGAAGGACTGGGTGGTGTTGGAGCTTCCTACAGTGTGTCCAGGTAACGGCGGGGGAGATGACTGAGTGGGGGAGGGTGTGTGGGCCAGCGGGGAGAGGGGGATGTTACCGGCTGACTTACAGCGGGCAGAGCGGTACTGGCGGTGGAGTTTAGGGGAGAGACCGTGCAGGGAGCTGGGCCTCATGTGCTGAGAAGGAGCAGGGGAGTTTGGAGTGCTGGAGGCTGGAGAGCTGCTCTGAGAGGAACCTGAAGGTAAACAAAGATCAGAACAGATTAATAAAGACAGATCTAATCTCAAAATTGAGCCAAAACTTTAGAGAACGCCACCCATAACAGCTGGTTTACACTCTTTTGGGAGATAATCTAACTGGACAAACCAGAGACATTTTACTTTTTAAACACGTTTGTTTTTTTATCGCCTTACCCAGGTAAGAGGGCTCAGGGGTAGAGCGGTAGCCCTGAGTCGGCGAACGGGCAGACAGGCTGTGGGTTGGGGAGCCAGGGAGACTCTCGCTGGAGGACAGTGAGCGATTCAGGGAGGACAGACTGCGGCTGGTGTGCAGCAGGTTGGACTGCTTTGTGATCTTACGGAACAAGGAGTTACGCTTCTTACTGCACGATGGAAAGATAAAAAAAAAAACAAGATTAGAAATTCTACTAGAGGTGGGCTTGTTCTAGACAGACATGATAGTTATCAATCTTGAAAAAAAGCCTTAAAAGATTATAGACCTGGGTTTGGTGTACATTTCTTTTGCATTTTGTTTTCTTGAAAATGAAAACTGACTGTCAAGTTCATGAAGGATGGAAAATTTTATCTTCTTAAGAGTACTGACATTTTCAGGGAGATCATTCAAATTCACTTTTATTTATGTAAAAGTTGCTGATAACCAAAAGTCTGCAGCCTTAAATATTTTCTTGGGGAGATTTAACACAATATATTACATGGACACAGAGGCTATGATGACAATGTTGGTTGGGGGTCAGTGTCCCTCTGTTCAGCTATGGAAATCTCAGAGTTTTGATGTTCCCACTTTGAAGAAATTAAGATATTGCATTTGAGTAAAGAATACATAAGTATAAGTATACATACAGTATATATATTACAGGAATAAAGGCAGATCCTCAGACTTTTTAAAGATCTAGCAATCTCATATAGAATTTGATCTTAAGAGTGTTCTGGATCAATATAAGGCATTTTTTTTGTTTTGTTATCTTTTCTTTGTTTCTTTGTTGTCAGTGGGTTTTTTTTCCCCACTTGTTCAATTGTTTCATTTGTGGCTTATTTTCATTTTGCTGTCTGGGTTTGTTGTGCTTGAAGGAATATGCTTGGATATTATTTTGGTCCTCTGATTGCTGTGAAAGGAGCCAGTCCCCCATTTAGGATTAGAAAATGGTGATATGAAGTGTTCTGCTTTTCTAACATATTTGTTTAGGTATCAAGCCCGTTGTATGTTGTGATTTATTTGATTTATTTTAGTTACTCTTCGTAAGGGAACATGAGTTCTATGTACATATACTTTACAATTAAACATGAAAAAAAGGAATATGGGAGGAACCTCTGAAGCTTTGTAATACAATGTGACATAGGGTTAGGGTCTCTTGTGTACCTGTCTTGACTCTCCTTCCCCATGGTCCTCTTGTTTCTGCGGGCCATCTTACACTTGTAGCTGGCTTTGCGTGCAGGACCCACTTTGATGGAGGTGTTCTCAAAAGGCGTGGTCGTCACCGTCACCTTGTTTCCACTCTGCAAAGATCAGTGACAGTAAATGAATCTCTATCCTCAGAGTTGCGTTGGAGCATTTTATCAACATACAGAAATAGCCCACTCGTCAAACTTAAAACTTATAAATAGACCACTAAAGCCTTTTTCTGACAGAAATAGAATAAAAGACAAAAATGTTGATATAAAAAGCATTAAGTATGGTTCAGAGAGTCTACTTCTGCCTACCTTTAAGATGAGCTCCACCACTTCAGTGTGGACCAGACCGTGGACTGGCTCACTATTGACATGGGTGATAAGGTCACCAGCACACAGGCCGGCCTCCTGGGCAGGGCCGCCATCCTCCACATGCTGCAAACCCCCAAAATATTTCAATGTTAAGAAAGAAAAAATTGTAATAAATCAAGTAAAGTACTGACATGGTGGACAAAAGATTCCTCAGAGGTTCACAAATGAAAACATTCGACATACCCAAACAATATGATGCACACTGTAGATATCACTGTCACCGATGTAGACCCTGATGGCCCTGAGAGTGAAACCGTACTTCTTTCCAGAGCGATGAATGGTGATGGGAGATCGCAGCACACTGACCGCCGGGAAGAAGTCTCTGCTGGGTGAGGAGTCCCGGGACGAGGGGTTAGAGGAGAAAGAGTGGGGGGACATGGGGCTGGCAAGTGGAGAGAAGCCGCCGTGCTGCTCCACTGTAGAAAAGAAAAGAAATAAACTCTGTATGTTCAAACGATAAATGTCGATTCAATTCCTCTCTTTTCTCATGTGGCTCACCTGATGGGATGATAACAGACAGGGCTGTTGCAGAGGCTGACTTGATGACCTTGTTTCCTGTTCTTGAGTTACGTTTTTCACTATCACCTGAGAGATGCTGATGCCTCGCTCTGCGGAGGACCAGGTCATTGGTGGCCCGAGGCCCCAGAGGATCGTACAGAGGGGTCATCACATCCCGACCGCTTGCTGCAAGACCTGGAGATAATGTAGAGATGGCCGTGGCGACTCCAGGTGTCTCTCCGTGCCGAGGGGATTTGTCTGCATAGGTGTAGAGTCAGGTGGAAATTACAGATTAGAGGAGAATATAGCAATGTTAAGCATTTTCCAGCTGCTCACTGACTCAGCAGGAGCTATGTAATAAGGAGTAAGTGCAGCTTTTTTACTTCCTCGTCTCTTACCTCCTCCACCTGCTCTTTCTGTTATATTTGATATCATTTCTACCGATCGCTCTCCTGCTTCCTCTCCTTTTTTACAACCTTTTGCTACTTTATAGACTTTCATCATGCCAACACACCTGCGCCATTGATGTCCTTCAGACTGCTCCTCTGCTCCAGGAGGCTCGGGGAGGGGACGCTGGTTCCATCTAGCGAGGTCCCACGCACCTTGATGGGCACCTGGCGGGACAAGAACTCCGGCTCACCGTCCTGGGGCGAGGCAAAACGGTGTGTGTCCATAAGAGCTGAGAAGCGGCGGCGAGCCCCAAGGGGTGGGCTCGCATCCCCTTCCATGTAGAGGGACTCTGAACAAGACAACCGCTTCCTGCACAGAAACAGTCACAAAAGATGAGGAAGATATTTATTTCTCAGGATATTTTGTGACAATTTTTAAGACTTTTTCTTCTAGGTAAAGAGAGTTCAACCTTTTTTTTTTCTTTTTGAATATTCTTTTTAATTTTATTTCCATGTGCCAAAGAGTATAATAATTCATTTTCTGATCTAACATAAGTCATACAAACATGTGCACATAAATTCAGGACAAAGTAGAAAAAAAGAAAGGAAAAGATAAATAAGTAAATAAGTGCAAACATAAATAAATAACACCCTAAGTGTTAACTCCTCAGTATCAAACCATATTCATAAAATCTTATCTTTCAGTTTTCTGGTTCTTATCTCTGTCTGCGTAAAAGAGTAACGACAAACAAAATATTCATGGTAATAAGAATAGTAACACCAGCTAATTTGGCCTCTAATAGTGAGATAAATGAATATAGGAAGAAGAAAGCGAGAGGAAAAAAAGATAAAGAAGAGAGAAGGTTTTTTTTTGGTCTTAAGTCACCAACAGACTCTTACAGATTTTGTCAATTATAGGTGACATGTACACAAAACCAACTGTACTGAATATCCATACAATAAAAGTCATCATTGTTTGATGTAACCTAATCTGAAAGTTTCAATTTAATAAAAATTAGAAGAAAAAGTAAAAAACAATTTGACACAATTAATCAGATAATTCTGATAAAACCGACACATTGGAGACATGCTGAGTTTCCGTGACACACATAAACCAGTCAACTGTCAACTTTCCACCCTCACCTAGTTTTCAAAGTTTGCAGAGGTGGGATCTGTTGCCAGGTTTCGGCTCAAAGCATGTGTGAAGTCTTGCGCAAAGTTATTTTTGTACAAAAAGTGTCAAAACCCGTTGGCAGTGAGACAGAAAGCAGTTATTCAAACACAGAGTGGAGTATGTGACAGGCACTGCAGGCTCCCAAAAAGAAAAAAAAAACCTTCAGGGAAGCACAATCTGAAAACCTTCAATCCTCTGTGTAAGTTTGCAGAGAATCCCACCTAACTTACTTTCAGCAACTTGGATCTGAACCCCTCCTAAACTAAGGCTTTACTCACATCTCAGGGGATCCAGTCCTCCAGCTCTTATCCCTCATGCTGAAGCTGCCCAAGCTCTCTCTCTTGGTGACCTTGTCCTCCCGCGGGCCCTTGTGCTCACGACGGGACACGGATGTCGTGGCTTTCTGCTCCAGCTGAGACAGATGCTCCATGCTGCTGTACACCTGTAGGGGGACAGATCACAGAAAAGATCAATAAGCACACGGTGAGTAAGCAGCTATAAAGTATTCAGAGAAATAACCAAGTGGGGGTCCCATTCGGCTGTGTTTGGCTTTACATTTTTCTCACCCAATTAGTTTGTTTGAATCTTATATGTTTGCTATGTTTGAGGCTGCTATCGCTTCATCAGTCAGTCAGTCAGTCAGTCAGCCTACCTACCCATTTATCTATCTGCCGTCCTACCTACCAACCTACCTACCTACTTATCTATCTACCTACCTACCTTCCAACCTACTTATCTACCTACATACCTACTTATCTACCCACCTACCTACTTACCCACTTATCTATCTACCTACCTACCTACCTGCCTACATACCTACTTATCTATCTACCTACCTACCTACTTACCTACCAACCTTCAAATCTACTTATCTACCTACCTACCTACCCACTTATCTATCTACCTACCTACCTTCCTATCTACTTATCTATCTACCTACCAACCTACCTTCCTACCTACCTACCTACCTATCTCCATACCAACCTACCTACCTTCCTACCAGTGGCGATTGCTCTAAGACTGCAAGGGAAGCTCGGCTTCCCTTAAAATGTCACCCCTCAAAAAAAAGAAAAAGTGGTGAAATACGTACTGCTGTGTGTACATTTCATTAACTAAATACGCACTAGAAAGCCTTCATCTTTTGTTCAGACACTGTGATAAGAAGCTGATAATCACAGGTAACCGGCATAACTTCGTTCTCATTCATCCTCGCAGCGCCTCAGCGCTTTAAACAGCCGGACGCTGGGCTTCTGCTGACTTCAATGTGGAAGCTTAAAGTGGGTTGTTCCAGCAGCGAAACTAGACGCTCATTGGATAAATGCTGGGCTTTGTCCCGCCCATCGGAAGCCCAGCTTCACTGGAGTTCTATGGCGAGAGGGCGGTCCCGACTTTCTCCCGGACTCCAAGCTTCTGCATCCATGATTGGATGAGCTGTCTGAGGCGAAATCCTTTTTTGATTGACAGCTAAACAAGCGAATCAGCGATCTTGAAGAATAAAACATCTACCAGAGCATTTTCCAAGTTATTCATTCCGTTGTTCTTAACTGCTCCGGAGACCTTACCGATCCTCAGCGACTGTTATCTTTGTTAAAAATGACTGCCGTTGTGTTTGGCGACTCTGTTCTGTTACATACTAATAAACAAATACAATTATGATGTAGGCCAGAAAAATGAGCTTCCCCTCCTTGAAAGACCAGCAGCCGCCACTGCTTCCTACCTACCTACCTACTTATCTACCTACCTACCTACCAACTACTTATCTATCTACCCACCTACCTCATCTATCTATCTATCTATCTATCTATCTATCTATCTATCTATCTATCTATCTATCTATCTATCTATCTATCTATTTATCTATCTATCTACAAATTGTCAGTGCTGGAGGTGGATTTTACTGCACAGCAGAATCATCTTATGCAAGTGCATTGCAATATCTTTTAAGGTTAGAAAATCTCAACCTAAATTTTGATTGTTATACGTCAATTTATCTTGTAATTCTGTTACACTCATCTTGTTGATTCAGAAAACCTCAGCCGAGTTCTATTTTCCTTCTTAACTTTTCTCAAAATAATAATAATTATATAGTAATTATAGATAATAGAGAAAATTATTTTCTTAATTTAGAAGAACAGAGTGGAATTTTATTTTCTTGATTGAATGTAATGCACTTTCCTACGTACTTAATCTAAGCTTCTAACGATGGAATAATTAATGTTTTTTATATTTTGATTTTTTTTTCTTCAGAGACGTGCATGAGGAAATGAGATTCAGTTTAAAAATGAGTAAGCTACAAGAAATTGAAGCAATTGTAAGACACAGAGGGGAGACAGCACCACAGAGAAAGAACCGATGACTTAAACTGATCATTTGGAATTCCAGCACTTTTCTTAAACAACAAACGCAGCATGAAATAAAAATGAGGGGGGTAATGTCTAAAACACAAACTCAAGTGCACGAATAGGGACTGAGTTTACTTTCACTTGAGACCATTTCAAGTTCACCAATTTAACAAGACAAAATCTGCTTTGGGTCTTTATGTTTGCTACCAAATGTGCGGAAACATTCAGGTTCCTCTTTGGACTGAAGAGGTCAAAATATCAGAAAAATTATCTGAAAAAAAAACAAAACATCTAAATAAAAGTGGTGCATGTGTTCAATGCAGACCTCTTCAATGTGTGTACTCAGCAGCGGTATCTGAAACCTGCTCAGCTCATAAGGGGCCATTCACCAGCCCTCGACTGTAGCTTCAAAGTCGTCCCACATTATGTTAAAATGAGGCACTCCATAAAACACTCAAGTTTGTCTCAAGAGCTCCTTCATGGCTTCTCAATGCAAACACAAGAGGATGAATCAGGTGAAAGACAAAAGGGAGGGAGATGGAGAGCCAGAGCGAGTGAAAGAAGAGAGAGAGAGAGAGAGGACGCGAGATGGAAATGAGGGAGTCAAATGAGGGGAAACAAGAGTGTGAGCTGAGAAAATCTCACTCCTGGGTAAAAGTGTGACAGAAATCGCATGCTGGCGCGCTGAGGGATAGAGAAAGACACAGATTAGAAACAGAGGAGATTTGTAGGTGAAAAAAGGATGTTATAGCGTCCAGGTCATTAAAACACAAATCTCCGGAAAGACAGAAAAAAAGAGGACAGAGAGGACTCCACATTAAAGCTCCATGAGCTTCTAAGTGGCTCAAAATAGAAACAGGAGACAAAGAGAAATAATGGTGTAACCGTAACTGAGCGCATGAACTCCAGGTATTAGACCTGAGTCCAGCCTCCATACGCTGCTCTATACTGCCTGATTGAATATGCCGAATATGCATCTGTGTAAAAATAAAACAGTTTGACACTGAGAGAGGAAAAAAAGGGTGAAATGACAAAGAGGGTAAGAGAGAGAGAGAGAGAGAGTCAGACCTTGCTAAAGCGAGGAGAGCAGGAAGAGAACTGTCTGATCTCCACGGGCTCGTCGTCATTGGTGTCATCCTCGTCGTACGTATTGATGTGATGATAACGGTCTGAGCGCGCTGGAGGTGCAGGGAGACAGAGGGTGAAATATACAGGCTGTCACCTCTACATAAAGTCTGCATTTCTTAAAGGAACGGTGTCAGAGAGTTATTGTGCAACCCCATAAAGCTAATATTGATGTGACTGGTTTATTTTATAGACGTATAAATCTAGAGGGGGACGCACTATCAAAGTAGCTGGTGTCTTCCTCCGACTCCAGGTGAGGGACAAACTCTGCTTTCTGTCTCAGCAGGCTGTTCCAATCCAGCTCTGTGAAGAATGAGTGCTGCTTCACCTCGAACGCTCCACCTGGTAGCAAAACAACACAATTTATCAGCATCGTTTAAAACACAGTCCCAAGAAGCAAAGCTGACATAGCTGACCAAATCCTAAACAATGTGGAGACACACCTACAGAAAATGATCAACCGAAATAGATCCACACAGCGAATCTAAGCTCACCCTTTTGGTTTTCATATCCTATACTGAATATTTCACCCCGACCTTAATGTTCTCATTATTTTTTTTTCACAAGCAGCAGGCAGTTATATTCGGTGAAAAAAGCTAAAAAATTCTTCAACAACTCAGTGAATACCACAAAGACAAAAAGTAAGCACGAAGCCAAAGAACACAGTGAAGAGAGATATTTCCATGAGCTGATGGAGACCAGAAATGTGGCAGAGCTATAATAGGAGAGAGTTGAATTTATCGACACATTACAAGACATATGACTCCTCATCGCTGCTTGTGTCGCTCCATGTTTGTTTCATTTTTGCATTGCCTACATATCATATAGTTTCTCCTGTGAGGAACATCCAGTTTGTGTGACACCTTTCATATCTCTAAAATTTAAAAAATTCACCCTGCTCTCTTTTTACAGTCAAATGTACTGCGCAGTAAATTGTGTTATCAAACACCGACCCCCTCACAAAGGCTACAAGGATAAAAACTAGAAAACAGCAATAGTCAATCTTCATATATGTATGGTATACGCTGATTGATATGCTGATTCCTGGCGCCTGCAGTCCATTTGTCTATGTGACCTTGAGTAGAGCCGTCACTGTTTGCTCGTATGTAAACGTGTTTAGTTAATGCTAACAACCGCTAAAACAACTAACAACCGCTGACAACCGCTAACAACAACTGACAATGGCTAACGATGGCTGACAGTTGTTAACAACAGCTAACAACGGCTAACAGTAGGCGTACATCTTGGTTTTCTGACTTGTTAACTGGAACGCCGTCAACTTGGGTGTAACGTCAGTCTTAGCTCCGACATCCAACTTCCGTGGTAACAAGAATGCAGGATAAGTTACAGAGTGAAGATGGTAAATTTAGCAAAGCAGCTCAGGCGCTTTAGGTTGTGAAAGGGTGAATATGTGGCAGTAGTGTAAAGGGCTTTAAAGAGCTTGATTAAAAGTCTCATAAACTAATAAATTTCCTCTGTGACACAAGTCAAAAGCTCAGTTATCTGCATGAGCCACTGCTCCTCGGCATCAAAAGGGCCAGCAGAGGAGGCTTTAGAATCTACCCAGGATGAAACCAGAGTGCAACCATTTGGGAGGTTTTTCAGCATGACCAAAACTTGATCCATAGCTCTCTGAAAGTACAAGTGTATATAAACCTTCAAAGGCCTCAGGATCCCCCAGGGGGAGCTGGAAGACATATCTGTGAAATGAAACACATCTGTACTGGCCTGCTTAGTCTGCTGTCCCTGAGACACAGCTCAGGGTGAAATGCAGCAAACAAAGGGCGTGGATGAATGAAGCTGTATTTGTGGAGTGTTGAGTCCATTTCATGGAGTGATTTCCTCTAGCATGCAGGTCTGGATGTTTTTCTGTAAACGGCTTTACGCAATCCTCATAATGATGCAAAATGGGTGCAGATTAGAGCTCTGATATTGAGTAAAAAATGATCACCTGTACCCAACCTCACAAGGGGGTTGGTCTGCAGCAGAGCAGAGATGAGGGACAGGGCATCAGCAGGCAAGGCCTCATCCCCCTCTGGCCAAACTATATTATCTAAAAAAATAAGAGAAAAAAAAGGGTCAAAAGAATGACATTACCTCTGCAAAACAGTTATCAACATGATGAATTTAATGCTGGTTTAAACTTTATCATTGAAAACATACTATTCAGCCATTTCCTGAATGTCAACACAGCCAAGAAGAAAAATTAACTCTCCTATCTAGAGTAGAAGATAACTCCTCTAAGAGATAAGAGTTCATTGATCATGAGAGTTCAACTAACTTCTCAAACTTTGTGTTTGACTTATAATGAAGTAGTACTTCTAAATTTACATACTGGCTACATACTGTCACGTTTAACTGGTCTGCTCCCCGTTCAACTTGTTAGTCTTTAAATTTCCTCACCTGTGATGACCTGTCCAAACAGCTCCTCAGGAGTGTCTCCGAAGAACGGCACACAGCCCACCAGGAACTCATAGAGGATGATGCCCATAGCCCACCAGTCCACTGGCTTTCCATAACCCTGACGGAGAATCACCTCTGGAGCGATGTACTCTGGGGTACCACAAACCTGAGCCGCAGAAAAACATCATCCCAGTTAATATCCATGGTGCCCATTCATTCAGAAAAAACCTGTGTAATTTATTTAATGTCAATTTTAGCATTGTAAAAAAACAACATTTGAATTTGATTATTTTTCTCAGAGATGATCCACATATCTCAACAGTAAGGATGCAACTTTAAAACTTGGTTCCACTTGTACCCGGTTCAGATTTACATCTTCCCCTTTAAATGATTCAAAATCAAACACATGTTCTCTCTTTATGCAGGATGGAGAGAATTAATGCTTCACAAATTTAGACTACACAGGAAGCACTGTAAGGCAGCATCTTTATTTGAACAAAATAGATTTGGCCTGATGACTTGGCAGGTTAGCACATATGGGGGTGGGGGAAACTAAAAGATGCTGCAAATGCCTCTCTCTCGCTCCTTCACTGTAAACTCTATTTCCACTCATTCTGCTTTAATACTGCTCCTGATTAAATGTGTCACTCTCAAACCGTAATTCTTTTTATCATTTTGACATAAACCGTTCACAAAGCTGCTCTACCTGCTTATCCAGGAACTCTCTGGCGTCTTTCTCAATGTGTCCCTCGTACAGGTTGGTGGTGAGGCTCATTAAACCCATCTTCGACAGGCCAAAGTCTGTGAGCTTGATGTGCCCCATGGAGGTGATCAGCAGACTGTTAAGAGGGAAAAGCAGGTATTAAGCAATTTAACTTTTAATGAGCTCAAAGTCTGTCTGACACGTCTTAACAGAAACTGTTTACAGTAGGTGGTTATTTTGAAGGTTAAATCACAGTTCAAGGCTGTCATGTTATGCACTTGTTGCTAACCCCATAAGGCAAAGTTTGAATAACACACCATATGAGAGTGCAAGAGTGGAAATATGGGAGATGTAAAATGACTCATCTCTGAGATCCTCTGGTTTGGTGTATATCTCAGTCTATTTGTTAATCTGATGGGATGATAAAAGTATTAATTAAAGTTTCATTAAATCCTTCAGACACGCACAGAAATCATTTCACTATTTTTATGTGCCATGTCAGCTAATATTCTAATACTTCAAATCTCTGTTTGAACAGATTAAAGTGTGTTTTTCAATAATGCTCTCTGGTTTGTTCCTCTTGGCACACCACAAAAATCTTAACAGCAGCCTCTCTTAATTATTTAGGGCAGCAGTACAAACTATTAGTGCAAACAAGAACAAAACAATATCGGCTTAAAGCTCCTGTGAGGAACTTTGGTATGTGTCAGTTTTGGCGCCCCCTGTGGACAAAAAAGTCTTAACTTATATTGTCCTCTATATGCCCAAATAGTGTCTCCTGACAAATAAGCTCATCCTGCTGAGTTTTGACGGTAAAATAAATCAGTTCTTGAGAATATCTGATGTGGAATCTTATTCAAAGCCATCAATTTAAATCAAAGATTAGCAGCATAATACTGTTACAACAAGTCTCATCTTTTTGCACCATTTTTTGGAGTCCCATATACATTAAAAAAAAAAAAAAAACATTTTTAAAAAAGTCTAAACCTTGAAAAAATACTGACCTTACACTTACAGAAGATATACATACATCTGCCCCCTCATACCAATTTTAGGCATTAAAAATTACAGTATAAAAATCGTTAACCTTGTCACTGGTCGCCTTTTTGGTTTAACATATAGAGGCATCAATATGATTTTCAGTGTATTTTATAAATTTCAAATAACTCCTACTGGAGTTTTAAGCACTTTTATTAATGGAACTCTAAGATAACAGCTGCCTATCTACACATTTCTACACCATTTCAGAAGCGATACCATCGTTGATTGGACTTCCGCTATTGTTCACCCGATAAATGTATGTTTAATATTTACTCTTATAGACATGATTGGTTTGTTGCAACTGTTAAAAGACAATATAATGTCCCTTAGTAAAACCAGATATTGCTCCCTGTTTAAAAAGCGATGGCTGACTCTTTTGCTGTTTGTTACTAGACAAATAATAGTGTGAGTAGTAAATAAAGCCTTTTTTTTTTAACATTTCATTAAAAATGCCTGCTGCTGCTGAAAACAAGCCTAACAGTTTGGTTCCTTGCTGTCAAACAACAATGAGAGAGTTGATGCCAAACTGCTCTCTAAAGAAAAAAAGGAGCTGCAGTTTGGTGATTGCTTGTTACATTACTGTCATTTGATTCGATGCAGATATAAAAAATACAGATCAGAACAGCATTCAACACTCACTTGTCTGGTTTGAGGTCTCTATGGACAATACCATAGTTGTGCAGGTACTCCAGGGCTAAAACAGTCTCTGCAAAGTACATCCGTGCCAGCTCAACAGGCAGAGCGCCGATGTTCTTCAACAAAGTGGCACAATCACCGCCTGGGAATACGCAGAAACACCACAAGTTATTGTTGAAGAGTCAGTGAATAGACTTGGCTATTTCAGGAGAGAGAAAAACAATATTCTTTCTTATACACCAGACAGAAAAGTCTTGTTATGTATAGATAATAAGATCCCAGCAACTGTGAAGTACCCGTGCCTATGAATTTTTATTAATGTTTAATCTTAAGCGTCAGTCTCTTTTAGAAGATAATCTATCCTTGTCTGTATGGGAGACACTTCCTACCCCCCTTCATCCCTCAGTCTGTCTACAGGCAAACACAGTCTGTGCATATGTTTTAATGGGATGTATAATGTGCTCTGAAAACTAGATAAAGTCAGAGCACCCCTCCCTCCCCCTCCCCTTGAGCCGCCTCCAGAGAAACCCATTAGGACAAGAGAGAAAGATGAGCTGGGCTGGAGCAGCATCTGCTGACCTTTTCTGACTTTCATGTTCAAGAATCATTGTGAGAGTGAAATAAGAGTCTTTTTGGCTCTTCTGGAAGAATGAGTGAGAGATTATACTGCACCACTGAGGTGAGAAACTCATACAACCTTGAACCAAAGGTTACAGTCACTAAAAGCTGAGTATACTTGAAACTGGAAAGGTCATCCCAGAGACTGAGAAAATATTACAAAAAATATTTCTAAAAAGCCAAATGAGTGCTTAACAAAAGTCAAAAAGAAGAGGCTGAAAGGATTTTTAATTTCCAACAACCCAAATATAAACCGGATTTGATGCTGGCAGAGAAAAAAGGACAAACAGAACAGGAAGAGACCAAGTCACCCACACAGAGGGGTCTCTCAAAATGATCAACACATATTTAATTCAAGAACATCTCAAGTGTTTTCAGGCAAGCAGATCATATATAAGAAAAAAAAGTAGTCCTTTTACCCTCAACATACTCCATGACCATGCAAAGGTGTCTCCGTGTTTCAAAGGAGCAGAACATGGAGACAACAAACGGGTTCTCTGCAAAGGTGAGGATGTCCCTCTCCACGAAAGCCTGCTGGATCTGATTCCTCAGGATCAAATTCTGCTTGTTGATCTTCTTCATGGCAAAACGCTGACGTGTCTCTCTGTGGCGCACCAGGTAGACGGCGCTGTAGAGAAGACAAGACAGAAGGGCTGAAAGTGAAAACAGGAAGGACTGCCAACATGAAGTATGAAGGAGAGACAGCATGATGAGTGTGGCTGAGAGGATGAAGAGGATACAGAGTCTTAGAAACCTTTCACATTATGTCCATTTATTTTAAGCCTTGAGCTCAGCCTTCAGTAGAAATGTCCCCTTCCTTGAATAAAGTCAAATTATCGGGATACAATGCAGGTTGCTGTGCTGTAAAGCTTGTCTTCATGCAAAACAAAATCTTTAAAAATGCATTACGACAAGGAGGACACTACATGATTTTTTAAGGAATCTTTTGCAATAAATTTTCTTCTCTTTTTTGCTTTAGACTTATTGTGATTGTCCACTTGGCATATTCCAATGTAGGGCTGGGCGATATGGCCTCAAATCAATATCACGATATATCGAGCAGTTCACCTCGATAACGATAAATGGATGATAACTACTCCACAAGCTGCTCACCCCCTCCTACATTAACTTTGTCTACTTCAGCCGCCGCTCCAGCTGCTACAACTCTTGAACCGTCCTCCATCTCCTCACCTGTCTTTCCCACTTTGTTACGGACTGGATGGGGTGGAGTCACGTCTCCAACGTAGGACAGTGTCTTAAAGGGACATGAAACCATAGCCTACCTACACACATCCAAAAATAACTTCTGTTTATTTACTTTTTTGACACCAAATATATTGATATGGGCAAAATGACGTTGGCTATTGTTGTAAATTTCGGTATCTGTAAATTTTCGGTTTATCGCCCAGACCTATTCAAACAGTCCATACTTGAAGCTACAAAAGTTAACACTATTCATTTTATGATACAGAAATAAATCGATGAATAATTTGAGTAATACAGTGCCTATTTCTCAAACTCTAGTTGACTCTGATTTGAACAATCAATCAACATTGGCTTCCATCTATCAGGCTTCTACATGACATGTAACCGCGGCTCTTTCCTCTCCTCTTCTTGTTGGTTCAAAGAGCACAGCAGCTCTGAACACAAACCACATCCTTTTTTTTGACCTTTTCTATTCTTAGGCACAAAGCTATATAATTGTAGCTATAACTTGTTTATAGAGCATGCAAAATCTCTTTGTCTGACCAGCTCAAGCAGAATAAGCCAAGCGTTGAATATGTTTTCAAAAAAGTTTCTATTTTATTTATCAAAAAATGATTGTTCCCAAAACTGGATTGCCTCTGGGCATAAATGCACAATTTTACCATCTCTGTAAAAAAGGAACATGTTGTTGGGTTTTAATTATGAAAATGTTGCTTTCATAATACAGCGGTTTCTTTTATCTACAACACACAATGCTGTCTCTGCAGCAGTAATTGCAGAGGTATTATGAAGGTGGATTTAATCTACTTTCCACACTTCTGTTGCATCTCTTATTGACCTTCTTTTATGAGTTCTCCGTGTAGCACCATTATTTGAACCTCTGATAAAAAGCACTAATGTAGCCCCCTTTCTACTCCTCCGGCTGCTCAAAGCACGTTCACAACAATCACTCCATTCACAAATATATCCCTGCACTGATTACTATTGGCACAATATTAGGGAGCAATTTGGAGTCTAGTGTCATGCCCAAGGACACTCTGATACTCCATTAAATTGCTAATTTTCTGATCAGGGAATAATCTGCTTCATCTCAAAGCCTGCCCCCGTAATATTCAATTCAATACAGAGAGTGAATGTTTTCATTGTTGACTTTAATACTCTGAATAAAAAATTATAATTTCAATCAGTGAGGTTTCAATTCATTGCTTACCCATAAGCTCCATTACTGATGAGTTTGATGGTCTGGAAATCTTCTTCACTTGGTGGCTTGATGGCTCTTGTTTTTCCCTGGAGACAAATTTGTCATTTTAAAAATCCAGATGGAGAAAAGGTCGTATAAAATGCTCAAATGTTAATGTTTCTTTGATTTTGTTTTTGGAGCTGCTGCATGTATTCATTGTGTGTGTGTGTGTGTGTGTGTGTGTGTGTGTGTGTGTGTGTGTGTGTGTGTGTGTGTGTGTGTGTGTGTGTGTGTGTGTTTACTTGTTCCTCACCTCAGCTGAGTCATCGGTCTCTGGAGTGTGCGGCCCCTCGCTGTCATAGCTGTCCAGACACACGATTTCTGTCAAAATACATGTTTGTTAACAAGCAAACCTCGTGTTCGAATGCAAAGACCTGGCTTCCCACACTGCTGCTAGCACATACAGAAACTGCTGCTGCGCGGACATCTTTAACAGCTTTTAACTTTGTAAAAACAGCTGAAGAGGCTGACGAGTGTCAGATCTCAGTGAAAAATACAACATCAGAATGAAAATAGCTTCTCCCTTATAATTTTCCTCGTCTGTCTCTCAGCGCTCCCTCCCAGTCACTTTGTACTGGAGCCGCACTGGCAGCTAATGTTCACTGTCTTCCACTCTTGTATGTGACAGCTGCTAGAATAGACTGATTATACCACTGTTTTGTTGAGCAGGAAAATAACTGAATGATAATTAACTTTCAGCTTTGTGTAAAATGAAAGCTGACATTTTCATACTCTGTTTCATTCTGTTTGCTGTGAAAAACCACTGTTCTCGTCTCTGTGAGGAGCCAGAGTGTGAAAACGTGGGCGTGCAAACTGCTACATGATGTGGGTGTGCGTGTGTGTCGGCGTGACAATGTAGGTGCAAGAGAAAAGTGCAAGATCAAGAGATCAAGTGGCACACGGTGAACTGAGTAGAGACGAAGCAGGTTGACATTTTTTATGAACTCAGAAATAAAACTCCAGTCGTTGTATTGTGAGGTGTCACCCTCTAGATGATAAACAAGTATGGATGGATTGGACTGGGAGAAGAGAGGAGTTAGGGCTGTGAATTTGGGGCACGACCCTGAGCCATAACGAGTAACTGAAGACAACCAATCTGCAGAGCCAACAGGCAGCTAATGATCCAATCATATATCTCTATACTGAACTTCCTGTAATACTGATCAATATCTAAGAGTCAGGCACTTCTTGGGGATTAAAGTTTGCCTATTTGACTATTGGTATTCTCCTTAAGGCAGAGAATAATTAGCTTAAAAATGGTGAGCTTTAGGAATCAGTTTGACTTTCTCTATGTTTAATTAAAAGTGCCGGCTTCCATCTTAAAAGACCCACTCCGTTGAAAATCATGTTTTTCTTGTTTTTTTTTTATATGTTCATATGGCATTTTTCTGATGCTACAGGACATATCATATCACAAACAGCAAGTTCAGAGACAGTGAGATTTCCTACGTAGCAAATCCAAGCTCCACCCCAGTAGCCCCGCTATGCAGGCCAGCCTTGGAGAAGTAGAGAGGACGATCGCTGAACAAGCGTGTGCGTAAGCAGATTGAAATGCTCGTAAGAAAGCTAATTGTGATTTTAACTTTCATCATGCTCTTAAAGACATTAGTGTCCGAGAGCTGAATAGCTTCTATGTTATCTGTTTTTTCTCCTACACTGGCAATGTCAGGCTGCAAGCTAACTCGAGGAGAAGTGTGCAAAGCAGAGCTGTCTCTGCCCACGACTCAGAGGCGAATCGCTAATGAGCTTCTGGAGCTCTGCGGAAGAAAAGTCCTTAAAAATGACACAGGTAACGTGACTTTGGCTAAAAACCTCATAATCACAATTTTAAGATCACTGATAACATTTTAAGTAGTAAAAAAAAGATCGGAGTGGGACTTTAAAGATAACTGAGTAGTATGTTAAAATACAAACAACAAGCTGTGGCTTTACAGAGAGATGCTAATGACTCTCTCAACAGCAATTCAAACTAGTTGTCCAGTTGTCACTCCTGTGAACAAAACATCTTGTTAAGAAATTATAATTCATGCACTGAGTTATTACAAACAATGCAAAACTAACAACAATGGTCAGATTTTTAAGATTTCAGATCAATGTGAGTTAGCTATGCTTTTTTGTTGGATGGTAGGGGAAGGTCCCGCCCTCCTTCGCCACTGATTGGCTAGAAGTGCTGGGCTCTGATTGGTTATTCCCTATACCTGCGAAACGTCATCTTCTGTCAGGTTAGGGTTTGGATTAGGGTTAAGAGATTCAGAATTGCGATAATGTTCTGTAATATACAGAGCCGTCAGCTTGAGCGTGTGGTGACGTTTCACAACCAATCAGAGGCGAAGGAGGCGGGACCTTCCCCTACCATAGTGTCCAGCAAGGCTAAAAACTCGTAGTTTGAATTCAACACAAGAGTTCTTAATTTTTAGTCGAGTTCTCTTTGTCCACTGTAATAACAGACAGAATCAAACTCATAAATCAACATCAAACACACTAAAACTCTCTTTTACCCTCCAGTGGGTCTCTGGTCAGCCCCAGCTGGCTGATGATATATCTGGGGATGTCTGCCTTCATGAGCTGTCCCTCCTTGGCATGGTCCTCTGCTGCCTCCAGCAGATGATAAAACTCCTCTGGGTTGAACTCCTGTTGGTGGAAGAGAAAAAAAATTTAATTACCAAAAAAAAAAAAAGGAAATAGAGAAAGTCCGATCAAAACTCAAATTATGATTGCTACAGAACTCAAAAGTGGCTCATTTAGACGTTAGCACAATTAACTCTGGAATCACTGACTGACGGGTTTTGAACACCAAAATTTGTCATACCACAACAACATTTTCTTACAAGGATGCCCATGCTGTTCTGAGCTGTTATTTTTTAGTTACACACCAAATAAACTCTCGGACATCATTTCAACTTGGCCAAACTTATTATCACAAAACTGGATTAAATTTCAACCTGCTGCAAATTCATGGCCAAACACGGCTGTGAGGATGTCAGACAAACACAATCAGTGTTAATACTCCTCCAAACTTTAAATTGCTTTCTTGAAAACATCTTTTTTTCACTGAAACAGCCTTTTGTGGTGTCCTGTGGGATTCACTTTCATTCCTGTCGGTGGAATAACATTTTGATTAGAAAGCTGAGCCCGGGGCAGCCAGGATCATTTCCTCTCTCTCCTGCTCTCTCGTATCTGCGCCCCTCAATCCAGAGGAAAGAAGGAGCAAGCACAGGGATGGGGAATTGACCTGCCTGGCTGATAGCCTGCTCTGCTGCAGGATAATGTTCCTGCAGCTAACAGCATACTGACTATGTGACATTTTCACCAAATCAGACCGCACCACTGACTTGAATGCTAAATGAACTCCCCGACCGTGGACAACATTTTGTCTGTGCACGAATCTTCTCCTCTCTAACCTAAGGGGCCATGAGGATCTTAAGTCCCCACCACATCCCGCCTGACCCTTTTGACCTCTTCTGACAGTTGCCCTAGCAACAGAAAGATGAGCCAGAATGGGGAAACGCGACTGCGACAATGACGACCACGTAAAGCCATCAATCAGTGAGCAGATATGGAGGCATAGCTAATCCAGTGAACACAGAGAGGCTGGTTATTATTTAGTAAGCGGCAGTGAGTTATTTATTGTTCGTATCAACATGCCAAGGACACGGCTCTGTCTCTACACTGACTGAGCGGCTGAGAAGAGGAAGAACATTTTCAATTTAAGTTGAAAAATATCCTGCAGGGCTAAGTGTATACTCTACGAGCGCTACATCTGCAGACCATCATATTTAACAACAACATGACCTCTACTTCAGAGAACCGTACACTCAGACGAGGATATCTAAATGCCAGAGGAGAAACTATATTCATATTAGCACCCATTTCAAGACGCAAGTTTATATTGTAGATATGTAACATGTGGAAAAGACAGAGAAGTACTTTCCTACTGCCTCATCATGTTTTAATTCAAACGTGACCACATTAACTATTTAATCATATCAGTTCTTTTCAAATCCACCATGCTGCTGTCCTTCCATATAATGAAAAATACAATGAAATAATGGATATTCCTTGTTTTTTAAACCTTTTTAAGTTTCATTCCTAAATGGATAAATCTATCCAGGCTTTCACTTATGATACAATTTAGGGCTGTGCGATAAACCGAAAATTTACCGATACCGATGTCATTTTGCTGATGTCAATAAATTCGGTGTCAAAAAAAGAAGTTAATAAAAGTTTGTTTTGGATGTGTGTAGGTGGGCTATGGTCTGCTGTCCTATGTTGGACACGTGACTCCACCCCATCCAGTCTGTAACAAAGAGGGAAAGACAGGTGAGGAGATGGAGGACGGTTCAAAAGTTGAAGCAGCTGAAGTAGACAAAGTTTATGTGGGAGGGGGTGAGCAGCTTGTGGAGTAGTTATCGTCTGTTTACCGTTATCGAGGTGAACTGCTCATTATATTGTGATACTGATTTGAAGCTGTATCGCCCAGCCCTAATACAATTTAATTTCAAGGCTTGAAGGGACACTCAGACAATTGATAACTGTGTTTACATCAAAGTCAGGAACTCAAAAGAACAAAGTAGATGTAATAACAGTTAGTTTTAAGCCCTTGGGCCACATGGATCGACCAAAAAATGCAAAATCATTCATTCCACATAATGCAACTTAATGTTTGCTTTCAATAGACCATTTCTGACTTCTTTACTGAACCATTTTCAAACCGAACACCTTCACTGAAAGGCAGGGTAGAAAAAGGAAAATAAGAGCACAGATTCAGCTCAGTGCTTGAACCGATACCCCAAGTAAAGAGGCCACAGTCCTCATATAAGGGATGGTCAGGGTGTAGTTACAACAAGTCAGTCCTCACTCTCTCTCTAAATAAAAGCACAAGAGACCAAAAGTAGGAAAAAAAAAACATGAAAAATAACAAGTAATTCAAAAGAAGTGTGCGATCTTTAACCTGAGGACAGACTGACCTGGAATTTTTGTTTGACACATATGTTGACATGTTCAACATTTGAGGTTTTATTTGTGTTTTGTTTGTATATGTCCTGATTTTAGCTCCTGGATTTCAAGTGCAGCACAAAGGAGGTGGACAGGTGCTGTCATCAGTTTTATATGCAGCAAACTTACAATAACTGAGCGCTCCCGTCTGTTTAATGGCACTGATTTCAGGTTAGACAGTTTATATCTCAGAGGGTACAGTCCTTGAATGTGTGCAAAAATGAGCCCACATTATTTATTTCCATGTGCTCTCTTGTGGTAAGGGAGGAAGTTGTTCCAAAATCACTCAGTAACTATTGGATGGCTGAACTTATTTGACACAGGTCAAATAAATACATAGTGAGGTATAAAAAATCCTGAAAGCTCAGAACGTCTGTCAGGGGGGACAGCACAGCTTCCAGCATCGACACGCTTTTAAAAATCTGTTTCATCACTTCAGACTGAAGGCACAGCAGACAGACAGACAGACAGACAGTCTGCCCCAGTTCTGCTCATTCTTTAATGTCATTTCAGCGAGCGGGTGTTGACCCTCCAGCTCCATCTGCAGCCTTTCTCCATCAGATGATGTATGACACTCCAGGGGTGTATACATGATTTTGTCACTTCATACATGAAATGTACATTTATGACCCTGTAAATGTTTAAAACAGATTGAAGTACTCACCAAGCACTCCAGGAGCCTGGCTGGACGAGAAATGATGATGAAGAGCTTTTTGACAAGCTCGATGACAAAGGTGAGCTCTGGACTCTCTGAGCGCTCATAAGCCTGATGAAGAGGGAGGGTGAGAAAGAAAAAGAAGCAGACAGGGGGTCAGGTAAAGGTGGGATTCTTTTGGCCTGAGGCGAAATCCATCATCTTACATTCACAACTCACGTCATTCAGCAGCTTCTCCAGGTTCTCCTGCAGTTCACAGAAGTATACGCTGGTAATGACGCCCTCACGTGATTTGGTCAGGCAGTCTCTGGATAGCTCAGCTACCTGGTGGTGGATGAAGCTGAGGACTCCATCGGCCAGCGGCAGAACACTCTCAGGGGAGTAGTTGTGGATGAACTCTGCCAGTCTCTCCTCCATCTGAGCCGTGGCCTGGTTAGATATGAGAAGGTTGTTAACGGACCATTTTTTCTTATCCTTGTCACGGAGTTGACATTAAATCTTCTGTTTTTTATCCTTTCACTGTGCTACATCCGCAACAAACCATGAATGACAATATGACATTTTGAGATTCCACTGCTGTTCACAATTTACAATTCATTACACAAATGTTGGACCTTTTTTAATGAGATATTTAATAAATGAAAATTTGCTCTAAGGTAGAAACTTGCAGTTTGCTGAGAACCACAAAAAGGGACATTTTCACCACCTGAGGGAGAATTGAACTAAACACTGATGATCAATTTTGTCATCTATTTAGCTAATGTCGCTAACTTGTAAAGATTGAATACAAAATACTAAGCAAAACTTCGCTCTGCCTTAAGTCCATGTTATTACAATGGCGCCTTCTTTAAGCTCTGTTTGGGTCTCAACCAACCTCTGGAAAAAAGCACCAGGATCTGCTCTGCACAAGCTAGCAAACTGACCATTCAAGGGCTGAGCGATATGGCCTCAAATCAATATCACAATATATTGAGCAATTCACCTTGATAACGATAAATGGATGATAACTACTCTACAAACTGCTCACCCCCTCCCACATTAACTTCGTCTACTTCAGCTGCTGCTACAGCCGCTACGACTTTTGAACCGTCCTCCATCTCCTCATCTGTCTTTCCCTCTTTGTTATGGACTGGATGGGGCGGAGTCACATCTCCGACATAGGAGAGCATCTTAAAGGGACATGAGACCATAGCCTACCTACACACATCCAAAACCAACTTTTATTTAATTATTTCTTTGATATGGGCAAAATGACGTTGGTTATTGTCATAAATTTTGGTATCGTACATTTTCGGTTTATCGCCCAGCCCTAGACCATACCCTTATTTGTTTGGTTCTTAGCAAGCAGTGATCAGTGAGTTTCAGAGCTTTTTCACTAAAGAGTAACTCTCTGGTGTAAACAAAAAAGTAATATTGTTGTGAGGAAGTCTTGAGGAGTGAAGCTGAAGGGCCACACAATGCCTCTGAGCTAAAGCTTCCTCCAGGAGACTAAGTCCTGACGTAAAAGCATTTCTTCTTGCAGATCCATCGTCACAAACAGCCCCTACATTTTTTTTTCTCATTTTCACTTTTAATCACTGTTATTTTTGCCAATTAACCATTCAGGCTTTGTTAAAAATAAAACATCGAAATGTGCAAAAAGTGGTCCTTGAAAGCTTTGGGGGAGGTATGAAATATTCTGAATAATCCTAACAACACCAGCTGTGGCTTCAGCCATCCATATGTGAAACAAACGTCTTGAGAAAACAGGGAGGATTGTTATAATTTCAGCAACATTTACCATTTATCACTTACAAGAAATGTACCATGTCTGTAAATACCTGAAAGAGATACAGAATATTACTGTTGATTATTCTTCTTATGATCAGGAGCAGCCTTCATTAACAATTCAAACAAGTGTGTGAAAAAATGTGTGAAAATGTGTTAGCTCTACATGATGTGTGTTTGAGTGAGTTTAAAGTACACAGAAGATACTCGTGCTCTTGTGACTTCTTAGTTGCTCAGTCAGTATACAGTCTTGTTATTTCCATAACCTACACCTATATAATCTGCCTGTGAGTCATCTTCCACCCCCGCTCTCACTGACTCTTGGGCCATCTTCAGTGCATTGGTCCTAACATGCTTTTGGCTGTGGAAATAAAGGTCTTTTACATTTGGCACCACAGTCACGGGGCGCTAACCCGTGCCAGCCCCAGTGAGGTCTATTTCCTGCAGTCGGCTGCCTAACGAGGCTGGTTGGCATTTTAAGTGCACACAAAGTGGATGTGCTCTAATGAAAGGATAAACGCTCATTGAAGAAACTCATCCCATTACACCCGCTCCCTAACATGTATACTCTACTATTGAGTCACCACTGCACACACAGGCCATAATGTTCCCTGATTACATGTCGGTCTAGAGAAAGAGTCTTTATCTGACTGACTTTGTCACTCAAAGGTCAGGCCTAACTTCTCAGATAAGGCTGACCTCCAAGAGTTGTTTTCCCATGCTGGACCGTAAACAGCTTATAGAGATCAGCTGAATCAAATTTCATCGTCAGGTCTCTGGCTGAAAGCTCTCTTTTTGTCGGAGGTCAGAGGAGAGTGGTAATCCTCATTCAAAGTTGCAAGGTCAAATAAATACGAAGATAAAAGCGGAGGATAACAGGCAGGTGTATGTGGGAGTCTCTGCGTAGGCTGACATCGGCTTAGAAACTGTCCTAGACTTCATCCTCACAGTTATTTTCCATTTAACAGCATAACCAGTTCACTCATATTTACAACACACTGAATTAGTCTTTTGACCATGTGTGTAACTATTGTGTAGTATATTCAACACATATTTTCATAAGTGCAAGACCTATCAAGTATGCGCCACTATTTAAGGGACGTTCAATTCAACATCTGATTGTAGTGTTTAGCAGATACTCACTAGAGTACTAGAGTGATGCTGATGTCCAACCTTCAGCCAACCCAGCACTTAAGGGACATTAGCAAATAGAAACCATGGCTTACTTATTGTATGGCTTTACACTACTTTCCTAAGATTTAGTCTCGGCTTTTTCTTTATTAAAACAAGACAGAAAAGACAGAAACTTTTGGAAAATGAGGAGTATGAAATGCAGTTGAGCTGATACCAATGCTGATCCGATATTGGCACTAACTTGCATGACAAGTGTTGCTCTCGGCTGCAGCGTCTTTTTCTGAATTTGACGAAAAATATTACCACACGGCTGACATCACTCCCACTCCTTGCTACTTTGTTAGCACCTTAGTCCACACTGTTGTTGTGATTATGTGGGCTCTGCATGCTGGATCTGGGCGCTGCTAGATAGAAGTGCTGGAGTGGAGTCTGGAATGGACTCATATCGGAGTGCTGATATCGGAGATTTTAGATGCAGGCTGATATAATCCGATATTTTTTTTGTTGATATCAGACCAATATCGGATATCAGTTTCAGATTGGAGTATCCCTATTATCAATGTTGCATTTCAGATTCCGGGGCATCACCTCCACTGAATTTAATCTAATGCTGTGTTGTGAGTCTCTCACTTACTGAACTGATATCCAAAACTAAAGCCCAAGATTACTGAGTTTGTGTAACTCCTTGTTGTGACTGATTGTTCTTCTCTTTTCTTATTTATGCAGATAAACCCTGATAACATAATTATCATGTATCTGTGTATCCAAGAATATCACCACAGTGTTCCTCTTGGCTAAGATACATCAATCTTATCTCTGATTTTAGACTTGTGCAGCATCTTACAAGCTAATGTAATAATGAGGTTCTTTTCCCTTTCAGCTTTTTACCTTTCCAAAATACCTAACACTTGCCCTTTTTACATTAGCTTTCTGCCGCTCTTAAACAAATATTTTAAACATTTTTCTCACAGAGATCATCGTGTAGCGACTCTGCTTTGTTGTGGTTAAAGCTAAAGGACTTGACAGCAGATTACAACTGTGAAAACCTGACATCAAGACACCAAAGACCTTGTGAAAGTCTTACAGAATAAAGAAATTTTCAAAGAACAAAGAGCGCGGCTATTTTTAATGTCCTTCAGAGATCAAACTCTTTGTATTAGATCTCCAATTAAACTTGGTCCAGATTCACACAATTCAGCAGCCTAAATTTGAAGGTGTGTCTTCGTGAAAGTTGTTCACCTAAAGTGTCTGAAAATGATTTGTAATTGGTCATCATAAATATCAAACAAAAGCACCAAAACCAAAAAATACGGTTGCAGAGTTTTCATCTGTGTTTGTACGAGGCTGACCTTGGGGAAGCGCTCCTTGTAGACATGGTTCATCATCACTATTTCATTGTCATAGCAGGAAGGTGAGCGCCCCGGGCTGCAGGGAGACAAACACAGAGAGCAGGAGGGTGAACTTACAGCAAACACTGAGAATATCAAAGGAGGCAGCACTGAGTGAAAAGAGAAAGCCGGCTTAACAGAAAGTACTCATCGTGTGTTTTATACTTTTATAGCAGGATAATAAACTGCTCTCTGACTTGCCTATCTTGTCCGTAAATAACATTAATCTACTGATCAGAAAGTCGGAACACTCTGTTTAGTTTCTCAGTTTAAGTATGAATACACAAGTGTAAAAACACGCACAGATTTGTTAGAAACAAGCTACAAAAATTATATTTTTTATTCTATTTCGCAGAAACTTATACCCTGTTTCATACTGGCAACAGGTTTCAATTTATGGTTTTAACCCCTTAATGGACATCTAACCCCCTCACATTTCCAGCCTTCCAGTCAAACATTGGATAATCATCTCAAAACAATCATTAATACAGTTAATACAACAATAACTTGAATGTCCTTTTAATCATCAGAAAGTTTCCAATGTAAACATGCAAATAAAACAATTTAAATGCTGAGGTGTAGCCGGGGTTATCTGTATTTGTAAATCACTTTAATTCTGCTGCTCATACCTGAGGCTTCGAGAGCGAGGGCGAACGTGTGGAGAACGTCGGCCCCCGTCATCGTCCGTGATGCTTTCAGTGCTGCCAAAGTGCTTGGACAAGAAGTGCAACTCATCCATGGTGGGCTGGAAGGGCAGCTGGTGCAGTCGCTCCTGGGATGAGCTGGATGACTGGTGACAAACATTAAAAAAAAGAAAAGAGAATAAGGTAATAATTTGAACTTTGTCAGATCTTTCTCATGTTGCAGCAGTAACATAACATAAACCTTGTGATAAAGGGTAAAGAAAAAAAAACAACTGGTGAGAAAGTGTTAACTGATGTGGTGACAATGAGCCAAAAGAAGAGAACAGAGGAGAAGAGAGCACAAGGTGTACTTTAAAGTGAGTGGGAGGAAAGAACTGAAACAAAAAGCGACTTACTTAAAAGGAAAACGGAGGGGAAGGAGAGCGAGGAGAAGCAAGAAAAATATCCAGAAGGAGTTGGTGTAGGAGGGTAAAACAGAATAATGTGGACTAAAAAACCAGAGCAAAAATGACTGCAGGGAACCAAAAAAAAGGGACTCCACGTAAAAGTTGACTGCTGCTTTCAGTGTCTGCAGCCTTAGGGGGGTTAATGGCAGCGCTATTCCATCTTCAACAAAAGACTTTTCCTCGGCACAGGAGGGAGAAACTGGCCTGGATCAATGGGAGGTTTAATGAACACATCTCCCAACAGGACACAGAGGTTGGCTTTGGCCACACAACAATTTCTCCTGTTATAAAGACTGCATACAGGAATTTGCCACTTGCAAGCTGCAGTAAAAACAATAAAATGGTAATGTTTTGACTGTACTGCAAGTCCACTCCACAGGATCAATTAAAAAGTTCCCCGGAGACACAAAAGGCTTCAGTACTGAGAAAAAAGTCTGCTGGATATCACTGATTATTGTCCCAGATAAAAACTCTTTGATATCTGACCCCATCTTTTCATGCAGTCACAGAGGGGTGCACCTTACCTCACATTGTTATGTCTTAGTTTTCTTAGATAAGTCTTGGGCTCTTCCACAGAGGCTGTGAAAAGAGTTCTTAGGAAACACCCTTTTTTAAACACCCTTTTCGTCCGTTTTATGATGGTGGCGGAAAAACTGTAACAGACCTGTTGCACTGAAGTTTGTATTCGCATTTTTCCATGCTGTAAAAAAATGAAACAGCCAATCTGCACTTGTAGTTGATTCATTGTCAAGGCAGAGATGGCGTCACTGGTGTGTATGACTTTTTACAGTTTCGGGGGATGACAAAGTTTAAGGTTAAAAGACACGTGCATCAAGTACTTTGAAATTAGGAAGAGTCTTCAAGCTTTAACAAAAAATCTGTTAAGAAGTTCATTGATGCTCGCCATATGTATGAAAATGTATGCGTCCATCTCGAACGACGGTTCCGTCCCTGCCCTACATACTTCCATGTGTCCTTTATGTACGCATGGATGTTAACCATTACATCCATCAGGGGGCAGGCCGGAGTCAAAAGTTTCAGACAACAACAAACAAAAAGTGACGTGTATATTTTGCATAGGAGACAGAAACTGAGGCAGCGTCGGAGGAGGAGGCGGTGGTCCGTCAGGCCAGTAAATGCCTCGCGATTGGAGGATGGAGAAAAAAAGTCTGTAGTAGTACTGATGAGATAAATTGACGATCGTCATTCTCAGTACTGTGATACAGTGCGTATCGGGTAATGACAGCAGCATAGACTGTATATACTATGAGCAACTTGGTTCCGCCTTTCACCAGTTTACAGATTTGAGGCCAAAAAGTTCTCAGTAATTCTTCAATTTTTCTCCCCTTCCTGAACCAACATTGCACAGTAGCATTGTACACATTCTGCAGGAGAGTCGCTGTGATGATGCTCTGCTCAGACCTATACAGCAGCCTGTCACCAGAGGGTGCTGTTCTTGCGGTGGCTTCACCCAGCAAGGAAACAGACGCTGTCCATTCTATAAACAGTCGATGGACAGCAGCAACACTGCCCCCATGGTTTCCGGTGGTACTGCTCCATCTGGCCCGTATCCGTAAGCGTCAAGGATACGTGGTGCAATACGGACGAAGAGAATGCAAAGCACGGATGGTCATCCGTATCCGGATCCATATGTAATGTTGAGCATAAATGAGCCTTAAATCACCTGTTACGTCATCATGATCTTATGCTGCGTTCAAGTTACCTCGGAAGTCAGATGTCGGAGCTGAACATGACATCACACCCGAATATAAGCAAGGACAAGGCAAGCGCTAGAATAACTTAGAATAACATAGAATAACTAAGCCATCTGGTTTTCTCCCCCGATTTTGCTTTTTTCCGACTTGCTAACTGAAATGCTGGTAACCCAGGTGTGATGTCATTTTCTAGCTTGAACTTTTGACTTCAGAAGTATGGTTACGATCAGCTACGATTGGCGGATACAGCCTTTTCATTTCCATTTCGGATGCGGTGGAAATTGGGGGTAACTCAAACGCAGCATTATTTGAAGGGTTTTCCATTTAACAACATATTTGAACAGTTTTAAACACTTTTAACAGTTAACTGAATAAATTAACAGTTCAAATGCATGTCATATGTACCTCCTCAAACGGAAAATGCCACACACACACAAACGAAGAGCCCTCTGTCATCTCCTATTTTCAGTATGCAAGGCTCCTGCTGTAACTAATCAAGTGAGTAATGGCCCATGTAAGAACCAGCCGAGCACTGAAACCTAGGGGGAGGGGATGGAGGGGTGGTGGAGGAGTGATGGAGGTAGAGGGGAGGATGAAGAGAGGGAGAAACTATCTTCTACCTCATCTGTCGTTGAAAAAAGATCAATGAGTCTCCTGCTGTGTATGTCGCTCTATATGCACTGCTGTGAAGAGATGCAGTCAATGAAAGAAATGATGTGTCAAAGAGCTGCAGAGAGGCACAGAGGCTGATTGTGTTCGGGATGGCACAGAGACGAACAGGAAGTGGATTACCAGTCAACACCTTGGTTCCACCTGAGCATCATACCCATTAAAGCCCATTTCTCCAATGGACTATTTACTAAATGGACCTTGGCTGCATCCATTTCTAATGCCGTGAATATCTTTTGCTTGGACAACATTCCTCCCTGGTAGCTTCAAAACACATCTCACCTCCGCCCACGCTCACTTTAACTCGTCTCTGTTGCCCCTTTTATCACCAACCTGCATCTCTGGGGACAAACCGATGGATGAAGAAATAGTTACTGTAACAGATATACAGATTGGTTTCACTCTGTTTCAATTATCTACGCTCTACTTTCATCAGAAAGGCCAAGTCATCAGCTGCACATAAATCAGGTCGATCATATCTTAGCAACTGATTAGTTATTTTTAGCTCTGGTTTACATGCAGTACATGTTCTTGAAACTCAGCAGTGAAATCCTTTTAAATCATCGTCTGAGACTAGCAGCAGCCAACTCAGAGAACACATGGGGCCTCTGTGTGAGTTTGTGTATGCATGCCGCTAAGCACAAAGTGTGCAGAGTAATCATTTCAAAGCAGAGCAAGGGGGGGAAAGTGGAACATGCAACTTTAGAGTGAATTTACAAGTAGAACAGCACACAGATTTTATGCATGAAGATTTATGCAAATTAATTCTTTTTTTGTGAGATGCATATTCATGCTGAAACCCACTTCATCAATTAACCAACAAAAGTGAAACCTTAAGTAAAATGTTGTATCTTGACTTTCTAACTTATAAATCTGAAATAAAAGACTTTTTTCCAAACTTTGGATCCTTCAATTTTCTGTTGGGGAAAAAAAGGAAAGGCTTTGATTCCTACAAGCTTTCACTTGTCATGCAGTGGAAGGAAAAACACTTGAAAGGATTTCTCTGTGAAATCATCACAACCATCAGATGCTCGATGTTTTACTTCAAGGGAACTCGACAGGAGACACTTTGCTGTCCTCTTTGACAGCTACATTCATGTGTTTTCGAGGACATGCAAAATCAGTTCCAGCTCAGAAAAATATTGAGCAGATGAGGAAAAGTTTTCTGATGCCTCAATTTGATTTGATTTAAATTCTTCTAAAAAGTAGATTAAAATGAGAAGAGCAGATTTATAATGTGGCTTTAAATGTTTCATCTATGGCGTTTATGCTTGCACCGCACTGTTGTTAGTGATTGTGAATTAGAATTTACTTCCTCAGTATCCAAAACCAGTCTTGGTTTGATATTGATTGACTGTCAGATGGATTGGGTAGTAGTTGAGGACTTGACAGATCGCTCTGTAGCTTCGCACGTGAGTCTGTTCTCTTCCTCTTACCGTTGAACTGGGTGTGTTGGTGCCATATCCCGAAGACGGCAGAGAGGCCAAGGACCAGCGACGACCATCAGCTCTGTGGAAAAGAAAGAGATTCATAAAAAAAGAAGAGGGGAAAATAGAGGACATATGCTACAATGAAAACAGCGAGTTTTTACATCACTTTCTACAGCCAGAATCCAATATCAGTTTCTATTTCAGTCTCCCCAAACAACAGAATTAATTGTTACAATAAAGAAACCCCACCACCTCCACTCTTTTCCATCTATCCAATCACACTTTCACTTCTTTTCTTCCTCTCTTCTCTCAGGCTATCTGCTGCCTTCCCTGAGCTTGACACTTAATCTGAGTGAGTGATGAAGGATACATGTTTGGCACCTCACCTCATTCATCTCGGTCTGCTCACACCCCTCTGTCAGAGAAATTCAGGAGGAGCAGCTCGGTACTAAGACTAAGAGTCATGCAGTTTTTTCCTTAAATATGTGAATGTGTGAATGTGTGTGTGAGTGTGAGTGTGCGAGTGGGTGTGTTCCCTGAGAAGTGTCACCTGCTGTGTACACGAGTGAAAGTGGAAAAATAATCCTGTCTCACTTAGCGCTGCTCCTGCAACGTAGCATGTGTGACTCATTGTGTGAATAAAGGAGCGAAGCCAACCTGCGAGAAGAGGCGAAGGAGAAGTGGGCGGGAGCGCTCGGTGAGAAGTTTCGTGGGCTGTCCAGAGGACTGCTTCCTGTTAAATACATATGGACACAACACAACAGCTGATGTGGACTGAGGATAACATATATGTGTTCAGATGAGGCGCTCCAATAATTCAGTCTCTTTAATGGCACCTAATGCATTCAAGTCATGTGACATGAAAACACAGCAGGGCTAAATTTTGTAAATCTTTGCATTTATTTAAGATGATTTATTCTTATCAATATATTTAAATAAAGTTTCTTAAATAATTCTATTTATTCATATATTTTGTATTATTTATACATGTAAATAAAGTTTTCCAAAATTATTTATTAATATTTTTTATTATTTGTACATGTAAATATACACTCACCGGCCACTTTATTAGGTACACCATGCTAGTAACGGGTTGGACCCCCTTTTGCCTTCAGAACTGCCTCAATTCTTCGTGGCATAGATTCAACAAGGTGCTGGAAGCATTCCTCAGAGAGCTTGGTCCATATTGACATGATGGCATCACACAGTTGCCACAGATTTGTCGGCTGCACATCCATGATGCGAATCTCCCGTTCCACCACATCCCAAAGATGCTCTATTGGATTGAGATCTGGTGACTGTGGAGGCCATTTGAGTACTGTGAACTCTTTGTCATGTTCAAGAAACCAGTCTGAGATGAGTCCAGCTTTATGACATGGTGCATTATCCTGCTGAAAGTAGCCATCAGAAGTTGGGTACATTGTGGTCATAAAGGGATGGACATGGTCAGCAACAATACTCAGGTAGGCTGTGGCGTTGCAACGATGCTCAATTGGTACCAAGGGGCCCAAAGAGTGCCAAGAAAATATTCCCCACACCATGACACCACCACCACCAGCCTGAACCGTTGATACAAGGCAGGATGGATCCATGCTTTCATGTTGTTGACGCCAAATTCTGACCCTACCATCCGAATGTCGCAGCAGAAATCGAGACTCATCAGACCAGGCAACGTTTTTCCAATCTTCTATTGTCCAATTTCGATGAGCTTGTGCAAATTGTAGCCTCAGTTTCCTGTTCTTAGCTGAAAGGAGTGGCACCCCGCGTGGTCTTCTGCTGCTGTAGCCCATCTGCCTCAAAGTTCGACGTACTGTGCGTTCAGAGATGCTCTTCTGCCTACCTTGGTTGTAACGGGTGGTTATTTGAGTCACTGTTGCCTTTCTATCAGCTCGAACCAGTCTGGCCATTCTCCTCTGACCTCTGGCATCAACAAGGCATTTCCGCCCACAGAACTGCCGCTCACTGGATATTTTTTCTTTTTCGGACCATTCTCTGTAAACCCTAGAGATGGTTGTGCGTGAAAATCCCAGTAGATCAGCAGTTTCTGAAATACTCAGACCAGCCCTTCTGGCACCAACAACCATGCCACGTTCAAAGTCACTCAAATCACCTTTCTTCCCCATACTGATGCTCGGTTTGAACTGCAGGAGATTGTCTTGACCATGTCTACATGCCTAAATGCACTAAGTTGCCGCCATGTGATTGGCTGATTAGAAATTAAGTGTTAACGAGCAGTTGGACAGGTGTACCTAATAAAGTGGCCGGTGAGTGTAGTTTCTTAAATCCTTTTATTAATTTATTATTATTATTTATCATTATTATTTTGTTATTTTTACATGTAAATATAGTTTCTCATTTTTTATTTATTTATTATTTTTAATTATTTATATATATATAAATATATATACAAGTTATTTTTCAATTATTTATTTATTTACTTATTATTTCTATTTATTTATTTATTTTTATTTATTTTATTTATTTATTTATCAATATTAATTCATTCGTTTTATCTTATTTTATTCATTTATTTATTTTATTTATAAAAGAGGACCCTAGCACAAACCAGTCTTACTGTAACTAGATGACAACATCGCAAGCAGGAGGGAGAACAAATTATATTCTGTGTAATTAATTCCTAAAGTTTGTCCACAGCTCCATAGAGATTGCTGGAGGAAGCGAAATTAATGACCTATACTGCAGCCCGCCACCAGAGGGTGCTGTTCTTGCGGTGGCTTCACCCAGAGAGGAGGCAGACGGCGTCCATTCTATAAACATGTTCTATAAACATGTTTTTCACGGTTATATTCCATTTCTGTTCCACTGTTTTGCTGAATGTTGCTAAATTTTACATACTGCACCTTCAATGCTGTCCTTATATATTTTCAATAAACACAGCAGTCTTTTATTTATTTGAGTAAAAATGTTTCCAGTTTTTATTGAAATATCACAGAGTTTCTTTACTGACCGATGTGTCCGGGCAGAGGAGAGTGTGGCCGTGGCAGCGTGGGGGATGTGCTGGTCAGGATGAGGCTCTTCCGGTTACTGGTTCTACAACTAGACCAGGAGAGAGAAAAGAGAAAACCTCAATATTTGTCTTCATTATATTTAAAGCTTCATCAATACCAGACCGATGATGACTGCCCCACACACCCCACAGAGTGACCCTGAGGTTAATGAATATACTGTCTGCTCCCACTTGTCACCAGGAGTAAATGTATAGCCTTCAGTGCTGCATGTGCATCTCTGAGTCTGTTGTGTATTTTCTCATGAGTGCGGTATTTTTTCCAGTGTGTGTGTGCATGTGACATGCCATAATGCAAGACTTTATTGACATCTGCCGGTCCACAGGGGAAAGCGATGGAGCAACAAGATTTTTAATTTCCTTTAGGTCCAGCCCCACGACAGCTGCTGCCGTGAAATATAAAAGCAGGAGTGATGAGGCGGCAGAGGGATGAAGAGGCAGACGGAGAGGAAGAAAAAGGCTCATGGAGGTCAGGTATGGACCGTGATTGAAAACAGAAATGATTGAACCATAAAAAGCTGCACTCGCCGGAGGTGTCACTGAACAACTTCACAGATGTGCATGAGGCTTATTGTCTTATGTAACGGCTTGTAAAGTGGGAGGTGGATTTTTCAGGTGTTATTTTCATGTGTGGATTGGGATGAGCTCACAGGCCCTTTTCGTGCTCGTCTGCGTGCTTCACTGGAGAGCCTGTCAGAGCAGATTTCACAGAGCAGAACCACATCCGACAAACAATACAAGTTTGCTCCCTGTTGCGTCAGCCGGCGCACTGCCCTATGTCTGCACATGAATCAAGTAAATCATAGATGCATGGATAAAAATAAGAAATGCATGATAACAAAACACGTCTGTCTTTTTATGTATATCCCTCAATCCATAATCTGTAAGCCCATCCTGCAGTTCTCCCACATCCTCCCTTTTATCGGTGGCAGTGCACCTCTGTGGGCGCCAGCTGAGGGAGAGCTTGTACTCAACCTCGCAGAACAGAGGAGGATCATATTGAAATATTTAAGAGAAATGCATTAGCTTTGAAGGGAGGGAGGTAGGGCTGGAAGTGGCTTGGCACTCAGAAGATGAGAACAGAAGGGCAAAGGCAGAAGGGTGAGCGAGGAGAAAACAAAAAATCAAAGAGTCTGGAAGTGCGCGCAGTAAATTCCTCTGATTCCCTTTGTGTATCCTGCAACCATACCTCCACTCTTGAACCTGTCTGCAATCTCCTCGGCTTTCTCCCCCTCCTTAACCTGCAGTCTCTCAAACCCACAGTTTCAATGCTGTTTTTCCTCAATCAAAAGCTGAATCACTTGAGCATTGACTCGTCAGGCTTCACTCCAGAACATATTCTTAGCCTTTGATTCATGATTCATCACATCCACAGCGGCTAAACTCTGCCAGAGAATCGTCATATGGCAGTGATTCATTTTTTATGTGGAATCTCATGCAGCGAACTTTATAATATCAGAAAATGGATTTGACCTTATGTGCAACAACTCTGTGGCTTTTTCCACTGCTCATTTTTGGTTTAAAATTTTTATTACTATAATCTAATAACTTGTGTGTTTCTACATCATTACTCCTCAATATCCTGTCTTATGCATGTTCTGCCATTTGAAATGAACTCAGACTGATGAATAATTGAAGCACAGGAAGTCAAGAAGACTCATTCCTCTTCTCTAACTCTCCTTTTTCGGGTTATAGAGTAACCAAACTATTAAAGACAGAACAAAATGAAAACCCACAAAGGCAGAGCAATCGAATCTTCCCATAAAGCCAGAAGTCTCTCATAGCAGTTACGCTTTATAACATTGTTATCTGCAATGAATGCTACAAAAAAGGCCGTCTTGCCTGAAGCACTTCTACTGTACGAGAAAAAAGGTTAAATAGGAGTGCTGCTCTTTAGTCTGTACAATAGCAGCCACTCGCATGTTTATCACCACAAAAGGTCAACATAGAGTTCTGCTGCTCGTAATCCTGCGTCCTGTGAGAGAACACGTTTGATAGAGGATACAGGGAGGAGGGACATGCAGTAACATCTCTCTGCAGATGCTCACAGTTTTTAAATGAGCGTTTGGAAAACAGCAGGAAATTTGTATTTTCCACACATCTAACATCACCAATTAAATGAAGTTACTCACGCCCCCATAGAGACGAGATTTTCAGGACTCCTGGTTTGATTTTGCGCACTAATAGCCAAAAATTAAACATTTAGACTCCGAGGTTGAGGGGGAGGACTCAGGCCAGTTTCATTGTTTTTGTTTGTTTTTTGGTGTACAACCTACAGAAGTGTCAGAAAAAGAAAAAAAGCTCTGTTTTTTAGAGAATTTTTTTGTCTGTTCTGTTCTTCGGACTTATTTTTTTCTGTTTTTCAGGGTTTTTTTTTTCTTTTCTGTTTTTCGGACTATTTTTTGTTTGTTTTGTTTTTCAGACTAGCTGTGTATCCTATTCTCTCAGATCATGATCATCTAAAAACAGACGCTTTCATCCCCCTCTGCTCGATTTATCAAAAGCAAACATGGCCCACTTGTTTAGTTTAATCAAGTCTAACTTTTTGGGGGGTTTGAGACACTGGGAGATACTCCTTTCTCTAAGTCAGATGGAATCATCATAAATTTGTCTTCTTTGTGCAGGCACCTCAGGATTTGCATACCCTATGTTTTAGCCGTGATGGTTAACGTTATCTGACTGTATGAGACTCTCACAGGATTTTAAAGTATCTTGCTTAGTTTGGGGGGAAAAATAGTCTGAAAAAACAGAAAAAAGGAAAAAAAATAGTACGAAAAACAGAATAAAAAACAGAGAATAAAAATTTGTCAAAAATAAATAAATAATAATTTTAAAAAAATAAGGAGGGGGGAAAATATTAGTCCAAAAAAACAGAAGGAAAAAAATAGAAAAACAGAAAGAAGAAAAAAATTACTCAAAACACAGTTTCCTTTTTTTTTTCTTTTTTTGGAAATGACTGCAATACACTTCCGTAACAACCTTTGTTTCAGTTCAGTGATAAACTCTTTCTTGCTCAGCAACAGCTCAATACAGGATACTTTCAGAATTGTGTTTTGTAGGTTGCAGTGTGTAAGTTTTGCTTTTAAAGGTTTTACTACAAGTGTAAGAAGGAGCAGAGGAATATATTTGAAAACCGCTGAGGAGATGACAGGGAAAACACAAAACTTGGCAGACATCCTAAAGCCCAGAAATGTGAATGAGATGCTGAAGTTACTTGGACTGCTGATGCCCGTAAAAAGAACATTAACCTCTGAGTGACTGAATCACTCAGTCCAAAATGTCCAAAAGCATCAAATCAGGTCAAGGGTAAATGCAGAGTCTCAGAGAAATCATCATCTAATAGTCATTTTAATCCTCTGGTGATAAAAAAAATATATAAATATATATATTGATCAGGGCAGCTTAAAGGTGCTGGGCTAATGTCCACCTCCCACCTGGCCTCAGGGTCACTTGTTATAGATTTTTTAAAGGTTTTCTGGCATCTTAAATATTGTGGTAATCCTGTGGATGTCAAAGTGCTCAGAGTCAGAGATCTTCACTAAATAAGCAGCTTCTGTGCAATTCGCAAAAGGAGCACAACATCATTGTCACCTTCAAACAGAACAGATCAAATTTCTAATTTTATGTCCAAATTTCCTTTGGACTAGATAAGCACAACCTTTGAATTCAACAACTTTTCATTATTTAAATGATAAAAAATTCAGAGCTACAGTTTTACAGTGATGGCAGTGAAGTTGAGGTTACAGGACAGGATCTCCATATGTGGCTGTTAGGAGTTATTACCAACATGCTGTAGAGAGAAAAGATAAGAGAGGTTTAGATGTGTTAGGAGTGGAGGCGCATCTGTTAGTGTGTGTGTAAATGTGACTTTAAATCACTCTGTCATGGTTATGGTTTTGCAGCCTGGGCTCCTTCTGCCCCACACTGGTAAAGAGGATGTGTATGAATGCATGAATACGAGAAGGATAGGGACTGTTTATATGCTGCGTAAAAGCATCTTGGAGTCATAAATCTAGAGCTGAACCTAGTTTTGTGATTAAATACAAAAACACACACATTACAACCCAGCACTTTATCATCAAACACTAATATTTGGGTTCGTTCTATTACAAATCATTACATCTAAGTAGAAAACTGGAGCTCTGCTGAAAAGAGACACCACCTTTTTAAATATTCAAACACAGTCAAACCCAAGCGGGTAAATCAATAACAAATTCTCTCCGCTCGTGATAAATTGACAGAGCAGAAGAAAGGTGAAGAGCAGCCAGAAAAAGGGAAAAGGCAGATGACAAGGGGAATGCACAATGTTACCATGGCAACACTTTTAAAGTCACACTCAACAGCGGCAGCGACATCTCAGACCGTTTTTTTTTTTTTCATTTCACCAGAGCACACAGTGAAAACAGACAACTTGTGTAAAGAAACAGAATCCTGGAGAATCAGATTAAATCGTCTCTGATCAGTGAAATGCCCAAACTATGACCTCACCTCACAGCGAACTACAACACTGTGAGTCAGTGTCTGCTGATAAGGCTCATCCGCAGATTGTTTGTTTTCATGTGAGTGCAGGCTTATAATCCATTATAATCCATTGTGTAATCCGTAATGCAGGCGCAATCTGTGTGTGACAGAGGAGCGGTGATGAGGTGTGTGTCGGTGCGGGTCAGACAGTGTGAGCCACTGGGGTCAGCAGTGCATGCTGCTATTGTATCTGTCCATGTTGACGAGCTGACATGCTGATGAAAGAGCTGTGAAGAAGAGAAACACAATGTGTGTGTGCATGTGTGTGACTGTGTGAGTCAAGCGTGGTTCAGTCCGTTCAAGGTCCAAAGAAAAAAAACATTTATTTCAGAGCTTTCGACCAACCCTAACGAGTCCTCATTACACTCCAATTTTGTAATCCTAGATAATCTCGAAAAGTCGCCATGTTTCATCATGCATGTATATTTGATCACCAGTATCCTTCTCCTTTAACATAGACTCTTTACGGATGTGTGTTTGGACTTTGCTAAAAGTTTGTGAAAGTTCAAAGAGCTGTCGCTGCTGAAAGCTACATAACAAGTCTACAAAGTGCACTGTTTTTTTCAGCAGAGACTAATCTAAGATACACTGAAATCGCACACTGAAACAAGCAATCGTGTTAAAGGAAAGCAAATGTGTTTTTTTTTTTTCATAGAAACAATAGATGATGTGAAATGTTGAGACAGAGCCACAGACAACTGTTATCAACTATTCAGTTTTAGCCACAGCTAAATGGAGCATTTTAACAACCTTAAGCTTCTTTTTTTGGTTTCTTTTCAGCAACAAACATCAGTCGCAGTCGGCAAGTAATCAGTTTCTGTACTGGCCATCATCCAGCACAATCATGTATGTTCTTTTTCATCTGACCTCGTTAGATAAAAGTCCAATTAGTAACTAGAGAAACTAGAGATGTCTCAATCTGATATTGATATTGGGTATCGGTCTGATATCATAAAAAAGAATATCGGATTAAATCCGCCGGATAAAATCTCAGATAGCAGCACTTTGACACAAGCAGTCCATTCCAGATTCCGCTCCAGCACCTCTATCTAGCAGTGCCTGAATCGGCACATAAAGCCCATTTTTCGTTTAAGTCGGAGTGCAAAACTTGTCATGCACAAGTTTGGGCCAATATTGGAACAATATCGGTATCAGCCAATACTGAAGGCTACAATATCGGAAGTAAAAAAACTTGTATCGGGACACCCCTCAGAGAAACATCCCCAAAGAAGCTTTACCTGTTATTGATTAATCTCAGTTTTACTGTATATAGAAGCACAAAAATAATTAATAATGAGGTGTTGTCTTATTCCAAGTGAGGCCATTTCTGATTCAGAGGGGGGGTCTAAAGACTAATTAGTTTGGAATGACCCAGTACAGCACAGATTTGTCTCCAAAGCCACAGAAAACAGTTTATAGAGACAGATTAATCATTTCAGATTACCACCAATGAGAGCCAAGATGTTATCACAGTTGGCTGAGTGATAAAAATGAGCTGCAAGTTATTACACCGTGGAACATTTAGCTACTTAAAATAGATCCTTTTTACTAGAATGGAGAAACATTTGAGTTTGGATGTTGGGCTTTAAAACAAAGGATAATATGACTCCAAATGAAGACACACATGTCTCTTCAAAAAATGGAAGTGTAAAAGAGTTATTGAGGCACATGAGGTGTGAAACATATAACCTAGAACTTAATACACAAGTGTAGTTGTATAAAAATTGTTACAAAACATGCCAGTAGTTGTGGTTAAAGTTTGCTGTGCTGCACAATTTGGCAAATATATCATATCATACATAGTATACACATAGTATACACAAAACAGCACAAGGGCTGCAGGGAGTAAACTAAAGATTTAAGATAATTAGTAGATCATACAGGTATATCTTGTCAGAGTGAGTTACATGGAGACAGTGTTTGGAGGATAATGCTTACAGACAATGTGAAAGGCAACCAAGTGTGAAAGAGCCAAAGCCATAACACAAACAGACACACAGATGTGACAGCCAATAACCCCTGGCTGTGTCTTCCTGCTACTAGCAATAAAATCCATGGCTTTCATTGGCTGTGACGCCCCAGTCAGTCTGCTATGGGGGGGTTCAAAGGTTAAATCTGTGGTAATGACTCGTGCTGAAGCTTTGACAAGCAATTATCCTCCTGCAGGCCGTCGGCTGGCACAGAGCCACTCGTCTCACACACACACACACACAGACTCATGAACGCACACAAACTCATAAAAATACAGAAAACACACAGTGATGGTCCCAAAATACTGCCAAAAAACTGTCTACACTCATTGCTACAACGAAAGTATCACAAATTACAAAGATACACAACATTAAGGCAGATGTTTTATTTATCTATTTTCTGTTTTTCTAATTGAGTAATAATTACAGTTAAAGTAAAGACATTTTTAAAGGATGTAAATTATTTGTTTGATAATCTTTTAGACAGAGTTTTAGTAATGCCAACATGAATCTTCATTTAATCACAATGTAGCAAAGGTAACTTCAGGGTTAACTATAACTTTTTAGGTCTATGAAGGTGGTTTTCTTCTTAATATATATGTGAATGCATCAATGATAAAATTCTAAACCTTGTTTACCAATAACCTTAGTATTACCATTTTTTTATATAGTGTCTTCAGATCTATAATATTTCTTACTTTCCTACTTGTTAAAATGTAGATATAATCATCCACAATGTCAAACAAATGACAACAATAAGCAAAGACTAATCTTGATCAATCTTGAGGAATAATCCAAAATGGTTCCAACAACAATGTCGCCGACTTCAAGAGGTTACAACAGGCCGATGTGAGACAGTGAAATCCTTTTTTAAGGCAAAACAGAAAGGTGTGTTTATGTATAAACCATAGATTGTATATAGAATGGACGCCGTCTGCCTCCTAGCTGGGTGAAGCAACTGCTAGAACAGCACCTTCTGGTGACAGGCTGCAGTATAGGTCATAAACCCCGCCTCCTCCAGCAATCTTTATGGAGCTGTGGACAAACTTTAGAAATTTATTACACAGAACATACATATTTCTCCCCCCGCTTGCGATGCTGACAGGTAGTTATTGTAAGACTGGTTTGTGCTTTTTTCTGTGCAGCTCCGTTTTTAAAGGTTATTGGGGGTTCATGTTGTCTTTGATTGCCCCTTTGATAATGCCTATGGGCGTACGAAGTTTCTGTAGCTCATCCGGGGGGATACGCTGTTTAAACAGAGTGTCATTACAGCGACTCTCCTCTAAAATGCGCACAACACTACTGCGCCAGTGGTGATTCCAGGAAGTCGAGAAAATCCCGGAATTACTGAGAGCAACTCGGCGTCAAATTCCTATAATGGCGAAAGGCGGAGCCAAGTTGTCCATAGTACATACAGTCTATGGTATAAACACGTTAGGTTGACTACTGTTCACACACACTCACTCTGTTTATGTTATACATCATATTTTTACAGCATCATCTCTTGAATAAAAACATCTTCAACTTTCATTATTCTAATTTAAATACATAGAGTTGTTATAAATGGTTGTACTGAAGTTGATTGTTTCTTGGCCCTTCAGAATTATGTCCTAATTTACTCCTCATGCAAATCCTCTCTCCCCTCTCTTTCTCTTGTTTCTCTCTTTCATTAAACAAAAAAAGGCATCTGGCAGAGTTTTATTACGGCAGGACAGCAGAGCACGTTCATTATAAAGACGCAGTCACTGATAGGACTACACAACAGTCCTGCTGACTGCCGGCCATTTAAACAGAACAGATTATGCATAATCAATTAAAAGAATGAGTCTATTCGGAACAGAGCACAGACACTGACGGCCTGAAATCACATCATGAGACCACATTTAACTGTCTGCCGCAGGATCTCATGGACACAGGCAACCACATGTGTACCCTGCTTGTGTGTATGTTAGTGTGTGAAATGTGTGCGACGTTGGATCGTGACATTTGCATGCAAGTCTGTGACAGGTGTGAGTGAGCTGGTGCATACTTAATGTGTTTAACCAGGTACATTAGGAGCACTGGTGTGTGTGTGTGTGTGTGTGTGTGTGTGTGTGTGTGTGTGTGTGTGTGTGTGTGCGTCGTCTGTCAGTCAGCAGTGTCATCTTCTGCAGTAAGTGCTGACTCACAGGGCACAGAGGACACCAGACCTTCATAATGGCTACACCATTGATTTGTCCAGGCTCACTTCCTGTCAGGTGACATCTCTCTCTCTCTCTCTCTCTCTCTCTCTCTCTCTCTCTCTCTCTCTCTCTCTCTCTCTCTCTCCCTCTTAAAGGTGAGAGTACATGTTTACGACTGTGGGAAATGAGATCATAATGGACCACCCCTTTAAAACAGCTCTCTGATCAAACAGACAGGTCCCACTTGAAGTGCTCCATTATCCAACAATAACTGCTGGTCTTACTGTTAATGTTCAGAGCATGCACCAGGATCTTCATACACTCTTCAAAATGTCCAAATGAAGCTATATGTGTCCAACTTTAACAAGCATTGGGCCTCCAGATGGAGACTGAGGGGGTGATGGAGTGATGCTGACAGGCAGCAGATAAAAGTAAAAAGATGAGAAAGAAGAAAAATGATGAGACAGCTTTAGAGTTGTATTACAAAAGCGAAATATAGTAGGAGAATAAAGGAAGAGAGAAAGGCAGAGAAACAAAAAGAATGTTTTATTTCAGCGTGTTGGAAAAATAACAGCTGTTGTAGAAGCTAATGCTTTGACTAACAAACAATTTTCAGCTTTAAATTGGAACGTATGCGAGTTTACTAAAAACAAAATGTTTTGTTCTGACTCCTGAGTATAGTTATCCATTAGAGTTTAATGTTTAATTACATAAAAGGTTGGCTGGTGGACAAAGAAGCCAACTGCCTGAATGAGTGACCACGGGCTGTTTTTGTGATGGACATGCTGGCTGACAGTCTGATTGTATTTCTAGCTGAGCAAGTATCTCGCTTTGCTGATTTCACACTGTAGTTGACTGATTTAGTGGCCACTGCTAAATCAAGTACTCACTGAAGTCTGTCAGGACCTCGGGCTGTTTTTTTTCTCTAAATCCATTCAGAAAGGAGCACAGTTGAAATCGACTCCCACCAAATCAATCCACTGTGCCGCTGGACATTTAACTTGCACTTTTATTTCCAACCCTTTGAAATGTAATCTTGACACAGCTGCATCACTAAAGCCGAGGATACAAAGTAAAATGTTTGTGAAGTGTGTTTCATAAAATTTTTGCAGGGTCATTTGAAAATACCTCTTTTATATCTCTAAGTTTGAAACCCCAAACCAGAGGGGTAAATAACCCAGCTTAGACTGCAAGTAGGGGGTGACTGTGATTTGGCTCCATTTTGAGTTCAAAATTAACAGGCACATTTAAATCTAACAAAACATGTAAATGAAAAGTTAAACACAATCCAGAGGGGTTGGGGAAGGGTTGTGTGCTATTTTTCTGACAAACAACAGAAGCCTTTCTGTTTACATGCATTTTTTCAGGATGGTTATAAGTTGTTTTCAGTCTAGAGACACCATTAAAATGATAGCACCAAAAGAGTGCAAGAGCCTTCTTGGAATGCAAGGTATGGTTACTATTATTGTTCCTTGCACGGATGCTTGAAGTGCTTACTCTAACATGACCATAGACTGTATATACTACGGAAGACTTGGTACAGTCTATGAACACGACCCAAATCTTACCATCATTCACACACATCAGGCCTGATACAAATTGGTATTTTATGGATTATGCACACAACTTTGTAAAAACTGTCTCTGTATCCCCTGTTCTAATCTTCAAAAGTGATGCCCACTCCACTGGGTTTAACCTCACATGTTTCTGCAAAGACCTACAAAAAACCCTTCTTTTCATCATGGTGAAACTCTAAGAGGAAGTCCACATATTTTAGCTGAACATCTATTTTGCTATGTTTTGGATGAGTTACAGGGTTCATAGTTGATTGAACTCCTTAAAGGAGTTTCATCTAATCTACTTGATTTCTTATCAAAGGATGCAGCTGGAGCAGAGGGTCAAAGTTGGAGGATTTTTTGGCACTTTGCTGAAAAAAAACTTCAAATTGACTTCTTCCTGCAAATTGACGTTACGTGATCAGAGCCGCATCTCTAACAACTATGGATTCTTCACAAAACTTGGTCTGCTATTCATAAACAACAGACTGTTGCTATGGAGTATTGACCAATCAGAACCAAATATAAACTTAGTTGATTGTTGTGTGTCCCTGGATTCACACTCACCCAACTTAAAACAAGATTGTTACCTAGCTCTATGTAGACAAATTAAATGGAAGTTTAAAACAGTAACTTATAATATAGATAATACAGATATTATTAGAAACAAAGCAACCACAGCTTCAACAGTCAAGGCAAAGCACATAAATAGAAACCAAACAGGACAAAAGAAACGTCCAGACATCTATTTTGGTCCCATCACTTCTCTCCAGTCTAAGGTGTTGTCAGATGTCCTCTGAAGGTGTGAAAGTGTATCCTTGGGCAGAGTGATGCAGCAGGAAGTTGTGGCAGTGTGACAAAGACCTATCCCTTTATGCATGTATCTTTATCTCTTTCTAATCTGCCGGCTTCCCGTCTGTCTGCATTTGTCTCTTGTGTTGGTCTGTAGGTGACTGTTTCTATCGCAGCTCTGTGTAAACACTGTATGTGAGTCACCGCAGTCATGACTTTACACTTTGTTCCAGACACAATCTTATTTACAGCAAGTGATCCGTATCCATCCCCCTCAAAGAATAAAACGCTTCCTTCTAGGGTGCAGCGTTCATTAGCATGAGTGGAGAGTCTCTCAGCATGGCTAATAGACATTAGAAATAATTTAATCTTATTATGGGTAATGCATATGGGTTCACAAGCGTGCAAGGCCATTGCTTCTATCTCCTAGATGGGAGCAAGAATGAAGATGGCAGTGTGTCATTAAACTTAACTGAACTTAATATGATGTCTTGTGTTATATGATGAGACTTTAAAGTATGACATTCATGGTTTTAAACAGGCACATGGTTGAACTGTGCATAAAAAGAATTGACTTTCTGTAATGTCTGTAAATAAAATTCAAGGGCTTTAACAGGAGCCTGATTTTGCATTTACAATAATAATCATCATCATCGTCAGAGAGAACTCTGGGCATACATTAGGTAGAAATGGTACATTAGATTACCAATGTCACTACTGCCAACCACTAGGGTTGGGAATCACCAGTGGTCCCACGATACGATATTATCATGATACTTGGGCCACGATACGATATTATTGCGATTTTTACAATGTTGTTGTTGCATGTTCACATTAACAATAAATGTGAAAAAAATCAATTCTTGGTAAATGAGACAATACGATAGACACTAGACAAATATTGCGATACTATGCTGTACTGATTTTTTCTCCCACCCCTACCAACCGCTAACCTTAGCAACCAGCTAACTTGCTAATATTATTATCAGCTAGGATTTGACTGAAAGCTACTTTAAGAAGTTGGTCGTATTAAACCATACATGAACAGAATAGTTACACAAATCTTGTGAAATCTTGTTTATTTTCACACATCAGATGAATCATATCTGAAACGTACAAATAAGGGTCAATATGTTCCTGCAACATGCATTTGATCAGACTCTAGGCAGGAACATGTAGGGCTGGGCGATAAACTGAAAATTTACAAAATTTATGACAATAACAACGTCATTTTGCCCATGTCAATATACATTTGGTGTCGAAAAAAGAGATAAAAAAATAATGGTTTCGGATGTGTGTAGGTAGGCTATGGTCTCATGTCCCTTTAAGAAACTGTCCTTTGTCTGAGACATGACTCCACCATATCCAGTCCGTAACAAAGAAGGAAAGACAGGTGAGGAGATGGAGGACGGTTCAAAAGTTGTGGCTGAAGTAGACGAAGTTAATGTGGGAGGGGGTGAGGAGCTTGTGGAGTAGTTATCATCCATTTATCGTTATCGAGGTGAACTGCTCAATATATCCTGATATTGATTCGAGGCCATATCGCCCAGCCCTAGAAACCCGCTACACTTCATGGTACGCTTGGATTCTTTTAACCATTTTGAAAAATTCTGCAGGTTTGGATTCTGTTTCAAAAGGCATAAATTTGTTATTTTTACATAATGGCACTGCTTTACATAATCCAAAAAGACATTCAGGGTTTTTATCTTGTATTTTGGGGCATTTTTGCTTTTTTAAATACACGGCCTTGAACGTCACCTCAGAACAGATTCATGCTCATCTGGAAAAAATGGACCAAGGTATTTCAGGAGACTGAAATAGAGTCACATGCAGCTCATGTTGCCAGGTTGTATGTGTGTTATAATGTCACCGCAATATCAAAGAGGAACCACAAGCAGTCTGTGTGTTTTGGTTAAGGCCAGCCTGAACAGCAGCCAGTAACAGATGGCGCCGTCATGGTACAAGCAACAGGAGAAGAGCATAAGAAGGATTTTGTCATTTTCTATACTATCTTTCACTCTGCAGCTTCTTCTTTTTAATAGACCAGCCAAGTAATGCAAAAGCTCAAATATATGCCACTGAACCAGAACGCGCATGCTTTCATTAAAATGATAAGCCTGTTCGTGTCTAAGGGCGCCTTTTCTGCAGGTTAAAAATGAAAGAAGGACCTTTTTTGTAACGTCTTCTAGTCATGACACCGCTGATTGCTTGCTTTATTTTAACTATTGTTCAATGGCTGATGCCAAAGTAGATAATTGCGGTGCCTACTTATGAGCTGCCAGGTGCATCATCATGATTTATGTCGCACTGAAGCTTAAAATACCTCAAATTACCTGCCACAAAGATGAAAGCCACCTCAGCGAGCAGGAGACGTGTGAGGAGAGGAATTGGCTCCGTAAATCAAATAACACCGTGTGCAGCGTGCAAGTGGGATGAGATGTCCTGTGTGTTGTTTTTGTGTGGGATCATCTGCACTGTGCGTCGTGTAAGGATGTGCATGAGTGGGATAATACTGTGTGTGCAGTGTGAGGGGGAGCTAAACATGCATTCTCATATTCTTAGTGAGAGTAAAGGAACACTGAGACCCTTCCCTCTTTTTTTGTTCTCTGGCTCCTGTCCCTCACTGCCTCTCCTGTTTCACGGTCTCAGGAGTCAAAACCACAAAGCAAAGCGAGTTCACCTTCAAGAGGAAAGAAGAAGGAAGGTAGAAGGAAGTGAAGGTGTATAGTCATGGGCTCAGTTAACCCCGGTGGGTTACTCTTAAATGTAGGTTGAGACTCTTCCTCAGGCTGCTGCCTTTCATCTTATCCGTTTTCTTCCTCTGCTGCTCTCTCTCTCTCTCTCTCTCTCTGTCTGTCTCTCTGTCTGTTTGTCTCATGTTCTTCTTCTTCTTACTCGCTCAGTTTTTGAGTTTTTGACAGCCTTCCTTAGGCTCAGTCTGTTTTGGAGTGGGCACGAGGCATTATCTCCTTTAATTGACACAGCAAGCCAAGAAAACACAACAGACACGCAAAGAAACTAATGAAATAATGACACAAACACACACAAAGAACAGCTGAGAGAGGGAGATAATTAAAAATTAGAAGGGAAGAAATAATGGGGATACATTATTTGATGGTATTAATAACTCAGAGTGAGGTTTGGGAGTTGTTTGAATATTTCTCTCACAAGCAAGAGTTCCAGTACCGACAAGAACAACACTTTCATCACGCCATGCCAACACGATTTATAAAGCGACAACAAATAAAAGATGCCAACTTTAAAAAAAAAATCTCCAAAAAGGTCAAATATTTTTAGTTTCAGCCACTCAAAGACAAAAAGATCTGTTTTCTCCTTTTAATTTTATCTGAAATACCCAAAGGAACCGGGATCCAACATCTTTTCAAAAAATCAATCAAAAGCAAATACTATCTTTAGTCACAGTCCAACCAGTAGCCACGACATGATAACCGCTCCAGAGGTGGGATTTTATGACATGCCCACTCACAAACAAGCAGATTTACATTTATAGGACAGGCATAAGGGAAAAACATCCCGCGTGGGCATACAGATGGCAAACATGCCGAACAGTAAACACACACATGGACAGGCCACACTCCGCATGGTGGCTGACAGTCAGAGGAGAGCAGCGATGTTGAGAGGTTTTCAGTGTCGTGAGTCTCAGAGACCCATGGGTGCTGATTTGAGTCCAAGAAAAACTGAAAGGGTTCCCAACTAGAGACAAAGTGATGAAGTGGTCGGCTTATCACTGATCCAGCTTATTACTAGAATAATCAACATTGGCTGATACCTGTGCTCACGAGGCTGATTAAACTAAAAATAAAAAAATATTAATAAATAAATAAATATAGTGCCCAGTATAAGTCAGTACACCCCCTATTAAAAGTAAAGTATTACTCAATATAGATGAGCAAAAGTACAATTTCCTAAGTTTTGACAAAGCTGAGTTTAACATAATATTTTATTTACCATAATATAAAAAAAAGGGTAACATGGTAACTAAAATTTAGCTTTACTCCCAGAACTTTGATTGGGGTGTACTCCTTTTTGCATCACGATTTTAAATTGAAAAAAAAATACTTTTTGTACGCAACGTACAAAATCTTGTTTGCAATAAATGGCCTACATTTGGGGGGAGTATTTTGTTATAAAGTCTGACAATGAAAATGTTGATTTTGAAAGGAAACTAAAGGTTTTCTGACAATGCTGAAGGGGTGTATTCATTTATGCTGAGCACTGCAACTCATAACTAAATAACATCTGCAGACAATGAAGGCAACTTCATCTGTCACCTCTGTCAAGCGATGTCCACATCCCTGAAATGAAACCCTGTCATGATATATTCTGTTTATTTAGTTTTTCCCCTGGTTTTGTGATTTCAGTGAATTTTCCTTGTGATTTTCTCTCGTGTTTCTGTTCCCCTGGAGTCCTGCATTGTGAGTTTTCAGTTTGTGTCTGACCCTGTTTCCCTCATGTTCTCAGTGTTTTATTCTGTATATCAGTTTTCAGTGTTTCCTGTTTCATTTTGAGGTAGTTTATTCCCAGTGTTTCTAGTCTTGTTTTACTTCCTCAGTTCTCCCTCCTTAGTGATTGTCTGCACCGGTGTCTCTGTGTCTCACCTGCCTCTCGTTGCTCGTTTCCCTGTGTCTGTATATATAGTCCTTGTCTTTCCCTGTTTCCCTGTGTTGTATGTCTATGTCTCAAGTGTCTCCAGTGTCTCCTCGTAGTTTTTTCCCCCTGTGCATTTTTTGGATTTTTGAGCTGGACATTTTCTACTAAGTTGTTGTTGCTTCTTGTTTAGCTCTTGTTTTAAATAAACCCTTTTTTGTCGTCCTGGATTTGGGTCTTTCCCTTTTTTTTTGTTTCACCCTGAAACGTCACAAACCCTTTACATCATAGATAACAGCAAAACAAACACCGAACACTAACAGGCTTGAGATTTAATATAAAATGTATTATTGTAAATAGAGTCATGGATTTTAGTGATCATGTTTTTAATCTATAGCATCACCCAAAGTATTTTTCTATTTGACTAATTAATTAAAAATCCATTCAAAACATGTCACAGACTTAGACGACCATGGATGTTACGTACAAAATGAAGAAAACAAACTATAACATGATATTGTCGTTGTCTGTTGGCCATTGCCTGACCTGCTCTCCAATTACTGGCATCGCTATCAGCCAATGAAAATATATCACCAGGTGACCGCCGATGTAGTCAGGTGACTTACAGGGCAGGAAGTAAAACCAAAAAGAGAAAAACGATCGAGGTGAGGAAGAGTAAGGAGGAAGAGCGAGGACCTGAGCCAGGCAGACAGCACTCCAGCACTGCCCACTGTTGGCTCTCCGCTACATAAGCACTCCCTGGACACTGACAATAATGCTTTCACTTCATAATACTATCTCTGGCTCACAGGCTGCCGGCCAAGCGCACACATATCTTCCAGTGTGTGTGTGAGTGTTTGTGTGAGTGTATAAATGTGTGTGTGTTTGTGTGTGTGTGTGTGTGAGTGAGACGTCAGCAGCCATAATCTAAAGGCAGGCTGAATCCTTGAGCACATCCTTGTGCACAACGACAGTAAAGCTCTATGTGGTTATAAATGGATACAAATCCAACACAAATGTACCTTTTATGACTCACATACACACACACATTATCAGAGTGTGCGCGCTCACACACTCCAGCAGAGGACTAATCAAACCTTGCTGTAGTTTAAAAGCCCTTCAGGCATGCACTTATCAGATATAAAACATGCTGTATGCACAAAATCACATTACATATATACACACATGCATTTAATAATGCCAACACACACACACACACAGGAGTACACACACACACACACACATACACCATATTGCTGGAGCTAAATGGAGACAGGGAGACAACTGTGAGACAGCATGAAAGCTGGCAGGAACAACAGAAACATCATGGAAAAACACAACAACCTCCTCGGGTGATCCGACACACACGCAGACAACAGCAAAAGGCGCCACACAAAGACCAAATGCACGAGGACAGACTGTTGCCATTTACCTTTTTGTGCGTCGAAACATGTTGCCGGTAGCAGAGGCTGTGTTGGCAGATGAACATGAGAGCAGCTGAGCCTCCACACATGCACACTCATACGCGCGTGCAGGCGGTCAAAAAGCAGCAATTACACTCCACACCAGCATGTCAGCCTCCTCTGGCCGGTTAAACACACATGCACACACTCAGCAATACCTCGCCACGGTACTGCACACATGAGTGTTGAGGTGCATGAAGGAAAAGGGGGAGAAACGGTGAGGATGGTTTTGGAAATATGTCCCAGACTAAGTGACAGTGGAATTACAGAGAGAGAGAAGAAGAGGAGGAGGAGGAGGAAGAGAAACGGCTGTCGAGCATCTCTCATAGAAGAGGAGAGAGAGAGAGAGAGAGAGAGAGAGAGAGAGAGAATTGTGGGGCTGCTCTCTCTCAAGGGTATCGTGCCAAGCCAGGAAGTGTAAAACCACAGAGCGATGGGAGGGGAGGAGGGGGGGAGGCAGAGAGAAAGAGAGAGAGAGAGAGAGAAATACAGGTAAATAGTGAATGAGAAAGGAAAGCAGCATGTGGGAGAAAGTGAGCAAGAGTGCAGGACAGAGAGAGAGGGAGAGAGAGAGAGAGAGAGAGAGAGAGAGAGACAGAGCCAATGAGAGGGAGGAGGAGAGACGAGGGAGCAGTGAACTGGAGACTAATGTGAATGACAAGATGGGGGAAAGGAGAGACACAAGGGGAGGGAAGGGCGTTAGGAGTGTGTCCTCACATGTGAGTGAGTGTTTTTCTGAGTGCTACAGCTCTCTTATGAGTTTCAACATTACCACCACTTACATTATGAAAAAACACAAGCTATTCAAGAATGACCTCATATCTATTTTTACTTTTCCTGCTTCGACCACAAAACTGAAGACAAACATAGTTAAGTCTTCTTTGATATGGACCCATACACCCATACAAAACTTCTCTTTTCCAGATGTCCATAAAACAACAACAAATTATTATTCCATCTTTAAGTTTTCCTGGATGTCTGTTCACTCTGTGCATACATTTTTTAGCTCATCATCCATCCCTAGTACTATCCCCTTGGTATTGAGCTGGGTGATATGGCCTCAAATCAATATCAGGATATATTGAGTAGTTCAACTCGATAACAATAAATGGACGATAACTACTCCACAAGCTGCTCGCCCCCTCCCACATTAACTTTGTCTACTTCAGCTGCCACTCGAACTGCTACAACGTTTGAACCGTCCTCCATCTCCTCACCTGTCTTTCCCTCTTTGTTACAGACTGGATGGGGTGGAGTCACGTCTCTGACACAGGACAGCGTCTTAAGGGGACATGAGACCATAGCCTATCTACACACATCCAAAACTAACTTGCATTAATCTATTTTTTGACACCGAATATACTGACATGGGCAAAATGATGTCAGTTATTGTCGTAAATTTGGGATATGGCTCTTATCTCAAGTCCATTTGCTGCTTTTTAAATCTCCTTCTATTGCAGTGTATTTTAAAAACAGTAAAACACAGTATTATAAAGGACATCATGTGTAACAAGCAGTATATAGTAAATTTGTTGGGACCATTTTCACATTTTCAGCTGCACATGTCGTGTTCAAGGACAGCAGGTCAATGTTGTGTACGCAGGATTATCTCAAAATAATCCATGTTTATGTGGGATCAAGCCCCCCGAGGAAATATTAAAGCTGATTTGGTGTTTTAATCATAATGGGGGTCTATAGTTTGTGGAAATAAGTAATATATGCTGCATACTATAGAGGATAAGTCCAAGCAAATTTGGTCATAGCCTTAAAAAACAAATTTGATTTACTACCCTGGGCAAAATTATCTTCAGGTGAACCGAGTCACGGCTATTGCTTATATTAAAAAAAAGAAAGAAAAAAAAAAGTAGTTTTTAATCTTTAGTAAACAAAGAAAAGTCACAATTGACATTTTTCATTTAACTTTTTGTTATCATTTCAAAGTATTTAAACATCCAGCAGGGACGCACATGTAAAAGACAGCAAACTCTATCAGATGAACTCACACACTCTCAGTTTCAAGTCTCCCTTTTTGCAAAAAAAAAAGCCCATTATGGTGCACTTAAACTCTATTCTTTGTGAAATGACAATCTAGATGAGCTCTGGCATCGTCTTTTTGCCCTAGATATCGCAGGAGCTGCTCTCCAGCCTGGAGAGATATCATATTTTTGTATGTGTGTGTGCATGCATACATATGTGTGCACCCTCCCTTTCTTTCCTTTGAATAAAATTCACCAAATGTTAAAGCTGACGTGGGGTGACAGTTGCACAGTAGTGCTGAGGGGAGTAATTCAATAATGGATGCTGTCTCTAATGTGGGAGTCTGGATGGATAAAATATACATGGGAGAGGAGAGACACTGGGAGGAGGGGGAGGTATGGAGGGGGAGGGGGTGGTGATATCACTGAAACACTGTGGGGGATCACAGACAGGGATGGGCGGCAGCATGATATCATATGGGCTACAACGTGTGTGTGTTTGTGTGTCATGTTTATGCATGTCTATACCAGGCTTTTTCTTGAGGAAATTTTACCTGTTTGTTGGATTTTTGTCCGACAAACATCTTATAAAATTCTTCTATAAACCCAAACCCAATTTAAGACCACTGCTCCACCAACAGAACCAGAAGAACACGTGCAGAAAAACCCGTTAGAGGTGGGAGGTCTGAGTGCAGGAACAGAGGACCGTAAGCCTGTCTCTGGTGTTTCCTTTATGTCATGCTGTGAAATCTGCCACCCCACCACATGAGTCAGGGGTCAGGGACAAAACACACCCTATGACAGCAGTCAGGGATACACATGCGCACTGCAAGCTAAGACACACACACACACACACAAAGGCTGCACGATATTGGAAAAAACTAACATTGCAATTTTTTTTCAACCCTGTGATCTATATTGCAATATTAAAAAATACAGGAATTTTCACCAGATGACCTGAATAGCACCTTATGCTATGCTGCACTGCTGAAGTCTTGTGGAAAATTAACCTGCACTGATCTTACCTCTTTTTGTGAGTGTTAGTAGAATGGCTTCTGTCCGTCTAAGAGATATTTTTAGCTTGCTTTTAGTTTTAACTAGCTTGCTTCACACACCAACATGATCAGTTTGTCCTTCATTTTAGATACCAGTGAACAACCGTCCATTTTCATACATCACCCGGCAACCTTCATGCTGATTGGTTATCGCAACAGGAATATCCGCTCAAGTTGAGACATTTTCAGCTCCCGCCCAATTCGCGTCATTCAGGCCGCCAGAGTAGTAGGAGCATCTAATCACGTCTTTGCATTGACTTAACATGTAATTTATTATTTAAATGGTTTTACTTGCGCTTGGTATGTGGAGACAGTAACAGTTTACATGTAAAGAAACTGTACCAAAGTGTTAAATCTTTTGACATCCTGCTCTTTTAAAATCACCTAAAGTAGAAAAAAAATCAAAGCAACAATTTCATTAAACCTTCAAAGATTTCAGTACCTCAAATGCTGATGACATAATATCGAAAATTACACCCCCTGCCCATGTTCAAAGGCATTTTCAGACAGCATTTGGAGCCGACACAAGACACTTTTCCAAAATCCTGTCTGATTTGTGAAGTGCTTTTAGCAGCAGCAGCAGCAGCAGCAGCAGCCAGCTCAGGCTCTCCAAATCAAACTTTAAGAGTAGATGAGAACATTCTCGGTTAGTCTTTGTAAACGTAAAAAGATAGATGCCACGAAGCAACCAGTGATTAAGACGAAGCAAAGAAAACACTGCCAGGATTCAAAACAGTGTCACTTTTGCCTCAAGTAAAGTGAAATACCGGTAAGTGTCTTTCAATCAAAATAAAAGAGTACATCAGTTCCAGCTGAAAGGGAGAGTTGTTCCATTTCAGCACCACGGACAGAGACTCGACATCGCAACAAGAGCTGAAGTGCTGTTTACAATATCCGTCCTGGATCCAGATTGGACTCTATTGTCGTCGTTGTTACAACTGCTTTAAGTGTAACCATTTTAGCTTGCCTGCGGAACAAATCAAGACTCAACTCAAACCTCCCAGGGTTAGTTAATCTCACCCTTTTCTAAGTGGCACAGAAAATAACTCCACAGGGTTTCTAATTCTGTCTCCAACTGTGGAGAAGCCAACTAAAAGTCGCTCAGTCTCTGAGAAGCCTATCATGTTTTGTGAAGCTGCCTAAACATGATCATATCTGGCTCTAATGAGGACATTTCAAAGGATATCCATTCATCTCTTTATTAAAGAGCACCACAAGGGCTCTGTTTCATACTTACTGCTTTTGACTGCCATGTTTTCCCTTAAGAGACATTACTTTCCAATAATGGGTAATAATAGGATGTCAGTGAGGTTAAATGAACCATTGTTAAAGGGTTTCATGAGGACTCTGTAGACCTGTCAAAAGGCCAAAGCTAAAACCAAAAATAAAGACTTAAGATGTGGTAAAAATGTTTGACTCTTCCTCGTTAAACTTCATAATTTTGACTGGTCAATCAGCTCTGTTTACTAGCTTAAATCCAATGCATGAAGAAGTTTATAATCTCAGACAAATCCCTTTAGATGCATCATCTCATTCTCAAGAGTTCAAATATCTAAGCCTTTATAGGAAAGATCTTCATTTGCATTTTCAAGCACAGAGGTTAAAAAGGTTAACCGATCTTCATTTAAAGAAATGTGTTTTAAATTCAGAAACGACGTGATTCTTTAAACATGGAGAAGAAATGTATAATCGAGGAAAAAAAGTGCTGCAGAAAAACTAAACTATTACATTACAGCAAATGTATAAAGAATGCTAATTCACTGGTACAGTTTGTTAGAGATGTGACCCGTCTACAATCTGCCAGAACCTGATTTTATTGTTTCAATGAAAAAGAGACACAGTATAACAGAGATTTTCTTTATATATAACCCAGCTGCAGGGCTGACCTTCACACTTGGTGTTTAAAGCCTGACAGTCAGCTAATGATACCCCGAGCTACATGGCTAGCTGATAGTTACAGCAATCACATAAAAGTGGGTATTTTAGCAAAGCTAGCTGGCAGAAGCAATTTCTTAATAAAAGCTGCTAGGTCTTATAAATGGAGTCTTGTTATTGAAGCATGTTTGTATAGTTTAGAATTGTATTCTTGTCATTGCGTTTGCTGCTGGTGCAGTTTTGTCTTTTGTATCCAGTTTTCCTGTTGCATGTGATTTGGACCTGTGTTTATAAATCTGGATACACAGCTTTTTAACTAAGATCATATGGTTGTTGTTTGGCTATCCATTATTGTTATTATTAGTTGTTGTAATAGTTTCTGATGGTGATCCTGTACACTCTGTATCTCAGCTGAAACTGTAGGGGAGTTTGCTCAGCAAAGGCTACTTTGGGATTTGAACAGTTTGAATTGGACTAATTAGGTGCAATTTGGCAGTCTTTGTAGGACCCCATTCTGTTTTTGTGTCACTGCTATGCAAGAAAACTGTGTTATAAAAAAGAAAATAAAACCGCCTCTATGGAAAATGCTGTTTGGGTTTGTCTTCTTAATGATGCTGTTGAAGCCTCATAAAAGCTAAAAACACACGGGTCTGGGCGTCTTTTTTTTTCTTAATAAGAGAGCTGTGAGTCTTGTCCTTCATCACATCGTCTCTTTTTAAACTTTATAAATGTCACAGAACGATAAACAACATGAGTCATTCACTAACTGCTCTGTAGATTTGATGGCTTAACTCGTGTGTGTTACATGTCATATATTGCTCCGTCCTTCCCTCTGTAAACCTCTCCGCCTCCTGAAGCACATGGGGCACTGAGTTCACAGCGCGGCTCTCTCGCTGCTGAACTCTCATTGCACGGCTCACTGGTGCAACAGATTGACGCTCTGAGAGTGAAAGGGCTCCCGCAAAGCTGGAGCATGCTGCAGTCTGGAGACAAGGCTCCCGCTGCAAAATACCATTACCTGACCATGACTTCCTTTTAACAAAGCTGGAGAGACTCCAGCTCTTGAAAAATGTTCTTTCTACACTGTGTCTGCACTTCAGCACTTTCTTTAGCTTTATGCAAGAAAAACATGAAGAAAAGAAAAAGCCAAACAAGACGCAAATTTACTTTAGTATTTTGAGTCACACCAAAGTACTGAGGGGCTTATAAATCCTTTACTTTTCTGAAATTTATCAGAATGAAACACTTGTTCTCCCTGCCACATAAACCAAAACATTTAGCTGCACAGCACCAAAATCTGTGTATTTTAGGATGAACTAGAATACAAACTGGAGAAAGAACCTCGCAGCACAAAGAAACAGGTGTGAACTTACCTGCTACTTTTCCGGGGCAGAGGTAGATCCTTCTGGGGAGAACGACAGAGCCCAAAAGAAAAAGAAAAGAGGGAAAGAAAACTTGGTTAGGCTTTTAAAAAAGAAAATATACTGTTAGTTTGACAGTAAATATGAATGAGCATAAAACCTCTGTCATCTCTTATCATTAGTAGCATCAAAAGGAGTAATTATGAGCAAACACTGACCCATGTTAAACCAGGTAAAGACAGTTCTGACCTTTTTTCTCCTTATATTCAACTTTAAATGTGTTTCATATACAGCACTTAACCGCTGTTTCCATGTGTGCCTCCCATAATACAAAGAGGATGTTTTTAAATCTGACTTTAAACTACTCAACACTGACACCAGAGTGTGAGGGATGTTAAAGTCTGGATACATTAATATTTTTCTATACATTTGTTTTCATTTTCCATACTTTTTAAGACCTGGAAGTTGATCCAATTTATTTTCAAACTTACGCAAGAACCCTAATATCACTATGAATTTTACTTTATTTTAAAAGTTACTTTATAGTAAACTTTTTTTGCAGACCTAATTATGGGAACTGCAGACTTAATTATTTTCTCTTATTGCAAATGTTCATTTTTATTGAAGTTTTTATTGTTTATTTTATGTCATTTTATTAGTCATCTCTGTTCTTAGTCTTTTTCTTAATTCCCATCTTAGAGGTTTTTACTTCTTTTACCCCCTTTTAAATGGTAAAGAGCTCTTACTTATCTATAATTTAATATTATTTTCTTGTTTTAGTCCATCAGGTTCTAGTCTTTCTTTTCACCATTTTTGTTTTTATTTTTACCTCCAGTGTTTCCTAAAGGTCGCTCTTTCCTCACACAATGTCTCGGTGTCAGGCCATGTCTCTTTAACGATATATCTTCAATTCTCACACTGTGTGCACTTGTTTGTGTGTATATGTGGGTGAGTGAGTGAGGGTGGGTGTGTGCCTTTGTGTGCGTGTGGGTGCATGGGTGGGTGTGTGGGTGGGAGAGTCGGGTTTTATTGTCATTAATTGTTGTTTTTAGCCTCTGTGAGGCACTTTGAACTGCATTTTTCTATGAAAAGTGCCATAAAAATGAAGTTGAATTTGAAGTTTGCACAAGAAAATCTACACTAGAGTCTGAAAAATATGTTACTGTGCATTAGACACTAATTCTCTGATAATGCAGAGACTGTGGTTAATCTCATGTTCTAAAGTAAATATCATCCTATTGTAAAGTAGACTGTTGTAACATTAAAGCCATTGTTGTGTTTTCTCTGTTTAACGTCCTTTTCAAGTGGAAACCAGTTTGAAAACTGATCCCCCTTAAGTGCTCTGCTCGGAGATTTCCCAGCTACAGGAATCACCAGGTTTAGAGGAGCTAAAGTCAATTTTAAAAATGTTGCTGCTATATTTATGAAACCGGGACACATCAACCGAGACTCTGATGTGATTTAAATCTACTGGGATGAATCTGTGTGGTGCTTATTGCCAATCCATTCTCACTTCAATCAGCTCAGGTGAGATCAGGTTACTGTCAATTTCTATTGTCAGCATGCTCCCTGCTATCTATTCCATAGCCAAGTGGCTCCGTTAAAAAGATATCATCATTTGTATCTTTTCACTTGGGAAGGTTTATGGACACAGGGCCATGACAACGAGATGAAAAGATTCCCAGCAACAAAACAGACAGCGCCTGAAGTTGAAAACAAGCACTAACGTGGAGGGAAAAAACGCGAGACTGTAATTGGTTTTCCAGAGGAGAATTCTCATCCTGTTCAATGAGAGCAGTCTTAAAATTTCCCTTTCCATCTTTCACACACAGTCTATCTCTTTGTCCTTGTATAAGTAAACAAGCAGCACAGAGCCCAAACAAAGAGGAGCTGATGAAACATGACTTGACAGCTGGAGCTCTTGTCTCCAAACAGTCTCAAAACAAGCTCACTACCAGAACTCACCCTCTTTATGTTCTGGCACTGTGAGATGCTAATACTCACACTTAATAAAGAAACTATGGAGAGCAAACGAGAAGTATAAAACCAATCTGTGTCGCAGAGAAGCATTGTAATATTTTCCAAAAAGGCAGGCTGAAAAAACTATAATCATTATTATCCCTCTTGGAGACTGAACAAGTGCAGTGCTGGTGCAGTAATCACATGGTTGTCAAAAGAGAACCTACTCATTACAGGCTGGTCTATTAAAGGAATAATCCCCCTTTTTTTTTGGAAAATGCATTCATTTACTTTCTCTTGGAGAGTCTGAAAAGAAGGCAAAAACCATTCTTATGTTAAAGGTGGGGTAGGCAGGAATCCATAAAAGAAGCATCTTTTTTGTGTTGCATATACAAAAAAGCTATCAGTAAAAAAGCTATTAGTTATTGATGACATTTGGTAATATGACGATATCGCTGTGTTCTGTTATGTCTGTATAGCATTTTAAATTTTTTGAGCGGCCGCTCTTTCTGACTGTAAACAAAGCCATTCTCCGCCTCCCCCAACCTGATTGGTTGTGAGGCAGACGCTGCTCCCCCGTGTTGTGAGGCATGCTCCAATAATGCGCACGAGCCCAAACAAAGTTAGCATGCTACAACATTGGACAGTTGAAACCAACCAAAAAGTACAGAAAACACAAGCAATAAAACAAAGTAAATACCGGAGACTCTGGCGGAATAACGGGCGCTTAAAACTGAGGTAGACCAGACAAGAGCTTAGAAACCGGGTCAACATCAGCATAAATGATGGGGAACGCTTCGGGATCTTACAGACCCTGTAACCTTTCTGCTAGACAGGAAAACCGCTTTAACAAAGTAAGCCAAGACCCGCTGCATTTTGTAGCGCCGCTAAACTGTTGACCTTGGGTCCTGGAGTTTGTCACTTTATCCTAGTTGTAGAAGTCCTGCGAACATTGTGTTTGCTGGTAGTCTGTTGGCATCTACAGTAGCACCAATGCTTTTTACTTTGACGTTGACTGCGCCCCATTTGTAATCATCTAAAGTATTTATCTGCATTATATCTGAATTTAATTGGAACGATACAAGCGAGCAGGAGCGTCTGTTTGCTGGAGCAGAGAGGGAGTGGAGAGGAGGAGCCGAGGGGAAAACTGGTTTGGAGGGGTAGAGTTTACATTCAAGATTTCTCCCAAAAACTGGCACTTCCTCAGATCCTGCCTACTCCACCTTTAACGGTGGAACACAACACCATTAGCTTAGCATAAAGACTGGAAATGAGGGAACAAAGCCAGAGTCAGTATTCAAAAATTCAATCAACAAGACTAAACAAAAGTTAGACATATATTTACATAAGTATTTGGCTGTTTTAGTGTCTCAGCTCTTTATAAACAACTTTTTTTTTTATCTCTATCCTAAGCTATGCTAATTATATACTAGCTGCAGTTTCCTAATTCAAGTATACCGTGAGTGTTAAACCAACCTTTTCTATCACTTGTACTGATGGGAAATAGGCACATTATCAATCACTGTTCCATTAGCACATTAAATCGAAATAGATTATATGATGATTGGCGGGCAGCGTTTCCCATTTCGAGGAAATTGATCTCTTTATTTTCTCAATGGGAGTGACATCAGCTCGCAGCGAGGCTTTCACGGACACAAAGTGAGTGACATCATCAGGAGGAAGTGAGCGGGGCCAGAGTGAGTCAGAGAGCGCCCGGCAGGAGACACGTGTGTGTGTGTGTGTGTGTGTGTGTGTGTGTGTGTGTGTGTGTGTGTGTGTGTGTGTGAGATTGTGTGTGTTTGGGGTGATAGGGGTTGCTAATGGATAAAACCCCCAACACCTGCTTCCTCTCACAGTCAGTCCAACAGAGGGCCTCTGTACAGTCAGTCTGGCATTTCTCTGGACTAAATTTCTCTGCACTTTCAAGTGAGCGTGAATATTTCCGCAACGGAAATATCTTTAATTGTTTAGCTTACAAATTGTACATTTATTACAAAGACAGAGAAAGACAGCTGTACCTTCTTCCTCTCATGCAACAAATACCAGCGCAACTTTGACTTTTAATGTTCAGATTTTAAAGACAGAATTTTCAAAGGGAATATTTCATTTATATACAACTCTATTGGACACAACAAAGGATGAAATTGTTGTATTATTAACAAGCCTACACATTCCCACACAGTTGGTTACAGTTACATTTTTCAGAGCATTAGCAGCCAGCCGTTCATTTTTCTCCTGCTTTCTATGTTTGTCTCTTGTATCTGCATTAGGATTGACAGACCTCATATGTGGTTTTCTTTTACACCTACAGTACAAAGATAAACTGTGTAGTACTATTTATATCCACTGGTACTGTTATATAATATTTTTAAATTTTAATCCTCTCTATAAAACTGTCGCCTTTATCATTTGTTTCATTTGGATGAGCCTGACACAATGGCAGTGTGTTTAACTGCTTGTATGAGCAACGGTGGATAACATACTGAGAGGTAGGCCATGTGATTCGACTTCATATAATACTCACAAGCAGATCACAAGAAGATCATTTGACATACTTCCTGCCGAAGTAACTCTCCTTTAAAGACACACGATAAACTTATATTGTGACCAGCAGCCGGTCCAGTTTTGTTTTTAAGAAAATCTGAAATGACATTGTACTTTAAGACCCACTACGACAAAAATCATTTTTTTTCTTGTTGTCTACATGTTCATATGGCATTTTTCTGATGCTACAGGACATATCGTGAGAAAAAGAAGTGCGGAATTGCATTTCTAAGTATTTCTGCATTCAAATTGCTGTGAATCTTTGGCAGACCGAAACGGCAGGTTCAGAAACAGTGAGATTTCATACATCACAAATCCAAGCTCCGCCCCCGGAGCCCCGCTATGAGGACAATCGCGGAACAAGCGTGTGCGTCAGTGGATTGCAATGCTCGTAAGAAAGCTAATGATGATATTGACCTTCATCATGCCCCAAAAGACATTAGTGTCTGAGAGCTGAATAGCTCCTATGTTACCTGTCACTTCTACTACACCAGCAATGTTAGGCTGCAAGCTAACATGAAGAGAAGTGCGCAAAGCAGCGCTGTCTCCGCCCACGACTCAGAGGCCAATTGTTAATGATCTACTGGAGCTCTGCAGAAGAAAAGCTCCTGAAAATGACACAGGCAATGTCATTTTGGCTAAAAACTTCATAATCACAATTTAAAGACCACTGAGAATACTTTAAGTAGTAAAAAAAACAACAACATTCGGAGTGGTGGGAGGAGGCAAAGTTTTAAACTCAAACACTTGATTTAGCACAAATTTCAGAATTCAAACATCATTCTTAACAGCTTGGCTAAAAAACTGCTGAAACCGGATTAACAAACCTGATCGCTTACTCTGTCTGACTAGTTATTATAGGGTGTCACATGATAATTCCTCTTTGTTGTTGTTTTTTTTATGGTAGAGTTTTATATTTACCCAAAGACAAACTGTGGCCAACTGGAAACTAAAGAGAGAAAATGTTAATATGCCATTGCTTTGGGCAGAGTCATGAGGCTTCTGTTCTGTTTCTGCTGCCAAACTGACAGCAGATTGTGAGGCAAATGTCACGCAGTGCATTCTTCACTTTAATAGTTTTCTTTGAAAGCTTGTACTGGTCATTTCACTGAGAGCTAAAATAACACAGGGTCTCATTGAAAAGTATGAGTCACTCTCTTGATCTATATAACTTTCTTTTTCTTTCACTAAATCCATTTTTACATTTTAACTGGAGCAAGTTTTCCTCTTACCTTGTCCATTTTTGTCTGTTTTGGGGAGTATTAGGTTGAACCCAGGCTGTGGTGCTTCAGAGGCATGTGGCATGAAAATTGAAGTCCAGTTAAAGGAGTTCAAATATTTGAAGCTATTCCCAAATATATTCTGTCCCAGATCTGTTGCTTTGATGTACACTTTGCTCTCTCCCCTCTCTGAATAAACCTGACATGAGAAGGACGGTGTGAGGCAGAACAAAGCAGTGGGCATGGCAGTGAGTGACAGGACTTGGCACAGGGAGCTGGATCTTCTGCACTGATCACACTCTTATCCCTTGTGCTTAGCATATTGGAAATGGGCTCTCTGCCCAGAACTAAATATTGGACAAATTACTCTAGTGTGTGTGTGTGTGTGTATTCAAGCATGTATGTGTGGTGTTCTGTCATACTCTTACAGCAGAGAAGGATGAAACATGTCATATGACTTGTATTTGTTGTGTGCTTGAGAATATAATAGAGGTGTCAGTAAATGGTACACAGAACATACAATGACAAAAGTTCAGGGCTGATACCAATACTTGTTATTAGTAGCTCCTGAGACCAATAATCAATGTTTAAAACCGATTTGCATTGACAGTAAAAATCTTCCAGTCAGATCTGGACCCTGTGTACCATTCAGCCAAATCAAACCACATCTTTTCTTTGTAATGTTGCACAACAGGAATCGCACTCCTCCTCTTTTTGTCAATGATGTGCAAACAGCTCTACTGCATAGTCATCAATGTAGGTTGAAAGCTCAAAGTCAGAAAGCCTTTTTGCAAAATACGTGACCTTATTATCTTCAAAACCAAAGGTCTACAGCAAAGTTCACCCCCGATACAGTGTGTGGATGAAGAAATTAGCTTCTCAGACCGGGAATGTAAACATGTTTTTAGTTGTTGTTGTTGTAAAGATGAGTCTTTTGAGTAGATGTGTGTGTGGTTTACAGCAGTGGTTCTCAACTGGTGGGTTCCGACCTGAAAGTGGGTCGCGGATACGTTCTGGATGCGTCACAAACAGCTGGTCAAAAAAGTAAATATTTAATGCAATATTTATTAGATATTTGATATTCTCTGTATATGAAACTTCAGTAGTTGTCGTCCTCATGTTGTCTCCTTCATGAGCTCTGAAATGCACTTTACTCAATAAAACAAGTGGATTTTTGTTAAAGATTGGACTCTTTAGTTTTTTTCTTGGTTTGAATTCTATAAATGTGGGTCGCGACTTAAGGACAATGGGAAAATGTGGGTCTCAGAGTGAGACCAGTTGAGAACCACTGGTTTACAGGACTTCTGCAGACATCCTGGAACGGGCACTCAAGAAACTGCAGTTTTTGGCACTTCTACGTTGGCTTCATATGTCGAGATTGATTGATTGTTTATGATTAAATATACTTTAGGGATTATTTTATAAAAATGCCCAACTACTGTTTCAGAAAAACTACACACAGCTGCTCTATTTCATTTTTTCACCAGAGAGCACTAAAAAGACTCGAATAAGAAACCGAAATAAGAAACCGAAATAAGAAACGAACACCTCAGAACTAAGCTCCTATCAAGCACCGTAACGCTTGACGGGTAAAGATTAAAATAGACCTCTTAACTCTGATTCAGTATTTATGATGCTCAACTAAACCCACCTCTTTCTCGGCTTTTGTCAAAGTGTTTCTTATCCCACATGCATGAGCAACGAAGTAATCTTTATGAGACACAAACAAGCAACACGTGCATACGCACACACACACGTATGCACACACTGAAACCATTCTCCTCTTTCCTCCATCGTGTCTCTGATGTGAAAGTGGATCCAGGCAGTAAAGAGATCTTGATATTGTAATGACCACTTAAATGGGGTCTACTATAGCCCACAGCTGGTGTCTGCCTCAGGTCTACGCTGCTCCCCCTCAACCCCCACCCCCTCCCGGCCTACCGCCCTCTCAGCCCGTCCTGCTGCTGGTGGTTGGTCTTCCTCCCTGAGGGCACACAGGGCTGTTAGGCCACCATTAGTCCTGCTAATGGGTCTGACAAATGCGCCACATCCTCAGCATTTAGACCTCCTCCGTTTGAGATATTATGGATATCGACTACTTCAATGGACAGGGAGAGCAGGGGCCGGGGTGGGAGTCAATTTGATATGTACATATAGGCATGAGTGTAATGCACAAACACACAGAAGCCCACTCAAGATTGCTGGTATGGCCACAGTCAACTGAATGGATGGACACACACATTAACAGCACTCAGTGTCAGACTAAAATCGAAAGTTTGATTCTACTTGTGAGAGAGTGAATCTTTCCTGCACATGTGTGTGTGTGGGTGTGCTTCAGCAGAACATATTAAATCTTTTCTGTTCATATCTAAATGCCTCTTCCCTGCTGGGCCACCACTACTCTCATTTTTCACAGAAGAAGTTGATATCGAGCTATGTTCAACTTCTGAGGGAAAAAAATAGTCTAAGAGATGCTCAATGTCTTTTACCAGATGTAAAAAGAAACAAAAATACTCCTCTTGAGAGTTTCAATTTCTTGAAAATAGAATTTTGCAATCAATACAAGCTCAGACTCTTGTTTAGTGGTCAATATAACATCAGGGGGAAAATGTGCAGATCAATTTGAAGGTGTTAACTTTGTGGGGAATCCTCACAATAATTTCCTCTAATCTTTCTACTACCGACTACAGCAGCTGGTCAGCTCTCAGTTCTATTTCAGATGGGCCTGTCTGCTGCCTTTGACAGAGTGAATGACCAAATCTTCTTCTCCATAGTCATTAACTAAGCTTGGTATGTCAGGATCTGCCCTCCAGTGGTTTGTGTCTAACCTCACAGGGAGACCTTTTGGAGTATGGAAAGAGGAAGTGTCTGAAGCACATTGCTTATCAACAGGGGTGCCTCAAGGGTCATGGCTTGGTCCCCTCCTTTTCTCTGTGAAGACCACTTAATCTGGAGTAATGGTTTCTCATATCACTGCAATAACATCCAGCACTTCCTGTCATTCCCACCAGATGACACAAGTATGTCCAGATTTGCCCGCTGATGTTTCTAAATGGATGAAGGATAGCACCTTCAGCTCAACCTGTCCAAAACTGAGCTTCTTGTCATTCCAGCCACTCCCTCTCTCAGATCAAGATCCAGTTTGGATCAAATTCATACTAAGTCTTTTCACAGTATGGTTGTCATGATTGATTACTAGCTAATTTTCAAGGTTCATGTGGTCTTGTTTGCTTGATTCACCCATCTATAATATCAGAAAGATCAAACCCTACTGGCTAAACCCACAGGATCCGGAACGGCTCCACTCCGCTCCGGCACGTCAGGCGGATCAAATACACAAGCATTATAATCAATGAGTGTGATTCCACACAATCAGTTTGTGATTCCACTGTTCGGCTCCGCTGCGGATCGACTCCAGCGGTCAGATCAGATATGCAAGGCTTCTATTTTAGCTAGACACCACAGCACAGCGCATCAACTCAGTGCAGCGCAGCATGAGCAGCAGCGGAAGTTGTAAAGAAAGAGTAAAATATCCGGTTAATTTTTAAAAAATAAAATAAAGTCAATATGTTGAACTGTTCTTAGCTTGATAATAGGAGAGGCCAGGGTTGTGGGATGTGGGTGTTTATATACACCGTCGTTTATACACACACAGATCAGTGGATCTCATTCAATGTCTCACGGGGAAATCAGCGAGATCTCATGAGATCTCGTCCAGTTTAGCGAGAAATATTGGTAATCTAGCAAACGCTTCTCCTCCGATGGCGGAGGCGGATCGGATCGGGTGGGCACTGCCGGTCCGGAGCAGAGCTGAGCCGTTCCGGATCCAGTGGGATCCCCTGGTACCTTGCCTGACAGAGCATGCAGTACCTCCAGGCTCTCATAATATCAGGCACTGACTACTGCTACTCCTTACTGGCAGGCCTCCCTGCATTCACAGCTAACATCTGTAGATGATTCACTGAAAAAAAATAAGGGTCTACAAACCCACACACCCATATAAGACCTAAATTACATTATTGACAGACTGTAGTATTGCTCGCTACACTACAGCAAGCTGAAAACCTTTGTGTAAACTCTCACTGGGATACAGTTTGGAGAAAGAATTGACGTTCTGCATTGAGGTGGCAGCAATAAAGCCTGTAATCCATTTAGAAAAAAAAACATCCTCAGATCAAGTTTGTTGGAATGACAAATTTAAAGACTGGCAGTGTAAGTGGAACTCTGTATTAACCAAACGACAACATTTGAGCAGAAATCATCCTATTTTTCTCTTCAGTATTTTTCAAACGGTGAGCAATCATCTGGAGCGGAGCATCTTGTGCATTGTGCTGCAGAGTTCTTTTACAGCGAATTAATTCACAGGAAAGCAGAGAGACTAGCACAGAAGAGCTCTGCCGGCTTTGGCCTTGGTTGATTAATTTCACGCAAAGTGCCCACAACACAGAGGAGAGCCTTGAATGAAGCTTTTATCAATGTTTTCTTCTGTTGATGATTATATAGATATCGGCTAAGTGAAGAGCATACATAATGCAAGTGTTGCAAAATGACCTTAGCCTTTTTTAAATGGACTCAACTCAGCAGGTTTTCATGCATTTATAGATACAACCAACATAAAAACAGATCTGCCTGCTACGCTACACTTCCAACTGAGCATTTTTTGGTCTAAAAGAGGTCTAATAGACGTCTAAATGTAGCCTAGACGACTGGTCTAAAATCAGGCTACCACAGGTCTAAAAATGAAAGCCTTAGACCAAGTCTAAATCTGGGCTATATCTATAATAATAATAATAATGATATTTTTTTATTTTACAGGTGCTCAAAGATCCTTTTAAACAAACACAATTTAAAATACAGAAAATCTTAAGTAATAAGACTAACAATGTAAAAGATTTAAAAAAATCACAATATATTGAAAATTAAAATCCGTTGATATCAATATAAAACATGGTCAATATGCTTTTCGATAGTCGGCATTCTGCCATGTTTTGGTACAGTATATGAATAGACAATGAAAAGAGGAATTTCTGCGGGTCCACTTCACACTGAACCAATCATGTGCTGAATTAGAACCAAGTAGCAAACAACTGCGTAGTAGAGGGCTGCAGCTACACGCAACCATAGCACTTTAACACCGAAAACAGACGACCATTCAGTCCACTTTCTCTAGCTCAACACCTAACCACAAACGTCGAAGAGACACAAAGACCTCACAGATAGAAGCTTGTTGTAATGCAAAAGACATGCTACCAATAAGGACTGTTACATTTCATATTTTATATTGTGAAAAAATATATTATGATAAACACTTTCCCATATCACCCAGCCCTACAAGGACAGTTTTCAAATTTGTAAGATTTTGCCTTTTTTTTCAGCATTTGTTTAACTTGTGATGAATATTTTATTTTCTAAAGTCAGAGACAGTTTTTCCATAAAAATCATGCCCATCTTGCAAAATGCAATTGTGTCAAATGCATTGGTCCTGCATTGGATTAAAATGTGTTTAAAAGTAATGCAATACCTATCAGGTAAATACAATGATAAAAAATTATGACCTCAGCCTTCTGCCTATTCACATACAACAACAGCCTTCTCATGTTAGATCGTGAAAACATCCACATCAAAATATAAACTACTATTTCTTAAACAGAAGTTTGAAAGTGCTCTCACCTGCAGTCTCCGTCTTCGGATGATCCCAGAATCATCCATGGCGCGTGGCAGGTTAACAACACCTGTCAAACGGTCGCGTGGTGGCTCCGGTGGTTTCCAGGTGACAGCGAGAAGATGACCCAATCTCGCGTGGATTTCAACCAGCGTTTATAAAAACCCGTCAAATCACTGGCACACTATTTCTTTTTGGCGGGGTAGCTTTGAACATCATCAGCCGACTATAAACAGCTACTATCCTCGTGCCCTACTTCCACGTTACAATAGAAGATAACATGAACCATTTTGGACCAAAGTATGAAAAGGTTCCGCTCTGACCGGACTGTTCAAGAGGTGGGAACTGCTGAATAAGCGTGAGTGGGACCCGCGTGCACTGCGTGAACTCAGGTCCAGCTGAGAGACTAAAGAAGAAACCTGAGATCAGCTCAGACTGTCAGACTTTCAACTATCACACCACAGATTAGATAAACCACTCAAGTATGTAAACATGTTCAGCCAACATGAAGCCAAAGACGTGTATTAAAATTTTAAAAAACACGCACATCCACAAAAGTCAATTTTTGGTAAAAATCAGAGAAGCGAGTCTTCAAAATGCTCCTACCACACCGATCATCTCTCGATCTACACACCACATCGCTGCAGCAGCACCCCACTACATGTTACAGCAGCCTATGGTTCCCACTCAAAACACATTTTCCGTGACGATGAGACCGATACGTTCACGGAGTTCATTGCATGCATTTTGCAAATTAGCGAATGTAAAACTGCTCATCTCTGATAGATGTGACACAACAGATGCATTTCGGAAAAAGACAGAAACGAGATCAATGAAAATCTGTATCGTCTCCCACGGTCCTCTGCTCAAAGACACACACAGAACGACACACGTCGGCAGTGTTAGAGCTGGATAACTTTACGTTTTCGTCCTCAGAGTGGCAGATTTGTCCGTGGATTTGCGCTCCCACAGGTACACGACGTGTTCACCCTTTCTTGTTGTGGTGGACCATCGTTTTTCTCGTGAAAATTGATCTCTGTTTGCTACACAGGCTTCGCTCCATCCTCGGCTCCTACCACCCACTTCCTACTACCAATGAGGTTTAACCCTTCAACTACCAGAGGCTTGGGTTTCTACTGCATCCACGGGCCAAGAGAGAGGGATTCACGGGACATTTGTTCAAGATTTAAGATTTTTTAAAGTCAAGACTGAAAAACAAGAGAAAAAAAAAGAGTATTGATTCGTGGTCAAAGATAAACTACTCGATAAACAATGGAAAAACTGGCACCTGTTCTGATCATGGATTAGCCCTTTATTGCCTTTTGTATCATATTTGATACATGCTTTTTTATACTTTTATCAAATCAATATGATCAACAAATTACTAAAAAAACACCTTAGTACAGTCCGATAAATGATAAAAATGTCATCTTGTGTTTTATCAGTTTCCAAAAACATCTAAGGTATCAAACAAGATAACTGAAGGACATTTTGAGTTTTTTGGTTTTCAGTACTGAGTGAAATAAACATTTCAGCTCCAAAAGTTTGAATTCTTTGGCCATATTTTGTGGTTTCAGGCATTAAAGGGTTAAACAATTTTTATTTTGTCTTTTTATTAACTTTTTAAAAAATTTCTGTGATTTTATGCTAATTTAAACTTTGATATGACGGACATATATTAATGTTAAATGTTAGTTTGCCTCATTATTTACATTGTGGTATAGCTACTTGCAGAGCCAACTAAGCGCCTGCTTGGGATCCGCGGGTGATATATATTTTTTTGTAGGACGGTAGGGGAAAGTCCCGCCTTCTTCGCCTCTGATTGGCTAGAAAAGCTGGAAACGTCATCACACGTTCAAGCCAAATGTGGGCTGTCGGCTCTGTACACTGAGCAGAAAATTACAGAATATTATTGCACTTCTGAATCTCCAAACCCTCACCCTTATCCTAACCCTTACCCTCACCCTAACCCAACAGACGATGACGTTCCACAGCCAATCAGAGGCAAAGGCCAGTGGCCAGTAGGGGGCCCCCAATAGCAATAAAAATAATAATAATAAAATTTAAATATTTTGTATTTTTTGCATGTATGAGTGATGCTTTCTGTTTGATCAAAAATATATTATTGTAAAAATAAAATAAAGTAAAAGCATTTTAGCGCTGCTGCTGATGTGGGCCTATGATTCTTGCTGCCGATATGCTAAACCCTCACACCCTCTGCTCTGTTACTGCCACCTCTGCCCAGCACTGGTACTACACTCAAACTTCCAGCCCTGCCATCATCTCCATCTGCAGGCTCTGGGTTAAACATTTTCTTATCTTTCTTGAGGTAATTCCAATAAATATGTGAGAAATGATGTGGTCGGAGCCAAATACAGTATTCTGCTGCTACAATAAAAAATTTAATCTTTTTGCAGTCTAACTTCAGAGCCATTCTCACAGAGTTTAACAATTTCATGATTCAAGATTACATACAGGACACCATGACAGAGACTTTGACCTCATGATCAAGTCCAGTCTGCAACAAACAAAGTAAACCAACAGCAGGTTGAAATTAACTATCATCTTCAATGTTTGACGCATGCAGAGTACTTGGCACGCAGCCTGCAGTAATGTGATCCATTTCCTCTGCACAATATTTGCAAAGAGAGTTACTTAGTTACTCAACAGTTAAGTGCTCAGTCCAACTGTTTTTATGCTCTTCTGTGTTCATGGACTGTAGGTGTGCCGTGCATCTGTCTGAATTAGCAGTCCACACAGTGTCTGTCGTGTATCCACTGCAATTTCAATGAAAAATGGCATCAAGCTTCATGCATTATTCAACAATCCCACCTGTCACACATGGGATTCACGGCAACATACCATTTCACAGCTCCTCACCCTTCAGTTACTCACACCCCTGATCCAAATGTTAATGAATGAGCGCTGGCAGTAAACCATAATCCCCCCGTGGTGATTTAAAGAGAAAGAGCTGTTGACGTAATAACTGAAATGGTAGATTTCTTCAAAGTCCATCACAGCACTCACACAGGGTGATATGTCTGTCAAGATGATGGTTGACTGTTTAAAAAAAGACAGACAGGAAAATACTGGTTTAAGATGGCTGCTGGGTTAGATCAGCATGAAGTAGAGAAAGACAAACACACAAGAGGCCGAGCAGCTGGTTTGGCTCCAGCTCCAGGAGGGAGGGAGACAAAAGATAGACTTTGTGGCTTTTAGCATCGTGGCCTTAATGTTCTCCATCTCCCTGAGCAGACAGAGCTGACAGGCTTTAGTCCCTCTTAGAGGGAGATTTACAGCTGACAGATCACTCCCGGTTCAGTTCAGCCTCCCACCTTCACCACTCCAAGCCTCCAAACCCCGAACATGTATGTGTGACAAGAACTCTATGATATGATGGTGGAACAAAAAGTTATTTTCATTATCCATTTGTCTACATGTTTATTTCTATGATTAAATCAGCCTCTTAGTTCATGTGAATTTAAGCAAAACACAACCCCTGTGAACTAATGTGAGGTGTTTAAGAAGCTTATTTTGTCAACATGGTCAATTTCATTAGTATATGTCCGATTGTTTCAGAAAAAAATAGAAATATTAATATAATGTTTCCTATAATACTGTTGTTCTAATAAAAATCCTACTTCTTATGTGTTTTTAGAAGCCTTACTGATAGCATAGCCTAGCATAGCATAATCATCAGTGATCACAGATGCATTTTTGTAGACCTCACTGTGGAGCAGATCTTTGGCGTGTCAAGTTTAAGAATGGAGACCTAATATAAATAATTATATACCTACAGCTTCGATGGTGCTGAGCCTCTCTATCCAGTGGCATCACAATGTAAATGATCACACTCTAGGTAAGTGTATGCCATTTTCGGCAGCACAGCTTCACTCACAAGAGATTTGGTTTGGTACTTATAAAAGTGATGATAAACAATGATCAATGAGTGTAAATCAAAATGTATTGATTCACAGTTTAAAACTCTACCTTTCACCAAAGCCATAACTAGACATGAACTGGTGGAATATGTTTGTAGCGAGACCTCAGGCCAGTCCATTACTGACTACAGCGGGGTGACGCAGCTCAAGGAAGAACATTTATGATCATTTCTTCATGGAAATCCAACCAGACCGAGACGCTAAGGCAGAAGAACTACCGTGTCTGCAGTGTAAAATTATTAATATGGTGATTATTACTTCAAGGAAATGATAAAGTAATGATCATAAATGTTCTTCCTTTGGTTGAGGTTTGTTTATGGCTCCTCAGACTGCTGTGTATTGCTATCCTGAAGTCTTTACTAAAGTTTGTATAACTAGAGAAACAACATTCATCTCTCGACAGGGTGTCTAACCCAGTGTTATGGTGTGTTTGACCCTAAATTAATTCTATGCCAGAGTATCCCTTTAAGTTTAACCTTGTTTATCATGGAGCAGAGAACAAATCATCTGATATATACTCGCATGTCTTCATACTGAACAAGCTGCTCTGGCCTTTTGAAATCTGTCGAAACAATCTGAATAAACCGGGAGCATGACTAAATGTGCTTCAGTGTCAGGTGAAAAATGACATCTCGCACTGACCCAGTTACCAGCCTGCCTGAGTCCCCTTGTACATTGAGCCTGTTCTGCTTTTCTTACTTATATTAAATAATTAATGTCGGCACATGAATTTTACATCTTTTTTGTTCATTAGGTGCTGTGAGATTTGGAGAGGGGAGGAGGCAGCAGTGTAGAGACCCTACAAGCACAGTTTGAACATCACTGTGAAAGACTTTTCCCATCGCTTCATGCAAAAGCTCTCAAAAATGATGTCATCCTTTTTTTTTTTTTTTGGTAACAATTGCCCAGAGGGAGGTCACATGGGGTCAGCTCTCTGCTGCCAAAAAGCTTGGCAGGGCTGGGATTTGGGATATGCCTGCTGCTTGTGTGAATCCCATTTCCCATCCTGGTAAGCCGGTCTCACAAGAGCCACGTCAGCTCGCATCTCTTCATAGACTGCAAGTACCTCCCTCTGAATCCACATCTGCTGTGTGTATATGTGAGGGTTTAGGAGTGGTCCCCACTGCCCCACAACACAGACTGTATTATTATAAGCAAAGTTTTCCTGTACTGATTAGTCATATGATCCACTGTTTTTATGAGCGTTAAGAAAAACAAGAATTTGAAAGGTAAATTCAGTACAATCCATTCTGTAAACCCTTTTTTTGATTAAAGGTGGGGTAGGCAGGAATTCATTAAAGACGCATCTTTTTTTGTGGTGTATATACAAAAAAAAGTTTGTAATATCAGTAAATAGCTATTAGTTATTGATGACATTTGGGAATATCATGATATCACTGTGTTCTTTTACGCCTGTACTATCAACATTTTAAAATTTTTTGAGGGCCCACTCTTTCTGACTGTAAACAAAGCCGTTCCCCACCTCCCAGACCTGATTGGTTGTGAGGCAGACTATTCTCCCTCATGTTGTAAGTCACACTCCACACCCTCGAATAACGTTCACGAGCCTAAACAAAGTTAGCGTGCTACAATATCGGACAATAAAAAATAAAAAACTGAAATTACTGTTTTGCCATGACTGCGGACACAAGCAAGAAAATGAACTAAAAACCGGGCTAATAACTAATAACGGGCGCTTAAAAAAAGGAGGTAGACCGTACAAGAGCTAAAAAGCGGGGTCAACATGAAACATGAACAATGGGGCATGCTTCAGGATCTTATGGACCCTGTAACCTTTCTGCTGGACAGGTAAACCGCTAAGTTGACTTTGCCTGTAATGTGTTACGTTCAAGTCTTTAAGGAGTTGAAAGCATTGTGTTCAAAGGTAGCCTGTTAGCATGCTGCTACATCAGCACTGTTGCTATTGACATTTACTTTGACTGGGCCCCGTTTTAACAAAGTAAGCTAAGTGTCTGTAACAGAAGTGTTTCTTGGCCAACGGGACCTCCTGCATGTTGTAGCACCACTAAACTGTTTACCTCGGGTCCTGGAGTACGTAATTTTATCCTAATTGTAGTTGTTTGCTGGTAGACTTTTGGCGTCTACAGTAGCACCAATGCTTTTTACTTTCACGTTGACTGGGCCCCATTTGTAATTATCTTAAGTATTTGCCTGCATTATTATCTGAATTTAATTGGAACGAAATGAGCGAGCAGGAGCGTCTGTTTGTGGGCGGAGCTTGCTGGAGCAGAGAGGGAGGGGAGAGGAGGAGCTGAGGGGAAAACTGGTTGGGAGGGGTAGAGTTTACGTTCAAGATTTCTCCCAAAAACTGGCACTTCCTCAGATCCTGCCTACCCCACCTTTAATTGGTAAAATGAATTAGTATTAATATCCATACCCATGTGACCCTGTTCCTCCTCAGACATTCTGACCACTCAATAAAGGATATCATCAGACTCTTTCACATCAATTCACTCATGGCTTCTTAAAAGGGTTCTTTATTTTTCACCATAGGGAAAATGTAAAATGCAAACTTGGTATTAAAGTTCAAGTGTCACATCAGCAAAGTTGCTTCTCTGGCATCAAAACATCCTTTTCAGAGTTCCCCG